TCATCTCATGCAATCTAATGCAATGCAAGGCAAGGCGATACCCCATCTCTCTTGTGCTGCATCTCCGCCCTCCCTCTTCCTCTCTTCCTCTCCTCTCTCTCTTGTCCAGGCTTGCGCTTCCTATTCGCCGACATCAAAGCCCCAATGTCTCACTTTCGTCTTGTCTTCGGTCAACCTTCACGAGGCAGCATCGCCATTCTAGCATCCTCATAGTCGGGCATCCCCGGTCCATCCACCACAACTCATGTCATGGCCGCATTCACATGCCTCTCTCTCCCTCACTCTCTCTCACTCACACAGTCTCTCGCCCTTTTGCCCGGAGGAATTCGCATAGCTCGTGTCACTTTGTAAAACCCCACGAACAGATTAGCGCATCATCACCGAATACCACACGGTCCCAAGGACAAGCCAGCCTTCTCAGCCCCTATGCATGTCTCACTCATCAGCTCTTTCAGGCCGCGTTAGGCAATCTAAGCCGACTGCAATGCATTCTTTTCATCTTCCTGTTTTTTTTTTCAAGCCCTACTATTCTATCTTGCTACACACCTAGAGTTACTCCGATTCATGCACATGTCATTCCTTGCCCCTCGGCAGTGGTCCGTCAAGCGTCCAAGTAACACAGCCCCAAAACTCCAAAATGGAAATAATGGCTGCAGTTACCAAAACCTCAACCAAAGCTGTCCTTAATTTTAACTATACTGTATCATGTGAGATGATCCTCGCGAATCCTCCCAAAATCCCGGAATATTCCTCAGCCGCCGATGTAAAAAGAACTCCCCAGCCCAACAAAGGCCAATAGCCACGACCAGCCACTCCACGTAATTAGTCCCAAGTACCATTCTGACTGCATCAACGCGGCGCAGCTACAAGGTCCACAAACCACCGGCGCTTCTCTCTTCCGTGTTTCATCAACCGCGTTTCGACCGTTGCATTGCATCTCTCGGGTCGATCCTTGAAATTTCATCGCCGGGCGGCTATCACAGCCGGCGTTGGGTAAGTTTGATAGTAGAGAATCTCACCACCTCTCGGGAAATACAAGGGATTTTGCTTTAGCGTGGGCGCTTACTGCGTTTTGCGTCTAACCGGCCAATCGCGGCGCGGCGTTTCTCGTTCCCAGCCTTGCATGTAACTGTATCTTACAAGGAGACGGGAGAATATGATTCTGAAACGTGGGCTTGCCTGTATTACCTTGTTCTCGACTCTTCTACAGGCTGGGGGAATGCATGTGCGAAGTTGTGTGGATACAAAACGCTGTCAAGACAAACTGGCCTATGCTGGCAAATGCTCTTACCAAAGACGTGAAACAAGTAATCAAGTCATCAATGTTGACCAAGAATCAAAAGTGCCGATGGGATTGAACGCTACGGTACTGCTCATCTGATACATTGGCAAATCTATCTTCCTATTTTGTAATATCTTTAAATTTGACTTGCTCATGTACTTGCTATACACCATAATATTGACAGAAAACCACCTATCCGAGTATACAAAACCTCATTCAATGCCACTAAACGGCTATTTGACCTCAAATATACATGATATCCATCACCCCTAGACTATCAACTCAAAATTCGCATAAAACTATGCCAGAAGTTTGCTTTACAGAGGTTAAATTTAATATCAAAATGAGAAGTTCAACAATACTGTAACAGCTGGTTCAATAAAATGCTATGCCCCAGCCTTTAGTTCAAAATGCAGAATCAATCCATAACTTAATTCAATCCGCAACAACCGATCAAATTAAACCTTGGAGATTCACGCCATACTACTGGCAGAAACACAGAAAGCATGGCCGCTTATCCAGGTTCATGGCCAAACTCAAAACACATGCGCAAAAAGGCCCGAACAACAAAGTTCAAACGCAATACAACAAGAAGTTTGCTTTACATCCCGAAACAACTTGTCTCTTCTCTCATCTCAAAGACGTAGAACCATCTCCTATAGCAGAATCAGCCGTAGATATATCGACATTATTCCACGCGTAGATTAACTGGCGGTATAAACATCCCTGGCCTCAATCCAAACATGTCTAATTAGTTTACACATGCTTCGCCATTTATCCTACTATAATTCCGGAGGACTGCTTTGCAAAAGTGTGACGACAAAATACTACACCAACTCCAAGGGACTTGAAGAACATATCCGACGTCTCGAAACAAGCCGACAAGACACGTCATCCTTGTACAAAGAGTCAATCAAATCATGAAACGTGGCGCCTGTTGAGACCAACTCTGTCATCATTGCAAATACAATCCCTTGGATCGCCCCAGGTCCATCAATTGGTCAGTACAGCATATGGGCGTGTTTCACATGGCAAATCCGTCATCAAACAGACATCATCAATCACACAGATTTCACACAACCGTCCAAGCTCCCGCATAGAGTAATTTTCTCAAGTTCATTTCCCATCATTCATATCATCTACTATTACCCTCATGCCGATTGTTACCCATTCCTCCCAGAAAAACCTTGCATTGTCCCTTGCATATGCTGTACATGAAAACATAAAAAAACATTAGTCTGCTAAAAAGGAGCCAGTCTCGTGCTCATATTCCCCCGTTCCGTAGACACGTGTGGTGCGGTTATTCGCCTCAACAGTTCCAGCAGTACGTCGAGCTGCGCGCATCAACCACGTCATCCGTCTCTAACCCCCTTTGCATTGCCTATCCTTGTTCCGGCGTCTGACCGTAAATACTAGGCAGGGCAACCAGATGTCGGTGTGCTCGCAAATGCGTAACCCAGCAAAAAGGACTCGACTCTCTGAGCGACAAATTCTGCCGTCTTGAGATGAGCCATCATAACAATGCCATTCACGTCATTGCTTTTCGTTTCCCCCTTGGCCCCCTTAAGATATAGTGGCCTTTTGATGATGATGCAAGTATCCTGAAAACCAACAAAAGTGGGAAACCATATCAGCTGTCCACGCCACCATCTCAAGAGCCTTTGCTTTTGTAAGATAGAGCGTCACATGTACGGAGCCACTCCGCCCATCTAGTGGAAGTAGCTGGCACCGCGGGCTGCTGTCGGGGCTGCTGCTGGCGTTGTTGTCGCTGGCCCAGGAGTGGGAACGTAGTCCTCAAAGTAGGGGTGGTTGCAAGCTTGCTTGGCAGAAATTCGCCCTGCAGGGTCGTAGACAAGCATCATCTCGAGTAGATCCAAGCCCTTATCGTCGAGGTTGGGGCAGAGCGCCTGTGAGTAATCTCTCTGCCACTTGGGGAAAGAAGCCTTGAAATCGGGGTAGGATGTGACGCCGGGCCACAGGTCTTCGGTAGGGGTTCCGAGGGCACTAGGACATGGTAGATACCAGTTAGCCAGACGAACGACGAATTGCGCAAACAAGAGGCCTGTTAAACCATTGCTAGGGGAGTATCTTTCTTACCGGAAAATGCGGAAGATTTCGTCAATTTCCGAGTCACCTGGGAAAAGAGGCTTGCGAGTACACATCTCAGCAAAGATGCATCCAATCGACCACATATCCACGCCGGTAGAGTACTGCCTTCCACCAAGGAGAATCTCGGGAGCTCGATACCAGAGAGTAACAACCTCGTGCGTGTAGGTTCTCAGGGGAACACCGAATGCTCGCGCCAGACCGAAATCTGCAAGTTTCAAATTTCCCTCCTTGTCAATGAGAAGGTTCTGGGGCTTGAGATCTCGGTGCAGGACACGGTGAGAGTGGCAGTACTTGATGCCATTGCACAGATGCATCATGAACTTGCGAATGACAGCATCGCCGAGTCCAAGCTGCTGTAGGCGAAGGGATGAGCCCTCGGGGAGAGCCTTGCCTCGGCCACCATCACTGACAGGGAGGGCCTCCATATATCTTTTCAGATCCAGGTCGAGGAACTCGAAAACCAGATACAGCTTGTGGCCATCGGAGTGGACGATGTTGAGAAGTCGAAGAATGTGGGGGTCTCGCATCTCCTTGAGGAGAGAAATTTCGCGGATGGCCGTGCTGGGGACGCCCTCGTCTTCGGCCTCGAGTCGGATCTTCTTCAGGGCAACAATGCGTCCGGCATTGGCAAGGTCTCGTGCCTTGTAGACCACACCGTAGGTACCTGTGAGGGTGTCGATGCATTAGCACGAGAGGATAGGATAGGATAGAATAGGGGCATTGACAGGTAAAAAGGAAGAGCAAGGGGATGAAGACATGATATCAGAAAACCAAAAGCAATGCAGATGACTGCGGCATGTCATTGGGGGTAAGTAATTCACAGCAGCAACGTACCCTCTCCGACCTTCTCCAGCTTCTGATAGTTCTCCATGGCGGCGGCAGGTTGCAGAATCAGTCAACTAGTGGATTGGATTCGGCTGTGTAGAGAGAAGACAAGAACAAGCAGCAAGGTTTTGTCTTTTGTCCCTCGTCGTCGTCTACCGTTGCTGTGCACACAAGGAACGCGGCGTTGGTGGGAGAAAAAAAACACGGTTCGTCTGGTCGCTGGGGCGAGGGGTCAACAATTCGCGGTTCTGGCGCGGGGAGCACAAACGCGGTCAGATCCGAGCCTATAGGTGAAACAAGAGCCGGCGAGGTTTGGTTTTGGCTTCTCGAGTGTGTGATGACTCCTGCTTGGTTTAGTTAGTAAGCATCTGCCAGGGGCAGCTCGAGTGCCGATGTTGATGGATTTGTTTGTTGTGTTTACTTTGGTTTGACAACACCTGCATTGTTACTTGGGGCTTTGCCTTACAAAGGAGACGGCGGCTAGCTGGGTTGGGATTGGCGTAAATGCCCCGCCACAGGGACAAGGAGAGCCATGTGGCTTGGAAGTTGGTTATGGATGGTCCAAGATGTTGCGAGATCTCCAATAACAGACATATATTCCCAAATATTTTAAAATAAAGGAGTTGTCTACTCTCCCTATTGAAATATCAGTACTAGGATACTTATTAAATCTTATAAGAGGTAGAGGTGTCGAAGTAATGCTTCTCTTCCCCTTTTCTATCAATTACATGTGATCGTAGCTCGATGCCTGGGTATCATGGTAATTGAGAGCCCTCCTAAAAATCGTGATAAAGAAATTTAATCAATTGATATCCATTACCTGACAGGAAACTTCCATAATAAAGCTAGTGTATATAGTACATCGCCCAAGCTACTAGGTAGATACTGGGTAGGTCGTCGTGAAAAAAACATCATGCCCGCTAACCGAAACCACCAAGTTGCCAATCACTTTGCTCCCAAAGGTTCCTTTCGCCTCAAATCCAATATTTTGGATAGTTTCAACTTCCCCTTCTCTCCCCACCCAGACGGGCCCGCCTCTATGTCTGGGCGAACGGCCACATACCAGCTCCACGCTCTTCGATCCAGCTCAGCTCGTCCCAAAACTCCAGCCCAACTCGCAAAGAGCAGTCGAAGAGCTCCCAACAACCTCCCCAGATTCTCTTGCTTCTCGTCATTCAGCGCGGCTGCAGTCTTCTTACTCCCACCGCCGTCACCACCGGCCGAGACAAAACTCCGTAAAAGATAATTTCTTGCGCCCTCAGGACGGTGAATGGCCATGCCGATTGTTGATACGGCTGGCTTCTTATCCTCTGCGTCAAGCCCCCAGAGCGCCTCGCCAGAAAACGACGATGTCCGCCGCTGAGCCGAAAGCGCATCGTTGAGGCATTCCCGCATAAGTCGCCATCGATCAGGTCCCAACAAGACTCCGCCGTACCATCGAGCGAGCACAACGGTTGTGTTTGTGATGTTTGATTCACGCAAGAGTTCTAGCATGAACTTGCCGCAGCCCGCTTCGCCATCATCAAACGAAGCCTCTTGTACGAGGGATGAGCCGCCAAAACTGGTACGAATCGCCCACGCAACGTGGTCTGCCGTCTTCTCTAGATCAGGATATTTGTTGAACAAGATCTTCATAAGACCTGAGCGCATGGATGGCGACGTTATTGGAGCTGCATGCGCGACGAATACAGATCCCTTTGAAGTAAGCTTGCTGCTCGTTGCCCAGATACTGTCAGACGCTGTTGACGTTATTGTTGATGATGACGAGCTTGCTGCGTCTGCAGATGACGAAGATTGTTGCTTCTCGTCGGTCCATGTATAGCCACCTCTCTTTAAAACGGGGATTTCTCGTCCTAGAACCGAAACCTTGGGTTGGCCGGTTGGTACTGGCGTCTCTCCACCCACCGGTGCCTTTTCGATGCCTATGCTTATAGCTTTGGATCTCGAGTTTGCACTCACCACGGCCTGAGCTAGACTTAGACGACTACTGGGAGGCTGCTCGGGCATCGTGAATCGTAGCAGTTCCACCGCAAACGCAAGCACCAACGGGGCTCTGTTGGTAACCAGCGTGGTCTCCTTGATCAGCTCCTCGTCCTCACACAGAGGGAGCGTCAACGACCCTTCGAGCTCTTCCGGCGTCATGGAGTTGTAGTCCAGGTCCCGTTTGTGCATCTCAAGCTTGGGCTTCTTCCTGTCGGCTGACGCGGGCTCCTCAGCCGCACGCTTATTGCTCTTCTTGCCGTGCGACTTGCACGCCGTGTGAAAGCTCTTGGCAAGCTTCGCGTCGCCGATGGCCTCTTCAATAGTGGATGAAGGCGCCTCAGCAATCTGCTCGATGCTGTTGTCTCATGTTAGTCCCTTATCGCCAGCGTTCACGGCGGCGGCCTCTCGCCTTTTGAGATTCTTGGATTGCAGCGATCTGATGTAACCCATTGCCGCCATCATGGATGCTTTGCGCGCCGTCAGCATGCGCAGCATCTCCTGTAGATCGCCGTGGCCCGCCATTGCTGCGACTTGTGACCGATACAAAGACAGGCTCTCAGGTAGAAACGAAGGCACTCCGCATCACCCGCTTGTCATCCCCCCCTGAGCTGAGCTGTGAATGATGACGTGACGTGACGAGCCGAGCCAGCCAGCCAGTAGTGAATCTCGCACAGTTTGGCGATCTCGGCACCTTGATAGCGAGGGTTGGCCCCACTTGCACCCCCCATGCACACTGTATTTGCTATTTGCACTGCTGCTCTCGCCGGGCGTCTTTCTGCAGCGGAACGGGTCAATGCCCTCAACGCACATGATAGATAACCTCGACATCGTCCTCACCACCTGTGGGCAAAACCCAGAAAACTTTTCTTGTGCCGGCCACGCCTCGAATATGCTCCCTCGATGAACGTCCCAACACGCCGCCTTGCCACGGCCGTGGTGGGCTTTTCACCCTTGCAATGCCGCCTTGCAAGCTCTTCTGTGCGCCAAGCTGTGAAAACTCCTCCAGCCAAACCTTCCTCTCCCACTCCATCGTCCCGCGTTACGAGATCATATAAACCGTTTGTCTCTCCCTGTTTACTCTTCTTGTATCTATCTTAATGAAGCTTGACTGACCCAAAAAGCTTATAATAGCACACAAAAACCCAATATCTCTTCCTCACCACCACCTCCTCCTCCTCCTTCACATGGCCCCAAAGCAGACACTCTCCTCGACATATGGCGCCGTGCCTGGCTCCCCCTAACCGGCGCTTCTATCCTTGCTGGGTTTCTAGGCTTCTACATCCTCGGCACAACAGTCGCAACCATTAAATCTTCCCCTTGCTCCTCTTCTGCCCCCTGCGAACATGCCACGCCTACCGGCCGGCCCCCCGCCCTGAGCGGCGACAACGCCGAGCAGTTCGACAAGGAGCTCAACCTCCCCGAGTGGTGGATGGGCATCACGAAGCTACGCAAGAAGCTTGCCGTCCACGCAAAGGGCACCGTCCTCGAGCTCGCCATGGGCTCTGGCCGAAACCTCGAGTACTACAATTGGGAGCCCCTGAGTACTGCAGTCGAGGCCGCCAGGACAGGTAACATCCCCCCGCCAAAGATTCCCCAGGGCATCACATCCTTCACAGGACTTGACATATCCGTCGACATGCTCGATGTGTCGCGGCAGAGACTCGCCAAGTCCGTCCCGCCTATGGCCGCCTCTGCGCCCATCGTTAAAGCCTCGTCCATGGCCGACCATACAGGCGGCCAGCTCTCCTTCTTGGATGGCCACGTCCGCCTCGTCAATTCGGATGCACACCACCCGCTACCCCCTCCTACTCATACCGAGAAATACGATACCATCATCCAGACCTTTGGCCTCTGCTCCGTCTCCGACCCCGTCGCCGTGCTGTCTAACCTCGCTACCGTTGTCCGACCTGGTACCGGCCGCATAATCCTGCTGGAACACGGTAAGGGCTATTATGGCCTGGTGAATGGGTTGCTGGATAAGAATGCAGGGAAACACTTTGCAAAGTATGGGTGCTGGTGGAATAGGGATATCGAAGCCATTGTCGAAGATGCAGTGAGCGCAACGCCTGGCCTGGAGGTGGTTAAAATCGAGCGACCAAACATCACACAGATGGGAACCCTGGTTTGGGTCGAACTGAAAATGGCAACCAAGGAGAAGACGGCATGATGCTTTCAACGATTCACAGCAACGCACGCATAATGGCGGTCGCCCGCAGCGAGTAGGCTTGTCAACTCACCAAACCCGACACTACATCATTCAACGTCTCAACAAATACTATTCTTGCGACGACCGAGCGTTAGGAAAATAAGCGGATCTTTCTTTTTATAAATGAGTGGTATGCTCTTTTGTATGTACACCTTTTTTTTTCACCATCTTCTTTCAGCGCCCCTTTCACAAGCACTCCTGGCGTGGCCCCTTTTTGGTTGGTTGTCATCTCATCTCATCATCCCCGAAATATAGTCAGAAACATCTAGTATATCTACAGGGGAGTATCTCTCTCAACACATGCCCACATCATATGCTACAAATACAAAGCCATCCAACGCCAGCTCCTTTTCCCTTGAGTATTCCCGGCTCCTTGCGCCATCCCAATGATAACATTAATAGTAAAGAAAAAAAAAAAGAAATCAACAATCGTCTAGCAAACAATCAAGTTCGTCTATCTCGATGCTCTCGGCGCCCTTGCCCCATTCGAATAGTTTGTTTAATCTTAACCAAGCTTCGGTATCGTCTTCTTTCCGACCAGCGGAAATGCTCGGCTTGATGGAGGGGCTAGCCAGAAATATGGTGGCTGCGCTGGGGCGGCTATCGGCAAACCACGCGTCGTCCCGATAGAAATCCATCATGGAAACACTGTGGCGCTCAGCAGTTTCAGGCTGAGGGGCTTCGGCGTTAAGTTTGCGCTTCTGCAGGCCATCTGCAGTCTGTGTAAACTCGCGCTCATCCTTCTCGAGAGGAGGGGAGTTGTTGCGGGGTCCGAGGACAAGTCTACTCCGCTGTGATGAAAACGATCCGATGGGGGTCATGGGCATCGCAACATCGTCATCGGCGTTATCAAACTCGGTGGCGGAAAGGTCCACCTCGGGAGAGGGGCTGAGTTCCCGTCGTCTTGCCTCGATGTCTTCTGAACCAGAATCCTCCGTAAGGGAGACTGAAGGGGTGAGAGAGGCAGCCTGGAGACTTGCGTTGAAGTCTGGGAGCGGCTGCCTAGGCTGAGTGGTGAGGAAATAATAGGTGCGTCGTGGGTGTACTGTCTCGAGCTCTTTACCCAACGGGCAGGGAGCTGAGGCAGACCAGCAAGTCCGCTTCATGTATGAGGCGAGGCGGGACGAGATGATGGCGCACGGGTTCGCAGATCTATCATGGCAACGTCAACATGGTTCGCTCAAGAGAGAAGAGGGAGATAAACACTTACTGCTGTACAGATGTAAGCGACTGGGTAAGGACAGTCGCCAGCTCCTTGATCAGATGCGGGCGGTTGCCTGTTGACTGCAGCTGGACCACAACAGCCTCGACAATGTCGTCCTTGATGCTCTCGAGATCAATATCCTTTGTTGCGTCGGCATCCGTCATCTCCTCGCTGATGGCACGGGTAGGCGACGGAGGCGGGGTATTCTCAATGGCCATGGAATCTGCGGCATGGGACCTCTTGAGTCGCTTGTTGGGTGGTGCTTCTGGAGATTCCGAGCGCGAGGCACTCGTGGACGCCGGCGTCGCTGAGGCTGAGGATGAAGCGGCGCGGGAGGCACTTTTCGATGAGGCAGCGCGCGAGGCATGCGTGACGGGGATGTGAATACCCAAGCTGGGCAGAGAAAGCGATTTGCGGCGCGTGTTGTAAGGCATGGTGTGTATATGTGTATAGCGGCGATGTCGAATGCGTGGTATTATTTGGGGTATTAAAGGCACGGTGTAATTGGCTTGGAAGACGTAACAAAGCAGACGTGAATAGCGGTGGCAAAGAGAAAGAGAGAGGAGACAGTGAGAGATGGATCGACTACAGGCTTGCTCGCACAGGACAGGCAGCAGACGACAGGGTCACGGGGATGGCGATTCTTGTTTGTTTTGGATGGTGTTTAGGAGATTGTATGAATGTATCCAAACATCCCGAGGGAGGCAGAATTGTCTCGGGCGCAGGTCGGGGGGCGGTCTGCGGTCTACGAGCGGATGGGAGGGATTGATGGGGGGGGGGCACCGAGCAAAGAAGCCGGACAAAGCTCAGGCGATTTTTTTTTGGCGTTGGCGGGCCAGAAAAAAAAAAGAGGCAGCAAGCACGAGAGCTTGAACTTTTTTTTCTTTCCCCCCAGATCCTATTGGCCAGAGCCCCGTCATGGCTGCCGAAGTGGAGCGCGCTAAACGTCAGTGCCCGCACAGACCACTCGCTGTTGCAGCCATGACTTCTGAGGCAAGCATGACCCACAGCAGAGATGTCCAAGCCTCCGAGGCGCCTGGCACCAAAACGGCAAGAGCGATTTCTGTTTGCAGGCACTTGCAGTGGGGTTGGCGAGAGCTGGTGGGGAGGCGCCTGCCAGAGACTGCAACAATGGCCACTCTGTGGTTGGTCCGCAACTCGGCACTCAGGCACTATGAGATGTGGTGGGGATCTTTGTATTTTCTTTTTTTTTCTTTTTCGCCTTTTACCTGCCACTGACGGGGTCACCCCTGGCCGATGAGGTAAAAAAAAAAAGTTCAGTTTTTCAGGGTACGGGGACCACATAAAATGATGGAGACGCTCGACTTGTGCTTGTCGCCGGACTGCTTCTAGAACCAAGGGACGCGAATAAAACGGAGTTTCGGTATTCGATGAGAGCCTAGGTAATGGACGTCATGGCCGACGGTGGGTGAGTATATTCGCTCATGGCTGGGAGGCACTGCCGAAGGTCAGCACGGGAGGCAATTGATGATGTATGTATCAAGTCGAACTTTTTTTTTTGGGTTTCTTTTTTTGTGCGTGTGTGCATGCAAGTGTGTGTGGGCGCGCGCACATTAGGAAAAAAAAAAAAATATTGTGCTACTACTGTACCGTACAGGGCCGCCTAGCATGTGCTGAGACACCCCAGAGCAATCACGGAGTACGGAGTAATACTCCATGTCTGTACTATGTACTGCTCACATACATCGATTCCCTGCTGTCGATTTTTGCTACGCTCCCCTGCGATGAGGCATGGGGGTCCCCTCAAGGGTCCTCGCAGTGGGGCTGCAAAAGCGCCCTAAGCGATAAAGACGCAGCGGCCACAGAGGGTCGAGTCGGTTGACTCGCTGCCGTATTCAGGTGTAAGTCGAGAGAGGGGACGTCGACGATGGAGCTCAATGCGCTGGATCCAGACTTGCCGAAATGAGGCCTTACCGCTGATGACATTCGGCAGGCATTGAGCACTAAAGTCGATGCTACATGCACTCGTGCGTCAAGAATCATGGCCAAGTTGGTGGTTGATGCATGCTGCTTGCTAGTCCAAAGTAAACAAAAACAGAGCCGTACTATGTATAGCACGGCAGTCGATCACCTGATCTATTACACCGCCTACCTTGGGCAGAGCTTGGGCACCTTTTTGTACAGTCAATGGCTTCCATTAGCACCAGTCTTTGCTGCTTACAGGAGCCGTAACCTGCAGATTGATGCCCGTTGCCCTGCAGAGCTATCCAATTCTCGCGTCATGTGTTGCCGTGCTGCTGCTGTAATTGGGCCAATTGCTCGGCACAAGGGAGAGAGACGCTGGCTGCTTGCATTGGCCGCTGGTTGTACCATCTCTTGTGGTTCGACTGTCCTCGCATGTTGAGAGAGACATGCATCGCGACAAGTGTCTCACCGGGTTTCACAGCCTGTTCATGACAATCAAACGTTCTGCACGTGTCTCAGTTGCCAAACCTCATCCCTCCCTTGACGGCATACTCGTCTTTGTCGCAGACGGGCCACCCTGTGACAACACACTCGTTCTTCTCCTTGCCGCCATCCAGGCCGTTCCATCTTAGCCCTTTGCCCATCCCTAATGTCCACCAGAGGCCCCAATATCCCTCCTCAAACACCTTCATCCACAGCTGCACGATGGGCATCCGTAGCCAGACGGCGTAGTACCTCCACCACTTGACGCTGTAGCCCACTATGACGGAGGGATCCATGACCACTGGGGCGCCGCCCGTGACGTTGGTAATGGCCAACGGCAGCAGTGTGCACTCAGATATGATGCACTCCGGGGGCTGTTGGAAGCGCAGCGTGTCCGCGTCCCAGTCTGCATTCTTGCTGCGCAGGGGCGGGTCGAGGAGCATATCTCCATCGAGAACCACGATGCCGTTCCAACAGGTGCCGACCTCGAGAACGCGCCCCTCGCGTACGGCTCTCCTGTCTCCCTCTGACGCGAAGAAGGGCCAAAAGCCGCTAGCAGTTCTCCCGCAGCGATCACGGAGCACCCACGTGTCGTACAACGTTGCGCCGTCCATGTCTATGCTGCACGCCATCCGCCTTTTGCCTGGCCTGGTCGTTGTGTGCGACAAGGGGGACTCGGCATGTGGACCATTGACATCATCTCCTCCCACGGCCGCCAGCAGCTTCAGGACGTCGGTGTGATGATACACAACGTCGTTTAGCATAATCACGTTTTCAAACCGCCTGTTGAGGTGGCCAAGAGGCTCCAGGGCGCCGTTGCGGAGGTTAGCCATGTACCCCATCCTGTGCCTGATGCTGTGCCAGGGGTTTGAGGGCGGATCCCCGCGCAGATCGGACGTGATGTTGACGCTATGTGCCACGTTGCGCCTGGTGAGCACGCGGCCAAAGTGCAGCAGCTTGCTGGCAGTGTTATCTTCGCTGTCGTTTTCCGTCAAGGATACGTATACGTTGGCGCGGCCTAGGAAGTCGATGAGCTCGAGCGTCTGCGAGGTCCACGAGTCCAGTATCTCGTCGTTGTTCCAGAAGGAAGCGGCGATGAAGTAGCTCGCATTGAGGGCCCGGTGAGCTTGTAACGTCGGCGAAGAGGCCGCGATGGACGCTGCGGTTGGGAATGGCGATGCGATGCCCTTCGTGTAAGCCCACAAGCTGAAGAGTGCGCCGCACAGCCAAATCAGCGGTTGGAGCACCCCTCGTCCTGTCCCAGTCCTGCTGGTCCTCGGCGACGATGAAGATGACCCATTGGATGGCAGCAGGAAGCTGCTCCTCCTCTTGCGCCTCTTAGCTGCGTAGGATGGAGAGAAGTGCTTCCAGGCCGCGACTATTACCCTGGCCGGTATGTAGACGAGGACGATGGCGAGGTACACGCTGAGCGGTCCGGAATTGTGCGTGAAGATGATGGGGGAGAGGCGGAAGTAGAGAGTGGGAAGCGCCACAAGATAGACTTGATGGTAGCTTCTGGCGTGGCGGATGAGGGTCGCGATGCGGTTGTGGGCGGTCAGGCCGTGGCTGGTGAGTCGGTGGCTGGAGGCGCCATGGTGGTCGTCATGGGGCTTGTCGTAGCTGCTGTCGTCGTCGTGGTCTTTGTCGTGGCTGCGATTGCGGTTGTGGTGGGAGTCGAGGTTGATGTCGGTATCTGTCATTGCGGTTTGAGCTTGTGGAAGAAGTCGAAGAGTGTGGAGACGGAGAATTACATGTGGCAGGTGCGATTCGGAGTAGCTCGGGGTAGCTTTGATACAGTGGCGGCGTAGTGCTATTATAACGCCTCTTAACTCTTCAGGTATCAGCGCTACTCCGCCGTTGGGAGGCTTTGAAGCTACCCTGCAACTCGATTCAATTGGGCTCGATACTGCAACTCTACGAAGTTGTGTGCAATTGTACGCAAAGTATCACATAGACATGTATCTAGATGTTCAGTCCATCCAAGAATGACTCTTTGCTATTGCTGTTTTGATGCTATCGTCTCCGATTACGCAGACAGTTGACTACATCTACAAGACATCTATCGCGCCATAATCCACAGTTTTCTACGGAGCAATTACTCAGCTGTAGTTGTGACAATATTATTCCTAAAGCAAGTCTAGATGATAAATTCCCAAGACTGACAACAGATGCTTCGCTATCAACTCGGCCGACAATAGCCAGCGACTAGACTCAATCTGTCCGACGGCTTACCAAAGCATTGTCGAAATCAGGGCGAAGTCATCAAAGGGCGAAGTCTCAAAGGGCGTATAGTACATCCACTTGGGACGGAGTTGCAAGCATTAGCCGATGCCGTATGCAAGAGTAAGAGTCATATAGTGGCCATTGCTTGGGCATCGACTTAATAATCCAATGGCCGTGTCCGGAGCAATACAAGATGGAGTAACATGAAGTAACAATGTAGCAACCTAAATAATATATATACTAGGTATATATACAGTATACAGCACCACCAATTCCAGCCCAACCATCAAATCATCCCCCATCTCTCAACAGCAAAACCATTGAACCCAGCCGCCGCAATGGAGCTCCCCTTCATCACCCTCGACGTCTTCACCCGCACCCGCTTCCGCGGCAACCCCCTCGCCGTCGTCACCATCCCCGCCGGCAACCCCAAGCCCACGCAGGAGCAGAAGCAGATTGTCGCCCGCGAGTTCAACCTGTCCGAGACCGTCTTCATCCACGACGTCGCGGACCCCGAGACCAACCACTCGCGCCAGATCGACATCTTCCTCACCACTGACGAGATCCCCTTTGCCGGCCACCCCACCATCGGCGCCGCCGTGTCGCTGCTCCGGGGCTCCGCCCACCCCGTCACCGAGCTCGTCACAAAGGCCGGCCGCATTGCCATCACCCGCACCAGCGACGACTCAGCCTCGGCCACCGTCCCGCACAACGTCCATCTGCACGCCGCCACCCTCGCCTCCTATGCCGGCCTCTCTGCCACACAGCTGCAGGCCAATGACGCCATCCGCCAGCTAGAGCTTGCCGCTCCCGTCTTCAGCCTCGTCAAGGGCGTCAGCTTTGCCCTCGTCGAGCTGCCGTCGCTGGAGCTGCTCGCCGCGGTTGCTGCTGGCGGCTCCAAGTTCGACGCCGAGGGTTTCCTTGACCAGGACTGGCAGAACGGCTTCATCGGTAGCTTCTACTATGTCCGCACTGGCTCCTCGACTGTCGACGGCGTCCCGGTCGTTCAGCTGCGCACGCGCATGATGGCCGAGGGCTTCGAAGATCCCGCTACCGGCGCTGCCTCGAGCTGTCTGGCTGCCTACCTCAGCACCCAAGGCAGCGACAAGCAGACAACGCCCGCGAGACGGTACGAATTCACCCAGGGCGTCGAGATGGGCAGGGAGAGCGCCATCCAGGTCGATGTCAACCTCAAGGATGGCGCCCTCGACACTGTCATCCTTGGCGGTCCAGCAGTCCAAGTCATGCGTGGACATGTTCAAATTTAGTAAAGTCACCGTCATCTCAAAATAAAGTTGTTCCTGCATCATTTCATCTTGCATTGTCAATAATCTTATCGCCTCTGAAATGTCCATCATGATCTGTCATCCTAATCCCAATGTTATCCGGAGAGGTCATGAACCTCGATGCTCCCATATGCGCCGTGATAGACTCTCTCCCCCAGCATCGTAAAGCTATTTAATCGTACATTAATACAAAGTATTACATTTATAACCGTCCGCTCGGGTCCTCGCTCCCATCTGTGCCTAGCCGAGGAAAACTGAATCCGAACTTTTTCTTTGACAATCGCAATTTTCCCTTGCCGTCTAATTCCCAAGAAACAACAAAAAAGGACAGATGTAAATATGAAAAAAAAAAGGGAAAAACAAAATGAGTACGCGTATCCTTTGCTCCGACGCACCAAACTTATGCGATTAGGCTCATGCCTCTCCCCACCGTAGCTTCGTGGCTTCGTATCGAATCCCCATTACCCCTGTCGATGTAACCTATACCCGTTGAAGAATTGAGGCGAACCGTTCGGCAACCTAAGTCATTGTTGGTCAGCTCATGTCTATTGTGTCAACTCTGGGATAGAAAATGGCACCATACCTCTGGTGTCGATCTGATAAAGGGGAGATCAAAGAACATGTTCTTCTCGTTCTTGCATAGTTCCACAACTGTGTAGATAAGACCCCAAGGCTGGGGCCAGTAGCCCACCAGTCGCTCCAAGAGGATTCGAGTAATCTCCTGTCGAATGTCTGATTCTTCAGGATCGTTGATATCTTTCCCAAAGATGTACTGAATGAGTTGGCTGAAGAACTCCGTGTGAGGGTTGGGAAATCTAAGCTGGTTCACCATGTTGGCCACCAGATAATATCTAGCCTCCGGAGGCAATTCGTGGACCAACAGAGACAGCATAGCAACCTCTGGTTCGCTTCCTGAGATCGGCGAGCTGGTAACCGGAGGCGACTGCTCGGTAGCATGGTGGCCGGCGTAAATCACAACTGCGCCAATGATCTGGGCATTCGCCCCAATGGCGACATGTCCAAACGTGGTCTCGGTCGGCGTGTTTGAAGTAATGGTGTGCGCAATCTGTGCGACTGCCTCCTCCGCCGGGCCATTTTGGAAGACCTGGTCCAGCACGCTCAGGAGGCCGGCCTCTGTTAGGATGGCAACAGCCTCATCTACGAGGCCGGGGTATGGCCTCAGCTCGTCTCCCCGATCGCCCTTGAGGTTATCGACGGGCTTTCCGTAGTTTTGCTGCGGCGTAGCAGTCAGAACTGTGTTTATCAGCTGGATGCAGTGCGTCGGAATGTTGGCGCAGAACCTGACGTGATTGGCAGCTAAAAAGTCTGGGAAATCGTGGTGCAAAATGACAAACAGCTTTACGGTTCCCCTGGACAGGTCTTTGCCAGCGTCGGTAACATTGAATACCTTTAGCTGCTCGCTCACGCAGCTAAGCAGCTGGCAGACCAGGTCCGCAAAGGCTTTCCATCCCGCATTGTCTGCTAGCTGCAGCAAAACGGGCAAAAAGGCTCGATGCTGGATAAGCATCAGCCACCCAAACACAAACCCGGGAAGATTTTGCGGGCCGATGCTCTCTAGTCTGGAGGCGAGTCTCAGCATCACCTCGCGGCGGTCGTCCTCCGGCAGATCCTCGCAGATGGAGTGCATCTCGTGGAAAAGCATCGAATAGAGGCGGAAGAAGACCCTTTGGTTCAGATGTTCTCCTCGTTTGACATGATGGTGGTTCAGCACCAAGGACACAAGTACCAAGACTGAGTCTAAGAAGGCCGCGCGTGACACCAGCGTTTCAGTATTCATGCTAGCGAAAGTGCTGATGAATTTTGCCAAAGCATCGATCGCCATGTAGGCATCGCCGATAGCTCCTGTATGCAGAATGTGTTCATAACGATCAACCGAGAGGTCGATACCGATGCGCACGAAGAAGAAGAAGTCGTCCCGATTGCGAATAACGTGCCTTGCATGCAGCTGCTGAATGAAGATCGCCGTAGCTTTGCTGGAGGCGTTGTGATTGTTGCACAGGTGCACCCACTCCTCAAAGACGTACTCCAACTGGTCTTGCTGAATCGACTGGTCATCCAGGTTAGAAGAGCCTTGCGACGCCTGAGAAGGAGCTGAGCCCATCAACTTGTTCTTTAGCCGCTGGCCGGTAGCAGAGCTTGGTTCTTCACATATCCACGTCCATGCTGCCTCGAGTGTGCGAATAAAGTCGGCATACAGAGCAATCGGCCGGTGGTTGAGGATGGTGAGGTCGAGCATGTGCTCAAGAAACTCCAGCGAATTGTCCTTGCGGGCTTCCAAGACTTTGGACATTGCGAGATCAATGTTTCGCCAATCGAGGAGATCGGTCCGGATCAGGGCTGCAAGTAGAGGCAGGCTTAAGAAATTGGGTCCAGGCTGCTGGGCAAACAAGGAGCGGACTCGGCTGTTCAGGGCAGGGCCAGAAATCTTTCGAAGAGTCTCTAGCACATGAACAAGACTCTCAAGCGTTAGATTGTCCTCAACCTGTTGGAAGATGAGTGAACTGATCTGCTCGGCGGCATAGATGGCAAACTCCTCTGAGTTTTGAGATGTCTTAATGATGAGCTGCACAAGTGCATCGACAACGTCAAGGACGGGGTGCGGCCTAGGCAGACCCACAAAGTGATCCTCTCGAGCCTCCCCAGCCACGCGCAGCAACTCCTGCAGCAGCTTGTTCACGCGCTCCGCCAAACCCCGAACATCCATTTGAAATCCAGCAGCTCGCCCGTTGCCCATTGCATTGGCAGCAGCAAGGTTATGAACTGGGGCGTAGGGTTGTAGCTGTGCGCCAAGCTGTTGGATCGAAGGCGTTTCTGCGGGGGTAGGTATGTTAGGCATGCCACTGTATGTCTCTTGCAAAACCTCATTTGCCAACGATCTGGTGGCCTCCGATGCAGATGGTGCGTGAGATGCTATCGTGGAAGAAGTGGTGCGAGGCTGTCTTGCAAAATCTTCGTAGATGGCCATCTGCTCGGCATTGAGACCGCCGGGTCTCGGTTGGATCTTGTAAGGACTCGGAATCGTCATAGCCCATCGGTTGATTCCTGTTGGGTGATACGGCTCGTTTGGCTGCTGAAGGCGATGGCGTCTTCTGTGCTCCATGTCGTTTTCCAGCATCTCCTCAATCTCCGGCACAGCTCGCTCCTCAGCCTGCTTCTCAATGATGCTGCAGGCCAAATCGAGATTTGAGTTGACGCACATGATGATGGTACCTTCGGGAAGGCCCGAAGGCAGGTCGTTAGCAAGGCTCCTCATGTAGTTGGTCAAGTTTGCGCGTAGAGGCTCCTTGGACGTGACGAGAGCTAGGCTACCAGCAGTGGCCTTGACCATGTTAATAGCAGATGTTCGGACGCGGTTTTCATCTGGTTCGGCAATGAAATCTTTCCGAATCATCTGCTGGGTTGATATCGCAGCAATAGTGACGGATCTATCGACGACTGGCTGTATAATATCCTGAAGAGCACGGGTGAGGGCTGTCCGAACAATCTCGTGCAGCCTGCTGGTACTGACCACCATCTCATTGGTGGGAGGGATGGTAATGAGCGGCCCGAGGTCCGGAATAGTTGGAACCTGAGGGGATAGCCCAGGCCCAACTGCCGATCCAATTCCATTCAATGACAAGCTCTCAAAGGCGTCGAGCTGCTCCTGGACAAGCACGTCCGACTCGTCTAAGATGGGTCTATTGAGAATCTCTCCAGAGGGTTCGATACTCTTGTGATCAAGATTCAGCCCTTTGCACAATACCTCAATTTCGAACTTGAGATTGAGCTTCAGCTCCGCGTGATGATAGAGTTCTATCAACAGATGAATAATATCCATGAGCCAGGGATTGGGAGGCTTGAAAACTGCCGAGGTTGCACTTTGAGTCAGCACCTTGCAAACGAACGGGATGACAACAATCAGCCGCTTGGTGTCATGAGCCTCGATAAGAAGTTGTTTGAACGCAATGTTTCTGTGCTTTATCGGATAATCTCGAGCAAGGGTTAGAAGACCGAGCCACCCTCCAAGATTTTTAAGGTGCGATCTCTCTGTAGAGTTTTGCAGAGTCGCCTCAGAGTTGAGCATCCTAGACACACTGATATACGTCTCGCGGAGAACTTCGGCCCAGAGAATCTTGTCTTCAAACAGCTTCACGAGTTCAAGATACACATGATGGTAGTTTGGTTGCATTTTGGCGCGTTCCTCGACCAGATGGCTAGCAAACCACTGCTGGTATCTTCGTTCGAGCATGTCGCGAAGCTCAATGCACATGGCCTGCAATGTGCCTTCAGTAATGTTGTTAAGGACAAACTGGATCTTGCCTTGGGTCTCATCATCTGGATCTTCAAACTCGACTTCTTGAGAAGGAGGGTCGACACTGATGGCTGCGAATGCCGGAGCAGGGCGGTCGATGCTTGCTTGCTCATCACCATTGGCGTTTCCAAAAGAATCGTTAGAAAATCCCGCCCCATGCGGCGTGCCTGATCCATTGCGAGCGCGTGCAAGCTCCTCTTCGTGGTCTCGAACAATCTCCTCCGCTTTCTTGAATGCCTCTGTTCCCTGAAGGCCTGGGATTTGTAGTAGCTGTTTGCAGAACCCTGGCCATTCCCTGAGACGCACCAAAAGTTGCATCAACGCCTGCAGGCCAAATTTGAACATGGCATCATCGGGCGCATGATCCCTCACTGCCTCCAAGATCATTCCAAGACCAATCTTCAGGGGCAGATCGGAAATCAATTTGTGAGATATGATGCCTCCGAAAAGAACTGCGGTCGTAGCAAGAGCCTCGAGGGGATAGTCCACGTAATGGTTGTACTCGTCAAACAGACCGTGAATCATGCAGGAAAATACGTCTTGATCGAGCTGATCCCGTGAATGTTTATAGCGATCCAGTATCTCGACAATTGTGCGGACCTGTATCTCGTCACCATACATCTTTTTGTAATGCTCCTCCATTTTGCTATTGGCTGCCTGTGGTAGGGCATTTCCATCTTTCCCATTCGCATCGATGATGTCGTCATATCCTTCTCCATAGTTGATCAAGCGAGGGTATGCAGTGATGCAGTGACGCTGGACAAGAATAAGATCGAGAACAGGGGCCTTGGGAAGAAAATCCTCGAGGATCTGCAACAATGCTGACACAGTCCGTACTTGAAGACTAGTGCTAGTTTTCACGGGCGGTTGGCCATCTGGTGGCCTTTGGAACTGAATCTCTAGATTGGCCTTGATCATGAGGAATTGCAACAGAGTTCGGGCAATCTCGTTACTGCGATCAGCATTGTACTGTGCCCATTTCGACAAGTCCAAGTAGCCCTCTGCATGAGCAAAGGCTGCGAGATCGATTCCAAAGCCATTTGGAAGATAAACCAGCTCTTCCAGCCAGTTATGCTTGGCGGCATGGTCGAAGATGAGTGGAAGATCAACAGGCTTCACCGCATGCGCATCGATAAGTCGTTGAATAACCCAATCCTTGTCTTTCTTCCAAAGGCTATCGAGCACGAAGTCATATTCCGGCGAGCGCTTGTACAAGAATGTTTCGAAGAGAGAGTTTAGCGTATCAATCGCCATGGCTGCCCAGGATTGTCTGGGGACCTCAAAGGCGGAGACGAGAAAAATGTCAAGGTTCGGAACGACAACTTCTTGGAATAACCTTTTTGCCTCAACGCTCTGCGAAGCGTGGACAGAGTTGAGAGCAACGTTGAAAATTGCTGACAGCGCCGCCACGGATACAAGGGGATGTTTAACGACGGCGGCGGCACGTTCTTGCACGTTGGGCGAAGAGTTTGCATAGTCTTCAATTGTGATGCTTCGCTGAAGGCGGGGGATTGTGGTTGCGTCGAGCTGGTCAGGGCCCAAGGAAGCGTAGGCGCTGACAAAAGATAGCTGTGCCTCTGGCTCGCTCCATGAACCACCCCACAATCGCTGGATATCGAATTTGTATGCTGGATCCTCGGCAATGGGAAGGAGGGCTTTGTACAGCCTTAAAAATTGAGCAGATGAGATGCGTGCCGATGGCTGGTCGAAAGAGAGAACGACTTCTCCCCATTCAAAAGACTTGGGCACATGACGTAGGAGGGCATTGACGAGGATGACAGGATCATGTGGAGGGTTTTGGCTGATGGTGGTGTATGTGAGTGCGGCAGAGACTTGCTCGGGAGTGAGCTGGATGTTATTGGGACGGCCTCGCAAGAAGGAGGAGCACGATTCCTCATCCTTTGTAAATTCCGGTCCAACCTTTTGGATATAGCGAGCCAGGGAGTTTGCGGGCCGATCGGCTAGAACTCTGCTGATGTCGAGGGCCGCCAGCACTTCGGAAGGGGGGGCTTGATCCACAGACAAGTAGCGCTTGGCAATAGAGTTTTGAAGGTCTCGACGAGAGGCTGCATTGAAACTCGGCGGGTAGTATTGCAAAAACCTGTCGATAATGAGCGAAACAAAAGCGGGCGTTAGATCGGCGTGGGCCTCAATCTCCGGCCGAGAGATGATGTCCATGAAGGTGGGGAAATTAGTCGACAGGATAGCATCCGCTAAGTTGAGAAGAATGGTCAGCCGAAAAGATTGAACAGCAGGAGAGAGGGCGAGGAAAAAAAAAGGACCCCCCAAGAGGTGATATTACCATACCTTTGGTTTTCAAATCAGGTCGAGACCCGAGCTTAAAGGCCAAAGCTAATAAGGTCTTCTCCAAGGCATCGAGCTTGAAGTGCTCCATAAATGTTGACAAGTCGAAGTCGCGGAATATGTCCTCGGTGCCACTTTCGACTGACTCTGCAATTTTGGTTGCTTGGTCGGCATCGTGTGCAATCTTGCGCATCTCACCGACGAGAATGTGGTAGTTGCCGGGGTTGGCGACCTGCCTGTTAAGACCAGGGAAGATCTGGGGTGCGTTGCCCGCCACCAACCGGGTGAAGTATTTGGAAAAGACCTCCATGCCGTGTTCATCGATAAGCTATCGTCGGCCGCGAGCGTTAGAATTTTGCCAGAGTGTACAGACGATGGTGAGACTTACCTTTCTTAATTGCTCGACTTGCAGCTCCCACTTGGCACGATCCTTATCTTCCTTGATGGTGCTGAGCAAGAGATAGACTTGGGCGACGACAATTTTCGTCAGGGAGTTGGCCCCCGTTGGACTGCTTGTGCTGGGGCTTGCGCCAGCACTCAGGATACCAGTGTGCGATGGATGAGGTGAATGATTACTGCCAGTTTGAAGAGTCTGCGCAGGATTTGGTGAGAATGATCCCGCTCTTTGTGGAGGGACCATGGAGGGTTATATGCGGCGGTCGAGATTGAATACTGTGGCGTCTGCCAAAGGCCAAAAGGCAGGGCTGCGGATGTGAGGAGATGAAAATTGACGACTATCAGCGGAAATTACTGAGAGGCGTTCCTACATAGGGAGGGGTCTGAGGCGGTCGATTGTGGTGACGAGACGCAACTTTCGAGCCGAAGCTTTGGTGGGTGAGGACCGGGCGAAGCTTCTTGGTGCGGGACGACGACCACAAGTGGGTTCACGTGAAGGATGCTCGGGCGTCGTGCTGGGCCAAATGCCGGATTGCCAGGTGCAAGGAATTGGGGTTCTGGAGAGGCGGAGGGCAGCAGTCTGGCAGCGGCCGAACGGCTGGGCGAACTAGGGCGGCGAGATGAGATTGAGCGTCTGGAGTCTCGTTGGATGCTGCAAGATGGAGTCAGAGAGGCTCCGGCGTACCGCAAAAAGAATCGTATTCGCCTTTGTCATGACAGGGTGGCAGCCCGCGTTGGGCTGGGCATCAGGTACGGTGCGCAATCTCACGTGACCAGCGGTGCCCGCCAGTTTCCCGGCCAACGCGATTCAGCCACTGCAAACACAGCCGCTGCGCCTGATGCAGCGCTGTGGCTATACTTACAGCGTTTACATAGTACACACCATATAACCATACCCGCATCTGCACCTTGCACCCGCGACCCTTGCTGCTGCGTGTTGGGTTTCCAAGTTACAGAGCGCGCCCAAGCTCTTCACTTTCTTTTCATAGAATAGTTCGATTTTCATCCCTAGAATTGGCGTCCGATCGACCCCTCTTCCCATCAGGCACGATGCCTGCCGCAATTGCTGACGCCCCGGCGGTTGCCATGTCATGTCAGTGCATCGCGAATGCGCGCCGATAGCAGGCCATGCTAACAGTTGTGTTGATACAGTTGCCAACAATTTTTGGGGTAAAGACGATGCTGGCGTCGGTCCCCTTCTCGATCGCATGATAAATTCGAAGCAAACCTGCGATGAGCTCAAGTCATTCTATGGCGGTGAGGATATCCGCCCACATCCCGGGCTGCTAATCTATTGCTAACTTTGTGATGGTACAGCACGAGCTGCGATCGAAGATGAGTATGCCCGCAAACTGCTGAATTTGAGCAAAAAGTCCCTAGGCACCCACGAAAGCGGCACCTTAAAGGCTTCCCTGGACACGGTCCGCAGCGAACTCGAGGCGACGGCCAAGCAGCATCAAAGTATTGCCGCGCAAATGAAGACGGAGCTCGAAGAACCCCTGGCAGCGTTCGCGGGGGGGAATAAGGAGCGACGAAAGATTATTCAAAACACGGTCGAGAAGCTGCTCAAAGTGAAGGTCCAGCAAACAAACCAAGTGAACAAGGTAAGGGAGACGGGACACAATCCGACAGCAAAGCATTACATAACTGACTGTTGACAAGACTCGAGACAAATATGAACAAGAATGCTTGAAAATTAAAGGTTATCTCGCACAAGGCCACATGGTCATGGGCCAAGAGGAGCGTCGAAACAAGGCCAAGCTGGAGAAAACGCAAATCAGTCTCGCAACGTCTAACACGGAGTACGAAAATGCCGTCAAGGTGTTGGAAGAGACGACAGTCCGATGGAATCGAGAGTGGAAGGCCGCCGCCGATAAATTTCAGGACCTTGAGGAAGAGCGACTCGACTTTACCAAGAATAGCCTCTGGACATTTGCCAACATCGCCTCGACGGTGTGTGTCAGCGACGACGCATCTTGTGAAAAGATTCGACTTTCTCTCGAGAGCATGGATGTGGAGACGGACATTATCACATTCATAACTGAGCGTGGCACGGGCCAAGAAATTCCTGAGGCTCCCAAGTATATCAACTTCGTCCGCGGCGATGTTCATGATACCCAATCTGAAGCTTCCGAAGATGAACACAACTATACCGTGGCGCAGTTTCCTCGGAGTATCAATCCGGCTTTCCGCTCATCTTCACCTCAGCCTTCTACTTTTGAATCTCACCATGATCCCAACTCGGCTCTAGCAAATGATTTGGCTCATAGACCCCCCGTTAGGCCAACTGGCCGAGATGGTGCCGCGACTCCCCAAAAGAGTCCTCAGAAGTTGCTTCCGGCTGGACGACCGTCCATGGACGAACAGCACCGTAAGCAGCAACCTCCAAGCATGGACGATCGATATCGAAAGCAGCCGCCGGCGCCTGAGGATCAGTTTCGCCGGCAGCTGCCTCCTGCAGAAGAGCAACAACAGCAGCAGTATGGCAGACAGCCACCTGCAGCTGATGACCAATATCGTAGGCAACCGCCTGCAGCCGATGATCAATACCGTAGACAGCCACCGGCCACAGAGGAGCAGTTTCGTAGGTCTCAAACAGGCTCGCAGCCCCCCTCGCCATACGATAGTCTGCATCAGAGTCCAAAGCCATCAACTCCCCACGATCCTTATCCAAAGGATGGAATGACAATGCTCTGCCGCCCTGGTGCCTCGTCAGCCAGCAGCCCTCAGATCCAATCTGCCAGGGCCTCTGGTCGGGACTCTCGCAGCGAATATTCCGATCCCACATCAATTTCTAGCCAGGAGCCTCAAAGCGGCAAAATGTCCCCGGTCAAACAAGATCCGCCAGCCTCAGCAAGCCCTGACAATCGGATGCTTAAGAAGAAGAGCGGATTTTTCCAGAACCACAGTCCTTTTAGACGCAAGAGCACCAAAGACTTGCAAGCCGCTGCCGCGGGTAACGGACAGCCCAGCAACAGAAACACTTGGCATCCGTCTCAGTCCCAAGGATCGACGAGTCCTGTGCGTCGACCTCAGCCCTATGGTAACAGTGAGCCGCAGACCCGCAATCTGCTGAAAGAACGGACCGCCAGCCCAGAACCGATCGATGCCAATGCAAGCTTGGCCCTCGGTGTTGGCTCAAATGTACTGCCCGTCACAACTCCTGACACCAGCCGGCAAAGACCACAACAGCCGGTCCAGAAGGCAGAGCCGGAGGACCCAATTGCAGCAGCCTTGGCAGAGCTTAAGAATGTCAATGTGGGCAAGCAAGCCTCCGTGCGGATGTCGGCCGATCACTATCATGGCATTTCCACCCCTGTTCCAAACACAGACGCTGCAGTCACTCGCGGCCCACCTCCGCCTTCATATCAGGCACAGACTCAGGTGACGAGGCTGGGCGTACCTCCCCCGGCTGTGACGTCTCGGGCCATGAAGGAGGCTACTCAGAAGATCACGGGCCAAGGCAGGAGCATTTTTGGTGGTGATGATGGCCGTAGAGGGTCCGTGAGTAGCGTTGCATCACCTATTTCCCGCCCCGGCACTCGAGGCAATGATGGCTCGGTTTCTCCAGCCACCAATCGCGGCGCATCCCCTCAACCTCAACGGCGTATGAGCAACGACCCTCGACAGACAGGTCGACATTCAGTTTCGCCAAACCCTTATCATGACCATCGGCGAAACGGCTCCACAACTAGCCTATCGCAGCAGAATCAAGGGTACTACCGCGGCGCATCTCCTCATGGGTCGACTCGAGGATCGACCAGGGGTGCTTCGCCAAACCCATACCGAGGAGATTACAATCATTCTCAGAGCCGTCCGCCGAGCAGTTATGGTGGGTCTGAAATGGCGGTACAACTGGCTGGTGGTGGCGGCGGCGGCGGTGATGATCGATATGGCTCGACTCGAAGTCGAAGCTCTGTACGCCCAGGTTCCCGCGCCATGGGCTTATACGACGGAGGGCATCAGCGAAGCAGGAGTGTCGCCGATCCCTCGCGGCAATATTCTCGAGATGGCCGACCAATTCTACATATGGGTATGTTTTCTCACACTCTTCCCTCATGTGCCCAAACAAAACGACTAACATAATGTGTAGCACGCGCAATGTATATGTATCAGGCCGCTATTCCTGAGGAGCTTGGCTTCGCTAAAGGCGACTACCTAGCCGTCTATCGTCATCAAGATGACGGCTGGTGGGAGGCAGAAGTCCACAACGGAAATGGCCAAATTGGGCTGGTCCCAAGCAACTATCTCCAGCAATGCTGAGTGAGCGGCGACGAATGAATGGTTTTTATACGACAGTCCTTACTACTCTTTGCTTCTTCTCCCCCCTTCTCTTCTCCCCTTTTATTTTGAATGATCAACACGACGGATCTGTTTACGGCTTGATTGATTGTATATGATTTGATGATTAATGTTTTTGCAATACTTTTGCAGGAACGCTGACATCCGACTGTTTATGCTTGGTTTGATTGTTTATGGTTCGGTTCGTTAATACAATCCTGTCTCTCTTTATGCCTTATCTCCTGTTCATGATATGAATTACTCTATGCCCCTTTTTAATATTATGTAGATGCTACGTTGTACGTAATCATCTGGAAATTGTTCGAAGTGATGTCAAAAAGATTTCGCCTCAATTAAATCTGTTGATACTGTACGCATTTTGTCCATGTGCCTGTGTTGTGAGATGTGCCTAATACGGTAATCACCTAAGTATACAAACAAGGTACTTTAGTCGTTAGCCCACCACGGCAATTTTGGCCTATTTTCTTGTGCAGATGGCAGTAGAATGAAATTCAGGGGAATGTATCGCCGAAGTACAGTAACACAAGCTAAGACGTCATGTTGATCACATGCACCAGAGCTCATGTCAATAACCAGACGTCTCGGAATCTCTTTCCAACGACATGGAACATTTTCAAATATTTTCTCTTATTCTGTGCATGCCCTTGGCGCCTCCAGGGGATTGAGTCTTCTTTTCGCAACCGAATCTGAACTGTCTATGGAGTAATTCTATGCCATGGTAATTTTAATCTGCCCCAAGTTATCCTTTGGACCTTCAAGCTTCGCCTCCAAGCTAACGCTCGCTACGTGCGCCAGGAAACATTCCAAGAGACCGCGCGCGTCGTCACCTCGAAGCCTGTCCAGAGAGCCGTTGTCAATATCGTATTGCTCGTGTCTGGAGCAGTGACATTGCTCTGCCTGGCCGCGGTTGCATCTGTGCTCTTCTTCCAGAACTTTGTGCCCGACCAGTTTGTCACTACGCCGATTCATCTCCAATATGGGTACGTATAACAACCCGCGATCCTGTGACACTTTGCAAGCATCCGTTAACATTTTCTTGCGTAGGCTGAGCTCCAATCCATATGGCGTTGCCGCGCTCACCGTGCCACTGCTGAAGTCGCAGCAAGACTACGACATCTCCGTCACCCTCTCAATGCCACGATCTCTACCAAATGTCGAGCGAGGGAACTTTATGATCAGCTTATACTTGTTGGATTCGAAAATCAGCGATACATTAGAAGTGAGCGCGCGCAAATTTGCCAACGACCACTCTGATTTTGAGCAGAGCAACGTACTTTTTGCGTCACGGAGACCGGCCTTGCTCCCATACGTCGATCCTGTGGTGTCTTTGGCTTCGCGCATTCTATTCCTGCTTTATCACCTGATAGTTCCAACAGCACAGACTTGCGCATTACATGTACCGGTGGCAGAACGCGTCACCTTCCCGACAGATTCTGCTATCCCCTTGACGGCATATGTGGAGGTGGAGGCGGGACAAGGAATTCAGATTTACAGCACCTCGCTTACAATGACTGCACAGCTCAGTGGTCTTCGATGGCTCATGTTCCATTACCGTCTCCTGACCTTTATCACATTTACGATGCTTTTCTGGGTTTGTGAACTCGCGTTCATGATGGTTGCTTGGGCCATCTTGAGTTCTCTGCTGGGGACCTCGTCAGGCACCATGGAGCTCAAGAGCCACAGAAGCCAGCGCCGGCCTACAACAGAAGGCATGACTGACTCTGATGATTATGATGAGAATGACGATGGAGATGATCCGTCTGACTATCCGCAACAATTTCCTACTTATGGAAAACAGCCCCCTTTGAAACATGAGCCAGACGTCAAGGCCGAAGAGGAGCCTAGACAGCCTCTTCATGAGATACCCGTCGCTGGTGAAGAAGCCGATGACGAAGAAGAGGAAGATGGTGAGGACAAGTCACCTCGAGACTCGGGCATTGGCACAAGCTATAGCGGAGAGGGGAGCAGCAGCGTGCGGAAAAGAAGCACACGTCCAAGCCCAGAGTAGCAGCTTGGGGTGTAAGGGCGAGCATTCGTTTTATTGGCATGGCAATCTTCGAGATACCCCGAATAGCAGGTAAAGAACTGTGCTGTTATCTAGATATCTGTGTATTATATATCGATTTGCAGAAGACCGCATGTGCGCTGAAGCTAATACTAGTGGGCTGGTTACCTATCTGGGTCCAGCTTGTGGTGTGGAATGGTTATATTTTGATTTCGCTCTCCGTGACCGATGGCACAAAAGATACATGCAGGTAAATGTCAGAGCTCTCTATTGTTAGTCAACACGACTTTCACTCTCTTTGTTCTTCCTAGGTATGAAAGGCCTTTTTTACTATTCCCTGAATTCCCCCCTAGTTTATTAAAAACAGCAGTTCAACCTTTGTTTTGGTGACATCCGCACTCGACGGCCCGTCCCAATGGAAGCCCTGAGAGGCACAACATCCGCACTAAGGTGGCGCTGTGGGCGCCATAGGCACCAAGCCCATGTAATAGCGCTGTTGGGCTGCATGCTTTGACGGATGCCAGCCACGAGACACGGGATAGTTTTCTGGTGCGCGCTGCGACAAAACAGCCAGCCGTGGCAAGCAACGGCAGTAGCAACAGCAGCAATCCTTGCAAGCAAAGCCGGATTAGGGCACAGCCAAAGCGTTAATGCGAGTCAGTGCCAACGCATGCGCCAGTATGCGGTGAAAACCAGCTGGCTGTGGCATTCATGCATGAGGCGGCCTGTGACAGCGGCCTTGCAACTGGCGCCCAAAATGCAGCAAAAAGAGAGGGCTGGGGCCTGTTGTGTTGCAGCACAGCACAGTAGGAGCATTGAAGGCTTGAAGGCTGGAACCCAACAGGCGCCAAAGCTCCGGACCAAGAGATGATCCGCTGCGGCGGGACGGCACCCCCCATTCACTGACGAAGCGCCCTCGGGTGCTTATTTACTGCATGGTACCAAGTCATGGACATGATTCCCGCGTGAAATCTCTTGGTGAGCCAAAGGTCAACGCGGCGCCCTGCTTTCTTGGGTCTCGTTCCTCTTCTTTTCCTTTCTTTTCTTGGTGCTCCTGGTGCGCAACGCACGCTCTCGCCGCCGCTATCCCCCTCGTCACATGAGATGGCTAGCTGGTGAAATCGGAGCTTCTAATCGCCAAGCTTAATCTGGTCCCCCCCACCGCCCTCTCTGCAACAGCCTCTCCCTCGTCTCCCAAGGCCGCCAGCTCTTGACCGGCCAAACCCTCTCGCTCGAGCGACAAGCATCTTTGCCACAAAAGCCTCCCATCCGCAACGATGCCCTGCTTCAAGGGCATTGCGGTGAGCATCCATGCCAACTCCGCTCCCCTCCCCGAATACGGCATACAGAAGCAGTCGAGGATGTCTCGCATCAGCACCTACATTCCGGTGCCGCAGCCAACCCTCAACTCGAACAACAAGCCGGAGCCCGCCAAATTTGCCATTTCCATTACGCTCTTGACGCCCGGCCTCCCCATCCCGTACTCGGCTCCCAAAGCGTCCGAGTCCAACCCCTACCCGAAGCCACAATTCGTCGGCGGACTTCACTCTGGCTCTCAGAATGAGCGAGGCAAGGCTACTGGAGCGGTTGCTCCCTACATGCCCTTGACAAACTCGGAAAACGAAACGATTGCCGCCTACATTTACTTCGATGGAAGGGGCAAAGAAGAGGTGGCCACTTTGCTTCGACCTGGCGAGGAGACCTGGGTCAACAGCCGCTGGGTGCAGGTCCCCGATTCCGAAGGCGGCGGCTTAGCTGAGCGTGAATTCCTCTTCCGAGAGGTCGGTCTCGAGCGCTGGCTCAATGGTCTGGACCTCAAGGGCCATGATGCTGCGGAGAAGCTTGAAAAACGGCGTCAGAAGTTTGAGAGAAGGAGGCGGCGACAGGCTGCAGCTTTGGAGGGAAACTCTACCATGGATACAGATAGGCGCAAGGGAACTCTTCGATATGGCGATGAAGCTTCCCCCATCGAAGCTGTCTATGATGATTCTGACTCCTGGTCTGATGACGATGACGAGCCCCCCGAGGCAACAGGTCAGATTAAGGTGGCAATGTTCCGCGTCCTGGCTTCAGGAGAGATTAAGAAGGGGGAATATTCTCCTCAATTTGACGCACACGACGGGGATGATGAATACGAGAATGGCAATGGCATCGACGCAGATGTTGAGCACACTACTAGTTTTGCCAAGCCCAAGACGCTCGACCCCAAGACAATCAGCACTCAGACAGTTACTGGAATCGATGGCCCAGACAAGCCTTATGCCACCTTTACATTCTTCTATCGGGGTGAAAGTAAGCTCTACCCCTCCCCCTCCTTTTTTTTTTAAATAGTGTTTCCACCCCTCCTATTTGAATGGCCCTCCGATTAACACCAGTATAGGACAACTACAAAAAATTGGCGTCCTCCAGTCGGCAAAGAACAACTCCCAGACCACCGCTCTCGCTGCTAAGCGGCGCTCAGGCCAGATCGACTTCTCGAACCTAGGACCTCTCAAGGCCGGCGGCACTGTTGGATTTTCTGCCTTCCGAGATCAAGAAGCTGACGAGGCGCGGCGGAGAAAGGCTAGGAAGAAGAGCAACGGCAATGTCGCCGACGATAGCGATGATGATGACGAGGAGAGCGAAATCATCGGCAAGATGGAAGAAGTAGCTGACAAAGAGACCAATTCCAAGCTGGCTCCAGAGGATGCGAAATTCCAGGGCGAACTAGCAGACGGTGTTAACCGTATACACGTATGATCAACCCCCCCAAAGTCATGGCCAAGTTAGATTGCTGACATTGTTTTCAAAAACAGCTTAAGAGGGCACATTCGGCCGAACCCGACGCAAATTCCACCCCAGAAACCTCGCAGCGAACCGACTCCCCGGCCGACCCAGCATTGTTGGGCGGATCAGCACCAAGTGCTTCTTCGAGCCTACAGGCCAATTTCGACTCACTTGCGGCGGCAATGGTTGGCAGTCCGCTTAAGAAAGCACGGCCAAGCGTCGACCAAACCAATATCGGGGATAGATTCTCTGCTACGCAAAGCTTGAGCGCAGCCCTGGGCACTGCTGTTTCCAACAAGGCTGAATCCCCAACCAAAGAAGGTGCTGCTACCTCAACACCGGAAATCAGAATAGAGGAGGAGGAAGAGCTGTAGCTGTAGCAGCGTGTTTACCAAAGCACTCTATACCTCGGGGAAATTTGGCGTTGTCAAATTTCTATATTTTAATAACTTGTTTATTGGAATGATCAAGCGACGCATCAAGAGCGAACCGAACTTTGCTGCAGCCACGATACAGTCAACGACTACGCTTTACGGGAATGGACCATGATGTACGAACGAATTTGCTGGATGTGATTGAAGCCAAGTATATTTTTTTATCCTTTCACTGGTTTTGGTAAAAAGGAGAGCCGGAATAAATGTGGACGGAAACAATGGGGGCACCTGGGAGCCTTGAGATGCCGGGTCTGATTTTACAGCGGTGTCTGAAGAGCGATTCTATAGGCTGCCGGTTGGAGCTGGGCTGTGTGGCAGGTTGCATTCTCTACCTATAGACAATAGCGATGACCTACGAGCGGCGTTGCTCATCCACCGCTTTTCGGTATGCGAGTCTACGGTATGCTGAGAGGTTGGCTACATGGGGAACTAAAAATTCGTTAGATGTGCATCAGGAATCAAGTTTTTGTTGACTGAACGATGCTTCTATATCGAGTAGCCCATCCTTGTTATATGCAGACAGAATTCCATGAAACAGAGCAGGAAGCGTACATGTATATTCGTGTACGGCTTTGTTATCTGCCTTTGGCGCATGCCGAAAATTCGACATGGGGCCTTGCCTTGACACCTTATCATCTCCATATGACGACGCTCTGCGCGAAGGATTTCGTTTACGCAAGCCGCGGGGTACGGTACCTTTGTTTGTTGTTGGTTGCTCCAAGATTATAAATATATATAGGCCAAAGTACCTATCGCCTGTTCTGCTAGGTTGAACCTTGTTTCCTCTGTGCTTACGAGAAAGGAGCAGCAGCAGCAGAAGAAGAAGGGGAAAAAACGAAGAGGGAAAAGGGACAAGCCACAATAGTCACTGGCCCTCTTTACGAGTCCCAGCCATGGGTCGACAGTTGCGCTTCTTCCCGGCGTTTGGCCTTGTCGCTGCTGTGGCAATTGCAGGGGTTCAAGTAAACGCAGCGGCCTATGTCCACGCGCACAATGAACAGAAGCCAATCTCAGGACATGTATCTGCGGCGAGTGGAAATCCATTGACGGCGGAATTTGGGGAGTTTGTGCGGGAGCAGTTGGAGAAGTGGAAGGTTCCTGGTATTTCGCTGGCGGTGATTGACGGAGATGATGTGTATGCCGAGGTGAGAGGCCCCAAAGCATTTAATGTCTTCTTTTTGCGTTGTGAATGGTACAAGGTCGTCGTTCTGACGCTGTTCTAGGGCTATGGATATGCGACATTGCCGGATATCCCAGCTACGCCAGAGACTCTCTGGTACGGCGGCTCGACGACTAAAGCTCACGTAGCTGCTGCCCTCTCTGCGCTTATCCACTTCCGCAACTACTCGGCCTTTTCACAGGGCTGGTCAACTCCCATCTCGTCCATCATCCGCGACGACTTTGTCCTGCAGGATGAGTGGGCGACGAACCACATTACTCTGGACGATGCAGTGAGCCACCGAACGGGCATGGCTCGTCACGACGTTTCCTCTGTTAAGGAGATTGATGGAAGACCAGCGACTCCGAGGGACATTGTGCGTAATCTGCGCAATCTCCCGTTGACTGCGGAGCCGCGGGTGGAGATTCTTTACTGCAACTTGATGTATGTGACGCTCTCGTATGTCATTGAGACGGTCACGGGCAGGTGGCTTGGTGATGTGCTTAAGGAGCTGATCTGGGAGCCCCTGGGGATGCGGTCGACGCATTTCGACTTACAGAGTGCTCTGGATGCCCCTGAGCACATGGCTTCGGGATACGCCTGGATCCTGGAGAAGGAAGAGTATGAGGAAATCCCATTCATGACCTTGACAGAAGTCAGCGGAGCGGGATCAGTCATATCCAACGTTCTCGACTATGCCAAATGGATCAAAAGCTTGATTCACCAGTCCGGACCTCTGTCTGCAGCCGTTCACAAGGATATCAGAGCGCCGAGAGTATTCTGGCCGGGCGAGCCCCAAAACGGCTACGATCTCGAGCTTTATGGGCTTGGTTGGGTAAGGACTTTGCATCATGGCCATGTAGTGTATACGCATAGTGGAGGGGTGCATGCGTATGGAGCTGAAGTTTACTGGTTTCCGGAGGCCAAGTATGGAGTGGTAGTGCTTGGAAATACCGCAAAGTGCCATGTCGTGGAAGCCATTGTTGGGTGGAAGCTCATCGATGATAAGCTTGGCATTCCTGACAAGGACCGCGTTGATTTCGCCGCCAAGTAAGTTTTACTCAACTTACAGAGATCCGTTTGTGGTTGCTAACTCTGTATTAGGTTTAAGAAAGGTGATGAACAATTGGATTGGCTGTACGAGAACGCGCTGGACATCCTGTACCCTGAGAGACCAGATCCCGGATTGCCCCCTACATTGCCTACGAGCGAACTGGTGGGCACATACTACAATCCCGGATACGGCAACATTACTCTCCGCGAGGAGGCTCACCCAGATAAGCCGGGTGAGAAGATTCTTACTGCTGATCGTCCAGACTCAACTTGGGAGTACTCAATGCACTTTCATCATGTCTCTGGCGATCGTTGGATCGTGTACATATCAGCGCCGGTATTCCTCGGTCGCAAGTTCAAGGAATTCGTGGCAGGGGAGTTCAAGATAGGCGCGGATGGAAAACCATCGGCGATTGAGATTATATGGGAGAATCGATCGGATCCCATGTTCGAAGGAAAGGCGCATTATAAGCGAATCGCGTAGAACCTGTGGGCGCATCGACGAGCTGAAAAGCGATCCTGTTAGCGGCTGCAAGCTTGAAATAGGATGTAATAATGAAGAATGATCATGAAAATAGAGAGAGTGTGTTTGTGTCAGACAAAAAGTTGGTGATTAAGAATTCAACATGAAATTCAGTTGGCCGTTCTTAAGTTTTATCATCAGGAAAGAGATGAGATGATTCGGTGTAAAAGCACCAGTTTTCGCTCATTGACTTACCATTTAGTTCAAGATCAATCCATTGTAGCATTGACGGAAGCAAATTGATCAATGAAGAGTCGTCGCGGGCTAATTATTTTCTGGCCCTAATGGAACTCGGACTGTGAAAAAACAGAGTCTGTATCTGAAGCTGTCAAATTTTCGGCGGCTCAAGATATATAGCGACATCCTTTTTAATGCATCCGCCCGCTTATCAGAGCTCTCATCCCGCCGACTATGCATTTACGCAGCTGTTGCACAGCTCTATGCGTTTATCAGATATATTCACCCTCGGAGCACGACATGAAGAAAAAAAACATGTTGGCACTGTGTGTCCCTCATCTACCCCACCATCCCTCCCTACCGTTTATCGTCTTCAAAGCCTTGGGCACATTTTGCGATAACCCAACTACGACTATATACCCCTTGTTTGTCTCCGAATATCTCGCCTCAGCGGTAAAATCTTGCGCAAAAGCTCACATCCACCCAGTTTTGAAATCGCTCTCGAACACACAACCGCCAAAATGTCCAGTAAGACAGCAGACAACCCCTCCGCCGATGCGCCAGGACGATACTAATCACGCAAAAAACTGCCATAGACCTCGAGGATATCGCTAGTATGTGTTCGCGATTTCGCCATCGCTGAGCTGAGTTGTCTAACGCGAAATCTTTCTCCATCGCAGAGCAGTTTGTCAATGGCTTCTTCACGGGAATGAGCTCCAACATCCAGGGCCTCGCCGCGGTCTACGTACGTTGCGCGATTGCTAGGCAGCAGTTCGAGGGCCTTCCACTAATGTCGCACCTAGAACGCCGAGTCCGTCCTCACTTTCGAGTCCCAGAAGTTTGAGGGTGTCCAGGCTATCCTGGAGAAGTTGACTGTGCGCATAATCCCCCCGATGTGTGCGTATCGAAAGAGTTTCTTCTAACCGCCGTGTAGAGCCTCCCCTTCAAGATGAGCGGCCACCAGCTCTCCACTCTCGATGCCCAGCTCGCCTCTGGCGATCTCCTTATCCTCATCACCGGAAAGCTCAAGGTACTTTATGCCAGATCAAAGAGAATTAAAAAATAAGAGTGTGGTGGAAATATAACTGACATTTCTAATTTCAGATCGACGAGGATGAGAACCTGATAAACTTTGTCCAGAACTTCAAGGTCAGCGTTTCCCAGGGCCCTGGCGGCGAAATCACTGGTTTCACCGTCAAGAACGACATCTTCAAGCTGGTTTACTAGGCTATGAATTTGGCGAAGGAAAATGATACTTGGAAACCGGGAGGGAGTAATATTCGGCTTGGTGATATAGGCGCCCCATGCGATCAAGATAAGGAAGCAGGCCCGGGAGGGGGAGCAGATAAATGGCTAGAGATGTGTTGTGCATTCTCATGTCTACGAGTCATCAACTCTTTAGACAGATTTCTTCCCAAAAAAACTCATAAGCTTTCAGGCATAGTCAGAACCAAACTCTTTGAAACCTCCCAAATAGAGAGCCTGCCATGTAGACTAGCCTGTGCCTTTCCGAGATAGGACCGCAGTACCTCGAATCGTCAACCGCACTGTAAGCACTGTGTGAGGTGTAGGCCACTGGTTGTTTACCACAGTGTCTGTTGGGCCACTGGACGCTTCGCGTTCTTGGTGTGCCAGTTGCTGGGGCAATTATGTCATTGCATTTGAAATTTACTTGGTTTGTTGGTATTTGGTACCTGAGAATCGTGACCAGGAATCATGTGCATGTGAAAGGCGTCTCTCGAAGTGCACGATTTCCATGAATCACAGGCGACAACATAGTAAGAAACCCGGGCAGTGTTTTACATTGCTTTACATTTAAAAGCACATCGTCGTCTTTTTGCTCTGTTGTTTTGTTTTCTTTTCTAGTTCGCTAACAAGACTGAAGCCTGATAGTTGAAGCCCAACAACGGGAAACCAACTCTGGACCCTTGGCTGGATCCTTGCCCCGCCATCACAACAACAGCCCAAGAGACGATCAGCATGGCCAGCGAGCGAGTGCAGCGGGCTCTCGATGCCAATGGCAAGGGCAGACAGCGTGAAAAGTCCCCCGAAAGCGACACCGACATCTCGGCCGTGATCGGTGGCTGGTCCTCTGTCAAGAGCAATGGCCAGGCCGACACCAGCGGTGCCTTTGGGGCCGCAACAGCACATCCCACCTTTGGGCACCCGACCAAGATGATGTCCTCTCGTAAGCAGAAAGCCGACATCTTCATCCGTCAGAAGACTCGCCCCGAGCACCATCTCGAAAGCCATGTGAATGGTCCCAGAGCGCCGACCTACCACCCTCGAATTGCTCCCCCGCCGCCCATGTTCAGCTCAGTCCCGTCGGCTTCGACCTTGCCTTCGACAGCTATACCACAGCAGCGCCGTGGAGAGGAGGTGTTCTATACAGATCCAGCAAAGGCCAACGAGGATCTCAAGGCATTGCTGGAGGGAGGGATGGAGGGCGATGATGACGAAGGAGTCGAACCCGATGGGCACCAAGAGCCTTCGGTAGAAGAGAAGAAACCCAAAGATGATGCAGCTGCTAAAGACCCCAAGACGATAGCCAAGGACGGCAACGTAGCTGGTCTCAAGGTGCAATTGCTACCTCACCAAGTTGAGGGCGTCAACTGGATGCGCGGCCGTGAACTCGGCCCAGTCAAGAAGGGGAAAGTTCCCAAGGGTGGTTTGCTTGCAGACGACATGGGGCTTGGCAAGACGCTGCAGTCAATCTCTCTCATCCTTCTCAATCAGAAGCCAAAAAAGGACGAGGAGGGGTGGAAGAAGAATCTTCAAAAGGTCGACAAGACGACTCTCGTTGTTGCCCCTCTGGCATTGATCAGGCAATGGGAAACAGAAATCAACGAGAGGGTGGCCAAAACACATGGTCTAAAAGTTCTGGTACATCATGGACCACAGCGAACAAAGCAGCCGGAGGATCTCAAGCTGTATGATGTTGTCATCACGACCTACCAGATCCTCGTTTCTGAGCACGGAAAGTCGTCGGACGATGTCAAGACAGGCTGCTTTGGACTTCACTGGTGGCGAGTCATCCTAGACGAGGCGCACACCATCAAGAACCGCAACGCAAAAGCCACCAAGGCGTGCTGCGCGCTGCAATCCGAGTATCGATGGTGCTTGTCAGGTACACCCATGCAGAACAACCTTGAGGAGTTGCAGTCCCTCATCAAATTCCTTCGCATCAGGCCATACGACGATATAAAGGCGTGGAAGGATCAGATCGAGCTCCCCATGAAGGGTGGCAAAGGCCATATCGCCCTCGGTAGGCTTCACAGCTTTCTTCGCTGTTTCATGAAGAGGCGGACAAAGGAGATCCTGAAACAGGCCGGAGCACTCACGCCCGGCGGAGTGCCATCAGCTGATGGCGCAGCAGCGATAAACGGATTTAGACATACCAACCGCAAGGTAGTCACTGTCGCCACTGAGCTATCTCCTGCAGAGCGGAAGTTTTACCAGAAACTGGAAGCTCGTGCCGACCAAAGCATGACAAGAATGATGAGAGAGAAGATTAGCTACGCCAACGCCTTTACGTTGCTGCTACGCTTGAGACAGGCGTGCAATCACCCAAAGCTGCTCGAAGGGAAGCTAGGGGATGACAAAGATGCGCTTTCAACAGACTCTCCGAGCGCAAAGCAGCAAGACGGAGATGTGGATTCAGTGACTGATCTGTTTTCGGATATGGGAATCAGCACCAAACAGTGCAGCATTTGCGGCCGGCCGGTGGAGAAGAACGCAGGTAATTCTGAAAATGACAACTGTGCCGAGTGTGCCTCGGATTTGGCATTCTTTGTTGGTGGTGAGAAGTCGAAGGAGAAGAGTAAGAAGAAGAAAGCCAAGAAAACTGTGAAAACAGCATCGTCTAAGTCGAAGAAGAAGGGAGAAGGAAAGAAACATGAGAGGCGCCTGAAGGATGAAGACGATGAGGAAGATGAAAAGCCCAGACAACAAGCACGGAGACCACGAAACCGGAATGCTGTCCTTGATAGCGACGATGAAGATGACGAAGAGCCGAAGCAAAGGTCTCGTCGGAATCGGAACCGCAAAGCTGTCATTGACAGCGATGACGAAGAAGAGGATGGGGGCAGCTGGCTTGTCTCGGAAAGCGAGCGGGGAGCTCTGAAGCTCGGCAAGGCTGGAGGAGAAGAAGATGAGAATGCAGAAGGCGGCGGAGACTCAATAGGATCCGAGGATTCTGAAGACTCTGAAGAAGAATACGATGACGAAAGCAACCTTGACAGCTTTGTGGTGGATGATTCGGTCGCCAGAAAGGAGAAAGGGTATAAGTCTGTGGATGACGATTCGGATGACGATTCCCTCTTGTCCATATCTGAAATAACAAAGGGTATGGCCGCACAGACGCTCAAGGACAAGGGCTCTCGCACTTCAAAATCCAAATCCAGACGTGCCATCCCCGTTTCTGACGATGATTCCGAAGCGGGCTCAGAGACCGAATCTGAGTCTGAGGAGGACGACTCAGACGCCTCTTCCGACTACGAGCCCTCGCCAGACGGCAAGAGCATCTTTTCATCCGCCAAGATCCGGGAACTCACCAAGCTTCTGCGCGCAGAGGCGCACGAGCACAAGTTCATCGTCTTTTCGCAGTTCACCTCGATGCTCGACTTGGTGGAGCCGTTCCTGCGCAAGGAAGGGTTCCGGTTCACGCGGTACGATGGCAGCATGAGGAACGATGCGCGGGAGGAAAGCTTGCGGAAGCTGCGCGAGGACAAGGCGACGAGGGTGCTGCTTTGCAGTCTCAAGTGCGGTAGCTTGGGGTTGAACTTGACTGCTGCGACGAGGGTCATCATCATTGAGCCGTTTTGGAACCCGGTATGTTTTTTTCTTTCTATATTCATTCCCTCCCCCTTTTCTTCCTTTTATATACGATACTAACATTACCGCAGTTCGTCGAAGAACAAGCCATAGACCGAGTCCACCGCCTCACCCAAACCGTCGACGTAGTCGTCTACAAGCTCACCGTCACCCACACCGTCGAAGAAGGTATCCTCGAGCTGCAAGAAAAGAAGCGGCTCCTCGCCGAGCAGACCATCGAGGGAAGTTCCCGAAAGGGCGCCCTCAAGCTCGGCCTCAAGGAAATCATCGACCTGTTCAAGCCCATCCACACGTCCCGCTTCCAGGATGACTACGGCAATGATGCGGCCGGAGATGAGAATAGGAGGGCTAAGGATGCTGTGGCGTTTATGCAGAAGGCTACAAAGACGAAGAAGCCGGAGAATGGTGCGTACGCGAGACGGTGGTAGATGTGTTTTATCGCATGATTATGATTTATGAGATATGGATAAATGGAGGGATTGGATTGGAATGGTTTGGTAGCATCATGAGAGCTTTTGCTTCCTTTGACCAGGTTTAATTAGGAACCTTGCATGATACAGGTATATTGACTGTATACATTGACATGAAAATAAATCTCAACTGTAAGAGACCCTTTCAAAGCACACACATTATCCACAAAATTCACAACAAATACGTCAAAACAATTGACAACAACCAATCAACTCAAAAAAAGAGTAGGCGAAAAAAAAAAAAGGTATTGTTCCTATTATCTCTCCCCATCCCATATCCACGCTAGACATTCCATTCATGTAACCCAAAGATGAAAAACAAGCATTCGTCTCCCCCCCCTTTCGTAAGAACAGAGCAAAACATCGCTTCCCTATTGTTGTACCATCAATCCACTAATTTGACATTCTGAAGCCAGTCCATCTAGTCTGACGTATTACGCGCATACACTGAATTAATAGACTCCCGGTTGGCGATAGTAGTCGTTCGGAGCTGGGGCGCTAGGTTCCGACGAGCCTGGGGGTACATATGGCCTATACTGAGCTCCAGAGTTTGCACCTGATTGACTGGGTAGACTCTGGCGAGCATCGTATGTAGCGCCACTGGGCTGCAAGGGCGGTGGACTCATGGTGTTGGGAGGGCGTTGGCCGGGAGGAGCAGAGGGGGGTTGCTGAGGAGGTTGGTAGCTCTGATACGTCGGTTGCTGCGTAGTAGTATAAGGAGCTACCGGCTCGTTATCATTTGGGTGAGGCAGGCCAGGGCCCTCTTGAGAATAGACAGAGCTAGAATATGTGGCGGCAGATGCCGGGTTGTTAGGAGCAATAGGAGAATCATATACAGACGTAGCCAGTTCCTGGGCACCGTAGGTGCTCGGTGGTTGTTGGTTGTTGGGCTGCTTAAAGGGGTTGAAATTTTGAGGAGGCGGTGATGTTGAGGTCTTGAGTGGAGGAGGTTGGCTGCCATTGGAAGGTATTCTAGGAGCATGTTCTCTCGGAGGATACTGCTGAGCAGCAGGTGGCTGACCTACGGCAGCATGAGATGGTACCTCGGATCCTGCCACATAAAAGGGTGCCGGCGCAGAGTGAGGAGGGCCTTGTGCAGGAGCGCCAGGCTGTGGGAAGTTAGGAGGAGGGGAAGAAGTCTGTTGGTACTGTGGCCGGCCTTATACCAACGGTTAGCAACCAGAGCTGAAAGCGATGTTGATCATCTCAGTATGTAGGTGTGCGGAAAATCGAACCTTGAGGACCAGGAGTGTAAAATCTCTGGGGATCCTGCTGTTGAGGCTGCGGCGGATAGTTGCCTCCTGCCGGCGCTGGGTAGCCCTGAGGCGCTGGGCGCATGGCGTACTGTTGATAGTTGTGCTGAGGAGGATGAGACATGGACGACTCAAGCAGCGATTCATAGTCCCTTCGGGCCTTGATGAACTTTTCGTTGAGCTGGGTGAAGTCATCTGCGTTGATTGTTAGTGGTATTCAAAGATGCGTCAGTGAAGCATGTCATTACCCTTCTTCTGTGAGTACTTCTCAATCAGCTTGATCAGCTTTGGGCGAATTGCAAGCGTCTGATGATATAATTTCTGCCGTGAACGTGGTTAGCAACGGTTTGGATAGATTTGCATTTTAGGGCGAGTGTCTTTCGATGCAGCCGCCACACGCATACATACCGAAATCTCCTCGTTGTCTTCCTCCCTTGGTCCGGTGTTGGAAGCGCTCAACAGCGTTAGAAGCTTCTCCACGTTCTTTATCTCAGCAAAGACCTCTGCCTCCATCTGGGCCTCTCGCTGCATCTCCTCTGGTGTGGGATCTGCGAGCTTCTCAACATAGTTGAGAGGGAAGATGCCCGTCTTTCCCTTGAGCGATCCACGCCACCAGTCCTTGTACACGCTCTCCAGCACAGCAATGACGTCCCCCTTCTTGAATTCCAGCTCGCCGGGTTCGGTGGGCGTAAAGTCAAAGAGGGCGCGTACCCTGCTGACAGTGGCAGCCGTGGTGCCTGAGGGCACCGCAGTGGATACTGGGGCACTCTGCTGTTGTTGGTTGCTGGATCCCGCCTGGGCAGTCGGCGCTGCCTGAGGCGTCTTCTTGTGTTCCTCGTCCTGCAAGCTGAGCCTGAGGGCCATCTGCAACTCGTCGTCCTCCTTCTGTCGGTCTTGGTCGGTAAGGCCCTGTTTCTGGGGTGCGCTGGGCGGCTGTAGCGAAGGGTTGCTCTGCTTCAGTCGGTGGAATGCGTCACCCATGATGCCCAGATCGGCGTCGCTGCTGAACATGTCGGTCCACTCATGCATCTTCTCCAAGATCTTGCTCTTTACTTGCTGGTGGGTGTTTCGGTCGTTTGCCAGCTTCAGCAGGGCCTCGGTGAAGGCGCGGCTGGAGATTTCGCGATGCATCTGCTTCCCGCAGTTTTGGCAGAGGGCGTGCGCAAGCTGGTGGCAGCGGTATTAGTTTGGATGAGTTTTTGCCTCGGCGGCGAGCGGGGAATACCGCCGCCATGAAGACGGGCAAAGGGGATGAACAAAGGACAAACCTCGAGAGTGTAGAGCTGCACGTTGGCATTTCGGTGGGCGAGTCTCTTGATCATGCTCTGGACGGCTTCCTTGGAGCCATTCTGGTCGCCAGACACCTTGTCGCATACTTCGATGATGGCGCCCCAGTCCTCCGACGTCAGATTCTCGTCAGTCGCCTTGGCTGCGATGCCGTTAGCAGGGACACGGGGGAAAAGTAGGAGAGCATCATCAAGGCTATGGCGATGCGAGCGTCTCCTTGGGTCGCAAAAACTCACTGACGACTTCGTCAAACGGCCCAGCCGCCGCCGCTCGGAACATGGCTACTGCTGACGACTAAAGGTATGACGTTGGTTGAGGGCTAACGATGAGGCTAAGGCAGCAGCTCGAGATGCGATCGCGCGAGGTTTGGGCAGTTGGCGGAAGGATATTGCTGAAGCCCTTAGGAAATACGGGAGCTTCTTATCGGTCAAGAGCGAAGCAGGTGACGACAGGATGCCGAGTTGGAGAAAGCAGGATCGTGGAGGTGTCGAGTCTGAGTTGAGTAGTCTAATAGTGTTAGGTGCCTCTGCCAGTTACATGCCTTGGCAGCGAGCCACCCAGTGCGCACATGCATGTACATGTAGGTACATGAACGAGTACCCGCCCAGCGTTACGACACTGGCCTCGCACCTCCAAGTTCTTTGACCAGGTACCTTGTCTCGCGGCGGATGCAGCCATGGGTTCGCGCAGCAGATTCCAAGTGCGCAAGTACCTCGCCTCGTAATCCGCAGCCAGCGTCCAGGCCTCCGTACCCGCAGAGAGTACCTGCGAGTACTGCAAAGCGGCACCTGTACGGTCTTTTCAGGGCTGTTACTAGATGGACAATACTGTAGAGAGCAAGAAATTCGCAGCTACCTATTCTATACAATTTTATTATCAAACCGGAATAGAATCCAGAAATCTCCGGTATTTCCACCAGCATCGCGATAGCCATGGAGATTTGCATGCAACCTTGTAATAAAGCTTAGAGCCCGTCATCCCCCCAGCAGAGGCTCAGCAGCTGAGCACCTCCATTACGTGGTTGGCCGCGCCACGCCACGCCAACGCCACGCATATCCTGCCTTATCTCCAAATCTCGTCATTTCGCCTCACATACTTCACATGTGCATTTGGTACCTGCTTCGTAAACCTGCCACTGCAAAATACTGCAAAATCATCCTACGTCTCATATGCCAAGAGGTTGACAAAAGACAGGCCACGTATTTGCAATAGCAAATCCTCTCACGCCCTGCTCCGTATATGCGCATCTAGCCCAGTAAAGGGAGCTGGGGAGCTTCAAGGATTGCGCGTGCCTGCGTTCGTTCACTGCTGCGGGATCACCTTGAGACCATCATATTTGTTGCAACTATGCCTTCAACAGTAGTGCCAAGTAAACCTAATGAAATAGTTGTCAAATTCCAGTCTTTTTAAAATCCTCGCCTACTTTGTACATTGCCTCGAGGCCCCATATACTCTCCAGTGCAGCCCTCTTCGTAGATCCAAACATCATCTTGTTCTGCCTGTAGTACCTGTCCAAACCATCTCGCTTGTCCTTCCGTCCCCTGATGATATATACACACAGGCTCTCCAGGCCGTAATACTAATAACAACACAGCAGAAATAACAAGCCGCTCGCCAGTCAAAGGGAGGAGAAAATAAAGTCCAAAGAGTAGAAAAATGCAACCCCAAATCCCCGTGCCCGTTGTGGGGGGTTCCATGTTACTGGTATCCAAAGGAGAAAAAAGAAAAGAAAAAGAAAAGAAAAGAAGGAAATTGAGAAAAAGAAGAGAAAGAATAAAAGTGAAAGAGAGGCGAAGAGCAACAATTTTATAGGAGATACCATCAACGCCGCCGAATCATATCCAATCAATCATTAGAACAAAGTGCTGTCTCAAAAAGCCCGGCACTGGAGGGCTTTCTTAAAAAAAGCAAGATGATGAGTCTATCAACAATCTGTGTAATCAATCAATCAATCAATCAATCTTTAGTTAGCAGAAGTAAGGTCTCGTGTAATTTTCAGCATTACTCGGCCCATCCTCTTCGAGCCGTGCCTCGAGGCCCAAAGGAGGATCGTTCAGTGGATGCACCGCCACTACCGCGACGTTCTTCCATGCTTCGCCTTCCCAGAGCGTCCATCTCGGAGAGAGTAAAGACTAGCGGCTCTTCGCCAACTGCCTCCTCATCCGGGCGACTAAGCCTACTGGTCGACCCGCCAAAGCTGGCTCGAGAAGAGTGCGGAGGGGTGCTTCGACGGCCAACGGCCATACCTGCATACCGTCGTCGCTGGAAGGGGGAGCTTGGCTGCGTAGTAGGAATAAAGCCATCTGGGGGCGTGTCGCTCGCTGAACCTCGTTGAATCACATCCGATGACTCGGCAGTCTGAATATCAGTGGTTGGTCGAAGCGAACTGGAGGCATCCTCTTGCTGTCCATCTTCCAACTGTCGGCCGAGAAGTGTGCTCAGAGTCGGTGGCTCCCTATCGTTCGCCCCGAGACTAATGCTTCGGTGCGCAGCAAACGGCAGGTCAGCCTCCTCGTCATCAGTCGCGGCTCGGACCTGCTGGGCAACAGAGCTCGCTCGCCGGTGATGAATTCCCAGTCTGGGGGATAGAGGGATATCAATCGCGGTTGTGCCGTCTTGAGTCGTAGCTCCGTGTCCTTGAGACCCTGATGCTCTACCTTGCGATGAGCCCGCAGGCGGCTCTACCCTCTTATAAGCCGGCGTATAGTCTATAATTGAATTCTCGCTTAGCCGAGATGGGATCGCGGGTGTATGTGGCGTGTGCGGTGACACTGGCTTCCCAGGAGAAGAAGATGTAGACAGCGAATTCGTTCCGCCGATGCCAGTCAGATTTGCGAGTTGCCTGCTTGAAACGGTTGAGGAGCGATTAAGCTGCATCGAAGAAGTCATTGACTCGGTCAGGGCGTTGTTGGATTCCCTCATCATTTGGAACTTGGACAGCTGAGCTACCGTCCTGCTTGTCGCCGACTCTCCCTTCTTGGTTGGCTCAAATGACTTGAGGGTCTTTTTGCTGTCCAGGGCCTTTAAGAAATCGGAGATGTCATCCTCCTCGGTCTGGAGCGAACTATAGCTTGCTGCTCCAACCTCGGCGAGAAATCCCGACCCTGGTTGCACAATTGATGAGGCCAAGCTTTGCCTTCCGCTGCTGCCCTGCTCTTCATCACCCATCCGGCTCGTGCTGCCAATCGACAAGCGCCCTTTCCTGTGTGTGAAGCTGCTGCTATATTTGCTAGCAGAGGGGGGTCGTGGGGATCCGACTACAGGCGAGTCGGTAGTGTTTACGGAAGTCGGTCCACGAAGTGAGGCCGGCATGCCGGCGGTCAGCGAAGATCGGTTTCCTGGTTGTCGGAGGGATGTTAAACTAGGCCTGGTAAGCGATGCCGGAGATTCGGGGTCAGTATGTCGGGGAACGGGAGATCCAGAAAGGGAGCCCGCTTTAAACGGTTGGAAAGATATAGAGGTTCTCCTTCGATCTTCTCCAACGCGGACCGTGGGCCTTGCTGCAGACGCTCGCCCTGATATCGGCAGTGAATGAGGGGCTGCAGCCCCAGCATCCGCTTGGCGAGGAAGCGATGCTGGCGGCGAGCTCGTGTCTGAACCAGGCGGCTTGACCGCACGAAGTGCGGATATAGGGCTCGTTCCTATCGGGCCATCGCCATGAAAGGTTGACAAACTACCATATGTCTGGTGAACGTCATTCACACTTACGCCCCGGCGGTGGTCCCTCAGTGAGCCCGCCTCAGCCATATGGCGCTGTGGTAATGATGGCTTAAAGAAGTTTTCGTCGACTCCCATGAATCGGGAGCTCAGAAGTGACTCGGCGTCGTCAACACGGAATGTGCAATCGTTTCGATAAATCACAGAGGTGCATAACCTTCCCACAGGTACCTCGAGGTCTCCAAACATGTACTCCGTCACTGCATCCCTTCTCCCATCGATGGAAATCTGTAATAGGTCAGGCCGTGATCTGTCCGGGTCGGACCTTCGGATCCTGCACTGCGGAATCAGGGCCGGGTGGGAGTTCTTAACAGCACCTTGGCTGGCAAACTTCCACGCCGGCAGTAGTTTGGTAGCGACAAAGAGGGATCGGAAGAACACAATGGCCTTTTTGTAGATGGTGGGCAAGATTGGTCCAAAGTCGTCCAAAGGCCTGTCGGCTATCGATTTGAGTTCCACGCGCCATCGCTCCAAGATAACCTCAGTTGGCCTTCTGATGTTAGTAAGGGAATCACTACCACTCGAAGATGTCGATGCAGCGAGCTGTTCCAAGACATCCCAGCGCTTCCCGTCCTCGTCGATGATGACAAGACTCTGGCTCTCCTTGAGTGTTGATGCATCAAGATAGACTTCGATGATCATTGGTGGAGGGCGGTTCTCAAGACTGCCGCAGCTCTTCCATATCCTCAGCTCTTCCCTAAATTCGTCAATCTCTTCGGTTTCGATTTGGTACTGTGGCAGCACGGTCAGACAACTAGCTTTTCCACTTCTGCACTTGGTTCGGGCCATACCCATTTATTAATCTTCGGTACTCCGTTTGCGCCCTGGATTGGCTTTACTTTCATGCGCGAGGCGACGACGACAGCAGCGATTTTGGTGTGGAAGTTCTACCGGCACAAGCAAGGTTAGGTCCATTAAACATCAGACAGCAGCACTCGTTCTCGTCTAACATACCTGGACTATCTGATCCAACTTTTTTATTGACTCAGCCGGCGGTCCGGTTTGGTCCATCGTGGGTGAGCTCGCAGAATCTCTGGCAGAGAGGTTTGATCCCGCCCGCGGACGAGATCCTCCTATGGCACCCTCTCGCAGGCTGTTGGATCGCATGGGTGACCTTGCTGGCGAGGCGAGCCTCGGGGGCACTCGGCCTTGTTGATGCATGGCTGGTCAAGAGAAGGGGACGAGGGGGGGAAAGTAGCTTGTATCGGCTCTCGAAACCAAGGTGTTTCTGGTCGAGGAGAGAGAAACAAACGGACGGCAGTCGATCAAACTCGGATAGGGGTGTCGGTCTGGAACTGAGACTGCTCTTCCATCGTTGGCGTAGGCGTTGATTCCGACAGAGTCCAAGGGATGCTCGTCCGCTCTCTTGTGCGGCGCTCGCGTCGAGCAGGTTCTGGCTATGGGCAGCAAGGCACAAACTCCAACCCAATTCCGAGCGATGCAGTCAACCGGCAACTCAGGCCGATGACTGGTCAATCGTGGTCCGCGGGATGAGGCAACCTTGGCTAACTCGCCAGGCAGCAGAGGGGGAGGACCAGATAAAAGGGACTTGATGGGCTCGGCAGACAGGCAGCCAACGCAGACGGCCACTAGAAGTCGAATGGGCAAATGACGACGCTACAGCTATCCGCAAGCACTCAGCATCCCAATGCAATGCAATGGCCAGACGAGAGCGACGAGGTGTTGCGATCCCCCAGTCCAGTTCCAACTGTCTCGAATCGATAAAGTCTGTGGAGACGGGTATCGTCACAGGACGCGAGCTCCTTTTAGCACAAGCACAAGAGTCACTCGCCCCGGCACTCGTCCGACCCCGTGATAGCAGGCCAGGGTATCAGGTACAGGACAGGGCCTTCGTCATCCGACAGCGCGCAAAAGAGCTGCAGAACGAGCCTCGTCAACGCCGCGCTCACACTGAGGCCCTTGCAAGCGGTGAGCTCTGGGGGGGGCACGGAAGACGCTGGATATGGGTTTGGGTGGATGAAAGAATCAAGATTTGATGCTTCCTCTCTCGTCAGACGGCTGATAAGGTTTGGGAGAAAGCCGGGGGACGGGCGAGGTTGGTGGAGAGGCACATAGCTGAGGCATGATGATACTACGAGTACTAGTACCTCTGTGGGTAGTGGGTATGTACCAGGGAGGTAGTGCAGTACCATGGCCGTAGCGAGCAGTGCGCGTTAAGTGCTAGCTTTGGGATCACCTATTGAAGCTCCAGGGAGCCCCGAGGCCAGCAGCGCCGGAGACAAGTACCTGGCAGGTACCTGTAGGTACGGGGCCGGCACATGTCAGCTCCAGCCGTTGGTCTCGTGCTTCTGAGCGCGATATCGACGATGTCCGAGCCCAGGTCCAGTTGCAATCTGCTGGGTGCTGCTGGGGCCGACATGTACATCGGTGCGCCAATTCTCCCCAAGTGACGACGGTTCAAGAGCGCCTCGATATCGCCAAATCGCCCTGCTTCCGTCGCTGCAGCCGAGGAGACGGGATCAAGTCGCTACATGCCAAGTACATGCACCTTAACAGGTACCCAGTACCTCTGACGCAACCACCAAGCCAGCACCTATAGCGCAGCCGACACACCGCTGAAGCCAACGAGCTGCAGGGCAGCTCTAGCACGCTCTTGCGCTATGGCTCAGCGAGCGAGCATTCCGAGCTGTGGGGGTCCTATCGCGCAGCTGTGGTTGGTCGCTAGCCATGTCAGAAGCCCGTTGATTCATGATCCGATTTCCCTCCGGCTGGTTGATTTGGGTGTGTCGAGGCGGCGTACCGCTACGGTACCTGGCATAACATGCAAGCTGCCAGCGCTGGAGCAAAGTACCCGGTACAAACGACAAAATGCCCATGCACTCCATTTATATGAATGCTACCACGGCTGGTCATGGAACGATTTGCGCAAGTGCTGGACTAGCCGGAAAGGGATGGCCGGATCAGATCAATCGAGGCTTGCCAGGGAGGCGACTGAGATTAACAAATCCTGGGCGCCGAGCACGCAAGGTAGTGGCAATGGATGATGAAATTGATATCCATTGCTACTATAGTATCATTGATATTAGTCTAGTATCGCGGGAAACGGAATATACACTGCGTATTAGGTAGTATTGCAGGGTGTTACGGTCAGCAATAAAGTCCCGATACCGTGCCTAGAAGACGCTGGACGGCTTCCAGTCCATCACATGGATCGATTGAAACAATCCTCGAGGCCTAGTCCTTGTAATCTGGGGGCCTGTGGGACAAGACAGACTCGGGATTGGTGTCGCACAGCCGTTCGCTGAGCCCTAAAATTGTGTCGGTGAGGCTCTGGAGCTTCTGAATGGCTGTGTCACGTCACCCAGCAAGATGTGCTGGCACTTCTAATGAATTGGCCATCTCCGCCGTCTCTCGCTCCCCTTGCGGGTGCTTTCGGGAATCTCGACGGAGTGCTGTGAATACGACTGACTAGTTTCGGCCGTTACCTGCAAGTTCCTGCCCGTGCGCTCCAGATCCGCGGTTATTGGCGACGCGAGAAAGCGTGCCCGATCATTCATAATTGGTATTGTTACAAATTCGCACCCGAGTACAAGGAGCTACAGCAGGATATCTATTAAAGCTGCTGGTGCAGCTGTCAACATGTTCAAGTAAGCCAAACACGAACTCTAACCCGATTAAAAAACTTACATCCCACCTTTGTTGGCCTTCCCTCTGCCTCGACCCCGAGATGCATTACCGCCTGTTTTGGGTACCTCCTTTGTACTCGTGTTTGAGCCTTCAACGCCTGGCTGCTGATGATTCGACGGCTCATTGCCTCGAGCCTTTCCCCCCCTCCCCCGGCGGCCACGTCTTCCTCCTCCCTGCTCCTCCTTGCCCTTTGCTCGACTGTGCCGTCTAGCCTCCTCTTCCTGTGCACGACGGCTCTCCTGGTCCCACCACTCTTGAAAGGCCTGTTCTTGTTGAATCTCTTGAAGTGATCGCTTTGCCACTGCCTCCTTGATCAACTGCTGCTCTCTCTGTTGCTGCCCGATGATATCTGCCATGCTCAATCCCAACGTCGGCTCCGTCTTTTGTGCCGGCTTGATGTAAGATTTCGAGTGGGGTATCAGCGGTTTCTTTTGTTGCTTTTCCACTCCTGGGCCTGTTTGGGGTGTCGCCTGTAGGTTGCCAGGACGCCCTTGCCCGGGGAATCGAGTATCCGGGGAAGCTGTCCGTCTCTGCGTGGATTGAGGGTTAGACTCGGATGTGACCAGGGGTTTAGCATTGGTAGATATAGCATTTCGCTGTGCAACGTCGGATGCCATAGCTTGCTGCAGTGAAGTCTTTGGAATGGGGGCTGCTTTCCAGGGCGGTTGAGCTTTCTTAGACGATGCTACTTCCCACGGTATCGCTTTGGCCTGCTCTTCTTGCGCTGCGGCCTGTGATTCTAGCTGCATCTGCATCTGCTTCTTCCGTTCTTTCTGTGACATTTTAGAAAGCGGCTTAGAAGCCGAGTCCTTCGTCATCTGTGCAGATAAAGCAGCCGTCAGCGCCGACTTCCCGGAAGCCTCAGACATGATGTCCTTCAGGTCTAGTTTAGCAGTAGATAGCGCCGCAGAAGCCCACGGAGGGTTGGCAGCCGAGTGAGGGGATTCTACATCATGCTTCACTTGTTTGGAAGCAGGCGTTACCGAGTCGATAATCGGCTGCCGGTGAGAAGGGAGACTTGGAACAGGTGACTGAGCTATCTCTTCTTTGTCCTTGCCTTTTGAGCTCTTCCATTCCATTGAGTGCTTTGGCATTGATCCAACATCAATCTCGGTCCGGGTCAGAGGCGGCGATAGCTGCGGAGATATGAGGCTGCTTCCTCCCGAGGGCCCTTCATCGTCCATGTCAAAAATCATATCGGCATGGGAATCTTTGGGTCGCAAAGTCGGGCTGAATGGCTCGTTTCGGCTCCTCCTAGACTGTCTGGCCTGTTTCTCTGGGGTCTCTAACCCTCGGACAGGATCGTCCAGGCTTCCAAAGCGTGGCTTGTATGCAGAGGATAATCTCCTCTCTTCCTCTCTCTGAGCGTGCTTAAAAGCCATCTCTTTGACACGGCGTCTCCTTTCTTCTTCAATATCCGCCACTAGGTCAGGATACTTCTCGTGAAGTAGCAACTCTGCTCGACCGCTCTTTGCGATTGGGAAGCATGCGAGTTGGTTGTCCCGGACCTTACCATCCAGTTCGTACAAAAGCTCTTCATCAAGGGAATCCAGAAAATGGTTCTCAAGCATGGATTCTAGCTGCAGGCAGATGTACTCCAGTCCGGTATTCTTGAACTCTGCGACTGAGCAGGTACTGATTTCATTCAGAAGGTTCGAAATATTGCGATTTGTTACAAACTTGCCAATCAAGGATTGGCATATTTGTGACAGCCGGTCGATCATGAGCTCGTTGGCCACGCTGAGGACGTCTAAGACGAGTTCCGAGAATTCGTCAATAGATGTAGCCGTCACGTCATCAAATATTTCTTCGCCAACATCCCCATATAAAAAGTTGAGCACATAAGAAAAGGTCTCCGGATGAATGTGCTTCAGGTCAATTCGAACTGGTTCGACTTGATGCGTTGCGTCACGGCGACCAGCAAGCCATTGCCCCTGTGATCTACCATTGAACATTCCGTCGAAAAACGGGCAGCGCTGGCACAAGAGATGGCTGTGGACCGTCACTTCGTCCCCGTCCAGCTCCAATATTACATCGCCATCCTCGAAAAATACGGGGTCGGTTATTGCTTCTTGCAAATCAGCATCAAGCGTTCGTTCCAGGCCTGCCTGCAGCCGAGCAGCGGCCTCTAATTTCGGCATGTTGAGCTTTGTAGCGACTTTCATTAGATCCGTTCGTACTTGGCGGAAGCGATGGGCCAGAGCCGGGGCTTCGCGTGTGTACTTCCACACGGGAACGATATTGTCTTGGTATGCATATACCACAACATTCAGCATTGTGAATACGTCAACATGGAGCAGAGTCAGCACCATCTTATCATCGACAGCTTCTATTACAAATGCGTCTGATTGAGTGTGGAATCCATCAAGCCGGAAGTCAGACAAAGCCGTGCGAAGGATGGAGCTTCTTCCAGAGAGAAGCCAGCCGTGCACCGGTATCCTGATATCAGGCGCTGCATTTGTGCGAATCTCTAGGTCGGTATCGTATAAGAACGAGTTGGCTTGAATCCAGTGAAGCATGTCCGTTTCGATATCAGAGGAGCTTAGAATCCGATGGGCCACAGTACCGGGACCTTCTCTGATGATAGAAGTGTTCCAGGCCTTTCGCGAGGAATCACTCTCGGAACTGCTTTCAGGAGCATAAAAGTCTTTCAAGCAAAGGAGTGAGCCCATATCGTTCCAGAGATTCTGTTCGGCAATGTGGATTTCCTGAGCCATGACTTTGCTATCCTTTCGGATGGCAGCAAACGCCCCAAAAGTCGAGCTGCGCACAGCCACGCAATCCGTGATGTAGGGGACTCGCTGGAACTTGAAATCTTTTCTCCTGGCATCACCAGAATCGACAAGGGATTCAATCTTTCCCTTGAGACGTTTTATTCTCCTCCAGACAGCGCCAGATGCTGTGCAGATGATGACAGATCCATGCTCTCCAACGCTGACTGATGTGACACCATCTTTTCCTGAGTCCCAAATGCACTGTGGCTGCGAAACCGCACTCTTAATCTTGACTGGGTTGGTCGTGGAGCCAAAGGGGGCTCCAGCATCTCCCTTGTTGCTCACCTGCATGGTGAAGAGATCTCCACGAGCTGTAACTGCCGCAATTGTCTCGCCACCGGCTGCTATGTATCGAATATCCCTTCTTGATACGTCAAACTTGGTTGAAAAGACACTTGCATTGAGGCTGCGGTTAAGAACCGCATCAGGAAAGGGAAATCTTATAAGGTTGTATCCATAGTTGGTAAATACCCAAACTTGGCGATTCGATAGTAAGCAGGTAGTGGCCCTATCAATCGCGGCAACCATCTCGATCGGGGCCGAGAGAAGAGATGCTGCAACTTTCCTGGGTGTCTGCTGTAGATCCAGTGACCTAGAATCAGAATCCATAAGGGCAAGCTGGCCCGCATTGCGACCCCAGCAGTACAGTGACGATCCAGTGTGTGCTACTGAGTGTATGGATGAGGCGGCGATACCAAGGACAATCTCTTTCTTCAGAGGGCCAAAAACCTGCCGCGGGACGAGGCTCATCGGTTCTTCATCTGTCCTCAGAGGAGGGGGCAACACGTAGCCAAGTTGCGAATCTGAATTGAGGCCCCAGGTCCACAATTCACCGTTACCAACGACTGCCATTGAGTGGTTCTGCCCAAGTGCAACCTGGCAGACCTTCTTATCCGCAAAAGGCCCATATAGAGGAGTGAATTTGAATTGTGTGTTCTCATCCCCAAGACCCAGTCTTCCACCGCGGCCAACTCCACAGACATAGAGGTTGGATATCGGGTCGTCCGTAAGAATGGCGCTATGCAGCTTTGACATGACCACGTCCTGGATTACTAGAGGCCGATTTTGAACCAGAGCAGGGATAGTATCCAGATCTGTCGTAACATCGAGGAGTGCATCCACATGCTTCTTTGTAAGATAATCCTCGTAGAACCGGCGGATGGATTGGTCTGACCGTTGAAGCATTATCCGCTCAGGATACTGCCGATCATCCTCGTCCCCAACTCCAAGCGAAAGATTCTTGTTGCTGCCAAACATGAAAAGCTCATCTCCCTCGGCATAATTCTTATTGGCGTGCGTAAATTTTGCAGCACTATACGATTCAAGATCAGTCAGTGTCAGATGCTAGGTAGCCAAGATTGAAATGAGGTAGTGGGTACTAACACCTGATCAAAGTCACCGTCGCCAATGTCCGAATCATCGTCGGCTAGAGACTGGGCCATCGTGTGGCGTAGTGATCTCGCAGCAATTGTCGAATTATAGAGGTCAAATGGACTGTTTCCTTCGTGATCCTTGGTCTTGATGAGCTGTCCAACCTTGTTGACAGCACCGAGAGCGTGGTTGATCAAATCCCCACACTCTTTGGCCAGTAGTGCTCTGGCTATAGATGCATTTCCGGCGTACAGTGACCTATGCAGGGCATTCCAGCCACTTTCAGGGTCCTGAGCGTACAAGTCGATATGAGGGTGGTCGAGTAGAGCCTGGACGAAGGCCAATGCGTTTGGATCGGTAGAGGAAGATGCGCGCAGCAACAGCGTCAGTCCGGCATGGTCTCGACTATTCACTTCCGCCTTGCTCAGACCAGAGCTGCCGTCTCTTCCTTTGCCAAGGCCAGGGGCATATCCTGACGCCTTGCGCGGTTTGGTCGTAGTCCTTGGCGAAGTCCCGATGCTACCGGGGCTCGCTCCAAGATATGTTCCAACGCCTACGGCTGGACTCCTTGCCGTCGCCTGGGAATTGGGGCCGGCCGAAGCCAGCAGACGCCGAAACTTGTCGACATCATTCTCCCAGAAGTATTTCCACAGCAAATGACTCATCGGCCGGGGATAAGCTGCTGCAGGACGGACAGGAGGCCCAGACGCCTGAAAAGGCACCTCGCTGTGAGTCTCGCAGGATCACGGCTTTTTTAAAGGTGCGATTCGAAGCGCCGGAGAGTTGCTGACGCCTCTACAAGCGCAGTTGAAGCTTTCTTGTGCAGTATTCGATGCCAGGAGGTTGTGCGACTCGGCGTGGGCTGCGGCGAGACGTGCGTGTGTGGGACTCGATAGGTCGTTATCACCGACTGCGCACGCAGGATAAATCGTCGATGGATGGCAAAAGACTTCGTTATCGATAATACCGAGGAGCGGCGCGAGACGATCTAGCCCAGCGAGCGGCAACGGTTATGGATCCTCGGATGAACCTAACAAGGAGGATGTGGTGATAATGGAGGATTGGAGGATTAGGAGCCGGCTGGTGGTTATATCTCTCCAAGTCGCAAGCTCCGTGAGCGTGGCCTTGCGCATTCCCTGGTACCCGGAAAGTACATCCAAGGGACCGTGGGGGCTGTTAAACCAAGACTCGGTAGTCGATATGCTTAGGCCGTGCTGTGGGACAACAAGCGGCTGCTAACGTAGCTAAAAATTTGAGCTACCGAGCAAAATCACGGCGCATTGCCATTATTTTATGTAAAACTCTCGCATTTCATTGTCTTGATAGAATTATTTTCACCAAAGCAATCTCAACTGCTTGTATACCCTTATCATCTCGAGTCTCTCCGCATTGTACCCGTCGCTTCCTCCATTGTGCTGTGGTTGATGATGGCGGGGTTTAGGTCCGGGCCACGGAGCACCTGCGCCGATAAGACGGATAGCCCTCTCAGTGGCCATGGCCAATAGCAGCCCGCAAATGCAGCCTGTGCTAAATCGCTTTGACACTCAGCTTCCGGATAGGGCTGCCCAACGATGGCACATGTCGACATTGCGAGGGTTTAATTTGCTGATTTGCAGCCTCTGGATCGCGGGACGTGCGCGTCTAGGTACGGCCAGCTGAGCTGAAAGGAGGCCCGGCAATATTCTGCTCGGTACTGTAGTGTACGTGTACTCACACCACCTTAGTTGGTAGGCAAGGTACAATTTCCCCAGATCTTCCATACAAAGGGTACCCGACAGCCAAGCAGCAAAGACCAGTACGGACACGCACCAGGAAGCCGGGCCCTTCCGAAGGCCATCAGCCGGCGTGCATGAGTTGTTTGTGGGGAGCACGCTGAACCCCGCCATTGGGCGCATCGGGGCCGCCTCTGCCCTATAGAGTACGGTATTGGAGGTCCATCATATACTCGTATACGGATGCAAAAGAAACATCTGTCTCGTCAAGAGGCCCAACACTGGAGTCGATATGTTCGATTTCACTGCATCATGATTAGCAGCGGCCTGGTAGATGGTATGCGATGAGTAGGATGTGCATGGCTTTCCCAGTGTCTGGAGATGGACTATGATGCTACTCTGAAAATGCCTCTCAGTCAGAATGCCTAACCACAGGTATAGGTATTTACGTAACACCTGGCAAGTGATGCATCTCTTTGTACTAATGTATCTAACCGAATAACCATATAACTGCCCGCCGTAATAAACGCGTTGTTGATGTCGATATATCGATGTGAATAGCATCAATCCTTTTGCTTGTATCCAACTAACACGGATTCCCGGCATCGGAAATGTCAAACGACAAGCACCCGTCAACATGGCCAAGATCATATACCAAGGTAAAGTGCGAGGATCCACTCGCTTCTTTGAAAGCCCTACCCCAAATCCAAACATACATAGTAAATACTTCTAGCGTATGCAAGTGATTGGCATTCAATATTGACGGATCAGGCACTAAAACCTGTAGAGCAGTGCTGCTAGACATCGAGAGGTTCAATATCATCTCGTCTCATCAGGCTAACGCACGCTGCTAGTGTCGCGTGTCAGTTTTCGTGATGCTTAGCCGCTAAAACTTCACAGGGGTCTCCGCTAGCGTTAGTGGGGACTGTCGCTTATAGCCGGCGACACTCTGCCCATGAAATCGCCTGCCCGCCGCTAAAGATAAAAAATTCCCCTCGCAGAGTGACGCTCCGATCTTCCTCCGCTAATCACAACGACAATCGCATCTGTGCTCGGCCGCCCCTCTGCCACGGAATCCCTTCAGCATTGCAATTGATTGATTCAGATCGAACTGCCAGTCTATCAAGATGGCCGAGCCAAAGCCCCTTCCCTTCCAATACCAGTTTGCCGCAGGTACGCACAAATACTACTCGGTTAGCTCCAATGTTATTCGATGACAATTAATAACTGACCATGTATTCAGGCGCAATTGCGGGCGTCTCGGAGGTGCGATTTGATCCCATTACCCTCGACGGAAACCTCAGCTAACAGTTCATCTTACTACAATAGATTCTGGTCATGTACGTTGCACGATACCCTTTACGCCCACCAGCCTAAGCGGCCATACTTACAAATCGCCTAACAGGTATCCATTGGATGTGGTCAAGACTAGAGTTCAACTGCAGACGGGCACGGGCACTGGCGCCGAAGCATACAATGGCATGCTTGACTGTTTCAAGAAGATTATCAAGAACGAAGGGTAAGTCATTGCTTCTCTTCTAATGTTCCGCTCATATCTCCATTCGTGCTTCGTTCTCACAGAGACTCAGCTTTTCACGTCTCTACCGCGGTATCTCTGCTCCGATTCTGATGGAAGCCCCCAAGCGAGCTACCAAGTTTGCTGCCAACGACGAGTGGGGCAAGGTCTACCGCAAGATGTTTGGTGTCGAGAAGATGAACCAGTCGCTGTCAGTCCTCACCGGTGCTACCGCAGGTGCCACCGAATCCTTCGTTGTCGTTCCTTTCGAGCTGGTCAAGATTCGTCTGCAAGATAAGGCGTCCGCCGGAAAATACAATGGCATGGTGGATTGCGTTGTCAAGATTGTTAAGAATGAGGGCCCCCTCACCCTTTACCAAGGTCTTGAGAGCACAATGTGGCGACACATTCTCTGGAACGCCGGCTACTTTGGCTGTATCTTCCAGGTCCGACAAATGCTTCCCAAGGCTGAGACTAGCGGCGGCAAGATGGGCAACGATCTGATCTCCGGTGCTATTGGTGGAACCGTGGGAACCATCCTAAACACCCCCTTGGACGTCGTCAAGAGCAGAATTCAGAATACCCCCAAGGTGCCTGGCCAGATTCCCAAGTACAACTGGGCTTTCCCCTCTGTGGTGACTGTCTTCAAGGAAGAAGGTTTCGGTGCTTTATACAAGGGTTTCTTGCCCAAGGTGAGTCTTTCCTATTCCTTTATGGACGTCCATACATTTGCTCACCTCTACTAGGTTCTCCGTCTCGGACCTGGAGGCGGTATCCTTTTGGTCGTTTTCACCACCGTCATGGACACTTTCCGCAAATGGCAATCATAAACACAGATCATGGTATCGGAAAAGCAACATTAGAGAAACTGGTTGGGCTATCGGATGGCCCGCAACGTCGACTTGTCACACTATGCTTAGAGAACTTGTCGCTCAGCATGTAGACGATTTCCTCTTGGATTAGATAGGTACTATATCTCCATTGTTTTGTTTTGTTTTTTCAACATAGACGATGGCTGCGGCAGGTTTATGGGACTTATAAACAGGCGGTTCTAGCGCTTCAATCGTCAAAAGCAACAACGAGTATACAGTTACAAGATTCTTAGAAGTATAGAAGCTTCAATATAAAATATTATTCCCTAATCTCTTATCTTCTTTTCTCAAAGGTCATTTCAATCACGGCCAATGCTCACACGCTCATTTAGTCATTCTGATTACCTCCATAGTGTTCAGGCAATTGCCACTCAAGATCGAGTCGGCTCGAATGCAGCGTGTTTCTCTAGCCAACTCATACGACACCTGCTCAACAGCCTGAATGATATATACAAGAGTGCACGCTCCTTATCTCTTCCAACTCCAGCTCTCTGCAGAATTTACACCGCTTCAAGGCAGAATTATTGAAGCACCACGTGATTCGCAACCACCTATATAATCTGAAGCTCTTCTCTTCTCCTCCTCTCTGCTCTTCTCCTCCGCTCTTTCAGCTCTTCTTTCCACCGCTCTTCTCCATCCCTCAAGCCTCTCAACCTTTCTTTACATATCATCATCGTTTGTGAACATCACTCAAGCATTCTTATTTCCCTTTCGCCACTCTCCCTTGTCTGCCGAGTTGCTACTGGCGATCATCAGCACATTCTCTTGTATCAGCCATGAGCACAGTCACCATGGATGATGATGATGACGATGATCATCTTTCGACTATCGACCTTACTCCTTCAGAGACCGACACCAGCGCTACGGACGAGTATAACCTGTCACATGATGAGGATGATCATTCTCTAGGTAACCATGGTCAGCCTCCACAAAATGACATTCCATTAGAATGATACTGATACGCTGGCAGCTGCACTCAACGCGGCAAATGAGGAGACGACAGCAGAAGCTGCCGCTTCTTCATCTACTTCGGGCCCAAATCAAGTCAACTCGTCTGATGTTCCCGGAGACGAAGTTGAAGATCCAGGCAATGGCGATGGCGATGGCGATAACTCTGACTCTTCTGACTCAGATGAAGATGAAGATCCTGGTCAAGACGGAAATCAGAACAGAGATCAGGACGGAGGCCAGGATGGAAGTCAACACGGAGATCAAGACGAAGACGGGGTTTCATTTGACTTTGACTATGAGTATTCACCAACCGACTCTGAAGCAGAATCGCGGCAAGTATTCTCTCATGCCCTCCCGGAATATCGAATTCGCTGGGCCACTCTTCATCAAAAAGCACGCCTTCGGAAGCACAGGATAAGAGATTTGGAAGCAATTATTGGAAGGCACGAAAGTGACGAAAGAGAGCGCGAGAGGCTTCTTCGAGATGGAATAGTAAGACGAGCCCAACCCAACCAATCGAATGAGAGGCGCACTCAAGCGGTACGTAACCTCATTGAGTTTGAAAGCTTCAAGGGTCTTTGTTTCCTGACTAACCAGCGGAGCAGACTTGGCCATCCCTCATCCGCCAGGGCCAAGTGGAATGGGAGCGGATTTACAAGATTTCGTGCAAGGAGGGAAATGCTTCGCCTGTCCTCAAAAAAATTCACCCAGACCTGAATTTGAGAAAACCTACGAGGGCAGAACTACAAGCAGATTTACTACGGAGAGAGATGCCGCGGTCCTCTAACATACCTGCAGACAACACACCTGGGAGCGACATGCTTCGGAGTGACACTCCTAGGAAGCAAATACCTGGGGACATACAATTCAAGATCCTCAGATGCCTCCTCGAGTTTCAAGGCAAGGTGGTCCATGCCATATCCCGCTTAGACCCGTATCATCCAGCAAGTGCAGTGCCGATGAACCGGTATCAAAGGCCAAGCTTCTTTCATCGCCTACACGTGGGAAGGGCTCCGGTGAACATTACGTTTGCGCCTAATCCCAACGTATTCCTGGCTCCATTGCTGGTCTGCAGGAAATGGCATTTCTGGGGCAGTCATATATTCTATGGCAAGAACACGTTTGCTTTTTCTTCTTTGGGCGAATAGGGTCGCTTTGCCAAAGGGATTCGAGCAAACGTCCAACGGCTGCAGCATATCGAGATCCTCTGGATAGGATCGCAACATCTCACCTTTGCAATCAACGACCGCGGGAAATATACATCACGTCGCACATTTTCGCTAGTGTGGCTTCCGGAGGCTATTCGCCTCAAGACTATCGGCGTCTATCTTCCAGAGTCCAGCGAGATGTATATGCGTCGCAACCATGAGCCGAGGGGTATAAACCATCATATGAAATGCAAATCCAAACTACAGCCCAATTTCAGAGGATTTCGTTCACTTCGTACAGTACAAGGCATGGACTACGTCTATTGCCTCCGGGGTCTAGACCAAATTGAATTCTGGGATTTCGACCGGTGGCTTGACACGCAGCAGAGGAAGCAACCAGTGCGAGACTGGCACTTTATAATGGACGTAAACAACGCTGTCCGGAGGCCCAAGGATGTCAAGAATCGTTCCCGATCGCAGTTGAGGAATCTATTTCCACTACTCAATTCGTTTATCCCATCGGAAGAAGACTGGGCCGTTCTGCTCAGAGGTCTCGGGAGTCATGAGGCAGAAGGACCTCAAGGAAGTAGGCCTGAATCACCGGAGGCGGAGACTTCGATCGTTACCGGCGACACCTCGCCAGAATCGAGTTCGGATACTGACTCCGACGCTGATTCTGACTCTGACTCTGATTCAAGTCCTGGTTCCGATTCAGGTCCAGGTCCAGGCCCAGACTTAAATCTTGGTTCAGACTCAGATTCGGACTCAAGCTCAAGCTCATCCGATGACGATGACGACTACTCTCCATTGCAGCTAATTCCACTACCCAATTTGGGTGCCAACCTTCCATCGCAACCCGCTTCACAGCCCAACTTGAGTGTCAACTACCCATTGCAACCGGTTTCACAGCCCAGTTTAAGCGTCAACTCTTCATCGCAACCAGTATCACAACCAGCTTCACAACCCAATTTGGGTGCCAACCCTTCATCACAACCCGCTTCACAGTCCAACTTGGGTGTCAACTCAGTCAGCGCTGAAGAAAATAGTCTCCCACATACTGAGAGCTCACAACCTAGCAATATGCTGTTCAACTTCGAGATGCTTCGTATAGCCATCCAAGACAGTGATGATGAATCCACCATCGTGCCAGATGACCGATCTGTCTCTGGACACCCATTGCTCGACCTTACTGAGGATGAAGATGATCAACCGAACCAAGAATATAGCCAAGATACGGCACCTTCTGCTCAGAGTTCGACGAATGACAATCCGGAAGGCAGCCTCTTTGTCTCTGACGATGGGTACAACCCGTCATATACACCGTCGCTCACACGGAACACCCCAGGTGATAGAGGCCCGGGAGATGATTGGGAGGGCAATTCTGACGACTCTCCCCCCAAATCAACCGAAGGAAGCGAAGAGAGCGAAGAAAGTTTATTCGTCGGCTCCGTACCTTCGCATTTATATCAAACACCCTCGGTGTCGGCCACGGGGCGCCAAAACGAGAACAATGATGAAAACATAGTGATTGACCTTACAGATGAGGATCCGACAGATAATTTCTTTTACGAAAAATCGGTTACGCCTCCAGATTCTCGGAAGCGAGACCACTTGAAGATTGAAGAAGAAGACGGTGATGGTGATGGTGGTGGTGGCAGTGCTCCAGTGAGTGCAAAGAGGCCTCGCACATAGAAAAGACGCGGGCAAAGTAGGTACTAAAATAGGTGATCTGGACCTGAGATAGGGTAGGACAGCCTCTCAAAGATGGAGACGGACGTTGAATTTGGCTTCCAAGGTTGATGAAAATTTGCTTTTCCGCTAGCTCTATTTAGTTGATATTTGCGACTATTTACGAGAATCCAATTGATCTCGGTTTGTTTCTTTGAGCCTCTGCAGCCACCAAAAGCCCCAGTGGCCAACGATTCAACGCCCGGTTACACGTACCAAACATGCAGACATGCATAGACATGAATGTACTCCGTAGGCGCAGGGCACATGCAACTGCAAGTATGCTGGCCCACCGCAGTGACAGTGAATGACCTCACAGGCTCCGGCGTACTCCGGGCCTACCTGAACAGTTGCTGCAGCTCCCAATTAGAGACGCGCAAGCCGGCCGAATCGGAATTGCCTGCTACCTGGCATGCCGACTTGTACGCTGTGCCTTGCTTTCTTGGCCGTGGAAGCCCCGGTTGACGCACTGGAATCACGCATGGAACCATGGAGACTTAATGATTTGATGTAGGGTAAGCCTTGGCTGACGGGCTTGAGACCCGGATCTCCCTGTACGGGGCGTTACGGAGTATTTCCCTCAATCTAGCAGTTGCGTGGCTGGAGATGGGAGGCCAGCGCGTGACGTAAGGTACAAGAGCGAGGTATGCAGATTAGGCGTCACAGCCTGCTGACAAAAAGCCGGCAGCGTAATTCGGGCTTCAGCGTGCTCGGATATTTTTGTCCATCAGGCCTGGGGAACTTTTCTCTTCGTCTTCCCTCTCCTCCTCTCCTAACGTAATCAAGCCGGGAGCGTACGTAAACTGACTCAAGCTAGCTGGAAACAAGGCGAGGCGAACCGACTGATAGACTTGTCAAAGCCCGTTTCGCTCAGCATTCTTCTCGGAAGAGCCTCTTCTTCCCTCCACGACTTGCACTAGACATCTATCCTCCCGCCTCTTTGCGCCGCGCAATCAGGCCTCATCACCGCTCGCACGACAAAGACTCTTTGTTCGCGTGCATTGCCTCTCCCCTTTGCTAAGCGCCATAGCTGTTGCGACCAGCCGCCCCACGCCAAGCACCTCCCAGGCACATCAAGCGTTGCAGCCGCCGAGTTCGAGTGGCGATTCGATTCACCTCTTGTGAGGCTCGTCAGCATCTGGATCCTGCTTGTGTGCAGCCGTTTGCCAAAGGTTCACGCTCGCTGCGTCTAGCGGCTGAATTTGCTGCGCACCCCGGACAGCCGCTTCAATCTCATTTCTCTTCTCTCCTATCCTGCTAGCTGCGACCGACCCCCATCAACTTCTCGCGCGTCAATCATCCAGCCCTTTTCCTCCCTCCTCTTTTCTTTTTTCTCCTCTTCTAGCTGTGAATAGTACAACTCGCCCACCATGTCAAAGGTTATGCGCAGCGTGAAAAACGTGACCAAGGGTTACTCTCATGCCCAGGTCAAGGTCCGAGATGGTTTGTCACCGCCGGAATTGCCGCTCATCGGTCTGGTCAGCGATGCTAATTGTAACTTCTTTCCATAGCGACGAGCAATGACCCATGGGGTCCGACAGGCACGCAGATGAGCGAGATTGCTCAAATGACCTTCAACACGTATGTCGCGCCCTGAGCAAGCAAGTACCATAGCGTCAAACTAACTTCAGTCCGGTTGAAGGTCCAACGAGTTTTACGACATAATGGATATGCTTGATAAGAGACTTAATGACAAAGGAAAGAATTGGCGTCACGTTCTCAAGGCGTTGAAGGTTCTCGACTACTGTCTGCACGAAGGCTCTGAGCTAGTTGTCACATGGGCGCGCCAGAGTATCTACATCATCAAGACGCTGCGAGAGTTCCAGTACATCGACGAGGAAGGCCGTGATGTCGGACAGAATGGTAGGTCGATGGCCCCGCTCTTCCTGTTGGCGGTTATTAACGCAGTGCGCAGTTCGTGTCGCGGCAAAGGAATTGACCGCGCTTATCCTTAATGACGAGCGATTGCGAGCGGAGCGAAGCGACCGGAAGTCCTGGAAGTCGCGCGTCATGGGTCTCGATTCAGATTTCGGCCCGCAGTACGCCGAGCAGTCTCAGCGACGTCAGCCTCGATCAGAACGGAGAGCTCAAAATGAGGAAGACGACACCGAGTATCGCCTTGCTATTGAAGCCAGCAAATACCAGGAGGAGGAGGACAGGAAACGAAGGCAGAATCGCTCCAGTGGTGAAAATGATGACGATCTCGCAAAAGCCATCAAATTGAGCCAAGAGGAGGAGGAGAGAAGACGCCGTGAGCTAGAAGATTCTAACGCCGCTTCTCTATTTGACGATGACACTCCCGCAACCTCGCAACCACAGCACACCGGATTCAACCAGGGATACCAACAAGGCAACGCTGTGGATTTCTGGGCCAACCCAATTGATCAACAGGCTGCGCAGCTTCCACAGCAGACAGGTTATCTAGGAAACGCGTATACCGGATACCAGCAACCGCAGCAGCAGCAGCAGCCGCAGCAAACTGGCTGGCAGCCAAACTACAACGTGGCTTTCGGTCTTGATACCTTCCTCCCGGTGCCAGCAGGTAACCTTGCTCAGCAGCAGCAGCAGCAGCAGCAGCAGCAGCAACAACAGCAATTCCTACAGCAGCAGCAGTTTGCCCAGCAACAACACTTGCAGCCTACTCAGGCGCTGGACTTGGCCGTTCAGCCTGGAAGCAACAATCCTTGGGCAACCAATAATCAGCTGCAGCACCAGTCTATTCAGCCCACACCGACCGGTTCCAACAACCCCTTTGCTCAGAACAGGCCGCAATCAGCAAGACCTGCGACGTCTTCTCTTAGCCCTCTGCCAGAGCAAAAGACTCTGTCTAACTTCAACCAGCCCCAAATCCAGCTGCAGCAGCAGAAGCCTGCCTTTGGCCAGCCCCAGAGAGAACTCAGCGAGCACGAGATGAAGCTGAACGCTTTGCTTGCCTCTGGAGACGGCATGGACACATACGGAAACACGGGAGATTTGCGAATCCCTTCTCAGCACACTGCTCCAGGAACGTTTATCAACAGCGCTGGAGCCGGTCTTGGTCGCCTTAACCCAGAAGCTACCGGCAACAACCCTTTCCTACGACAGCAGTTCACAGGCCTTCCGAGCATCACCTACGGTGGCCAACCTCAGATAAACAGCAATCCATTTGGAGCCCAGCAGCGACAGCAACAGGGCCAGCCGCAAGATCTAATCCAATTTTAAGGCGGAGAAGTTTGTTTAAAAAAACTGGACTAATTTTTATATACCAAAGACGGGACTGACGGATTTTCATTGCTCTTGACACTCTTTCTAATACCGCCATTTTTCTCTTTTGTTTGTTCCCATTCATGGACTTATTATACCTTACCTTTGTTTAAAGGTAAAAGTCTCTATTCCCTGTAGCAACGACTTCTCGGCATCGTACCAATTTGTTTTCTTGACTTTGCTGGGGGGAGGGGACAAGATACTACTCGTTTGGGTGGCTGAGTGGAATTAAACCGGATATCTTTTTTTTGTCATCTTCGCACGATCCACGTGGTATGTTAATTAGACAACGCGCCTCTGGAATTCAAAATTGTAGATCTGAATTCGACCTTGTTCATATTTGTCCAAGCTTTCCTTCTCGTGAATGCTAGCATAGGTATCTCGTAGCACTTATTCTAGTCCTGAAGCCGAAAGCAACTCCTGCTGTCATTGCCTCGTTATACATAATCCTAAACAAGCAAAAAAAAAGCGACAAAAACTACCGATACGCCATCTCCAAAAAAGATATACTTTGTGAGCATGTGCGCATTATATGTGATCCATTGTCCTTGACTATGACTTTGCAACATTCCGAAATCGTGTGCTCCTGGGTGGGCCGACCAGCTTTCATACGTCCCGGTAAGGGCGGGTTGTCGGGAAGGCGAGCCGTATCTTCAGCGGCGAAACAACTCTATGCCGGGATATCGAAGGCTTTTTTTTGGGCCAAGGTTGGCATGGTCTCCCCTGAAGCTTTTGTCATAAAACATCTTTCTGGCCTCTCTTGATGCCCAACTAGCCAGCCTCTTCCATCATCTGTATGAACTCTTCGAGATTCACGCCGCCTTTGCCGTCGTGGTCGAGATGTTCTATCATGGTCTGGATCTCCTCGTCCGTCATTGTGCGTTCTTCCTTAATGTCCTGAGCCAGATGCCTCATGTCTTCGACCGAGATGATTCCATCCTGGTCGTAGTCGAACATGTTGAATACTTTGATTGCCTCCTCACGCGGGTCTCGTCGGGCAATGAGCTTTGCGGCGCATAGTCGAAACTGGTCGGGGTAGATAAGCAGGCGGTTCACCGGGCAGCTGTGAGGATCTCGCCAGTCCGGCGGTACGGTGCCGTAATTTTCTAGTTCTCTGCAGTACTCGGGTTTGGGCATGTCGAAGCCCAGCGCGGCGAGGGAGTGCTTGAATTCGTAGCTATTCAGCCACCCTTTTTTCTTCATGTCCATCAAGTCGAACTATGTCATTGCCATGTGAGAAGCCCGGGACGGCCTAAGACAGGTGGTGGCGACTTACGACTTCATCAATGTGTTCGCGATCCTCGTCGGCAATGGTGCCGTAATCCTCGTTGGAAGACACCTGCGGCGCGGGGGGGTTCCGTGGCTGCGCATGCTGGTTGGACCCTCCTGCTATTGATCGCCCCGGAAAAGGGCGAGGCGTATGAGAGTTCATGCCAGGCGGATAGTCCAGGCCGAGGAGTCGTAAATCGTGAAGCAAGTGAGCGAGCGTGAGTGCGTGAATGCGATAGCGTATCCAAAGAGGATTGGGCTTTTTTTTTTTTCTGAGAAGCTTATACTGCCAACAGGGGAACCAAAAGGCGGCGCATGGGTCGCAACGGGGGGGAAAGCCCAGGCCGTAAAATAAGGACGCAGGGAGGACAGAAAAAGTAGTATAGAGTGTGGAATGCGGCTTATAACAGGAATAACGAAATGAATAAAAGAGAGGTCTGTAGCTATGGTCGGAAGCACTGCGAGGTTGATTGCTTGGGTTGACGTTATTTTGCCAGCGGACGAGGGATGCGACGCGACGGAGCTTGACGCGCCAACAGGCGGTTGCTCTCGCGATGCAGCGGCTTTAGGCCTAAACACACCCGCTGACTTGTCGCCTGTCAGTGGAGGGGAGCCGCTACAGAAGGGGTTACATGGTTACACCTGACCAAGGTTCCTCGTAGGCAGTGGCCTAGGCACCCGCAACCTGCCTGCCTGGTAGAGCAATTGGCGGCGCTGATTGGCTGGCGTTAGTCATCACCGCGGCTTGGGCCAATGGGAGGGGAAAGTTCTTGTCTGAGGCACCAACATCAGTCAGCCTAGCCTAGCGGGCAGCAGCAGCGACACGAAAAAAAAAGCTGAGCTGAGCAGAGAAAGGGCCGGCTTTTGCTTTGACCTGAACTTTTGCCTCCCGTCTGCTGCCCACCAGCTCAACGGTGACCATCTTTGCCGGAGGTATAAAAGGCCATTTACGCCTTTTGCGCTGCACCTCTCTGGTCCTTGCTCAGCAGTTTTCTTGTCATTTGTTTACCTTGTCTCTCCTTCGGTCATTGCGCCTCTCGTTGTCCCTGCTGCGGCGCCATTTGTCGCGGCTTAGCTCTTTGTTAGAAAGCCGTCAGATAGAGCAGATAATCGGTCCATCACCACAACGCGACTTTTCGCTCATCGGCTCATCACCTCGCCCTCGGGCATGATTGACCTGGACGGCCGCTGCTACCACTAATCCACATATTATCGCATATGCGCGCTTTCTTCCGCGATTCTCGATTTGTTGTCCGTGGCCGATATTGATCGCGCCCTCTCTCGAGTCCCTCTTCGCGAAGCACACGCTTTACCACAACAAAACAGCGTTTACGGATAGCTCCTAGCACCAGTCACTCCCTCCGAATACCGCGATACACGGACGCCCATCATGTCGTTCGGCGGATTTGGGGGCGGCTTCGGCACAAACACCAACCAGCAGTCCTCGGGCGGGTTTGGTGGCTTTGGAGCCAACAATAACACCACTTCATCAGGTACATTCAATCACGACCACGGCCAGGCGTTACACCAATCACTAACCACAGACCATACAGGCTTCGGCTCCAACACTGGAGGCTTTGGTGCATCTACCAACACCGGCGGCGGCATGTTTGGCGGCAATACCGGAGGCGGCTTTGGCTCAACGCCTGGTAAGTCCATTCTTTTGGAAAGTCGAAGGGCACGGGATAGAGATACTCATCCGCTGCCTTCCTCGTTCCCAATTTTCACCCCCACCTCTGCCTCCCCCAATTCTAACAATATTTTAGGCGGCTTTGGATCAAACGCGGGCGGCTTTGGCAGCAAGCCTTCTTTCGGCTCGACCCCTACTACTACTCCTGCTTCAGGTGGTCTCTTTGGAGCCTCCAGCACCCCTAGCAGCACCGGTACGGGCTTTGGTGGGTTTGGATCAAACACCAACACTACCACCCCCTCTGCGTTTGGCAGTAACACTACTGGCGGCGGCCTATTCGGCAATGCTAATAAACCAGCAGGCGGTTTCGGAGCTGCGAACACGGGCTCTCTGTTTGGCGGCGGCAACACCAACACCGCTTCCAACACGGGCACGGGTTTTGGCAACTTTGGTTCGACTAATACTCTGGGCGGCACCACTGGCGATCCTCCAGGCACGGCCGTCACTCCTTTCCAAGCCTTCAACGAAAAAGAGCCCAACAGCAGCACCAACACTTCCAACGCATTCCAGAATATCTTATTCCAAGATCCCTATAAGAAGTGGTCTGCTGATGAGCTGAGATTGGTAGACTACGTCCAGGGCAGACGGCACGGCAACCCCAGCGGTGCTGGCGCTTTTGGGGTAGGCTCGGGCTTCGGCGGCTTCGGCAATCAGACGAATACTCCTTCAACTGGTGGCTTTGGAGCGACAAACACCACTGGCGGATTGTTTGGAGCAACCAACACGCCTAATACCGCAACCTCTGGCTTCGGCGGCGGTTTTGGCACCCAAAATACCCCTGCTACCAGCAATACTGGTGGTGGCCTCTTTGGCAACGCCAACAAGCCAAGTGGAGGTCTGTTTGGAAACACCCAGCAGAACCAAACCGGAGGTCTTTTTGGGACAGGCGCTGCCAACACCGGGACAACTGGTGGTTTTGGTTCGACACCCGCCACTGGTGGTGGACTTTTCGGTGCAACGAACAACGCTGCAGCTAACACTGGCGGAGGCTTGTTCGGCAACACTGCACAGAAGCCTGCAGGCACTGGATTCAGTTTCGGCAACAACACAAACACGCCATCCACGGGCTTTGGAACGACCAATAACGCTTTTGGCTCAAATACCAACACCGCGACTGGCGGCGGTCTTTTTGGAAACACCAACGCCAGCGCACAGCCTAGCGGAGGTCTCTTTGGGAACAACGCTCAGCAGCAGCAGAATACCTCAGGAGGCTTGTTTGGTCAGGCGCAAACTCAACAGTCTGGGGGGTTGTTTGGCAACACTCAGCAGAAGCCAGCTACAGGCGGGCTTTTTGGCTCCACCCCTGCCGCTACCAACACAGGTGGTGGCCTTTTCGGAGGCAACACAGCCCAACAGCAGGGAACGACAGGCCTGGGAGGCACAAATACAGCTGCTGGAGGCCTTTTCGGAGCTAAGCCAGCTACAGGTACTGGACTTTTTGGCTCCACGCCTGCTGCTACCACCACAGGCGGCGGCCTTTTCGGTGGTACCGGCGCTCAGACTCAGCAAGCTGCCGGCACAGGCCTGTTTGGATCAGCAGCAAATCAGCAGAAGCCTGGCCTCTTTGGATCTACGCCCGCAGCAGCAGGTACGGGACTGTTCGGTAACACTGCAGCGGGAACTCAAGGTGGAATCTTTAGCAACGCTGGTAACCAACAGCAACAAAGCCTTGGCCTCGGTGGCTCCTTGCTAGGGGCTTCTCAGGCAGTTAACAACGTGCCTCAAGGTCTCACTGCAAACTTGAGCGACGTCTCGGCTTATGGCTCGCCATCGTTGTTCTCTGGGGTTAGTGGAGGCGAAGTCCCGAACCCTGGTCCACTCGCGGTGCCCCTGAGCGGACAGCCGAAGCCCAAGAGACCCTCAATCTTCCCCATGTATAAGTTTACACCTGCGGCTTCCGGTCGTTTTGGCACACCCCAAAAGAGAGGATTCGGCTTCTCCTACAGCAGCTATGGGACTCCTGGAGGAGGAAGCCCCGCAGTCCTCTCTGGCACTCCCAGCAGTCTGGGCCGTAACTTGTTGGGCGCCAGCAGCAGCGGAACCGCCCTCAGCAAGAGCATATCGTCAAACAATCTGCGCCGCACTGTCAACGCCGAGGACAGTATTCTCCTGCCTGGCGCCTTCTCTAATACTAACAACACGCGCTGGTATGGAAGCACGGGCTCAAAGAAGCTGGTTATTAACCGCGAACTGAGGAGCGACCTCTTCTCTACGCCGGCAAAGGACGGCCGGAACGGCGATAATGGAACCGGCCCACGAAAACTGGCTAAGCGAGTCAGTTTTGATACCAACGTAGATGGCGAAGACTCCTCCCCTGTACGAGCGTTACCAGCTCCTGGTGATGTGCCAGAAACTCCTGGTGAGGATACTCCCCGGTCGGACAAGTCGACTCCCACCACGAACGGACTTCGAACTCCCGAAATGGAGCAATTTAAGGGCAAGGGCAAGGACAAGGAATTGGCCATTGTTCAAGAGGAAGACAGCGCTACGCCCGAGCCCCAGGCCAACGGTTTTGATAACGCTCCAGGAAAATACTGGATGGACCCTTCACGGGAGGAACTCCAGAACATGAACAGAATTCAGCGACAGCGGATTGATAACTTCACCGTTGGCCGAGAGAATGTCGGTTCCATTACCTTTAAGATCCCGGTGGATATTAGCGCCATCGATCTCGATGAGCTTTGCGGTGGTATCATCCAACTGGAGCCTCGGTCTGCAACTGTCTATCCCATTGCGGCGAAGAAGCCACCCGTCGGAAAGGGTCTGAATGTGCCTGCTAGGATAACATTGGAACAATCTTGGCCTCGCGGTGGTCGAGACAAGAGGGTCTCAAGCGACCCCAAGCGCTTCAATAAGCACATTGAGCGGCTGAAGCGTATTGTCGACACCACCTTTGAGAGCTACGATGTGGACACGGGAGTTTGGGTCTTCTCCGTTGAGCACTTCACAACATACGGACTGGACGACTCGGATGAAGAGACTGATTTTGACACTACTCTCGACCTTCCTACTGCAGCCCCATTGTCCAACATCGCACCGCCGGCACCGTCCCATCCATCTCGAGATGATGACGCGATGGATTTTTCTCAATCGCACATGATTCCTGGCACTTTCGACGACCAGGAAGGGCTGTTCACAACTGAGTTCACTGGACGACAGTCTTTTTTAGGGGTTAGCTCCGCGGACTCTGCTACATATGATGTCAAACTCTCACTGGAAAATGAAATGACCGGTGACGACATCGCAGAGTATGATATGTCCGAGGATGAAGACATGACGAGGTCTTCTATCGGACAGCATCTCGCCGCGGAGCATGACGATGCCTCGTCCGAGGGTGGCCAGGATACTAAGCGCTCGACCGCAACTCCTGGTGGCATTCTCAGAGCCAGAATGAGAGCGATGAAGGATTCAGCTGGCCCTGTTAAGCTTGAAGTCGCAGATGGCGACGACTGGATGGAAATGTTGAGGAAGACGGTCAGCCCTATTAAAAGGGACCGCCATCTGCTAAAAGAGGTAGCCGGTGCTGCCCCTAAGGGGGGAAAGACGGTAACATTTGATCTCGACGACGAATCGGATTTTCGAAAGTCGTCTATTTGGGGCAGGAGCATAACCAGGTCCGATAGGAAAAACGGACCTGCGACTGGTGCTCAGATTGGTATGGATCAAGGACGTGGATTCGCTACGAGTATCGACTTGATGAATTCCTTGTTTGAGAAGCCAAAGCCGAAGCCGGCACGTCAGGAGTTTAACGCTTCTCAATCTGCCAAAGGTTTTCCCAAGGTCGGTACCCTCATTGTTTTGTGAATTAACAACTTTTTTTTTTTCCCCTGTTGAGATTGATACTACTACTTTTTTCGGGCTGGGTAGAGGCCCCAATGTGTATTTAACCAAGTAATGAATAGAATGCTAAAATTTTCTGTGTCCATTACAGTTCCCATACGAACGACAGGCTAAGATTCTTACGGCCGAAGAAGAGGAGCGCGCCTTTCATAGCGTCTCGAGGCCAACCTGGGGACCAGATGAGACCCTTGTCTTGATTCGGTCGCTGGACGGCTCACACTCGCGCCGGTCAATACGTGATAACACGGATATCCTGACGTTTCAGCGGTCTAATATAGAGACCAATGAGCAGGATGTTCGCCTGGCTACATTCACTGCTGAGGTAAGTCCACCACGTAATGAATGTGAACCAATAAATGGGGTTGACTGACATGGTTTCAGCCATCAAAGAAATATCTTGCCTCTCAGGATATTGTGACCGAGATAAGCATCGTTGAGGGAGTGCCACAAGCCAACCTTCACACTACAAGTCTCAAGAGCCTGTATCAGCCAAAGATTATGACTGATGCGGCCAGCATCCATGAGAAGCAGGTCTGGGAGCTCGCAAGCATTTTATTCGACAATCTAGACAACCAAAGTCCGATGGAGGACGAGCATTTGGCGCGCAGAAACAAGCTGTCCCAATTCTGGTCCGATTTGGTCGACCAGGCCTCATCTACGGCTATTGGCCTCGCAGCCACTAGTGAAGAGAAGGCGCTCGCATGTCTTGCCGGTCACCGGATCCCAGAAGCCTGTAAACACCTCTTGGATGGTAGGAACTTCCGCCTTGCAACTCTGGTCCCCCTGATCGGCACTAGTGATGTCGCAAAGAAGGAAATGAGAGAGCAGGTGAAGTCGTGGTTGGATTCGAAGATACTGTCTGAGTTTTCCGAGGCCATTCGTACCATTTACGAGCTCCTGAGTGGAAATGTCTGTGTCTGCGAGGGTTTGAAGGGTGTACCCAACGAGGATCGAGTCGATTCCTTTGTCATCTCGAAGCACTTTGGTTTAGACTGGAGACAATCTTTCGGCTTGCGACTGTGGTATGCCATTTCGAAGCATGATGACCTGTCCGCTGCCGTCGAGAAGTTCAAGGACGACATTGATCAAGATAAGGAGGACTTGCCTCGCCCCTGGTATGTTGAGCAGGGTATCGCTCCTCTTTGGGACGATACCAATATCGACACTCGCCAAGATCTGCTCTGGGGTCTTTTGCAGCTGTATGCTGACCAAGACGCCGACTTGGAGGCTGTCCTTCGCCCGGAGAACTCGCAGCTTTCCCCTCTTGACGCGAGACTTCGATGGCAGCTGGGCATCGCCCTGACATCCACCGGCAAGGTCTCATATGGTGCAAACGGGTTAGAAAAGGCCGATGCCGCTACTCTTGCATATGCTGCCCAACTTACCCGGGCAGGCGAGTGGCTCGAAGCTGCTTTCGTGTTGCTACACCTGCACCACACAGCAGCACGCAAAAAGGCTCTCCAAGAACACCTCTGTCAGCACGCCAACTTGATTGGATCCGAGTCAGATGCCAACTTTGTCATGCTCACGGAGAAGTACCGCATCCCAGTAGCTTGGATCTGGGAAGCTCTTGCACTCTATATGCGTTGCGTGAAGAAAGATTCTGTGGCTGAAATGCAGTGCCTTTTGCGAGCAGGATCACATGTTGAAGCCCACCGCATTTTGGTTCAGCACGTTGCCCCGCAGGCCATTATTGAGCGTGACTACGCCGGCTTGTCGTCTCTCATCGCACAATTCCAAGATCGTCAACAGGGCATCTCAGAATGGACCCAGGGTGGTGAGATTTATGGCCACTTCCTCCAGCTGATCGAATGCCGGGGTAAAGGAGAAAGCGTTTCCCCTGCCCTGCTGGATAGGCTCCTTGCAGGTCTGAACGCGATGAAGGATATTGGAGTAGAGAGCAACATTACACGATACGCCGCTATCTCCGACATGGCAGACGAAACTGCCCGAGAAATCGTCAAGTTGACACGACAGAAACAGGTATGTGATTCTTTGATTGAAACACCTTGTTAATTATCTTCCCACTAACACGAGTGCAGGATATGGAACTTCGATCCCGAATTTTGAGCCTTCCACTTACCCAAGATCGACTGCTCGCATACTCGGTTGACCTGAGTTTGGACCGCTACAGAGAGGTGATGTCACATTAGGTGTTGGGAATGAGAGCGGATTGGATTGGATGGGATGAGTTGAGATGAAATGGATAGGACTCGGAAATACCTGCTGCATTGAGGTTTTGATTTATTCACTGTTTTCTTTCTTTTCTTATAACAAGACAAAGGGAGTGCACAAACTGATAGGAGAGGAGATTAGCTAGCATCATGAGTGGAAGGACAAGGGAAAGGAAGAACCAACCATAGGCTAAACTTGGAGTGTAGTATAATAGCTGTTTGATTTAGATTGATGCGATTTGCTGTCGCGTGTAATGAAGATTTGGATGAAGTCTAGGACCATGTCGGTTTTGTAAGTGACAGACAGACAGCAGCACATGGCCTAACGCCAAATCTTCGGACAGGAACAAATCTTGCTCTGACAAAATAAAAATACAATACAATATTGCATCATTGTAGCGCCCATTTCCCCTTTGACGAAACCTTGGAAACCATGTCAAAGCCCAAGAACTGGCCAGCAACGCTCCCCTATCTCAAGGCGCCCCTCTACGGCAAAGACATTTCCGCCACGCACATCCAGTTCCTCCGCACAAGACCCCAAGACGGCGACATCGACCAAGTGCCAACCGCCCCAGCCTCGTCGCCGGCAACAGAAACGCCGTGCCCGCGCGTCAAGATCCAGGCCATCACGGACCGCAGCCACCCGGCGTACGGCCAGTTCGGGCTGTTCGCCGCGCAGAACATTGCGCCGGGGGAGCTGATACTGGCGTACCTGGGGAGGCTGCACGGAAGGGCGACGACGAGCGAGGAGAGCGATTATGACTTGTGGCTGGACCGGGAGATGGACGTGGCGGTGGATGCGGCGAGGGAGGGGAACGAGGGGCGGTTTGTGAATGATTATCGCGGGATTGAGGGCAAGGAGAGAGCGAATGCGAGGTTTGGGAACGTGTTTTGCGAGAAATGGGGCGAGGTCTGCGTCGGGGTTTGGGCGGTGGGAGGGGGTTCTAAGGCGAAGGGGGATGGGAAGAAGAAGAAGAAGAGCGAAGGAGGGATCAAGAAGGGGGAGGAGATTCTGGTAAGTTATGGGAAGGGGTTTTGGGAGGAGAGGAGGAAAGATGGTGGTGATGATGGTGGTGAGGATCAGTAGACAATAGGGGGCGAATCACATGTTACACGATAGATGGATCATAGAATGCTTTGCTTGGTTTACGTTACAGACAGAGTCTCCTACTCTACAGCTTCATATCTTCCTCACAAGGAAAACAAAATAATACTAATAATAAAAAAGGTATACCCCCGGTGTTCCGTGGCGCCACCCAACCAGCCCTTACGCCGGCCCGTCCCAACGATACCGGCAAAAAAAAAAGAGAAATCAACAACTAAAAAACACAAGTTTAATAAATAAAACAAGGGCAAGATTCAGTTTTTGATATCCTTTTCCAACGCCCTATGCATGCTGAGCAGTCACAAAAAAAGAGAGCCAAAAAAAAGCATCCGTGAATGCAGCCAGCATTTCATTATTCGTCTTCGCCCTCAGCATCGACATCCAGTTCTTCCTCTTCGCCTCCGCCGTTGATGCCTTGGTCGGGTGCCGCCACTGCTTGGCCGCCCAGCTGTACGCTCAGCACAAATCCATTGCTCGACGGCTGAGGAGTCATGACTCTAACTTCGTCCTTGGCAGGTTCTTCGTCGCCCAGAGATGTTGTAACGCTGTGATCGCCGTCTGTAATCATGTCCGTCCCAGGGGCCGGCCTGTCCCTCCATCCAGGTGGTAATCCCGGCCCACTGTCTGCATTGCCGTAGTCTGACTTCTTAGTTCCCTTAGGCCACCTGCCAGGGCCACGACCAGTGCCGCCTGTCCTTCTCCTAGATCCGCTGCTTCTAGGACGGTTGGCAGGAGGTCGCCGGCTGCTCCCACCAGCCCTCTTTGGTCGTGGCCGAGAGCTACCTCCTCCTGAGCTGCGAGGCACCAATGGTCTGCTTACACTCTGCCGCGAGCGATCAGCACGGCGGCCACCGGCTACAGGCGGGAAAACTTCAAAGCGGCTTGGTGGTATATCGCGATAAGGCGTCATCCAATCTGGTTCCGAATCCACATCATCCATGGCTTCGTCTTGTGGCTCTGCGTTTTCTTTGTCTTCAGGCGCCATCTTCTCCTCGATCGACATAATCGGTGTAAATCCTGGGTTGCTATTGCTTGAGTCGCCCGTCTCCGATGCAGAGCTAATTCTCGACTGAGGACCCTCGTTCACTTCACCGTCCATCATCATCGAATGGTTTTCTCCCGATATGCCATTTGCACCCTCCTCAAGCTTGGCCTCATCGTCTTCCCGAGGGGCAATCGTGTTGATAGGCGGCCCAAGCTCAAAGTTAACAGCATTGCTGCGGCCCATCACATATGGTGTCCATGCAAGAGCCTCGGGCTTCAGTTGCACATACCCCTTTGACTCCCATTTGGCCACGTACTGTCGGCAGTATTCCAGATCGATCCGGAAGGCATATACCTTTGTCTGCGGATCCCGCACTAGCGCTCGAAGGCCTTCCAAAGCGGCAATCACGTCGTCAGGTGTCATGCCCGTATCATCTGATATTTGTCGAATGCTCAGGCCGTTTTGCTTGTGCTGATCATCTTTTAATGTCTCGATGAAGTATCGGCAGAGCCGCAGGCGCCAATAATTTCTGTACGAGACAAGACCCATGTCGGAGAGTGGCTTCTCTGGAGACCCCGTCTTCTCTTCTACTTTGGTAAGGAGATATGAGAAATCAATAAGTAGGTTGCCGTATCCCTTTCTTTGGTGGATCGGCAAGGTTAAAATGCATGAGACGTTGTTCTGGCTGCTTGCGCGCTTCTCCTTGGAGAAATATCCGACGAAATGGTAGCCGCAATCATCATACTCACACAAGACGTAGAACAAGAATGGTTCCACGTCGTAATACAATGTTTTGGACCCTAAGAAAAGCTTTGCCAAAAGACACAGGTTCTGACAGTAGACTGGGTTCTTCCGGCCGTCAACCTCAAACACCGACACTGATCCGTGTCGATAAATCTCGTCGCCCGGAGGATGTTTCGCAGCGCATTTAAGCTTATGGCGCCACGCCACATAGTCCGAGTTCATGTATTTAAGGCAGAACTCGCATATGTACAGCACGCGGTTCCTGCTGTACTCGGCTGGATATGGTGCTGCGTACCACGTGTCAATCTCCCAGCCGCCAAACTCGATGCACTCTATCTGGCTCGCATTATCGCTTGATTTCTTCGACTTGCGAATGGGCATATCCACCTCTGCCTGCATTGCCAGCACACGTGCTCTCCATTCATCTTCTGCACGTTGCTTTGCTTGGTCAAACCGTCTCCGGTCGTCAGGCTGCGGCAGTGTCTTTGATGTGTCTGCTTCTGGTTCTGTCAAGATACCGCCGTAGGGCTTTCCCTTCATGTCTTCAGTTTCTTTATCAAATAGAGAGTAGAAAGGCGTTGAATAGAAATCCGTGGTGAACGGCGTCGGGAGTGCGGCAGGCGTTGCTGTAACGGCTGCAGAGTTGGGGCGCACAGCTGATGGTGCGACTGGAGTCCGTGGCGGCCGCGCACTTGCTCCAGAACGCCTCCTTTCTCTCCGCCTGCGTGAAAGTATCTCCTTGAGGTTCCCCGGCCGCACACGCATCGTCACCACGAGGGAGACTCGTGATTTCTTTTCGATGACGACAAGAGATGGGCGAGCAACTTTTAGACGAACCGCACGGGAGCTACCCCTCGTCTGCTCCGCCGATTTGCTATCAGTATCTTCATTGGCTGATGCGGCGTCTGCTGAGAGGCCACGCCGGCGTCTGCGCAGGGCAATAGTAGCCTCTTCAGGCTCAGCAGACGAAGTCTTTCTCTTTCGCAGTAGACGAGGCTCGTCTGAGGCCTCTGCATGGGCTGTGAGGTCACTGGGGTTGGTTTCTGCCTCGGCGCCGTCTTGCATGTGATGTCTAGGAGAGAGGTCGGGAGGGGCGTCAGAAAGCTGCGACTCGGGCCTGGTTTCGCCGTCAATGCTAGCCTCCCTCTCCAGTTCTTCAGGTTCATCCCGGTCAGAGTCGCCGTTATCACACTCTGGACATTTCCAATGTTTTGCAGCTAGGCCTGAATTAGCAGCTTTCTTCAGAGGTAGGCTTGGCAGTGACTTACTGTTCTGTTCGCTCATCGCCGCCGCATCTCGCGCGCATTGTTGGTGAGCTGAAATATGTTAGCCAAGCTTGTCTTGACATCTTTCAGTTTCTCAAGGACCCACCATTCTCGTTGCATCTAGAACAAGTCAGGAACGCCTCAAAATCCTCACTTGGATCGTTTTCTTCGTCTTGTTTACAAAACATGCAGATGTTTGAGGGCCCAGTCTCCGATTCGTCGTCCTCTTCCACCTCTCCAGCTTCTTCCCAAGCCGGCTCGTCGTCAGAGTCATCTTCAGCAACGCTGAGCGGATCGGAAACGTCGCTCTCTGCATCTTCATCGTCCTCGTCCTCGTCATCTGTATCTCCTGGCTTGATCTTAACTGCGCCAACCCCTTCGTCACCATCTTCTTCGCCATCCGCATCTTCATCTTCTTCCTCTTCCTCTTCTTCGTCATCGTCATCATCGTTATCCTCGTTCATTTGGAAAGGGCGGCCGTTGCTGACCACAATCTGTTGGTCCACAATCTCGTTGTAATCTTCTCCCTCGGCATCTTGATCCATTTCCTCGTCGATCTCCTCTCCAGAAGCGTCACGATCACTCAGCTCGTCGTCATCCTCATCCACCTCCATGCCGTCATTGCCTCTGACGCTAGTCTGGGCAAAGACTGTGCTCATGGTCCTCTCTTTTATAGCCGCAGGCGTAAACACATCCTCGCCAGCCGTGTCTGCCGTCTCGTATTCGGCGTCTTCGGAGAGCATGACGCTCTGCTGCAGTTCCTCCTCCATCGACTGCGCACTCGCCATGGTTATCGCTGCTTAATGGAACTCTCGGAGTGGGGATATGGCCCTGACGATGGCATATCGATCGAGACTCGGCGTTTGCGATCTGGAGTCAGGTGGCATGTGTGGCGCTCTGTTGATAGGCTTCGTGAAGCAGAAAGCTCGCTAATTACAGCTGCTTTCAGGTAAGCCCTATTGAATCACCCTGCTGGATGCACGGGTCCTACCTATAAAATTGCATGTTGCCGCAGCCGTTCTCTGTTGACTGCTGCTGGAAGCGATGCGACAACAGCCACCACAGTCGCGTTCTCCAAGCTTGCCCCAAAGTCGCGGAAGCAGGAGTCACAGTGCGTGCGCATTCAACAATCGCGTTTCCCCGCCAAATGTTGGTGCGTTTACAGTGTGAGTAGGCGGGGCACTAACTATGCGTTGGTGCAGGGATGTCCCGCTGTGGCCTCAGGCATCTAAATTGATGGCTCCAATTGGTCCTCTGCCCACTGACGTGCAGGCTCAGTATCAAGAACGACGCTCGGCAGAATCTCGATATTGCGGCTGTGTTCCGATTGTCGAGCGGCCAATTCGACTTCGATCCCTCTCCCTCAATCGATATATAACCCGGAAGACCGTCGAGGCGGCACAACACAGCCATGCCTGTCCCTTTCGAAACTCTGATACCCTATGGTATCATGATTGTCGTGCGTATTATACCGAGCGAGATTCCACCAAAGGGGAATGCGAGGCAGCTCACAGTTTGTGGATAGATGTTTGGTGTCTCTGGTACCGGACTCGCAGCCTTCAAGACGTGGCAGAACGAGGGCAAGCGACCGCGCTATTCATTGGATCAGTGGGATAGAGTCAGTCAGCCCTAGCCGGGAATGCGGTTATTTGCACTCGATAGCTAACTATTTCTTGCAGCAAAGTAAGAAGCTCTCGATGAGACGAATATTCCTTCAGCAAGGATGTCGATCGATTTATATACTAACGCATTCGAAGTGATGGAGCGAGACCGACGCCTTACAGGCACATTGAGAGGACAGTCGGACAACCCAGAGGCTCCTTTGGGATTCGAATTGAGCAATGGATGGAAGGTAAAGTCGATTCACACATATATCTCATCATACGGACAATTGCTGATACTGTATACAGCTGGAGAAGAGATTTACCTAAGGCACCATTGTATACAATCCAACAGACTAGACAGGGGACCTCGAAATCCGAATGAAAGAAAGTGTATATACCAGACTACGAGTGGATTTGACTGGATGGCGGACGACTGATATGAAGCCCGAATTCGGCCTCGTTACTCAAAGCATTCACACGACAGTGCTAATAAAATGTTGGCTTGTGCTGGGAATTTATTGGCAAAAAGCTAGCTCTATATTGAGATCTCCGGTCGGTTCTTGTTGAGGTTTTCCAATAATGTGCACGCCTGGCACATTGCTTGGCTGGACATGTAGCCGCACTTGACGCATTTTCCAAGCGTCTGTAGTTGAACAGGGCCGGGCTCCTTGGAGCGTCGCTGCCGGACAGGGAGCTTTACCACATCATCTTCATTGACTTTGGGTGTGCCATTTGATGTGATCTCAGTCTCCAGCCCATTATCTGAAGGTTGGTCCCTGGTGCTTGCCTCCATTTGTGCGAGCTCGTTCCCTGGCATTCGAGCATTGGCAGATCCGCAGCCGCCCATCCCCTCGCCTTCGTCACAGGCGCATGCCCCTTGTCCTTTGTCTGGCGTTAGACGAGCCATATCTTCGCCGCTCCGGACGATATCCAATATTGCACTTGGCCGGACCTTTTCCAAGTTCTTGATAAGACTTCTCGCAGTGCCTCTAAATGCCTCGGGGCTGTATATGCATTCCGTACTGAAATAATCCAGCTTCTTGTGATGTGCATATAGAACAATCTCCTTTTCGTAAGCATACTTGAGAGGCTTGCTTCTCTTGACGTCGTTCAACGAGCCACCAGTAACAATACTGGTGCTACGGGATAGTCGAGGCAGATCTCCCCTAAGGAGATTCATGAGGACAGTCTCTGCAACATCGTCCGCATTGTGTCCGGTGACAACGTGCTTGATTCCCAGCGTCTTTGCACCCCGATCCAACGCCTGTCGGCGAAAAACACCGCAGTATGTGCAGTTACCCTTCTTTCCAATAGTCTCCACGACTTGGTCCATGGTCCAGCCATATAGTTCATCGTAGCCCACGATCTTCAAGGGCATATCGTACTGAACCGCGTTTCGCTTCACCGTTTCCAGGGAGTCATCTCTATAGCCTTTGATGCCCTCGTCTATGCTCAGAAGGACTAGATCAAGCTCATACTTGTGGCGCTCGTTAAGGGTCTTCAGAACAGATGCCAGCACTGTTGAATCCTTGCCTCCTGACGCTCCAATAGCAACTTTTTCTCCGGGATAGAATAACTTGGATGAGATGATGGTATGGTGCACCTCGTCCTCAAACACAGTGATGAAGCATTCGCGACATAGCTTGTGGTGGTTCTTTGGTCGCTTAACAACTGCCTTGTTCGCCTGGCAGCGTACGCATGTGGTGGGTGGCATCTCGTAATAGATCTATTGTGAATATGAGGCGCAATCTGACGAAGTTGCTGGCAGCCGTTGATCTGCTCTAGTGTATAGTAGAGTTGTATATAAACAATATTTTGGGTCAAGGGATTTTCGAGGTATTTGTCTCTAAAACAAGAAAAAGGGATATGATATGGATCTGGCCTTCACGATATCGTAGTTTCAACAGGTGAACTCTATACAGACTCTCAAAGCGCCAGTCATTGGAAATGACTCCAGGGTACTGGTTATCTCTTATCGATCTTTTTTCTTAGCAATCGATAAGATCACGTGGATTTACGCCACACCAGCCACACCTTAAAGCCTTCTCCATAGCGTTAGGGCCCACCAGCGGTCGGAACTCCCAAGCCCTAATTTTCCGCCCACCACCTGCTAACGAACTTTTCTTTCGCTTTTCTTCGCAACCTGCTTCAAGGAAATTTGTTCATCCTCGACAAATCAACCCATCGCCCAAGGAACAAGATGGTAAGTTAACAGTCAACCAAAAGACTCTAATGGCCACAGTTTGTGAGTCAAATGCGCGAAAGCGCAATTGATACAACAGCGTCAGCTTTTATGCAACCTGTTGGACATTCCGCCTGACGTTCACCTCGTGTGGACTGAATGGTGAAGACTTGGCTGGAGACACAAATGTGTGCTGAAATATGCCATAATGTGTTCTCGTTAGAGTTCAGAGAAGACTTTTTGGCTTGAGCCCCTCGCTGATGTCTTCTTTTCTCAATGACAGCCTCCCAAATCTGGCAAGAAGGTCGCCCCTGCTCCGTTCCCTCAGAGCAAGGCTGGCAAGAAGGGACCTAAGGTTAGTGAAAAAAAATTTCTCCCCCTCCATATGATGAGACGACACCTCGTAGATATCTAACAAGACGGTACAGAACCCCCTCATCGAGAAGCGCCCTCGCAACTATGGCATCGGCCAGGACATCCAGCCCAAGCGAAACCTGTCTCGCATGGTAAAGTGGCCCGAGTATGTCCGCCTCCAGCGCCAGCGCAAGATCCTTCGCCTGCGTCTCAAGGTCCCCCCCTCTCTGGCCCAGTTCCAGCACGTCCTTGACCGCAACACCGCCGCCCAGGCTTTCAAGCTCCTCAACAAGTACCGCCCTGAGACCAAGGTCGAGAAGAAGGAGCGTCTCCTGAAGGAGGCTACCGCCGTCAAGGAGGGCAAGAAGAAGGAGGATGTCTCCAAGAAGCCCTACACCGTCAAGTACGGTCTCAACCACGTTGTTGGCCTGATCGAGAACAAGAAGGCTTCTCTTGTCCTCATCCCCAACGATGTTGACCCCATTGAGTTGGTTGTCTTCCTTCCTTCTCTCTGCAAGAAGATGGGTATCCCCTACGCCATCATCAAGGGCAAGGCTCGTCTCGGCACTGTCGTCCACAAGAAGGTCAGTCTATTTGTTCCCCAGATATCAAGGAGGCACGAATGAGAAAACTAACTTTACCATAGACCGCTGCCGTCCTGGCCCTCACTGAGGTCCGCTCCGAGGACAAGAACGAGCTGTCCAAGCTCGTCTCTGCCATCAAGGATGGTTACCTGGAGAAGCACGACCAGGTCCGCCGACAGTGGGGCGGTGGCATCATGGGCCCCAAGGCTCAGATGCGCATCGTGAAGAAGCAGAAGGCTCTTGAGGCTGCTACCAAGATTTAAGCTTTCTAATACCCGGGTTGCATTGGGATTTATGGGATTATCATCGGTGTTTAAGGGTTCAGGGCATGGCAAAAAATGAATGAATTTCCAGCACAGTTGTGTATCCCAAATATGATGGTTCCACGCACACGTGTGAAATGAGTGATGCTGTAAAATGAATGACAAACAAAAGGTTCCCAAGAGAAGACACAATCGTAGCCACCTGCAGCAAGCTGAGTAAGCTGTGACCCTGACCCCCAATAAATTCTCAAAACGGACAGTCCATTTCTGCAAAGCATTACGAAAGCATTGTTCCATATATGGTCATGTCTGGCGAGAATAAGGGGCGATCCGATGGAGTTCTGCACAGCATGGCCATTCTCAGGTAAAGGGGCGAAAATGAATGACAAGGCCTTGCTCTGTAATTAATCCCGTTGGCCTTTGTCAGAGGTTGTTGAGACGGCGAATTACTTTGGACGGCATTCACGGATGCCGTCGCATAGGTAATACTCGTCTACGTGGTGTTGACATAAGTTCCCTGCTGGTGGGAGATTAAGCTAAGAGGATGCTCAAGGGCAGAGAGGCATGGTTGGCTCTTGATACGATGTGAGCAGACTAACGTCTCGTAACGATAGGCTGCCAAGAGAACGCTGTTGTTGGCTGAGGGAGGGAAAAGTGGCTGGGGGGGGAGAAAAAAGCCAACAGAACAAAAAGATAGTTCAAAAGACTCCATACTCAGTGCTAAGTACAGCATTGGTGTGTGACGTTCCCTGGCATGGCTGTACTCACCTGTTGGTTGGATTAGCCATCCCTGGTCATAGGTTCGGCTATCAACGCTCAACCGACGGAGTGGTTTTGTCTAGTCTGCTTTGGACCATTGAGCAATTATCCAAGATTACCTGAGCATATTTGTCCATGGACTGCAGGAATACTGCTACTGTACATCGGCTCTCCCGGGAAGCCCCATCCAGGGCATTCGTCGAGAACTAGTTTCGGAAGCTGACGAGGAGAAACCAAGAAACAGCCTATGAGCAGATGGTAAAGGCCCGGTCTCTGTAGTGCTGAACGTATGCACCGGAACGGTGTCGCAGGCCACCCGGACCCAGAAACCAAGCCGGAGATGAAATTACTGGAATATGGGGAATCAGTAGGCAACCCACAAGCTAAGGCGAAGTGGTGAAGCTATGGTACTCGTATGAGAGGCTTGCTTATACGGAGTACGGAAAACACGCCGAGCATATCGAGCGTCCTGAGGTGGGTGGGTTCTTGGGGGCCAAAAGCTGGCACCTCGACAGACCAGGGGTCCAGATGCTAAAGATTGTGACGGCCATGGTCCCACAGGCCGGTCACAGTGTGCGCGAAAAGACGCATGTACCGCGCAGGCCTGGCTCAAGTACTGCCCTAGTGCGAACCAGCACCAAAATGCCGCGAGACGGGGCCGGCAGGGTCTCCTAACAAGCTGCGTCCCACTTGGCTAGCGGTGCTTGTGGCTATCGGGAATGGACTCGTTTGCAAATATCCATTGTATCAGTCAGCGTTCGTGCCTGGGGGACCTGCAAGGGACCATGGAAGCATCTCCATGTCCTCGCCAAAGGCAACCCTGCTTCGGCCAAACAGCCACATGTCGCCCATGGAGGCTTCTGGGATGCCAGGGGGCCTAGAGAGAGAAAATCAGCATAGTACTACTAGCATAGTGCAGATGCTATTCAGACTGAGACCATGCGTTCGGTAGCCGGCGCGATTGATATTGATTGACGGGGCTGTATGTACGTGTCGACGACAATCATTTCCTGTTCCATATTGATTGAAATCGAACGATCTATGCAGCAAGACGTGCAGGGAGCCACTGCATCTGCTTTATATCACTGTGACAGGTCCGATATCACTGTGAAAATCAAAGCAAGATTGGTGGGTAGCAATCCTTCGGCAGTCTCAACGCTCTGGCCAAAAAAGAAAAGAAAGAAAGTAACCCAATCTCCGGTACATGCATTTCGCATTACTTCGGGCGTAAGTGGCCCCGTGTTTGATGATTCTCAGCACTTTTCTGCTCTTGGCATACTTGTAAGACAGGCTGCATGCACCGTTGCGTCTTTACCCGATGGGAAAACCAGACTGCACTCGCACTTCGTACCTGCACTCGTACCTCTGTATGAGACCCTGCAATATGGAGCTGCTTGGATCCATTGAGTTCTGACCGATGCAACCATGAGGAGCACTGAGGATGGAGTATGGATACTCATGCTGCACTAGAGAGGCCTAGGAGCTAAGGGGACTGCTTCGGTACCGCAGAGTGGCCGAGAGAAGGCCAAAAGGAAGAAAAAGCTGGGGAATGTCTCGGCCAATCCGCATACTAGAGCAATCACAAGACAAGGGTTGCTTTTTGCAGCCTGCGATGACGCATCTTCTTCTCTTTTCTCTTGTTTCTTTCGCGCTCGGACTTTCAATCTCCGATGAATTCAGACTAGAAGCAGGTACCTGCACCTGTATGCAATGTTGGTTGTAAACGCTTGAAAAGGCGTCGGCTCCAGACTTGTGGGGGTCGATACGACGAGGGACTGGTATTTGATGCAACCTAACACCTGTGCATTAGAAACTCCCCCCCACTGGTGTTTTATGTTTTTTTTCCCTAACCTGCTGCGGCCGAAACGAGACACTTCCAAGCTTGCTGAGCTACTACTATTTTCAACGACCTGTGTAGCCTGCTAACCACAGCTACTTGTATCAGCCCCGAACAGGGATTCTCCAAGCCTAGGACGTTTCCTACCGTTGCATCGCGGAGATTTTGGAGAAACGAGCCAGCAGATAGGAAAAGACAGACGAACAATGGTCATCAGCGCCGACAGCTCCGGTCCTGGGGCCAACTCCCCGGACAGCGCCAAGCCGGTCGTCCTCATTATCGGCGCCGGCGTCAGCGGGTTACTGCTTGCCCAGCAGCTCAAGCGCGAGGGCATCTCGTACCGCATCTTCGAGCGAGATGCCGATTTGGAGACTCGAGGCGCGGGTTGGGGTCTAACGCTGCACTGGTCGCTGACAGCGCTGCAGAGCCTGTTGCCATCGGGGCTGGCGGAGCGCATCTGCGACGAGTCCAGCGTGGATCGATGGGCGGATCGGCGTGGTGAATTATCGAGATTCCCCTTCTTTGATCTCGACAGCGGAGAGCTCAAGGCGCAGACGCCGGGGGCGGTCAAGAGTGCGAGGATTCGAGTGACTCGCCAGAGGCTGCGGAAGCTGTTGGCGGAGGGAATTGACATTGAGGTAAGCCCGCAAGGCGAGTGCTGTTGCCCTTGTTGCCTTTGATGCCGTTGATCCCTCTTTCCTCTTCAACGTTTATGCCATTCCACTTTTCTCGTGCAGGCCCAAATTTGCCCAGCATTAAGTCTACGGTCATTTTTTCCTTTTCCTCCTCTACTATTTCTACCCGTTTACTCTGTCAGCGTTTTAACTTCGTGTCTTTGTCTTTATATCATGGTGAATTTCCGCTAATAACCTCAACTCAAGTGGGGGAAAACCCTGCACGAGTTCCATACCAGCAACGATGGCACAGTCAGCATCTCTTTTGAAGATGGCACCTCATGCACTGGGACGCTGTTAGTGGCATGCGATGGGGGCCAGTCGCGTGTGCGTCGCGCTTTGTTCCCAGACGAGTCAAAATCGTTGTTGCAGCTGCCTGTGCGGACCATGGGCGTCAAGATCTTGTTAACGGCGGAGCAGATCGAGCCAATCCGAAAACTAGACCTGTTTTTCCTCCAAGGCGCATCGCCAACCAACGATTCCTTCATGTACATCAGTGGTGAGTAGCGCAAGCACCCGGTTTCTCCCCCTTTGCACTCTTCTCATTTCCATCATGGCAGAGTGCATCTGCATTATTCTGCTTTGTGGCCTTGTCTTGTTGTCTTTAGTCGACGTTTGGTGGTTTTAGGGCTTCGGCCCGCCCTGAGCATCTTGTTCTGTGGAGCTCGAAATACGGAGTACATACACGTATCGTATCCATCATCAGGTACGGAGCACAAGGCGGGAGCGGCGGCCGCCGTCGCGGATCTGGCGATCATCCCACTCCCGTGCCGGCAACTGTGAGATTCGGGCGATGAGAAATGACAAGGCGCCTTGAAGATGGGCATCTGCTGCGAAACTGGAAAGAAGAAGGGAAAAAAACATGCATTTGCTGACGCATTGTTCTGCACCTGATTTTAGTTCTCGATGTCCCCGGAAATCAGGCTGATAGCGACCCTAACGTCTTCAGCTGCCAGCTACATTGCTCGTGGCCATACCCGGGCACCGGGGCGCCAACTGACGTCCCAGCCACCAACAAGGAACGGTACGAGCTGCTGCGCGCCTACGCAAAAACTTGGTCTGAGCCTTTCCGCTCTCTTGTCTTGAACAATGTGCACGCCGACACGGAAATCAAGCGCCTGGATGTGCTAGACTGGGCACCGCCCATAGGCTTGCACTCGAACGGACAGGTTGTGCTGATGGGCGATGCATTTCATCTAATGGCGATGTGTAAGCCGCTTCCTCTTGCCTTCGGGAGATATTTTCTTCTATTTTCTCAAATTCCCCGATCGAACTCTAGCACTATTACTCCGTACTATTCCGTGTCACCCTCGGCAATTCGGAGTAGATTGGTGACACTTGCTAACTCTGCCTTAGACCGAGGCGAAGGTGCCAATCATGCCATCATCGACGTGCTCGACTTCGCGACGCACATCGTCCCGGTACTAGCGGTCAATCGCGACAAGTTCAGCTCAAACACAGGCTCGCGAGCGCATACCCATCAGAGTCAAGGTCCGAATTTCCGACAGGCCCTGCGCCAGGCGCTAGACGCCTATGAAGACGCCGTCGTCTCTCGTGCCCGGCCAGGGGTACTGGCCTCGCGCAGGGCTTGTTTGGACGCTCACGCCTTTTCCAGGCTGTTTGGAGAGGCGGCGACTGGCGTCAGCCCGCTCCTTAGCAAGCGCGAGATGATGCTCCAATTTGACGACGAATCGCTGGAGCTAATCAAGTAGTTGTAGCTTAGTACTTCAGCTCCCCAGAGCGATGTCCTGTTATACGAGCGCATACCGCAAACCACTCAACTAGTCATGTCTAATCCCTACCTGTACGCCTCACTTCGCCTTTTGGCACCTGGTTCGTGGCGCAACGCGCAGGTGAGGTTTTTATCACAGCCTCCCTCCTTACTCATCGGCCTACTGTACATACCTGGACATAGGCGGGCCGGCCAAAGGCCAATGGGCCTCTCTTCCGGGCCTGCTGCAAGGGATTCCATCCATGGTGGTTAGTCAAATATCCACGCTTTACGGAGTGTTGCGGAGCAGTACGGAAAAAAAGGAAAGGAAAGGAAAAAAAGGCCCCTCTCAAGCACCCAAACGAAGCATCCACAAGGAGCAATCAGCCCAGTACGGACATCGTCCCATGGCCTGATGCCCTCAGCACGACCAACCAAGTCAGGGCCACACGGTTAATTTAATCAGCCCAAACAAAGCTCGTTAAAGCGTGGGCAGGATCCCGTCTCCTGGAACTTGCGCTATCACCACTGCAGTCTAGCGCCCTACTCCGTTGTCAAATTCTAGATCCCCCTATGCAAGAAACCTGCCGGGAAGGGGATCCGAAACGAAAACGGAATCCCCCCGAATGTATGGAGCATACGTGTAGTACTGCACGAGTACATGACCCTTTTTTTTGTTTCTTTTTTCTGCTCTACCTCTTTTTTTCCCTACAGGTCGTTTATGTAGGCCCGTTATTAGCGAGGTAGCGATCCTCCTCGGTATCATGGCCCGTTGCGGTAAGGTCGCTTGTGATGCTTTGAATTTTGAGGTCGGAAAGGTTCCATATATTGATTATTCTCATGCATGTCAATGACTTTCTTTTTTGGATAATCCTACAAAGGGGGTCGATCACGGTTCCTGCAGTTGCCCGACTCCGCAAAAATTTGAAAGAAAATGAAACGAGCCATGTGAGAAGGTCAAAGTGCCAAATAGTTTCACTATTCAAAGCCATACTACCTATATCCATTGCCGCTGAGGCTATTCTAAATCCAGTGCTCCATTTTGTTTTTGGTACATCTCTGAGTCCCTTAATAAACACCTCGCGAGAAGCAAGAAGAGATATATGGAGAAAAATAAAAGCCAATCCAAAGCGTCACAAACGTTCCATAACGTAGAAGTAAAGTAAACCAGTATCAAGTAGTAAAAGGAATCATATCTCTTTCGTAGACAAAGGAAAGCAGACAAAGGGAATTAAACAAAGGAGAAAGTAGTACGGCCATAAACCAGGATGCAGGCCTGCTATACAACGTCATGGTCTAAACATTTTCTTCGAAGCTGTCGTTACGCCTCCTCGGCTGCTTGCGGTCCTCGTCGACTCGTACGCTGTATGTGATAGACTTCATGATGCCGCTGTTCTGAAGGATATTTTCTTCGCTCGATGACTTGCCACCAGGTATGACACCTTTGTCGTTGTCGTGATCTTGGGAAGTGGTCACGTCGCTAAGCTTAAAGTGCTCGCCCTTGGGACCTCCTCGACTGTTCTGATGAGATGATCCGTTGTTGTACGAGTTCTTTGTGCGGTACTCCTTGGCCTTCCTCATAAAGACTGGCGCCAAGAATGGCAGGGATGAAACCATGTTCTGAAATAACGGGTTAGCTGTGTGCATGCACAAGCCACTATGAAGATTACTTACGCCAACGTTGAACTCGATGGTACCCCAAAGCACCAGCATTGTGGAGTTGCCATCTCCGTGGGAAATTCGATCAATCTGTGTATATCTCAAAATAGAACAGACTGTTGTGAACAGACCAAGCAAGAAGATGCCAATAAGACCGACCTTCTTGCTCGTCTGGATGTTGAGCTTCAGGAGGACCGGCAGAGGCAGAATAGCAACGACGATATCGGAAACAATGGTGACAACCGCGTAGGCTGTAAACGAAGGCCCAGCTGCCAAGCAAGTTCCGGCTTTCAGGGGGTTCCAAGACTTATCGACAGGGTTACAGGCGAATATGAGGGAGAGGGCGCAGCCAAGATGCCCCAGAAAGACCAGCAGAATGGTACCGAAGACAACATAGCGATACGTCTTTTGGTCTGTCCCTTTGAGGAGCCGCAGATAGCTGATGAGGAGTGCAATCTTAAAAAAGCTGATTCCGATTTGGTAAATGGGGCGTCCTGCAAAGTTGACTCTGGTGTAAGGAATCAGGCTGGCCGCGGGTCGGTCCTTGATAGGTAGTCCCAATCCATATCGTGTTTCTGTGCAGAGTCAATACTCACTCATACTTTGAAGCCCCCAAAAAGTGCAGAATCGTGTTGACTTACGGACAATGCAGAGAATCGAGTAGATGAGAGCAAAGGCAACGGATAGAGCAGACATCCAATCATCGCTAGCAAGACCGCGCGCTTTGAAGCGTATCCAAAGACGGGTACCGACGATGGCAATAGAAACCACCGAAAGAACAACGCAAATGGTAATGATGGTCGGATATTGAGACTCATCATTTATGGCCTCGGTGGCGTTTAAGACCCAACCCATGGTGGAAGATGCTGAATTGTCGTTGGTGGTTGATCAAACCAAGCTGAGGATGATGTTGGTGGCTGAACCAGGGATCACGGCTGCCATGCAAGAAGGCGCTCAGACGGTGGGAGAGGCGCAGTGACGCGGGTACGAGTTGGAAAAGAGAGACGGCGGGGAATAATAGTTATGCCCAAGGCCAGCGCCAAGCCAAACCAAATAGTCGGTATATGTTAGTTTATTACAGTCAATCGCAAGATGCAAAGAAGGATAAAAATGAGGATCAGTATAAGCGGGACCAAAAGGGACGGCCCCCAACGAAATATATGAAAATAGGAATGAGCGTATCCAAGACCAAAAGCCGGGAAGGGTGAAAGGGTGTCGGACGATGGATGGATCCGAACTAGTAGACGCGAAGTGTGTCTTAGATAGGGTTTCTCTTCCCTTCAGTCAGCATCAAGCTGGGACACGAGACTTCCGCCTGGGACCCTTGGGAGGTTCGCTTTCTCAAATCCTCCGTCTCAATGCGACCATTTCGGTTGAATCCTGTGCATGAGTATCCTTTTCCGTACGTCAGACCCAGGATTCTCGTCCCTAACGGTCAAGCGTGGCGTTAGACGATGGCAGGACTCGTCTCTCGCATGAAGTGCTAGTAGATCCCCTACTTGTAGCACGGAGTGGTAGAGACAGATTGGCCCGAGCAGAGCTGGACCGTGCTAGAGAGGGCACAAGTCATAGACCAATCCGTGCATGACGTTTCCAAATTCGCCCTGCATCCCCTGCAACGATACCACGTATTCTTGGCCTTTTTGGGGCAGTCGTGCTCGGGAGACAATGCTACGATGCCGTCTCACATTAAATTAACAGCTGCTTGGCTATGCCTTCAAGAAGGGATTGGCTGGATGCACCACGCCGTAGTCCGTGGAAAGAGCCCATATCCTCTGCCTGAGCCGGGATTCTCGAGTACGCATCTCACCTCATGGCCAGCAGGGGAACGGATGCGCGGTAGCATCCCTACCCTTGCCCTGGACTGTACCCATAGGCCTTGGGTCATGTACATGTCAGGACAGTGGCCATACTGTGAAGGAGTGGCTTGGGCCGGCGCGCGGTTGGCGTGGTGATCTTCGCCAGTAAAAATCCACTTCCCAGCAAAGGCTTCTGTTCTTGACATTGACCGGGCCGCCACTAACAGGCTCCAAGGCCCTTACCGTCCAGAGATCCGTCTGTGGCAGCGCTCATTAGCACCTGTCATGGGACAGCGCTGTGTCTCGGCGAAGCGGCTACCGTTGGCGTTCCACGGCAGGAGTAGTGTTCGCCTGACGCTGACTATCGGTCTGAGACAGGCTATTTATGGGAGCGGCCTGAGCGTTGTGCGAGACACTGGATGCCTGGCTACCGATGTCGAGGAATGCTGCTCGCTCTCAGTCGATCAACTACTCGTAGAGATTTCTCACGGCAGTCGCTGTGCTCGTACGGGCTCGCACGCCATATTCGGCATACAATGCGCTGCTAAGCGTCTATCTGGGCCTGCTCTTGTGGTCTGCTAGCCCTAGAAGATCACTGGGGCGATTTGGTGGGCCAAGCACAGCGGGCCCTTTTCCTCAGTACATAGCACAGGGTTGGCATCTTGTTGCCGAGATGCTCCGCTGACAAAATATACAGTACCTGCGTGTACGTGTAGCGTAATGGAATGAAATTTGACCATGGTGGCATTGTCATATCGACTCAGGGGAAGCTGGAATAACGGGGAAAGGAAATGGAAATCGTCATTGTGGTATAGCGGCGTCGTGATGGAGACCTACAGCCGTAAAGGTCCAAAGGTGGTTGGTGCGGGTGAGGGTACCAGCTCCAAAAGGACGAGTAAAAGCCGAAGATCGAGGTTGGTTTTGGTGAAGGGGAAAAAAAAAAAGATTAGAATGTGGAGTGGCCGAGGGCTTGGGCGAATCGCGTCGATATGAGCAAGGACAGATACGAGTACAAGTATAGAGTACGTACCTACTGTACTGCCGACTAATCCACCTGGCACCTACCAAGCGAGGAAGGAAGGGACAAAAATTCTGCCGAGAGTCAGCGGCCAACTGCCAACTGTGGCAATGATAAACAGCGTTCCTGCCAAGAGCGAGACGATAGATATCGGTGACGGAAATAGTAGACGAGAGGCGGCTGGACGGGGAGAAACGACAGAAACGGCCCCCAAAACGTGGGCGATCTAATTGGAATCGGTACGATTCCCCGAGGCAAATCAATATATTAGCAGACGCAGCTACTGTACCTCGTACATACCACTTGGTGCCGTTCCCTGGCCAAAACGCCCAACCAACAACATCAATTTCCACAAAACACACCCGACTGCTCTTGCAATACCTACTGGATGTACTGTACTCGCAGTGGGTAATGACACCTGTGCTAACAAAGTGGCCCTCTGCGTGCTAATGCAGCAGTACACCGTATCAAGCAAGTTCCTGCGGAGGCCACGCAGGCACTCAACTGATGCACATGGTACATGCAAACCCAACGTGTCTGCTGCTTAACCGATGTATCAGGTGCAGGCGCAGGCGCAGGCGCAGGCGCGGGTGCATGTGTAGCTGCAGCTGCAGGCCCGACCACGCGAAACAGAGCACTGCAATACCTATACAGGAACCAGACGGAATCACAATCTCAGAAGGCCTCGATGCACCTCGCAAAAACCCATCTTGCTGTCCCTGGGCTTGTGATTGTGGCGCCTCGATTGGAGCAAACCAGGGGATCCAGCCGCGGAGCGGGTCGGAGCGGTGGGGGGAAGTGCCCTGCCCAAGTCTTAGCACCTGGTAGTGCTGAGAGGGCAAGCCACAGGTCTCGTCTACAGGCGCACCCAAGCACTAACCGACTGGACCACCACAGCTAAAATCTCTCCAGCTACCTCTACGGAGAACCTTAGCTACGGACGACTGCCGGGCCCCAGTTGAGCATCTCTGGCCGCGATGCGACTACACTATGGGATGGGACCGCCAAAATGGCCTCCGTCCAGCGGGACCGTCGATTTGGCCATCGTACGAGACGATCAATCAACGTTACTCGAGTCAATCTCCCCGGGCCCCCGTCGATTCATGCTCGATGCATACGCAACGCGATCCGTGAGAGGCGATGCTCCGTTGCACGGCCCAGAGGCCACAGACAGACTAGACGCTGGCTGCCACTCACCACTGTTGTTGCACGAATAGGCCTGCTTCGAGGGCGTCGACGGCGTAATTTGCCCCTGCAAACCCGTCGGAAATGTGTCTCGCCCCTTGGCCAAGCCTGCCTGAACCACACTGAGTCTGCTTGGCCGCTTGGCTGCTTTCAGCACACCAGAAAAACGACGTGCGATCGCGGCATCGCTTCCGCCTCCACAAGCTCGCCAACTTCTCACCCCCCTTGCAATATCCGGCCATGGCTACTTGGCACTGGCCTTGCTGCTACCGTAGGCCCTGTCCCTTGAGGTACTGGCCTGGTGTGATTGCGAATCCCCCGAGGGGGAGACGGAAAATGGGGAAGCGGTCGGCTGTTGCTTTTATTCTGTACAGGTGCTGGCAATGCCTTCGGAGATTTCGCCCATCAACAAAATTGGATGACGGTATCAATGCTCTGTAGCCGCGGCGACTCTTCTGGACTGTTTCTAAGAGCAGTTAGCAACTCGACATAGCAACTCGACATCGCACCGAAGGGAGAGGTGCTTTGACAGGCCGGCTGCAGGGCAATCCACCCATTGTGGCCGTCCTTTTGGGCCAAAGACATTTTTCCCTCTTCTCCGGTTCTATGGTACCACCCCCCCTTTGCTAGCACCATTGAGGAGACCACTTGTCTTGTCCGTTTCCCATCTCTTGCTTTGCTACCTGTATGTCTTTTCCCTTTCACTAGCATTGGCACCGCTTTCTATCCTTTTGCTCTTTCTTACGAGTCATCTTTAGGTGGTCGACGGGCTGTACTAGGCCGCTGCTGAATGGGTCCGTCTGGTCTAACATCCCTGGACCTGCATCCGAACCTTGCTCAAATCATCGTTGCGGCCCCTCGTGGCACCGCTGCACTCGCGCAATCCACCCAATTGCCTTGTGCTGTGAAGTGCTCGTACTTGGCGTACGGCTGCCACTATATACTCCTGCACCACCAGGAGCTACGATATCAACGCCGTACCGTACCGTAGCTGGTCCGCTTTAGAGTGGCCAAAGACCCCTTCCCATTGCCACGGGCCCCCGGCTCTATCCCGTCGAGCTCCCTCATTACACATCCTCATTGGGAGGCCACAAATCTTCTTATTACTACGTACGGCATCCCTCCCCTTCCACGTCGTATTTGAACTGCCATTCCTGGCTCGAGGTGTTGATCTTTTCCCAGCCAACGCCGATCGTCCTGGTTTGGGAGCGAGATTTTCTGCTCAAAGTCAATCTCACACACCCTGCTCAATCCTTCCTCTTCATTCACTCCCTCGCTGGCAGTCAGACTCATCACGTCACTTCCCCCAGTGTTTTTTTTTTCCGTCGAGTCTACAACTCGCGCTTTTCGCTGGATCCGAATCCACGGCCATAGCTCTTTCGTGGAGTATTGACTCGTGAGTCGAGACCTGCGAAGACAATCGCAAAAATGTCTTCCCAAAACATTAGCGAGAAAGGCGGCGATATCGATGTTCGGGGAACCACCCCGTCCCATAGCGATGTCGACGTTCCCGAGGCTGGCATTGACGATGCCTGGAGATTCCTCAACGAGCATCGCGATGCTGCTGGCGTTGCTGCCGTCAACATCAGCTCTCTTCGGCTCAAGATTGACTTCCACATTGTCCCCCTCATGTTTCTGTGCTACACAATGCAGTTTCTTGACAAGGTCATCCTGAATGTAAGTTGATCTGGCATTGATTCCCCCGTACCTGCATTTCAGCCCCCACTCAGATCGAGTGAGCGGCTTTAGCTGGGCGCCTATCGTGCGTTGTGACTGCGTGATACGATATGCTGATGCAGAACTAGTACGCTGCTGTCATGGGCCTCAACAAGGACCTGAATCTTCAGGGCAACGACTTTTCAAACGTAGCTACATTCTGCTTCGTCGGCTTGCTCTGCTTCGAAATTCCCAATAGTAAGTCTTTCCAGCTTTGTCCGATATCGTAACATCCTCTTGTTGAGAAAACAACCATACTGACTAAATGTCTCAATAGCCTATTTCCTCCAGGTCGTTCCAGCTGCCAAGTGGCTCGGACTCAATGTCACTCTCTGGGGCGTTGCTACTGCTTGCGGTGCTGCGGCTCACAACTACCAAACGCTGCTCGTCTCTCGTGTCTTCCTGGGTATCTTCGAGGCCACTATTGGACCTTCTTTGATGCTCATTAGCAGCCAGTGGTATACAAAATCTGAGCAGGCTCCCCGCTTCTCTTTCTGGTATCTCGGCCTGGGTCTGGGTCAGATCCTCGGTGGTGCCATTTCCTACGGCTTCCAGCATGTCACTGTTGGTGCTTCCTTGGCTGGCTGGCGCATCATGTTTGTCGTCTTGGGATGTATCACCGTTGTCATCGGCCTCTCCACCTTCTTTTTCTTGCCTGACACTCCCATGAAGGCCTCCTGGCTGTCTGATAATGAGAAGGTTGCCCTCTTGAAGCATGTCAGCGTCAACCAGACTGGTATCCAGAGCCGCAAGTTCCGTCCCAAGGAGATTGTGGAGGCTCTCCTTGACCCTCAAATCTGGCTTTTGCTCCTGTCCGTTGTTCTGGTAAGTGTCCTGCTGCGCCTCCACTGTGCATTTGTATTCATGTATTAACGTGATATTTTTCCTCTTTAAAGCTTTCCGTCTCCAGTGGTGTTGTCACGACATACTCTGCTACGCTGATTAAGAACCTGGGCTATGTGCCGACTAAGGCTGCCCTTATGAACATGCCTTCGGGTGTTATTAGCATCTTTTTCACTCTTCTCGTCGGCTTCGGCGTTCGCAAGCAGTCCCACCGATGGGCTTGGATTATTATCTGCATCATTCCTGCGTAAGTTTAACGCTTTTGTACACACTGATGCTAGCGGGCGTATTTTTCTAATCTCTCGGCATAGAATTATTGGAGGCGCCTTGATGTCCTTCCTGAACTCCAAAACCCACCCCTCAGGCGTTTTGGCTGGTATCTACCTGGTCAATGCAGTTGTCGCTCCCCTGCCCCTCTTCTACGCTGTAAGTGCTCTGCCTTTTAAATTCATTGTGCGGTAGCGAGTGGCTAACATGATGGATACAGTTGACTGTTGCCAACGTCAGTGGTGCTACCAAGCGTGCCTTTGCCGCTGCCATTGTTAGCGGTTCGTTCTCCCTGGGTAACATCATTGGACCCCAGACCTTCCAGGCTCGTGATGCGCCCGACTTCCGACCTGCCAAGCTGGCGGTCATGGGCACTCAGGCTGGCTCTGCCGTGACTACCTTTGCCCTCTTCCTCTACTATGTATGGAGCAACAAGAGACGCGGTGACCGCAGCAAGGAGAATGAGGAGCAGTTTATGTCTCCTGAAGTCTGGGCCACCATGACAGATAAGGAGAACAAGTTCTTCCGATACACATACTAAACTATATACAATGTGCTAATGCGGTGGGATTTTTGGTTTTTTTTTTTTCTGGACTCATTACCTTTTTTATTTACGGTGCATAATGAAAGATCAAGCAAGATGATGGTTAAAGACTTGCATGTTGAAATATGAGACGTGTCTGGGATACCCTCGCTGCCACGACACCAAAAGTTAGAGAGCATTCGCTATTTATAGATGCCAAATACATATACGATAATCCTGTCCGCTATATATGAGGTCCTTTCAATCCCACGTTGACCGTGTTGCTGCAGAAAAGTCTATCGCGTCGGGCATACTGTTGCTCCAACTTCAGCAAGCCCCTGAATTTCAAGCCTTGAAATCTCGAGCCCGGATGACGGTACCGCTTCTTGCAGCGTCGAGTCCATTGATGACCCTGAGCTGCTGTGAGACACTTTCCTCTACAGGCATTTGTCCCTTCAAGTCAGGCTCCATCTTTCGGAATTGGTTCAGCATTATCTCTGTCGCCTCGACGAGCTGAGGAGGCTTTGGGCCTATTCATGCCTTGTTAGTCAAAGAAGAGGAGAGAAGAAAAAAGAAATTGGGAAAGACGAGTTCATATCAGCGGGAAAAGAGAGGGTGGGGAGTCATTCGTTACCTTCATGAGTTTCAACCCAGCCAGGGCAGATAGCCACGGTCTTGATGCCCTTGGGAGCAAGCTCAGCAGCGTACTTTGCGATCTGGACATTCATGCCGGCCTTTGCAATGGAATAGGCCACGGCATAATCGACACCAGTGCCGAGAATGACCTCAGTGTTTGCCATGCTGCTGGTGATGTGTGCAATCTTCTTGAGGTCTCCCTTTTCAATCAGGGGCAAGAACGCATTTGTCGCCCACGCAGCGCCGTAAATAGCGGTGCGAACGGGCTCCTCGTAGAAACTCCTGGTAGCCTCAACATCAAAGGGGACCTTTGACGGGGGCAGCGAAAAGGTGGCCATGTCGACGGAGTTTGAGTTGTGGATGAGGACGTCAAGCTTGCCGTCGAGGATGGCGGCGGCCTGTTCGGCGGCGGCAAGGATGGACTGCGGGTCTGTGACGTTGGCTTTGATGAGGTGGACGTTAGAGTGGGCTTGGGCGAGGGCCTTGATGCCGGGGGATTCTGGGTCGCGGACAATGGCGAGGACGGTGTTGGATGGGGATTGGGCGAGTTGGCGGACGAATTCGCGGCCAATGCCTTTGGAGGCGCCGGTGATTGCGTAGGAGGGCATTGTGTATGAGGTTGGTTGGTTGGTTGGTTAGTTGGTTGATTGATTATTGAGTTGATTGTATGATTGAACTGATGGATGTTGAGGTGTAAATAATTCATTTTGGTCATGAGAGTTGTCTTTATATATACATGTGTGTTTATGTTTGTGTTCGTGTAAGTGGCTTTCAAAGATGATGGGTTCCGTCCAAGTAAGTCTGGTGGAGAGCCGCATATGCCGCAACCTAGTCCTGGGAATAGTCCCGCAATTACAAACAATTGATGCCATGTATGAATCATGATAAATCACCTCATCCTGCTATAGTCTCAAATCCTTCATCGTTTCAAAGTGTATAGAACGGAGCGTCTCTCCTGGCTGAGTAACTCTAGAACGGGAGCGGCTGGTCCGATGTCCGACGTCCGATCCCATCTTGATGTCCAGCCAATCAGAGGCGTTGTTTGTCAGCAACGGAAACGGAAATTTCGAGCTGCCATCGGCCGACGGCTCTTGGACCGGCCGTTCCAAATTCGCTCTCCTCCACTTACACCTGCTTTGCCTCTCGGTTTCACGTAATTGATGATGAATCAACAAGGCGACATCTACAGAGTCAAGAGAAGAGCATGTGTCACGTGCACAAAGGCCAAGTCCAAGTGCTTGCCACAGACAGACAATCTGTGCCAGCGCTGTGCCCGTCTTGGGAAGCAGTGTGCGTATCTCGATCTGCCGGAGAGGAAGCGGAAACGCAAAGATGATGATAGGTAAGAGATTTCATGTACAAGAAGCAACTGGTTTATTAGATCAAATTGGCTCACTGATTGGTTAACTAGTCGGGTTGATGCTCTGGAGGGCAAAATTGAAGAACTCACAGCTCAGCTGGTGGCCCTCAGAAACGGCGTGAGCAGTCAGGATGGCTCCAGGTCTGCCTCTACCAACGGAACAGCATCAAGTACAGAGCCTTCATCTGTGACAGGTTCTATCCCCGAGGCCTCCTATGGAGATTCAGAACTGCTGGACGCCGAGCCTGAGGGCTTTCACGGGCGTGAGCCCCCTACGACATCGGTACTAGAGGGCATCCCCGACATTGTCGACCGTGGCTTTCTCAGCGTCGAAGAGGCAGAGACTCATGTCGCGCAGTTCAAGTCTCGCTTCGTATGGAAATTCCCCTTCGTCGTCCTCCCCCCCTCCCAGACCGTCGAGACGCTCCGCAAGCAGGAACCGCTGCTTTTCCTCGCCGTCATCGCCGCCACCATCCCCAGTGCTCATGCCATCCGGAAGCTGCTCGCCGACGAAATCATGCAGCACATCACGTCGCGCATCGTCGCGAGCTCGGAGCGAAACCTGGGCTTGCTGCGCGCGCTGCTGGTTCTGTGCGCGTGGTACCGGTATCCTGCGCAGAGGGGCAACGTGCAGCTTGTTCTGCTGCTGGATCTTTGTGTGAATATGGTGCATGATTTGAGGCTGCATCATATAAGGGGGGAGTTGACCACGGACCAGCAGAGGGCACTACTTGGGACGTATTGGGTTGCTACATGGTAAAGACGGCCTGAAGAGTGAAATATATATGGGTTGTTGCTAATGTTGTGTCGTCTACATATAGTTTACCGAGGGTGATCAACCGGCCATCTGCAATGGTAAAGAGCAAAAGGATAGATGAATGCTGCGAGAATATGTCCATGTCCACCGAATATCCCTCCGACAGATGTATTCGGCCCTTGATTCTCACACAGTCCTTCATATGCGCCGTCGACAGCAGCTACAAAGATCTCCCAGAAGTCGGCACAGGCATTTCATCTCAGGATGAATCATTCATAAAGATCATGGTAGGGGCCAACTTGCGACAATTTGAAAGTCTGAAAGCCACACTCGAGGCAGAATTATCAAAATGTCCAGACCCAGCCAGTACGTCATCTCTCCCAGCAAAGAACATTTACCTTGTCACACGCGAGTTCTTTTATATACTCACAACACATTCTTATCGTTCTCTTTTAGCAAATTTATTCCACTGCAACATGCACTACATCAACATTGCCATCCGCGACTTGGCCCTCGACGACGAGTACCTGTCCTACCAGTCTCGCCACGCTTTTGCCCAATCTCGCTCTGCACAATCCTTCAAAACATCTCCCTTCAGATGCTCCCTCCTATGGTTCCTCCTCCGCCACAGCAAGGCCCTCATCAACGCCTACATCGACATTCCCGACGCCGAGCTCCCCCAAGTCACCGTCTTCACCATCGCCCAGCTCTGCGCCTCCCTCATCATCCTCCCACGCTCCGTCTCCACGCTACTAAAGCTCATCGTCAGAAACCGTCCCCGCGCCAGCATCCAGGGCGACGTATTGAACGAGGCCCGGGCCGTCATCGATGAAGCAGACTACCTCAATCTCGTCGTCAGGCTCTACGATAGATTACGCCTTCTCATCGCCGGGCTCTCAACACAGGAGAAAGGGCTCGACGTTGTAGGCACCCTGTGCTGCCACATGGCCGTGCTGGCAAGCTCGTACGCACCGCGAATGAAAGCAATCCTGGGCGTGGATCTCGTGGATGAGAAGCCGATTGCCTCTATAACTCCTCCTGCCATCACCATTGACGACATCATTGCTGCCAATGCTAGTGCCAATGCGGCCGCTCTGATGCAGCAAACGGCAAGTCACAATGTCAATGGGCTTAACTCGGTGGACGAGCATCAGGGAGGTTCTAGTTCTTATACTGGCGCCGAGGACGGCAGCTATCTATTTAGCGACGAGTTGTGGTCGTCAGTACTAGAGAGCTTTACCAATTTTGTTTGAGACTGATACGTAAACGAACAGCTACTTGTAGTAAGATATACACAACACAAGCGATTATTTGGATCAAGATATTTTTTAAAAACATATTCAATTTGGCTATATAGCAATTTCGTTAGAGATGCAAAGTGCATCCCCAAAGTCCTCCCTCCAAAATAGCAAAGGGGACGTGAAATGAATTAAACGCCGACCCATATCGATGCTTTCCCAACGTTCAAAACGTGGCCATTAAAAGGAAAAAGATAAAAAATGAGAAAAAAAGGGACAAAAGGAAAAAGTCTAAATCCTTTCCAAATCAAAATCCTCCTTCGTTTTGTTTTTCGTGTTCCTCACTCGTCAAAAGTCCAAAAACCCTGGATATCACGATTTGTCATTCCATAAGAATTTCAAGTCAAACGCTTTCCCTCGTATCCTTGAGCAGTTTTTTTCTTTGTTATCGTTTTTGGTTCCACCTCCATTTTTTGTTGAGATGCTGCTTAGACGTTGGGGCCGGCGGCAATGACGTCGGGAGTAGCCTCGCTCTCGTACTTCTTGAAGTTCTCGCGGAAGAGCTGGCCCAGCTTGACAACCTCACGCTGGAAGCTGTCGGTGCCGGCGGTCCAGGCCTTCTTGGGGTTCAACAGATCCTCAGGGACGTTGGGGCAGGACTTGGGAACCTGCAGGTTGAAGACCTCGTAGTTCTCGAAGTCGACCTGAGCGAGCTCACCAGAGTGGATGGCGTCGAGGATGGCACGAGTGTACTTGAGGGGGCATCGCTTGCCGCCCTGGGCGAAGCCGGCACCGACCCAACCGGTGTTGAGCAGCCAGGCGTTGGCCTTGTTCTGCTCAATCTTGTCCGCAAGCATACGGGCGTACTTCATGGGGTGCAGGGCCAGGAAGGGCTGGGCGAAGCAGCTGGAGAAGGTAGCCTGGGGCTCGTTGACGCCGTCCTCGGTACCGGCCATCTTGGAGGTGTAGCCGGAGATGAAGTGGAACATGGTCTGGGCGCTGTCGAGCTTGGAGATGGGTGGCAGGACACCGCGGGCATCGCAGGTAAGGAGGATGATGTTGGTGGGCATGTTGTCGGTCAAGCAGGGGATCTTGGCGTTGGAGATGTACTCGATGGGGTAGGCGCAGCGGGTGTTCTCGGTGAGAGTGACATCGTCGTAGTCAACCTCGCGGGTGACAGGGTCGAAGACGACGTTCTCAAGGATGGAGCCGTAGCGGATGGCGTTGTAGATATCGGGCTCCTTCTCGGCGGACAGGCCAATGCACTTGGCGTAGCAGCCACCCTCAATGTTGAAGACACCACGGTCACTCCAGCAGTGCTCGTCATCACCGATCAGGGCGCGGTTGGGGTCGGCAGACAGGGTGGTCTTGCCAGTTCCAGACAGACCGAAGAAGAGAGTAACATCGCCATTCTTGCCCTCGTTGGCGGATGAGTGCAGGGTCAGGACGTTGTGCTTGATGGGCATCTCGTAGAAGAGAACGGTGAAGATACCCTTCTTCATCTCACCGGCATACTCAGTACCCAGGATAACCATCTCCTTGGCGGCGAAGTTGATGGAGACGGATGTGGCAGAGGTCATACCCTCGGTGTATCGGTTGGCAGGGAAGGTTCCGGCATTGTAGATGGTGTAGTCGGGGTGGAAGTGCTCGAGCTCCTCACGAGGAGGGCGGATGAGCATGTTCCTCATGAAGAGAGCATGGTAGGCACGGGCGCAGATAACGCGGACGCGGATTCTGTACTTTTCATCCCAGCCGGCATAGCCATCAATAACGTAGATGCGGTTGCGGGTGTTGAGGTAGTCGACAGCACGCTCGCGGTTGATCTTCCAGACCTAAGGCGTATTTTGTTAGCATCTATAAGCTCGTTCACTCATCATCTCTCTTCGTCATTGCACAAGACAGTCTCAGGTACAGAAGCAGATCAGCAATTACACGCCAGCCAATCAGCCAGCCAACAGCTTTGTTGACGGCCAGCGGACACTGTCAGCTTGGCTTCCAACGCAGGCCGGAGCGGATCGGGTCGGAATGCAGGCAGACAAGAGGCAGCATCACAAGCCAGACGTCCAATCCAATGCCGCGGGTCTGTGTCGGGAGGCCGCTTATGGTCGGCTACCCGATTCGGTCCAGCGGGGCCCCGGCTTTTTCTCTTTTTTCTTTTTTTGCCGTGACTTTGCAAGAGTGCCGAACAAGTCACTTTTTTGTATTGTGCGGGGTCTCGGGCCTGCAGTGACGCCAAGCTAGAGCTGCATCCCTGCTTTGCTGGGCACTTCTCCGCATGCGCTTCCGATTCGACAGGGCAAAAAAGCAAAAGAGAATTGCCTTTCGCTGGTTGGTTTGCCTGCTGGCAGCGGCCGTTCCAGTGAATGCAGCAGCTGAAGGACTCTGCGAGAGGTGGCTGAGGAGCTGAATAGGAGCCGCCCCGCTCGCGTGACCATTGACCCAAGCCAGAACAAAAGATGCAGGGATAGTAAGACAATGTGGACGAAAACGAATGCATGGGTAGATTCGGAACACAAGACAGGCAATGACGATGGAGATGACGCTCGCAGCGACGATCAGGCACTTACTTCAGGGCTCATGGGCTTGTTGACTGGTCCCCACCTGCAGAGCCTTGGTTAGCCGTGTAACTGTAGAATAAGCGGTTTGCATGTGCATGTGTATGACCTACCAGATGTTCTCTTCTGAAGAGGGCTCCTTGACAATTCGCTTGTCCAGGGGGGAGCGGCCGGTCTTTGCGCCGGAGTAGGCAGTCAGAGCACCGCTGGAGGTGATGGCAGTGCCGCTCTCGTAGACGAGGGCATCTTCGTAGAGGGCGGCGACGGAAGGGTTGGCGACCTGCACTAGGTCAGCGATGCTCTTGCATCATGTCTTGCTTCAACCAAGGACTTACAATGGCGACGCGGTCGTAGTCAATGTGGGCAATCTCGTGAAGTTCCTCCTCTGAAGCGCACACAAGTTAATGCCAGTTCCCAAAGGCGGTGTGCCAAGGTCAGCTGGATCAAGACAAAAGGTGGACATACCGAGCTCGGTGTGCTCGCGGTAAGGCCTGCAGCGCATTTGATGTTAGTCCACCTTGCCATGATATATCACCACAAACCCATCAAAAGAAGATGGATAGGAGGAGGTAGCACTCACTGAACACCACCAGGGTGCAGAGCAGTCTTGTTGACGTTGCTTGAAATCACTGTTCATGTGTTAGCCTCCCAAGTCTGGCAGAATCCCTTTGCTTGGCCCATTGCTGGCAGCAAGAGGGTCGTGTGAGCCGACTCACTCTTGCGTAAATCTATTCCCGATGCCTGGATCTGCGACTTGGGACCTTTGACGGTAGGATCTGTGTAGGGAGAAGCAGTTCTGAAGTAGGGATCCATTGGATCTTTATGTATTCCAGAGAATCGAGTCGGAGGGACAGTTCGGAATGTAGCTGTCGTCTTTTCTTCTTGCTTCCCGCTTCAGCTGCTAATGCCAAAAGAACCGGGGAGGGGGTGGCGGGTCAAGGATGACGGGGTCTTCTCCAGAGTGGAAACCGGGACAGGTACAGCGGTCCCGAGTCGTGTCGATGTACTTGAGCAGATCAGAAGGACAGAAGCTAGAGCCAAGTGTTAGATACAAGTGCCTAGTAGCCCTGCGATCGAACAGTCCCGACTGGTAGGATTAAAGCACAAGCCCTTCCGAAGGAGGCCTCTGGTGGAGCCGTGGCGGGCAGTGCGAAGCTTGACACACGAATTTATATCGGAATGAACAAGAATGGAAACTAGGGGGTGCGAGGCAGAAGAAACAACCGAGCTTTTTGTGTGGAGAATAGGAGAGACGGAAAGGGGGCGTGTGTGTAAGTGTGAGTACGCATGTAGTAAGAAGTGAAGGATGTTTCTGCGTGTACTTTGTGGCGCTTGTTGTCGTCTGCACTCGGCTCAAGCAGCAACAAGGCCCTGACGCAGGAGAGGGCAAGTAATTAATTCAAGCATGGGACTTTTGGGTCATGTTTCTTGATGAATTTTTCGTTTTTCTTATTTCTTTCCTTTTTAATTGGGCTGCAGAGAAGGGGGGCGTGTGTTCCAGAAGACGCAAGGGGACGAGAAGAAGGTACAGCGAAAGAAACGTTCGGGTTTGACTCACGATAGCCAGCACGGGTCAAGTGTTAGTGCTTTTGGTGGACGGTGGTGATGAATTGATGACGGCACAAGAAAAGTCTGTGGTTGAAGCAAGCTTGGTTTTTTTGATGCTAACGAAGCTGTCTTCATCTCCAGCTCGAGGAGGAAACAGCGGCCTATTTAAACCTTGGTCTGCTCATGCTCGCCAACTGCCGTCTGATGTGTGATGTGTGAATCTGCTTCCCGTAGACGGCAATTCCTCCCATCCCACACGTGCATTCGATCATAGGCAGGCAAAAACCGGGCACGCAGTCTGACCAAAGTCACCAAGCCAACGAGGTTTCGAGTCAACCGCAAACAGTTCGCAAGCGGACTATTCCGAACCCATGCAGTTTGTAAGTGTCGAGACTTTGCCGGCGCGCCTACGGCTAATGCGGGGCGATTACGTACGGAATGGGCGCCGAAGGGGCGAATGTTGCTGCGGCTTTGCCTAACCGGGTAGTTTATGGGATTGCGGATGATGCTCATGTGGCAATTGGTTTTTTCCCTTTTTTAATTACCCCGTATTGTGGTGATGAGCTTGGGACGAGACCTTGATGCTCTCGGCATTGTGCTTGGATACGAATAATAACACGGGCAACACGGGGTCTAAGCCGAGCTAGACAAACAAATAATCGTTGAGTAATAGCAGCAGGATTCTGACGGTCACGAGGCTGGGCCTGAAATAACAGGAACGGGCTTCACGCGAAGATCCATGCCAATAGGTCCGGGGACAAGGGACGAAAAAAGGAAAATAAGAATAAGGAAAAAAAAGAAAAAAAGAAAAAAGAGCCCAATGCCAGCCAGCTTCTTTTCTTACTCCCCGGCCCGGAAGCTTGACTCGTTCTCCCGCTACATGTACACAAAAGCGTTCCGTAGGTACCACTTCAGGCATTGCCGGGTACGGGATACAGGCGCAGGTACGGAGTACACTATAAACAAAAAAGAAACCAACAATCCATGATAGCTATTCTTCTTGCATTAGCACCTACGGCGAAGGCGAAGGGGAAAAAGAATACTCCCCCATTCACAGGTGGAACCCACCAGGGACCCAAGCCCGGGCAGAAGGGGGGTGAGATTTCCAACTGAATTTCGCATTTGGGCACGAGATCTCTCTCCTTTTTTTTCTGCCTTCTATTTTTTGCCCGACTAACGAAAAAGCACAGGCAGAAAGCACAAAAAAGCGACAAGGGGAGCCCAAGTCACAGCTCAGCGTCCGTCAGCCTCCGCAAATTCTCCAAATCACTTGACTCTTTTCCCCCGTGTTAGTCAAATTGAAGCCAATTCCGGCGCCGGGGCGGAACAGGGCTAGTCATGTACAAACAAGTCCCAATCCGGGGCAAAAGAGGAAGCACCAGCTCCGGCTTTTTGCCTTGAGCCGCAGCACCTCGAAGTTCTTTTTTTGTCTGTGCATTAGGTAGTCTACCCGCTCAAAGGGGGCGTGTGAGCAATCTCGCTACCCCGCGATTTTTCGTCGCCCAAGAGACGAACGCTGTCTCTCTTTTTTTTCCTTCCTGGCCCTTGTGTACACGCCCCCTGGCGCTTCCCACGAGGACCAAGAGCTGCATGGTTGCTGTGAAGCCAAGGTACTTGTACTAGCACCCGAGTCCTACAAGTAAGAAACGGCAGAAAATATGGAGGTGCCGGCTGGAATACCCGCTGCTGCGGCTCCTCTCGGCAGCAGGCCCGGCATCGACCTGTTTTTGCTGTCCTTGAGTGTCTCAGTTGCACTGCTCGAGACATTCGGCACCAGATACCCGAGCGTCTGAGGACAAACACCGTCATCCTGTAGCACCGCGAAACAAGTCGAACAGCTCATTTCCCTTTTTCGCATCTCTTTTTCTCGCTCTTCTAGAACCATGCCAGCATCAACAAACAAACTGCGGAAACGAAAAAAAGTCACAGTCCGTGCCACTGGGTCTCGGCCCAACGGCACCGTTCCGCCCATCTGATCCCGTGATTGGCTCGCCGGCCGCCGTGGTCTTTCTGTTCCGACTTTCTCCGCGAAACAAATCTTGTGCTGGTATTTTTCTATCAGGTCTGATTTCGGGTCTTTTTGCATTTGTTTTAGAATTTCTGATAGGATAGGGGGGGAGCAAGCATCTCAGCTTTTGCACGCTATTGCCACACCCCGTGGTACTTTGTTAGTCATTGAAAGCCAGGGGTGGCTGGCTCGTGGAAGAACATTGCAGCTTCTTTTGTAATTTGAATGCATTAGGTTGTCAGGCAGTGATGCATATACATGCGTCGAGAAACTGATTGATTCCTTGCCACTATGCGGAATGCAACCCAAAATTGAAAAAGTGAAGTGAACAAAAAAAATCATCATTATAGACCGTAATGTCACCTCCTCAATGGGTAGATACGGCAATAGCTGCCCTTCATTCTTTTGCTCGACCCGCAAGCTGTTACAATAGAACCCACAGCTTCGTTTCTTGAAGAAAAAAAAAAATAATCGATCCCTTCCTTTTCTAGCATATAGATCTTCCCCGGCTCAACGCCAAGCCCGGATTGGGCTATGCTCGACGTCTCCGTGACGTACCTTTTACATACAACCTGGCAGCCTGTTACAAGTATTACAAGTACACGGGCAGTACTTACACACCTGTAGAGCATCACCATAATTGATGACATGTATTGCTATTTATTATTATTATCATTTTTTACCTTGCCATTTTGCAGTACTTTCTAATCAATACCACCTCGGCATCTCCACATCCTCGCCTCCCCAATAGTCACAATACAATAGCAACGTACCAACACAATAATATCCAACACCGCATCAACAACAAACAACCTACCCGGCATCATCCTTATCTTCTTCATCCTCCTCCTCTATTCCATCCTCCCGACCGACCCAACTTACCGCCCCACTCACGGACCCCCGAATCCACCGCTTGGAATTTCCATATTCTCCAGGTGCCTCATGGTGCCGCTCCGTCTCGCCGGCTCGGGCTCGGAAGCCCCAGACTGGCCCACAATCTTGCTGCTCTTCCTTGCACACCATGGATTATCAAGCCCCCCCGGTCCCGATTCATTTTCGTTCCTCCAGATACTTGGATCCCTGGCTTAGTAGTGGCTGTGTAATAGAGTAAAGTACCTTGTTCTTTGCTTCTGGCTGACCATGTACTTGTGGCAATGCTTGGCTTCTCGCTGACATACGGAGCAGCCCGGGTTGCCCTCATGGCAAGCCCGGTCCGTCGGCCACCGAAGCAAGTATCAACTAGCCCCAGCTCATGCAGTCAAACAACCGCGTATTCTCTGCAGGTCATTGACTTGACATTGAAACCCACACGCCCCCCGGTTTCACCTAGTAGTGGCATGTGCAAAAACCCGTAATTGATTCCTCTCTTCCCCTGATTCGCCCCAGCTCGACTAAGACGATGGCTTCTTGCATGTGGCTCACCCCCCGTCTTTGCACTACCGAACTCTTTCCTCAGCCTTTTGGGTTCCAAAGGTGCTCGGATTGCGACCGTATCAGCTCGCATCTCCGTTCTAGCGCCGAATGGCAATCTCAAGCGGCTGAAAGTATACCCTTTGCAGTCTTCCGACGCTTCTTTTCACGGATCAATACGGAACGTCCAAGGCAGAGACATCTTATCTTTGCTGCTCCCATAATCACCGATTCACATGCATCATCCGAGCAGATATTGACCTCATCGAAACCAAGTCTTTATCAATTCCTCCGCTGACTATGGCTATTTGCTTCAATCCAGAAAATCGGCTTTTTTTGAACAAGTAAAAAAAAAGGAGTATTTCGTTGTCCTTTCTATCTTTGACAATCGTGGCATTGTATGGCATCTACAAATGCTTGCCATGGCCTCGCATCTTCCTGGCCTTTATCATGCCTCGCCGCGTCTCAATCTGCGGCCCTGTGAACTTTTAACCCTGGCACCCATGCAGGCTACGCCTTCTATCTGAGTGGGTAGCCGAGCTCTTCACTTCCGTCTCCTTGACGCCTTGCCCATCAGAGCTTGTTCTCACTCCATTCACACCTCCTAGCCAAATCCCTCGAGAATGGTATTGTTTCTTTTCCTTCTATTTTTTGATCCTTCTCAGGCATTTACTGCTCCTCACTAGTAATGAGTCTTGTAATCTTGCCAATGGCAATAGTTTGTCCCTGTGCAATGTTATTAGCAAAACGAAAAACGAAAACTCGTATGGTATCTATCGTGGGTCTGTATCATACCTGGTCTCGGAGGGTGAAACGACCCATCTGTGGGTAATCCTCGAATTTCTCGACGCAAACCATACCGGCGCCTCCAGTCACCTGAAGCCTGGCAATGATGCTGTCGCCCTTCTTGGCGTGTGTGGGAGGCAGCTTGCTCTTGCGGTTGGTGCCCTTCTGCAGCTTGTGCAGCAGAGCCGCAAAGGTAACCTCTTCGATAGCGGCATGTACGTGCAGCACGCAATTGAATCCAGAAGTGAGGATGCTCTTCAGCTCCAAGACTCGGATCTGTGCCTCGAACTCGGTAACGCAGTGCACCAGTCGCTTAGGCGAGCAGAGCACAAATCCAGGCAGGATGTCTTCTTCTTCGACGCCCTTGAGACGCAGGCGCACCTGGTCACCGCACTGCAGAATAGGCTGCTCCTCTTCCTGTTCACCGTAGATGGCGGCAGTTTCCACAGGCTGCTTCCGGGGCATCATAATCAGCGACATGCCCTTCTTCACCACACCAGCCTCAATCTTGCCGTCGACCATGGTACCCAGATCTCGGTACTTGGCGTTGACTGGCATCATGAATGGCGCGTTGACCTTGCGCTCCAGCGCCTGCATGCTGTCAAGGTACTCCAGCAGTGAAGGTCCCTTCCACCAAGGAGCGACGCCTGCGGGCAATCGGTCCTTGATGTTCAGGGACATCTGGGCAGCCACAGGGATAAAGTAGACATCAGTCTTCAGGTTGTAGCCAGTACCCTTCAAGAACTGCTGCAGCTTGGTCGTACATTCCTTGTAACGTTCCTCAGACCATTCAACTGTCACATCGTCCATCTTGTTGATTGCCACGATGAGCTTGTTGACACCCTGGGTCTTGGCAAGCATGGCGTGCTCACGCGTTTGTCCTCCTCTTTCGAAACCCGTCTCATACTCACCCTTTCGTGCTGAGATGACGAGGATACCAACATCTGCCTGTGAAGCACCGCCGATCATGCTGGGAACATATGTCTTGTGTCCAGGAGCATCCAGGATACTGTAGCGTCGCTTCTCAGTCTCGAAGAAACCACGTCCGACCTCGACAGTCTTGCCCTTGGTTCGCTCTTCCTTGGTCAAGTCCATGACCCAAGAGAGATACCAAGATTCACGACCCAAGTCCTTTGCCTCCTTCTTATACTTGTCCATGGTACGCTCATCGACCATGCCGGTGGTCCATAGGATGGATCCACCCAGGGTTGACTTGCCTGCATCGACGTGTCCAATGAAAATGATGTTGACGTGTTCCTTGCCGTAAATTTCCTTGAGAGTGTCATCATCCACATCAGCTGCTTGTGCTTTTAGAACCGCATCAACCTCCCGCTGGGCCTTCTTCTCTGCTGCCCCGCCAGTAGGGCTGGAGCGGCCGGATGACGGGTCCGGGGATGTCCGTCCGGAGGACTTTCCGCTGGCCGTGCCCTTTCCAGCCTTTTCGCCAGTCTTCTCGATAGCCTTGGCTGCGGTAACCTTCTTGCCCGCGTCCGGCTCGTTGGATGGTTCAGCCTTGGCGTCTTCCTTGGCCGGGGTTGGGGCCGGGGAAGAGGAGGTGGAGCCAATCGACAACACTTTAGCTTTGGGCTTTGCATCACCTCCAATGCTGAGCACCTTGGCACCTCCTTCGTTGGAGACGACGGGCTTCGGTGCGCTGGCAGCAGCGGCAGGCTTGTCGACGGGGAGCGACTTCACAGGAGCAGCTTGGGTGGCGTTGTTCTGGGGGGCTTGAGCAACGGGCTGCTGCTGCTGGTTTCTCTGCTGTTGATATTGTTGATATCCTTGTTGGCCTCCTGGCACAGTTAAAAAGTTGTTAGCCCTCGTGAATCGAAATTGGCCATCACAGCTTCGACATACCATAGTTCTGGTTCTGGTTGTAGCCCTGGCCGTAACCGCCGCCGTAGTTTTGATACTGGTTGTACTGGTCAAATCCTTGGCCGCCACCATACTGCGGGTAGTATCCCTGTTGTTGCCCGTAATACTGCTGCTGCTGGTATTGCTGCGCATATCCACCAAAGGCCTGGCCGGGCTGGAAGGTCTGAGCGGTGGGCTGGAACGACGCAGCACCGGGTCGGAAACCGCCAGCGGCAGGGTTCATGTTGAGCTGCTGCTGAGCCTGCTGGGCGAGGTTCTCGTCCTGGGCCGCAGGATCGTCCTCCCAAGAGTTGAGGTTCGACATGGTGGCGAGTGTGGTTTCTTTCTCGTCGCTTGGAGGGGCTGCTCGAGAGTCGTCGACGGGCAAACGAGGGTTTCTCTGTCTGCCAACCGGTTGGAGATCTGATGAGCGACGAGATATCGATCACCGTCAAAGGCCTTTTGGTCGAAACGGCACACAGACTCGGGTCTTGGAGTTGAGGGCGACGGACGACGTCTCGCTGGCTTTATGGTGCAGGTTGTGAAAATTCGAGCCCCACCAAGGCAGCGACATGACATCGCTAAAGTGCCCTTTTGCTTGCAGGCTTTGTGGAGGGGCTGCTACAGTGCATTTTGCGACCTTGGACACGGTACTTTGTTGGGTTGAGCGAGCACCCAGGAAAAGAGAAGATAGGGCATTTAATGAGTCAATGGCCTGTGTATATTCTAGGCTGCACGTGAATTATTAATGCAAAGACCATTAACCAAACATACTCTCTTTCGCTGTGTCTCTCCCGAGAGATTCACGATTTTCCACATCTCTGACTCTTACCGCCACCCTTCACTTGGTTTGATAAACTCAATGCCATGTGCCTGGCTTTTAGGCTCCCTTGGGGCGAGTCTGAGTCAGACGAAGCTGTTCGCACTGTAGCCGTTTCGAGCCCAAGGCCGTTGTTTCAATGTACCTACCCATATATGTGTACATTTCAATACCTAAGGTATGCAAGTAAACAATGTTGCAACTTAGGGATGGATGAGCCAGGCTCTCGACTCGCTCCGATTCAATCACACTCTGTTTCGAGCTTCCAACTTATCGTCATGAAAATATCGCATCTTAATGAGCCGGCGCTATGGACGACTTCCTGGCAGCAGTTGGCGTACAAGCCATGAGATATGCCATACGGTCTGGCATCGCCTTGACTTCCTCTTATGCCATCGGCCAGTGTTCTCGTCTGCTGAAGGCGGTCGACGACAAGCATCTCCATTCCGAACTGAGGACCCTCCAGAAGCACCTCGATAGTAAGATCAAGGTATGTGAATCTCAGCTTTCGAAATTCTGCCTCTCTTTTCGCCCATGTGCCCCATGCTAACCTCGCTATAGGTCATTTCTCCTGCCATTGACCTTGTCGAGCTCAAGTCAGTAATGCCCACCCCTTACCACATATTCACACTGACAAACTAGATCTGGACGAGGAAACGTTTTCCTTGAATCTGCGCTACCTCTAGCAAAATCACTTCATCAGCAGATTGTCTCGCTGGGCCGTCGTGTGGAAGCCGCTGCTGCTACTCAAGAACAAAACCACAGCCCAGGAGGCAACCCAGCAAACAAAGAAACCAGCCACGATGCGTTAGCAAAAGTGATTAGGGACTTGAAGAATTTCCTATCCGAGATTGATCGAGAAATCCCTCTACTGCAACTGGCTATATCGGCATCTGGTGAAAGCCTGTCCACTTCTCTCCCCGCTGGGATATCTCCCTCTCGGCTGTTACAAGCCAGTACCCTATTGATAGTCGGAGATACGCAGCATGCACAGGACCCACGAAAATCCGTCCAAATTGGACCTTCATTCACGCTGTCTATTTACATGCTATTCTTAGGACACGCTTCGGTGTCGTCTACGACTAAAGGTGGTAATCTACAACCCAGTGTTGGAAGTAGCTGTGGCCAAGGACGTTCAAAAGGCACAGATACTAAGGCAAAAGGTCCCGTATATGGACTAGGAGAGCACGATAGAAAGCCATTGTGGCAAGAGGCGATACATAAGGCGCGAGTGCGGCTGTGCAGATCTGCAAGCAACCCAGCTATGGGGGGAGACGGTTTCCATGCGCAAGACTACAATACTTCCGGTTCCATCAAGCGCTTGGATTGTGCATATCATCTAGAAATCATTGAAGATTTAGATGACGGTCGCGCTCATGAAGGGGTCGCCTCATCAGAACCATACAACGGCATTCCAAAAGCTGGCATACGAGAGCTGATTCCCATCCATCAGCTCTCCAAAATATTCTACACTGACACTGGCACAATACTCAATATTGGAGACGGAATAAATGGAGAAAATAACCCAGTTTTGCTTCTTAAACGAGGTATTAATGCGCCTCGGCTGCGGGAACCAGAATATAGCATGCATGGGGAGATATACGACGCTAGTAATGACAACAGCCAACAAGAAACAAACGAATATGAACAAGCCGATGTGGATCAGCAACTGTTAGGAGAGTCGCAGGAGAAAGTACCCTCTCCCAGAAGCTCTAACAATGCTAAGGACGTTTGCGTTACTGCTCTCCCCAAACACCTAGATCCCGAGTGGATAGCTTTTGAGGTTTTTGATGAAGACGATGGACAGAGCGATACAAGTTCAAATTCAGAGACAGATGCAAATTCATCGAGTGAAATTGATGGACATGACCATTCGCCGACGAAAACGCCGTCGCGACTTTGCACTGCCATGGACTCGACCTTGGTTTCCCAGATCAAGAACCTCTCCATGCAATCACCTTCACGCAGTGGCCTTATCCTCAACGATTCAGACAGTAGAATTGGTAGCGCATCACGAGGTTTGGAAGTAGACTCAGCAAGTGAAGCGCAAGATTTTGTGTCGCGGTCGCCGTTCGGGGCCATCACCACATCACTCTCCCTGATGGAGATGCTGATTCGGCTGGCTGGCCTTCAAGAATTCCAGCAGGCTTCCCATTTGTCTATTCCAGACCACATCTTGACATTTTTCTTGGAAGAAACATCGACAACAGGGTTGACTGGCGAGGCAATGTGGAGGACAAGGAGCGAAACGAAGCAACGGGTGGGATTTGACCCATACACTGACACAGCGTAATTGTTTGGTGAAATGGGACTTGGAAGGGAAAACTAGATTGGACGTAAATATAGAATCTAGGAATGCGCATAGACACACAATTAAACATGGGCTAAACTTGACAAGATTATTTTAATCAACCATCCCTGCTGAGGCTTGGAGTACTATTGAGTGACATGCTCAATTGATTATCTGCTGCGGCTCATCTCATCAAGACAACTAGATATATCTAGAGGTAGGAAAGCATCATGCCAATCACTTGAACCGAATCGGGATTCTATTCTGCAAACTTGTTGAGAATTTCCCCCAATTAGTAGTAATTTTCTTCCAATTACTAATAATGACCCTCGCCACCTAGTAGTCCAACGAAGGAATGAATGTTGGGGGGCTAGAGGCGTTGAGGGGTTCCTGCAACCTCATAGGCGCATGCTCGCCCAAAGAATTGATCTTCCTGCCTCGGCTTCAGCTGTAACCAAAATTGCGATATTATATATCAAGAAGCCTTACGTTTTCATTTAGGTTGTGACATTTAGGCATTCATTGAAAAGAGGCAACACAATGGCGCCTCTCATTCCTCGCTTGCATCTCCTCGAGATCGATGACCAGCCATGGTAAGAAGCCTCTCCCGGGTGTATCGCTGGATTCAATTCCTTGTCCCAACTTCACCTCTTCATCCAACTAGATACCTGTTTAAACATGCTATGCGCATTCAAAAGGCCTCTAACATTGAATAACTGTAGGTTCCCTTCATTTCTACGCAACCTCGTCCAGGATGCTCTCACTTTAGCGTGGAACTCCAACACGCCTCTTCAACCCGAATCTCCCGCTCGTATCGCCGCATCTACCCTTATTCGCCAACTTGGAAGCTCGCTCTCTTCTTATACATTCATTGACTTCTGTGCCGGTGGAGGCGGGCCTACACCTGAGATGCAGCGGGCCATCAACAGCCATCTCAGCGCTCAAAACAAGCCTCCAGTCGACTTTATCCTAACCGACTTACACCCAAATATCGCAGCCTGGCAGAAAATCGTCAAGAAATCACCGCGAATTATGTATGAGAGCCAATCTGTGGATGCGAGCAACGCTCCAAAGTATCTAATGGAGCGCCAGGACGGAAAGAAAGTGATGAGGCTGTTCAACCTGTCCTTTCACCACTTTGATGATGACATGGCAAAACACATTCTGAAAGACACAGTCAACACGAGTCATGGGTTCGCCATAGTTGAGCTTCAAGGCCGTAGCCTCTCAAGTGCGATTAGCGTATTGATGCTGGGAGTCGGGGCAGTAGCCATGGCGCCATTCGTGGCCTGGAAGCGGAAGTCTCTGACCATATTCATATTCGCTTGCATAATTCCAGTACTTCCTTTTGTTCTTGTATTCGATGGACTGGTTTCCTGTCTGAGGACAAGGACACCAGAGGAAGTAGAGAGTCTCCTTCGAGGATGTGGTACGGACACTAGCTCATGGGAGATGCAGAGTGGGAGACGCAAGTTTATTTGGCCTTGTGGATATCTTCATTGGGTCATTTGTAAACCCATCGAAGGGTCTTGATCTGGTTTATGTGCGTGTTGTATAAGTATCAATGACTGTACGGTTGTGGCACGTTTTTTTTTGTATATTCCAATCGAAGTATCTCAACTTCAGCGAAACCACCAGTTGACTGATCCATTTAGCTGTCCGTCAGATCGCTCGCTCCTGATAGAATGCCACCAGCCCTTGGGAATAAACAAGCCATCTCCGGCACGTAATGTTACCTCTTGAATGTCTGCTGCCGTCGGTTCATTCCCCCAAACGGCCCCATGAAGCATTTCCCTTTCTTCTCCCTCCATCATTTCTGTGGATCTTATTCGGCTATTTCCTAACCGTCGAAGCCGCGTCTGCACGCTATTATACAGCTCAAGCCCCTTATCAGGTGGCAAAAGCCTTACCACTTTGCTACTACACAGCTGGCAGAACAAATTTGGGTTTGGGTCCCGGTGTAGTGGGGTGTAAGTCGGCTCAGTCCCGAGCCATATTGAGGAGCTGTAAATGTCGCCTTTGCCCACTTTGCGGATCAGTTCTGGAGCTGGCACATCGCTCTGTAGAGAGCTGGGAAGGTCCGGTAATAGAGACTGGGCTATGTAAAGCTGGATTGGTGGATTTTCTTTTATCCTTTGGGCATTGTTAAATTCGAGGGCTCTAACCAGGAGCCGTAAAGGTGCATAGAGCTGAAAGAATTGGTGTTTGTGAGAGGCTTCAGCAATAGTGGTTTGAAGAGCTGCCGCTAGCTCTTGGCCAATTGCATCTTGTCTATTTAGACTGTCCAGAAAAAGGGCGACAGTCTCAGATCCGTGTTTGGAGGGCTTTATCAGCTCATAGGGAAAGTCCCATTGGAGGAAAGGATCCATATAAGAAGACAAATTTGCGTTTGTGTCATCCCTTGTGAACCATTTGTGAAAAGCCGGAAGGGTTTGTGTAGGGGATGTTTTCGAATCTGCAAATAGATAGGGCCGTTCAGCTTTGAAGCTCTCTTCGAATGTAAGCCCATCTATGGCACTAGACACGGATGGTATTCGGCCATTTGCGGAAGTAAAGGTGCGAGATGGTGCTCTATGGGTTTGTGATATCCAACTGCGTGTGGATTGGAGCGCCCTAAAGCTCCCCTTCATATTGGATAGCCCGAATGTTGGAGGATTGGGGAGATGCATGTGTGGTTCAGAGAGGTGGAAGGCATTGATTGAATCATCATCTGATGCTCATACTACAAAAGGTAAGGTACTGACAGCTCTACAATGCGTACCATCTACCTGCATGCAGGCATGGTTTGCTGGGCATTGGCATGTATTCGCTACCTCATCGGCGTCGTCCCAGCTCCAAGCAAGGGCCGCTGCCCGGAACCGGCAAAATCTGGCGCCGATCCAGCCAGCCTCACCTCTTAGTCATGTTGTTGTCTCTCCAACCACCGCCCAACACCGCCGCCTCTCCATGCGACGTTGACCAAACGCTTAAATCTTGTCAGAAGCCCAGCCCCAGCCTTATCACAGGCCCGAGACGAGGCTGCCGCCAATCCGCCCAGCGCCCGCAATCCGGCCCCGATGCCTGCGTGATCCTGTCGAATCCCCGAATCCCCAGCAGCAAATCAGCCGGCGACACACAGCAGAGCCGCCCTTGCCTTGACGCCACCTGGCCGCCATCCCACGTCTCGCCTCACTCCAGGTTGTTATTCCCATCAAGATACGCGCCTAGGCCGCTGCAGTGACGCCAAAATCACCCCGCCACGCCCAGAAACAGGCGCCCAGGCACTAATCCAGGCCCCTAAACTTGGGCATCTACCACCGTCAGCGCCCATACGCGACCTGCCACTTTGCACTTTTATCGATTTTATCGATAATACCACCACGGCGAACCCCACCTCCGCCAAACGCCAAACCTCTCGTCAATCTCAAAACTTCAATCCTCAGCCCGCACGCTGCCCGTGATTGAACCAGGCCAATCTTGTCCCCTGTTGCCGCTACCATGTCGACCTCTTCGGGGACGCCCGAGTCCTGGATCTCGAGCTTTTGCGCTCTGCCGGGGCACGAGTACTTTGCTGAAGTATCCGAGGAGTTTATCGAGGATGACTTCAACTTGACGGGTCTGCAGACGCAAGTTGCCATGTACAAAGAGGCGCTCGAGGTATGTCGCGCATCTATTGACTCATTCTACCACTTCTGCTTCTTCATTTCCCCTCTTCTCCTCGTATCTTGATGACGTATTTGATGCTGCCCCCCAAATCTTGATCACCATTGCTAATTTGCGCGCCCAGATGATTCTCGATGTCGAGCCAGAGGATGATGAGGATGAGGAAGAAGACGAGGAGGATGACGACGAAAACGAATCCGGTTTGGAGGAGCCCGACCGTGCAGGCATGCGACACGGCGCAGAGCGGAGGCACCATAGCAGGATGGCCAGCGACCTGTCCGTCATCGAGTCATCCGCAGAGATGCTGTACGGCCTCATCCACCAGCGCTTCATCTGCTCTCGGGTGGGCATCCAGCAGATGAGCGAGAAGTACGAGTTTGGTCATTTCGGCTGCTGCCCACGGACGCACTGCGAGCAGGCACGCACCTTGCCTGTTGGCCTGTCCGACATTCCCGGCGAAGACACAGTCAAGCTCTTCTGCCCATCCTGCCTCGACGTCTATGTCCCCCCCAACAGCCGGTTCCAGACAGTGGACGGCGCCTTCTTCGGCCGCACATTTGGAGCTCTCTTCCTCCTTACATTCCCCGAATACGATCTCACCAAACGTGGTGCCGACGTGCTGTCAAGCACAAACTCCAAAGTGCCTGACGATGAGAACATTCTCAATGGCATGTACGCCAAGAACATTGCGCCAGGTCTCGGCAATGGCCATATTTATGAGCCAAAGATCTACGGTTTCAAGGTCTCAGAGCGCGCACGATCAGGCCCCAGGATGCAATGGTTACGAGACCGGCCGGACACTATCACCGAGTTGGATGAGGCACGGCTTTACCACGAGCAAAACCCCGACTCCGACGAGGAAGACGAAGAGTCCATGGCTGTCAACGGCCGGGCATTGGTCCGACGACGACCACCGGGCAACGCTCGCCTTCGCCAGCGACAGAATCACAGCGGTAGCCCCATGGCTCTGTCCGCCAACGGTGCCGAGTCTGAGCTGTAGCGTAGCGAGACCTTACGTAGCGAGACTATAAGGAATTTCAAACGACACATGTGGAAGACAGCGCACAAGACCATGGCTTGCTTAGACGATTTGCACCATATTGATGAAACTTTATTCGAAACAATACTGAACACGAAGGCGAAGGACAGAACGGAAAGGAGACGAACAAGACCCCCAAAAGTCGCCATCTGTGGATGCTGTTTAATCTATATCCTTACATGTAACGCAAGCGAGGAGGGGGGGCAAACGGTTTTTGAAAGAGTAATGCATACATGGCGTTGGAAGTGTTTTGATATGCTTCGAGACATCCCCCTCAACTACTCACACGCACATCATTCTTTTTCATCACCCCCTCTCCCTCCTCCCCAATTTTCCCTTGTTAGCCTGTGGGATGCGGGGGGCCATGTGGTGTCAAATCTACTGCTCACATCATGTTTGGAAGGACTGAGCACGGGTGATGATAACGTCTAGGTTTTACGGGGGCCGGTAGGGGTTGTTTACAGTTGGAATATGGTCTAGGGGGTAAACATCAACAAAAAGAGGTAGGGCATGGCGGATTTGGTATGTTCAATGAGAAGGGAGTGAGATATGCGGTGGGAGACTAGCTTGCAGGATATGTTAGTCTTTTTATAATACGGGATATATGAGGGGTGTCTTATTGCATAAACGCAGATATGTTTTTTTGTGTCTGTAAAAAAAAAAATTAACGGGATTATGTATGTATATTTATTGATTTGTCCTAATCTCTCCATACATCCATCCATACCATGCATACTTGTGTGCCTATTATTCGCACACTTTTGCGAGAACATGTAAAACAGACTGATGCACCGCTCGTCTCCAAACTTGATGAAATAGACAATTCTGTGTGCAAGCTTGGTCTGCTTTAGATCCACCATAACAAAGTCTCCAAAACAATCTAAATCTAATATCCTCCTCGTCCTCATCATTCCTTGAAAAATACCTCCCATCTACTCAGCGTCATAAATCACCTCATGGGCGATGCCTTGCCCGGCGTCCAACCTCCGCTTCCAAAGCCCCTGACCCTAGCCGGCGTACTCGGCGCGGGCGTGGGCGTAGGAGTGTTCCCATTCTCTGCCGCCGACAAGGGGGGCGGCGTTTCTGACCTGGGAGCGTCGATGCCATCCTTTCTAGGGGGCTTGAAGTTGACGTCCCTGCCAGCACGATAGATGTCCTGCAGCATCGCCTCCAGAATGCCGGCATCTTCAAACTCGAGGTACTTCTTATAGAGTTTCAGAGCCGTCCTAGAATCCTCAATGGAGTCGTGCGTCTCCAACTGGATGTCTTCCTTGAGCAGGTACCACGCCAAAAAGGCCAGGGACAGCTTTCGCAGGCGCGATTTGAGGTAGAACCGATCAATAGTGTCGATGATTTGTGCCTTGGGGACATGGATGTTGATGACTCGGAAGTCCTGTTTGAGTCCATGGCCCAAGAACTTGCAGCCCAGGTTGAGCAGTACCCAAAGCTTCTTATACACCACCTTGTGCGCCAATAGACTGTGTTTGGTGGTGCGAGGATTCAAATCGTCCTCGGTGATGCCCGAGTAGGACGTTAGGTAGTCAACTATCGGTTCTGTGATAGAAATGTAGTCGTCTATAAAGGGGACCCCCTCGTTTTCACCTTGGCCTCGTACAACAGAGGCTCGGGCGAGTGCGTAAACTATGGGTCGGATGGTCTCTCGCTCGCCATCCGAGTTCATCTCAATCTCTGGCTGTCGCACAGAGACGAATTCAGTATCCAGTGCGACAATCGTTGATGGCCCTGGCCGCTCCGTTGCAGGATCGAGAAGCTTGTACGTTTTATTCTCAGAGCGAGAACTGGGACTAGAAGCACCGAAGGTTAGCTTCCTGTTTCCCCCTCATGTGAGTCATATCAATGACGGAGCAACTTACTTGAAGTCCTGGTATAAAATCGATGTATCGATGTTGTTCTTCCATCCATTATCAATCTTGTTATTTGCCTTCTTGACTTGGAATGCAACAACCGATGGGACTTTCCAGGAAGTGTTAAAGCTAAGAGCTTCTTCTGTGCTCACAGGGCACACCAAGAAGTCATTGAATAAGTGCCACTGGCTCTGGCTGGGAGCTTCTGGTTCCGCATGACCGACTATCGAGAAGTAAGCAACATGATGCGATGATTCTGGGAGGACATGGTGTCTTACCATTGACCATGGCCACGAGATGTGGCTTTTGTGTCTGGCCACTTTCAATATTAATAGCCATTCCAATTAATGAGTAGACTGTGATGTTGTGTATGCCACGTTGTAGGTGAAGCTTCAAGTCTTCTCCTTCGTAGCAAAAGAAAAGGCCCTGCTCGACAATGATGCCGATTTCTTCTGGCAGCCAGCCAGGTGTGGACCAAAGCATTCGGTGATCCGAGCCGGTAATTGCGGTATTAAGCATTAAGACGTCTGGAACACTGTGAATGGTCTTTCTAGTTGCAATAGTCTGGTATCGTTGACATCTCCCACACCACCCCTTTGATGTTGTTTCTCTCTCAACACTGCTCTTAAGAATTTGGGAGAAAGTGATGCGTGGCGCTTTGTTGTTCCGCCCTGGGGTTTTCTAGGAATCAGGTCAGTTAAGACTTGGCCAAGGGACCGGCCTACCCAACTTACAATAGGTGGATAAAGCAAATCATTTACAAAGGTCGATCCAGGCCGGGTATATTCGCTTCTGCAGCTGAAGCATCTAATAGTGCTTGTTGCCGATGTCGCCAGCGCCTTATCCATTGCAGGGGAGCTCGGGGCCATTGTCTTGTAGTCACCAGCAATTTTCTCCAAGAGAAATCGTGTAAGTCCCTGTAGCATTACATTCAGGGATGATGAATGGGTATCTTCTTCTAAAAGACCCAGTGGTGCAGCTTGAGGTTGGTTGCTAAGTGCTTTTAGCATGTTGGTGGCCTGGCAGATTGATCCTTCCGCTTTCTGAAGCATATCAAAGAGGTAGCCCAGTTCGCACAGAAGACAAGCCTCGCTCACGCAGGCGGTAGCTGCATGTTGTAAAGCCAGGTTTCGAATTAAAGGCGTAAAGTGCATAATTTGAAGAAGCGAGTTTGCGTATGAGTTTGATATATGAATCTCGAGGCCTGAGTGCCGGGTTTGGTTGTAATACCCAAAATCGAAATCGTCCACACCAAATTTGCTGTACTTGATCTCGACATTTCTGTACATCATGGGCAAATCTGATTTTCTGCTCCCAATTTCCATCTCTGCCAGCGAGTTTGAGAGCTCATCTGCCTTATCACTGGATGATTCCGATTTGGCAAGATCTCGAGCCTTTTCACTGAGAAACTTTGGCGCCTTGAGGCCAGAGTTGGCGGATTTGTGTACGCTGCGAGTGTCCTCGAATTGATTCCTTCGAACGCCACGCATATTCCGGCCATAAAGTGCGAAATCTGTAGGTTTGAGGCTCGCAAGGAACTGTGGATCAAATTTGACTGGAGGAGCCCCAACATCTGAGGTTAACTCGGGCCAAGAAGAGGCAAGGATTTGCCGGTAGTATGGTAGGCCGACTGAGTTTAGAGGACTGTGCCATGTTAGCCAACCAGCTTGAGAATAGATAGGGTGAACCTGCACAGCTTACCTTTCTGGTGTCCAATCCACCTGGGGAATCGGCTCCTCAGGAGTAGCAAATTCAACGGGAGTAGGTAGATCGACAAAATGGAGTTTTGAAGGCGATCCCCACAGGTGGATCAAGCATTCTGCGTCGGTGAGAGCCATAGCTTCACCGGAAGGAGCAATCTCGAACATGCTGAGGTAGCTTAGCACATTGGCTTGGCGCACGTTGCTGGTGTTGGGATTCATCAGGTCCACAACATGCATCTGGCCGCTTTGAGACACCACGATGCTGGTTGTGAGCATGCGCGGGTGCATGCGTACATATGCCGCACCGGCGGGGAAGGGTATCGGCGGCATTGACGCCATCTTTCTGATATCGAAGACGTTGAGGAAGGGATCCAGCATATAATTCTGTCCTTGGCGCAGCGAGTAGCCGCATGTAACAATGAAGTCGTGCTGAGCATCCATGTCATTGATCAAGGCTGAATGGGCATTCCAGGTCTTGACGACAGCAAAGGTGACGGGATCCAACAGGTCAACCGATCCGTTTCTCGTTGCCGCGCAGATATAGCGTCCACGCTTCATAATCGAGTATTGACGCTCCGTTCGGACTTGTTTGACGACTTCTCCTTTAATGAGATCGATAACAAACATGCTGTCTTGGAGACCAGCAGCAATGATTTCTGCGGTTCCCTTTGAGGTGAAGCTCATGCATCTCAGATCCTTCATGTCGTCGTGTCTGAGATGCCAGATGGGGGGCCCTCTCCTGTGCGCCATATGCACATCTTTGGAGCCCAGTACCACCACGCCTTTGCTGTTTACGAGAATCTGCCGGACCGGTCCGTCTGCGGCCTGATGTGCCTTGAATGAAGTATGCTGTTGAAGCTCGGTGCTTAGAAAGGAAGTGACTCGACCCTATTATACCCATGTTAGAGCCCTGCACGTGCAAGTAGAGCATGCCTGATCGTACATAGTCGTTACCGGCCCATAGAAGCTCCTGAGTGGTATCAAAGGTCATCGTCGTGACTTGTGTAGGCAGTGCATGCACGCCCGGTGGCGGGAATGGCACCCGGGCGACCTAGAAGAGTAAATACGTTAGAATCAGAAGTCGAATCGAGCAGCGATGCTGTACAAGACAGCGCAACGGCTGGCCATGGCGAGAAGCAACTTACCTCATCCCAATCTCCGTCCATTGCAGCCTCCCCCGGTACCAAAGCCCGTATAAAGGGTCGCAATGATACCGTAAGCCCAAGAGAGGCTCCACGGGAGTCCAGGCTAAGAATACGGGCACAATCGACAAAAACACGGCACAGAAGCGAATCTGTCTCCGCGAGAGAGCTGGAGTGGGAGGAACGCGACTTGTAGGAGGGGCAGTGAGGTCACTAGTATTATCCGATATAACTCCGCAGGCTTACCCTACGAAGCGCGAGGTCTGAAGATGCTTGGATTGATATTGGGAAGACGCGAGTGAATGATGAGAGAGAGAAGAGTTTGGTGTCCATGGCCTGGGAATTGCGAGAAATATATAGTTGAGCTTGTTTAGACTTTTGTTGACTTTATTTGTTTTGTTTTGTTTGTTTTGTTTATCTAAAGTATTGAACGGAAAGTCTCCTTCTACCTACGCTACCGCAGCTTGTTCTATGGGGGTAAACTGTTACGATGGCAACAGAGCACTTCAAAACCATAGAAGAATAGATATTGGCTCGCTATTCGCTGCAGTAGCCTTTGGAGGCGGTCGCCATTGCATCACAGAGTATGTGTGTTGATAATGGATGGATACAGTGATACCATGACAACGGATGCAATCAAGGCTGGGTTGGGAAAGGCAAATTAGAAAACTATCAAGGGAGAAATCTGTATGGGTCATTAACAAACACATTGCATTGATCAAGTCATAAGCAGCTTTTTTTGATTTCATTTCTAGGAACTTGGTATATCGTAAAGTTGATGGGCTGTGCGCCTTTTGGGTTTCCTGGGAGCCAAGCAACCGCCTCTCCCGCTGGCTCTACCTCCACCTTCCATTTGGTTCTCGTTAATTCTCCCACCTCGTCCCAGAGACGCTGGAAGCTTTCCTGGTTGTGAAGGTAGGGTGAGGAATCGTCCTTCTCGACCTCGCGAGTGGTAGCGACGCCTGCATGTCGGCCGTATATAAACGCGTTGCGTATTCCCGGCTGCAGGAAGTCGACAAGTCGTTTGCCAATGTATAACTGCTGTTTCCAGCTAAATAGATGAAAGAAGCTTCCGGCATGAATGATGCTGACTTGGCCGTTGAGCTCCCCTAAGCTCGGATCGTCGGGATCTATCAAGTCTCCCACGGTAAAATGGGCGCCTAAGCTGTTCCTATCTTGGAAGAGATCGTAGCCTGATGACACCAACTGGGAACTTGAGTCGAGCCCAAATAATCGTGACCCATCAACCCCGTCATCTCGAAATTGACGAAGAGCTTGGCCAAGCCCACAGCCCAGGTCTAGGAGGGCATCTCGAGATTGAGACAGTCTGAGGCGGAACAGAGCCTGCTGATAGCGGGAGTCGTTGACATCGTTCAATGTTAGGAATTTCCATCGCCCAATGAAGGGCATTCTTGAATACGCCCAGGCCGCCTCTCGCTATAGGAATCCATCAGATCAGCAAATGAAGGCCGGCGACTGGCGCAGGTAACTTACAATCTTGATAAGGTGAGGCTCAATCTCCCCGGCTGGGATCTTGCTATATCGGATGAGCAAATCCCGGATCGGCGCTATGTTATCCGGAAGATTAGGCATGAAGGCCCATTTTTGTATCTCTAGGATGTCCATTCCATGAGACGAAAGAGGCTCCAAGACGCGAAAAAGAGGGTGAAATCGCAAGCTACAGACAGTATCGGATCAGGGAGGGCGAGATGGATCAGGATCAATCACCGGTGCGCAGTGCAGGAGACGCAACTTCGTACTCGCAGCTCTCTTCATGCCCAGGGATCCATCTAGCGGGATTGAAATCAAAGGAGACCGTCCATCTTGGCCGGCTGCAGGAATTCGGTGCACTCCGTAAAACGCAGAGATCAGTCGATGATTGGAAATCGCGTCAATGCAAGGACACGCGAGGCATGACGGTCCAGGTTGATGAGCTGGCAGAGGCTTGAAACGTATCCGAGGTATCAGCGCTCTCCATTGGCCCCGGCCCAGTGGAAGCAGGGCAAAGGCTATTACGGAGCAGACCTGCTTTGTACCTAGGCAAAAGCTACTGCAATTTTAGGTAGGCAAAGGGTAGGGGGCATATGCAAATGAAATGCAATCATGGTTCTATGCAGCTTCGACTGCAGCCGACCCTCTTTTTGTCGCCGGCTGCGGTAAGTCGCATGATAAGGGAATGATGAGTCAGAAAAACCGCCAATACCGAGAGCCCGCCAACGCCGAGAGCCTTGGGAGTGCTACCGTCTCCTGCAGTACGAGTAGGCACAACTATTTTGGCAGGATCGTACTCTGCACGCTGTACTTCGTATTAATCAATCAATCAGCTCCCCGGATCGGATCGGATTATCCGGTATTAACTACTAATTTAGGTACGGAGTATACGGAGTACTCTTCTCTTACCTTACTCTTACAATACCTTACCTAAAGTACTCCGTACTGAGACTAAGTTAATTTATTGGAATTGAACCCTGCAACTCCGTGTACCTTATTTGCTTATCAACCTTATGCATCATGACAAAGGGATAGCTGACTCATCATGCGCCGAAACGAAAGCGGTAGCAGAAGCACAAGCCAAGCAAAAGGCAAAAAAAAGCAGAAGCATCGTAATTGAGCCGAATATTTGCCGCCACGCCTCGGAGAAAATTCTTTCCTCCTCCCTCTCTGCCTAATCGAAAGCGAAAAAGGCACACCAACATCCCGTCGCCTATTCCCACGCGGCGACGAGTTATTCCTTTCCGTTCAAACGGCCCAGTTTCGCAATTACCATCATCCGTATTCCTATGCGAGAGAGTGTAAGTCAGCTATCCGGCAGCTTTAGATGCCCGCAACAAAAGACAATGGAATCTGCATAGACTCGCTGTCGAGTGATAAGCTGACCATGGCTTCAGAGTCAATATTGCATCGGCGCCGGATCGCCTCTAGCAATCGCGTAACAACCGCGTCTGGCCTGTTTGTTTTCGCCTACGACTCTGCGTAGAATCTCACAGGGTGTAACCGCCACTGTCATCTCATCTCACCAAGGCTTCATTAACTCTCTCCCCGGCGATTATGGGTCCCGGTCGTGAGGGCGAGCCGGAGGAGGCCAACAACATGTCGTATCCTTCACCGGGTGCTGAGGCTCTTGATGCAGGCCCATTCTATCATACAGCCACTCGCGATGAGACGCATGATCATGAGGAGCACCAGCAGACGCATGACCAGCATGATCCTAACCAGGTTCACCCACAGGAGCAAGATCATGGCCAGATGCCCACGCACGAGCCGGCATCTCCTCAGCATCACATCCAGAGGCCCCCCAACCTGGAGGAGCTTCAGCTGGCGGCCCAGCTTGGACAGGGCTTAGCAGGAACGTCTCTCATCCCGGCTACTGATCCCAACATGAACGTGGAAGATCCGAGCATGCGTAACATTATGCCACATCCCGAGCCAGATCAGCATCAGACGCCATCGTATGTTCACGAGACTCCGGCATCGGATCATATGGTGTCGCATGCACTCCCAGTTGCCGTTGGGCCTCCGCTGCCACCACAGTATGCCATGGGAGGAGACGGCATTCCACCAAGAAAACGATCAAAGGTGTCACGTGCCTGTGATGAGTGCCGGCGAAAGAAGATCAAATGTGACGCCCAATCGGATACTGGCGATAGTCCTTGTTCTAGCTGTGCTCGATCCTCTATGCGATGTCTGTTCAGCCGCGTTCCTCAAAAGCGTGGTCCAAGCAAGGGGTATGAATACCCCCCCCCCCCCCCCCCCCCCCCCCCTTTTTTTTTTTTTTTGCTGGTTTGTTATTGCAGCAGCAGTTGCAGAATGCCCTGATAAGCTGACATGAGAAACAGGTATATCAAAGAATTGGCAGATAGGATACACAGCATCGAGAACAAGCTGGAGTCCGAAGGTAGTCTTACCCAAGACGAGATTGATCGACTTTTGACACCAGGAGGAAGCCATCGAGCTTACAACGGCTTAGTCCCCCCTGAGGAGCCAGGTCGTAAGAGACCGTTTTCCAGCATATCAGCAACCGACTTCAGCACATCAGCTCCTCCTCGACAGGCGCCATGGGGACCAGAGTCGCGACCACTAATGCCTACTGCTGCGTCTGCGGACGGCTTTACAGGGCCAACGTATGCCAACAATTCGCTAGCACCTCAGTCTTCAGCAATCAAAACGGACAGCGTGCCACCAAAGCCACCCGTGGCATCAATGGACTCGCAGATTGAGGAAGCAGAAGAAGTACCAGAGATTGACGAAGATTCGTTACATGAGTAAGCACCCCCCTGTCCCATATCCCATATCCCATATCTCCTTTACCTTTCCCGGAGCCAGAGCTGATGGAGCATACAGCTATCTCGCCCATGTTCAAGCTATATATCCCATACTACCCAGCAGCAAGGCAAGGATTCAGTCTTTGCTGTCTCAATGCCCGTCCACTGTAAGGACGGCATTTATCACAGCGCTTCAAGCAATCGGGCAATCATCAGGAGACACGCAAACCGCGAGCTCCCTTTTGCACGAGTGGGAGAGCAGTGAGGCACCGCACTCGCGTGCCACCGATATTGTTCATGCCCAGACGCTTCTTCTCCTGATAATTGACGCAGATTGGCGCGCCTCATCCCAACTCCCGTTTCTCCTAGCCAGAGCGGTGGCGCTTGCCAACACGATGAAGCTGTGGAAATTTACGCCAATTGAGTCTGCCTCAGAATCAGACTCTGACGATCAGCTGTGCGTGCGGATCTGGTGGTCTCTTGTGCTGATGGATCGCTGGCACGCAGCTGGAACAGGGAAACCAGCACAAATCCCGGATAGTAGTGTTGTTGCGCCTGGCGGGCTGGAGAACACCTTGGGCGAGGTGTGCTACTATTTAATCCGTAAGTTGGAAACAGCAGGGGTAACATACCGCTATCAACTGTTGCTAATGGGAGACTTGCATAGGGCTATCAAAGCTGTTAAACAGAACCGCATTTGTCATTTCCACAATGCAGCCAGGGACATCTACGGCCGAGCCTGCTATGGCGGCCATCCTCGCAGACTACATCGAGAACTACCGAGAGGATCTTCCAGGCCATATCGAGGCTGCGTCGTATCCATTGGTACATCTCGCCTACTGGCATTGCAAGCTACTGGTGACATTGTTGACACCAGGGGCGACGCCAACGGAGACGCTGTGGCCAACGTCTGAGCTGGCCACGTTACTGCTAGCAAATGCACACCTCAGGAGCCCCTTTACCAACCATTTCGTGTCTCTAGTCACCATGTCACTATCCAAACTGTCCAAGATGGACAGCTCCCGCGAGGGCGCTGTCCGGCTAATGAAGGAGATCCTGGAGAAGCCCAGCGGAGGCCACTGGGATAGTGTTAGAGAGAAGCTAACCGACCAGCTGCGACCGACTTCATCGGTGGAGGCTACTGCAAGCCAAGGGCTGCAGCATCTGGCGGATTTGGCGACAGCCCATGAGGGCATTGCGCCTGGCCCAGATGACATTACGTTTGGTCCCACGCTCGCGTCGGGCTACCTAGACGTTGCTTAGAAGGAGGAGGGGGACTGGATTGTGTGTTTCGATTAAGATTTTGTTGGGCTGTTTTACACGGCGTATGGATAACGGTGTCAAGTCGTCGAAGCCGAACTGTACTGTACAATTAGCACCCCTTATTCGCTTTTCCCTTTTCCCTTTTCTCCTCCTTGTTTGCCCGTGGAACTACGGATATCGGCGGTGGAGGGCGGTGTTTGGTGCTGCAGCCATGGTGTCAAGCGTGTGGCTTGACGCGGGCGATGTCACTCGGATGCTTTGTGATGGATCAAGGCCAGGTTAATGGCACTGCCGGGACGTGCGTCTGCGTAGATGCTATACTAGGCATATGAAGAGTAAGAGTAATGAAACAATCCCTGCGTGGAGTGTAGGGGATTCCCCATTAGGTCGATCGGTGAGGCTGAGATGGTCCCATGGGGAGGATCTACCCACTGCCAGCGTATGGATCCTTCTGCCGAGCCACTCTGTTGATTGCATTTGTCGAGTCGACATTACCCGAGCTCGTCACTCGTTTTACCCTAGCAAGGGAAGAAAAGCAGGATTTCCTTTAAGCGAAACGTCCTTTGCTTGATTGCCCATTTTTGCCACTAACTGTCTTTGCGCAAAGCTGGACTCTAACCCGGCCAATAGAAGCCCGTACCAGAAACGACCCAACAGCCGCCGTAAAACGAACCTTTTTTTCCTTTACTGTCCCGAAACATTCCCTTGTCCCATGAGGTTTTGATCGCCGGGCCTTTCCGCTCCCCTTCTTTCCCCAACCTCTTCTTCCCCCCCCCTTCTTCGTCTAATATTAAAAAGGCAGAAAATAGAACAGAACACACACACACACCGAAAAAAGAGCGGAGCGGTAAGCAACCCGGCGCTCTCCCTCTCTCCCCCCCTCCTCAATCAATAGCTTTTTTTTGCCTTTTTATTATCACCCAACGTTCAACTGTTCTGGGCCTTCGGGCTCTTATGCCTACACGACAAAACCCGCCGAATGTAAGCCCTCCAGTAGCAACAAAAAAACGCGGCTACTGTACCGTAACGTACCGTACTGTATTGTACTAAGCCTCCTCTCTCTCTCACCCCCAAAGAAGCCCCAAAAGGAAAAACATCTATGTGCTAGAAATTCCCACTCCCCCAGCGCCAAGATCAGCCAATTCGTGCATGTCACAGACTGGCCTAGGCCTCTCTCTGTCTTCGCCCTTCTGGCACACAGAAACCTACCTATACGTAAGGTACTTTGCTCCGGAGTTTTATCTTTCATCCCTCCCTCCTCCTCCTCCTTCTCCCCAGAAAGTTCGGCAAGTATTACAGTATTCCGAATTCTTACAGGTAGTTTGTCTTTTTCTTCCTTTCCTCCATTTACCCCTCTCTCCCTCTCCTAAATGCCAAAACGAACGCCCTCGACGGGATGAAATAGAGAGCAGAGCGTAGAGCGAGTGTCTGTTCGTCTGCCTCGCACGGCGCCGCGTATCATACAGAACTGTACCCCCATTCACATGTGGGCTAGATTACCTTCTTTTCCTGTCCTGTCTTCTTCTCGGTCTCTTCTCATTGGATCCATTTCGAGCCCTTCCGCGGATAGAACCCCGTTCCTCTTTTTTTTTGTGGACTTGGTTTTTTTTCTGGCAGAATGCTTGATCCACCTTGCCTTTTCTCCAGTTAACAAGAAGAGCCAGCCAGACAAGAAGAACTTGGAACAGGCTTTTAGTGTGTGGCGGATACGACTAAGCCGCTATCTTTTTTTCGCCTTTAACTCACCAACAAGCCGTACTCGTAATACTGTAAGCACGTTTGTCCCCCAAAAGGCTTTCGACGTTAGCTGCCTTGGCTTTTTCCATCAGTCTTACTCATACGGAGTACTTGGTTCCTGAAGTCGTAGCCGCACATTCTCGCTGTACCTGACTTAACACCAACTACCTGATAGCTTACCCGTTAGTGAGAAAAAGAAAGGGAAAAAATCTTCACCCTCTCTAAAATACAGTCCACGGTGGCTCTGGAACAATCGACCACCATACGGTGTTGGTCGCCTCACACCGTTACGTTAGGTGATGCCCCAGGCGGCGCTCTGTCGAAGCACAGTCTCTTGGCGACCGGCGTCTGCCCGGTCGGTAGGCTACCATTTCCCAATTGCCGTTGGGCTGGTGGCGCGTCTGCAATTGCAAAAATAACTTGAAAGGATCCAAAAGTGTACTGTCTTAGACCAAAGTCGCTGCTTCTATTGTTGCGCAGAGTCTATATACTGAAACATGACATGATTCAAAAATAAAAGGATAAAAAGAAGAATTCAAGAGTGCGAACCCCTACTGGGTCGTCTCGCGAATAAACAACGGTCTATCTGTCCCATAAACTGTAATATGTGCAGCGACTCTGAACAATGCTCCGCAAGTGCGGGCTTGCAGCAAGAAAGAGAAAAAGCCATCATCATGTCCTCGTAAAGCCAAGCAAGCCATTGGGCCGGCCAAGCCAGTGAGAAAAGATCCAAACGAAAAATCAGGTAGCAGACGCATGGGACCCTCCACCCAACAACGCTGATCCAGCGTCATCAGGCAAGCAAAAGAGAGAAAAACAGCCCAGCGACGCACCGACGAAAACCCCAGACACCGAAGCCTTGTCCCACCTTCATTGCCCACGTTTCCCCCCTCCTAAGTTGCCCCTGGTCCCCACCCCACAAATTGTAGCCCGTGCCCCATTGTATGATTTCTAGAGACGAGGAAAAAAAGGTGTCCGCTTGTTTCCTAACCCGCAGGGCCGGTGTTTCAGCGGACAGAAAAAAAAAAGGTGAAAGAAAGAGAGAGACTGGCTCGAGTTGAATCGTAGGCTGTTCCGGAGCAGCCTAAGCTAAGCTAGCCACCTCGATCCCGAAAGAAGCGAAACAAGGAAATTTGGATGCTCGCAAAAAGTGTCGCTCAAGTATAGCCGACCGTATGAATCAGGTACGCCCTCCAGACCATAAATGCCCTTTTTTTTTGTCGTTGTATATAGCGGGTTCCCAACGCCTTTGTCGTTAACGCGTTCAAGATGCCAACCACCATTGGGGTATTCTGTGCGCCAGGTAAAAATAAAGTAAAACAAAAGACCAAACAGAAACGGGGGAAGATGAATCCCAAATAAACCCGTGAAAAACAGAAATGCCATCACATTTCCCAGTAGCCACCTAGTGAGCCAGCCCCAAGGGTGTCGGGGTTCTCGTCTACCGTGGTGACGTTACCACTGTAGTTGGGAATGTAGAACGCGGGGTCGTCCTCGACCGTGGAGAAGTCGCCGGTGAGAGCCTGGTTGTCGGCCTTGTCGAAGAGGCTGTAATCCAGGCTGGTGAGGTCGACATTGGCTTGTCGGAGGTAGCTACCGCTGGTGGCAAATCCTTCAAATTCGCCCTCGCCGCCAGGCATAAAGTCTTCCACTTCGGAGACGTCCCCAGACGTAGACCTTGTGCCGGCCAGGTTGGGCAGCTGCTCAGAGCCGCTACCAAAGTCGAGCTGGCCGGTGAACTGGGTGCCGGCCTGGCTGTAGCTTGAGGGGGTGAAGCTTTCGCCGTTGGCTTCCCTCAGATCAAGGTGGCTCCAGTCAACCGACTGCGCCAGGCTTGCGCTCATGATAGGCCCGTCGGCATCGGGAAGGCCGCTTGAAAATAGATCAAAGTTGGTGCTACTGGCGTAGGTAGAGTAGTTTGAAATGCTCGAAAGATCGAGTGGTGGCAGATTGCCGTTCAGCTGCGAAAAGGTAGAGGCAGACATCAGAGGGGATGTCGCCTCGGATTTGACCAGGCGCTGCTCGCGGGCAAGGAAGTTGTGCTGCATCGACGCGTGGCCCTCGTTCTGTGCTTGATACAGCAGATTGTCGGTGCTGGTGCCAAGGCTGCCGGCACTGGCGGCCGAGTTGACCCTGTTGAGCTGATACGGCCCACACTTTTGTGAGGCACGGTTGTGCTTGGCCGGCTTGTGGTGGCCGTGCTGGTCAAAGGTCATGCCAATGTCGGACGAGTGAATCGTGTTAGCCCGTCGCCGTCTCGGAACAGGTCGAGGAGGCAGGGTGGCTGCCTTTTGGAGTTCGCCGTCCGAGTCGGACTCCGGGACAGTGTCCAGTGCCACGTCCTTCTTTCCGGCACAGGTGCATCGTCCGCCATGGTTGCAGCAGCACGTCTCTGCATGACATGATGACAGATTAGAACCGGGAGCTTGTGAAGGAGGACACGCAGCCTCGTATTCTGTAAAACTCACCAAGGTGTCCGTCGACGGGCGGTTGCAGGTGAACACACTTGCTCGTCTTCTCGCCGCAATCGCACTTGATGTGAGCGGACCGGGACTTGCGCTGCGAGCGACAGTGCGCACATTGCGAGACGGGACGGCCCTTTTTGTTAATGTGTTGAAGAGGACGACCTGCAGGAGCTGCCAGTTAGCAATTGATTCTCGCGACAAGTATGCTCGTCTTCCTCTGCATGTGCGTTGCTATGGCGGCACAAGGCCAAACAAAGTTTTTGGCTGTCATGCCCTCCACCAACTGAACAGTTCGACGCCGACAAGAAGAAAAAAAAGCCAATTCAAGGCCAGGACATCATGGTATTTTTTGGAGATGGGGGGAAAGCCGCGGGGCAGAAACAACTTTGACTAGGTATAGTAGGTATATGCAGCGACTCACCTGAATGTTGGCAGTTGCTGACGCGGTGACCGCGCACGCAAGCCTCACAGGCAAACTTCTCGCCGTCAATTATCATCATGGATAAGGCTGTGGAACTGCGGTGCAAGTGAGGACAACTGGCGGGTTGCGGTTCAGAAGTGATGGATTAAAAGAAGAGTTTCAAGGCCGCTGGCGGGCTGGTGTTCGGCTCTGGATCGGCGGCTCGGGGCACGGGGAAAAGGGCAGGGCCAAGTTGGGTCGAGCAAACAGGGCCGAAGCAATTTTGTGTGCGTGTGCGTCTGCGCTATTCCGCCGAACCTGGGGGGTGTCTGTAGCTAGCACAGTAGGCAGAGTGGAACTGATGCACAGTTGCATGCGCTACAGGCGCATCAGTAGCTAGAAAGGGGAATGCCAAACCCGCCCAGGTTGAAGACTGGGTTTGCAGAGCTGAACGGAAGACGCTCTACCGGGAGGCGAGAGACAACAGAGAGAGGGAGAGAGAAGAGAGAGAGATGGAGACAGGAGAGGAGAGTGACGAGAGAGATATGGGGAGAGAGTCAGAGAGGGGAGGTGGGTAAGAGGCAGGCAGGTATCTTTGCAATTCTCCGCGTTGCTTGCAACCTCAAGGTAGCTGTACTTGGATGCCGTGCTGCAGGGTCTAAGTGCTGCTTGCGCGAGTCTCGTCTCGGTGCGCAGCTGAGTCGAACCGCCAAAGTGGGCAGATAGATAGCAACCTGAACTGGTCGATACAGGGGTTGCGTCTGCGGCAGCGCCAATGCTTTTAATATTAAAAAGTGGTGAGCCGGAATCGAGTGGCGGCAGAGGGTACAGTCCAGAGTGCTGCTCCCGTGTCTCCCGTGTGGCCGTACAGGTACAGCTGCGGAAAGGCAAGCGAGTTTGGCGCCAGCTCTGAGAAGCCGCTAGTTACGAGCTGGTACCCAAGGTCGAATTAGCCAGGTCAGCCGGGGTCTGCTCAGTGTCGTCAACCTGCAGCAGTAGGCGGATCCAGCCAGACACGTTCTGCTCTGCGCGCACGCGGGTAACAATAGCCGTGGTAACGTGAGAATGGTGGTAGCGGAGGGGGGGCAATGACGGCAGATGAGTTATAGCAAGACGATGGAGAGGAAGATGTTGCCCGAGTTGAGACGATGTTGCTCAAGAACACTTGAAGCAAATTAAATATCAAGTCGAGCGTCAAAGAGTCGAGAATCGAGAGTCAAGAGTCAAGAGACGAGAGTGACAAAGAGGCAAAAGAGGCGCCGAACGTCGCAGTGGACAGGACGGGCGGGCTCAGCTCAGGACCAGTGGCGGTTTTATTCTTGGAATCTCTGATGCGTGTAAGACAAGAAACGGGCAGAGCAAAGACTGAAAGAAAAAGCGGGAGCAAAGATCGTCCGCCCGTCGAGAGGGCAGTGTTTCCGTATATATGTATGCAACCATGTCCTGTAGCCTACGGAGCACGGAACCCAGCTTCTCTTTGGTTCATCGCCTTGCTGCCAGTCAGCTCAGTCTGGCTCGTGCTTGTTGGCCCCGAATTTGCATCAACAGCATCCTGAATCAAACACTGGCCGACGGTGGGCTGGCACAATGACGGTTGTCACAGCTGCTGGGCCGGGGTGCGACTCGACTCGACCTGTCGACAAGGGAGCTTTCGGGCCCTGTGCCCCATGCCCAGTCGTCGCCGCCATGCCGCTTCCAGCGCAAGGCGCGTGGGACGCCGATGCAGACAAGCAGTTTCGCAGCGCATTGCCTGTACCGTACAGTGCCAGGTCGGATCCTGCAGGCTTGCGGCGGCTCCGCTCGAGCGAGTGCAAAATGATACACGGGGGGCTCCAGATGCGTGGCGCACAGGGCGAAGGTGGTTAGCTGTAGTGGTAATGCGTCGTCGAGATGGTGTGCAGCAGTCCATGGTCGCATGAGTGGGATGCGCCCGAAGCCGTAGAATCCCGTTCGTCTGCCGTTTGGGTGAGCAGCGTGTGCGCGACCGAGCGTGGAGGAGCGCGGAGGCGTCCGTCGCCGTCTTGCTCTCCTTGCTCTTGTCTCTCTTCTGTTCTTCATCTTCTTCAAGCTGTGATGAGGGGGGACATGACAGTGACAGCCAGGTAGTTGGGGGTACGAAGCGCTTCGTACCTGCATCCACGAGGCAAGGTGCCTTAGCACAAGCAGGTGCTCTACTGTAGGTACCTTAGCACCCGTATGCCCGCTTAAGGTAGGTAGGTACTGGTACCTGGGGACGGCCATCGGTGGCACTCTGGGGCAAATTTGCTGCCTGTGGGCAATGCGCTGCACGTTCTAGCCGTCATCGACTCAACACCAACAACAGCTGCCGTTGGGTGATTCTGCTGTAGATAATACCCATGTCCCGCGCATTATTGCATGTAAGGTGCCATTATTGTACAAGTTACGAGCGAGCATAGCACAGCACCCAGCCCAGGGATTTCGCGCCGACTGCCGACCCAGCATCGACCCAATACAGCCCAGTCGGGACTGGACGATACGATGCAGTACGGACCTGGACGCATTGCTCCGTCCCCAGTTCTGATATCCGTACGAGACAAGTACGGAGAACAAAAGTAGTGCTCCGTATACTATTACTTGTACAGGCTCAGGCTCAGATCCCGCGGCGTCTTGTCCTCTTTCGAGCCAGCCTGTCCCGTATTGAGAAGCGCCTGCGGTCGGCCTTGGCCTTGGCGTTGACGGGCACAACCTCTTCAAAGCCTAGCAGGCTCGACGGCATTGCGCCATTCGGCCGCCCTGCCACGGCTATACAACTAAACATTTCGTGCAGTTGACCCTCTCCACCGATCATGTCCTCGCTATTCGCGGCATGAAAAAACCCAATCCCAACAGCCGTTATGCTCCGTGGGTGGGGACCCGTTTGGCGTTTGATAGCCTCTGGCCGGTGATCCCTGGGGAAATTTTCCGGATATGCTCTGGCCCAAGACCCTGAAGAGAATGCCTGTTCGATTCTTGTATATCCGAACTGTACTGTACGTACTCCGTACCGTTGTTTTTATTTTGGTATATTCCGCGGATGTGATGGATGATAGGTCCCAAAGCATGATGCTTGTTGGCTGGCCAGGCAACCGCTTGCTCTCCCGAGGAGTCTCTCGCCTTGTCTGTCGTCTGCGAGTCACGCCCACTGCTCTCTCTCTCTCGATACGAAGCACGCGGCCCTTGATCGCCGCCAGCCGCTCCTTCTCTTGTGCACTGCCTGTCATGCCAAGCTGCGTTTGTGCAAGCGGCTGGTAGCAACGTCGTTTACGATCTGACACTTTTGTCGAAATGCGGGCAAAGGACATGGCGAACCAAAGTGCGGGATACTGCGTACGGGATAGCCATGACAGAATATGCTTCGCCGTGCCAGAAACTCGCTGTTGCTTTGTGCCTGGCCACCCCTTTGAAGCGTCCCCACCGTCATCTGCGCCTTTGGAACGGTCCTCGGTCCGTGCCTGTGGTACTTTTCGTCACGACGGGGTTTTGTCACCTTGATTACCTAGTAGCACAGGGATGGTGCAGATAAGCTGATACGCCGTAATGAAATGCACTGTACAGTACCATTGCATATTGGCATTCATTCGGTACCGAGTAAGGGAGCAGAGCGACCGACCTAGTGCGTGATGCGTTTCTCCTGCTTCCATCCTTCCATCCCCTTAGCTGACGAGGCTGTCAGTACCTTATTTCACCCTGTGCGACCATGGGCTGCAGGTAGACGTAGCAGCGAGAGGTGTTCGGTAAGGTCGATGTGAGTAAGGGACGTTTGTCTATACCGAGTTGGCTGACAGCACTACTGGAGGTGTGGTGCTGCACCTGTACCGCACTCACCTTGGCGTTTGGTAAACGGCAACCCATCGAGGTGGCAGCACTATTCATGTCTGTGCATTACTTACAGTACGAGGACTTGTATAAGAATAGTCTGCAGGCCACCTGTTGGTAGCAGTACTCGGCCCATCGGTACAAGGCCTAGAGCTCGTGCCGTAAATCCTGCGAAATGAACGACCAACAGCGCTGTCCGCATGGCATGGCGATGCTGTTGCTCCGCGGAGGTGAATTCAGGGGCGTGTGATGGCAGACCCCTAGTGACGTAATTGCTCGTGCTCTGCCCACGAAGTTGCACATGCACATGCACCTTTGTGTGAAATCGAATAATGCCACAAACACCTACTATGTTTCCAAAGGCCGTTTCCCTTAGTTACGGCACAATACAGAAATTGGGCTTGGCATGTGGTACTCTCTCTCCACCTAATAGATGAACAAGTCCTCGTACTTGTACATGTGCAGTTAGCTACTCCAGACCAAGGGCTGCAGCGTATAGTACTAGGTAGGTAGTATTAATAGGCGACTCCATCGCCGTAGTGTAAGATCAGTGCAAAGCGTACAAGTAGAGATTAGTTTGTATGGTAGCAGCAGCATTAGGCCGATAATCGCGATGAAGAGCATGGCTGGGGGGGTTTACGTGGGGAACACAATGGTGTATCTGACTCGTCAAATGGCTGACGGCTAGGCACTCACTTAGTATTTCCCAAACAAAATGACTTGTCTAGCTTCCCTTTCGAACAGGAGCTATTAAAAGAGGATCGGCGCCAGCCATGCCTGTACGATTGGCTGCCACGCTGGAGGTGGGCTTTTTGTTGCTGCATGTAGGGGTGGTCTGGACCGAGACTCCTCCATCCATTCACCAATACTACGGTGCTGCGTCCGTATTGAGACCCTTCTGCAGCAGAAATTGCGATGACCGCGCATCGAATCTGGTACTGTCCTTCCAGCTGCATGAAGGGGATGGTCCCCGAAGCGGCGGCTCAAGGGTCTGGATGAGAATGTGTCGAATGTTTGGCACTAATATGGTGCTTTGCAGGTATCAAGGCACCGTACCTGGTGCTACTGCTCGCGTCTGCACAATATTAATAGCCGGGAATGGAGTCGTCTTTGCTTTGCTGATGGCAAGGCACGGCAGGATGAGTCGGGTAGTAGCACCGAGCCGCCAGGCCAGGAGACGAGAATGCTGGCTGCTTCGCCATGTGATTCGCACAACTCCATGAACGGTTCAGCATACAGTACATACCTGCTTGGACACGACACAACCTGCGCCCCAATCTGACCGTATCCAAAGCTCGTGACACCTGCCTGACACCTCAAAAAGTAGTAGGTACTACTAGGTAGGTAGGTAGTAATAGCCCCGATTTCTAGGCCTATCTCATCGACACTTTGCGGTCCATTCAGCTCCCAGATCAGACATGTCTTACTCTCGCTCATCCTCTCTCACCCACATTGTTCGTCGCGTGCGGCTGGAGTATGATGCAATTTGGGGTTAGTTGATGAGCCTCCACCCAACGTTGCCTTCAGATCAGACAGAGCCTAGAGATGGTTGGGCGAGTTGGATGCGCGGCGTTCGCACTGTATCCTTCAGGTCGACCGAAAATGGATCGGAATCGCAAACGCGCCATGATTGGCAGAGACGACTAGGAATCACAAGCGCCAAAACGGATCTCGAAATAGTTGATCTTCTAGAACTACACCAAACGCCCTCTGTTCATTGGCCATCGGCGAGGGCATCGAGCCCAGTAGCTAAGACTTGGCCTTCGTCACTCTGCGACAGCTCGCCTTCGTTGTGTCCAACGTGCTGCGCACATGTCTGGGAAGCGAGGAAGGGTCCCCCCCTGGCCGTCTTTTGCTCGTCTCCCACACCGAAAAGCGCAGAGGATGCCCAGGAAGCCATCGTCAGGCATTGAGTTTGGGAGCTGCGGCGCCGACACGATCGACGGACAAGTTGGGCGCGCCGCAATTACGGCCCGACACGATCGGCATCGCCCGGAGACGAGCTGCTGATGTGTGCAATGTGTGCAATCAAGCAATGTAGGTGCGAGGCATGTAGGTAAAGTGTGTGCAAGCTGCAGCCCCATGCAGCAACAATTGTCGCTGAAGAAGCGCCACGGGCTGCCCTAGTTGCTGCCTTCGGTCCGGAGTGTATCTTCATTTTCAGCATGCGCCGCCCTTTGCGCGCCCGCTCGACGAGCCTCGTGCTCATATAATTGGAAGCGTGCGCCCTCGTCCATACCCAACTTGCCAACTTCTGATATGCTACCGGGAGATGGCACGCGAACGCCTTTTTGGTGGGGGGGAGGGCACACCGTGTCCAGAGTCGCTGGTGAATGGATGGGGATGCACAGACAGCTTCCAAGCTGCTTGATTGACTGCCGCAGCTTTCGATTAATTACATGTGTCAATTGCCATGCCCTTTGCCCTCCGTTTATCCTGTCCGTTTGATTGGGCCGGTGGACCAGATATCGGATCACAAAAATTTCACCCAAAAATCCCCATCTGCCCCGCCTTCTAAGCGCGCTGCCCGACCTTCAGCCAGTCAGTTAAAAGCCGGTCTTTTTTTTTTCTTCCATCAGGCTGCCGAGTTTTTCTTCTCCCACACACACACGCACACACACTTTCTCGATGCTCGGTGCTGCGTCCGACTGCACTATGACGTTCCTCGCAACCTCGATTTCGCTCTAACGCTGGTCATCCTTACCGTGCAGCGCGCGTAAGAGAGGGGTTTGGGTTTTCGTCTCGTGCTGAAAACTCTTCCTCAACCGCCTCCAGATGAGCTGGGGATCGTGATTTTGGCCTTCAAAAGCCACTACCGCGCACAAACCTGTCAAAGTGCACTATGGCGAGTAATACTTAGAAGCCACTGATTTTGACACGGTCGCCACCTGTTCCGGCGGATTCGGTAAGGGGCTCCTCGGGGCTTGGATGCCGAACAGACAACATGCCGAGCGATACGGCGACCTCACCGCGACCGATCGGCTTGCCTTTGCTAAGAACTCTGACTCGAGTTCGATGACGGGATCCCCTGGTGGCGTGATGACACCGCTCATTATCATATAGCTGTATTTTGTGATTCTTTGTTTTGTTTTGCCAGATATGACGTTGCTTTTATAGCTTCGTCTATCGACATCTCCGTTCATCTCCCATTGACCTAGATGTTTTCGCACTGGCATAGATCAATTTAGCTCGTTGCTGGGCACCCGGCTTGGAGATGTCGTTTTGTGCATCAAAGACAGGCCGGGAATCAGCTGTAGAAACATTTCATCCCGTAACGTAACTTGTACGTACTCGTAAGTCTTAGCAGGAATGCTGGTGAGATGGTGAGGGTCCTGTCCTCTCCCAGCCCGGATAGTACGGCCCCGGTCGATTGGATTAAGCATCCCCAGATACGTCGTACCTGTGCACGTACGGCAGATCTCGTCGGCACACTCCTCTTCTGACTCGTTTCGTGGCCATGAGTCGTACGAACTGATATCCTCGGCAATCAAGGCGTTGGGTCTGTATTGAGTGCCGTAGACTATAGTCTAATTGCCGTGGTAAAACTCAATTGCAGTGTTTAGTTGTCATGATGTCATAACCGCTTTTTTTTTGTTGACCGCCAAACTGGCATTTCATAAGGTGCTAGAAAACGCGGTGAAAGCCTTTATGATACATGTCTTTTCTAATCTTGTACATTCAATTTGCCGGTTATGAATAACCGAGGTAAAACTTTTTGGGACAACTATGAAAGAAATGATTGCTATCAGTTATGTATTTTGCGACTCAATGACAAATGATGAGCAGCATGTGAATATGGAGTCATTATTGCCAACTTTAAGAAGCCAGCGTTATAAACTAATCGTTGTATATTTTAATATTTATCAAGTGATACATGGTAGATTAGAAATCCTATTCTACAGTATCATTTGTGCCAAGTGATGGCAAGATTGTGAGTTGTAAACTGATGTTTATGAAAGGGATGGCGAGAGAAGTCAGTAGAACGGCAATTGGGGACAGCATATCCAAGTTGTCCCTCAGAATTACGCATGTAGAGCCTAGAACAGAAGGACATGGCTGCTGTGTTTTTAGCACCGAATACCAGTGAATTAGAAATAGTCTGTCTTTATTCCTCAACATCAGAAATTAGGGACATCAATAGACCACAGGAGAGAGATCTGGTGACATTCGTATCGGGAGCACTCCAGAAAAAATGCGAAATAAACATCTGCCCCTTTGATAAGGCGCGTACGGAACATACATTATATACCAATATTAGATGAATTGTCCTTTTCTAATCCATTATTGGATGGAGGATGATGGAGACGTACCGGAAGGAAGCGTCTGACCTTGGGCACCCTCTCGCATGCCATTGCAACATTTGGGGCCTATTACCGCTCAGTAGAGGAAGAATCGTTTCATCCCCTTCATGATCAGGCTATTATATACAGCCTGGCAGCAGGACGGTGTCCGCACAAAACGTATGACACTAGTTAGGGAACTCGAGCTTACATCAAAAGGTGTCGAGGCATAGTTAAGTTAGATATGACATTGAGATTCTGCTTTCCACTTCATCATATTCAAGTAATTCACATAAAACAGCCTTGGCTGCACGTTATATCAGCTTATAGATAGGTTATAGCGTAGTAGCTTAATTATACCCCCAACAGATATGCCGCATTCAGTTTACGGTCTTGGGCGATATTTGACATCATCATCTATTATTTAGCAACAGTTGTGATAGTAATGTCTGAGGGATGTTTAGAATAAGATACTCCATATCTATTGTCTATTATGCACTGTACCCTGTCTTCAGTGCATCTCACTCATTAATCGAAATGTGGCATGAAGAGATCTTCCAGATTTCGGGAAGTTGACAAAGTCGGAATTCTTTTGAGAGAGCTCATAGCAAACCCTCACGTTTATATCAAAACCCCCTTTGCTTCCATGTCTCAAATGCGCAAACAACGCACTCTCATTGACTAAGACCCCTTGCTGTTTGACCCATCTTCAAGCAGACTCACCGTGACCTTGATATACGGGCACCAACGCTATCGATCCAAGCTCTCAACATCAGACCCGCCATCTTGGTGCGATCGGTGCTCATTAAGCGGATATAGCTGCACCACTTTATCAGATTAGATCCATACTAGTAAAGATATAACCTCATCCCCCCTCGATCGGTCTAACTTATTCTGATTGTGCTGCGATAGATGCATCCACCTCGTCGTTTAGTTCTTGCAAGCATTTATGAATTACATCAATTATTGTTTTTTGTTTGTCTGTTTCAGTGTAAATCCAAGTCTCTCTCTTAATGACCCTTCCTCAGAGTTACTCGATGGGAATGTTCTGGGTGAATCCAACCTTAAAACTTCCTGACAGATGTTCTATCAATATTTTGGTATGAGGCAACCTTATGAAACACCCACTTGATTAAGGCGAAGATTCCATACTGCACACATATTTTATTTCTTAATTTAGCAGGTTTGCATAAAACTTCTGATCTAGAGATTAGTACACAGGCTTGCATGATCAACGTTTCAGACACTAAACAACGCTTCCTGGGATTTGATTATATAGATCGTGCTGAGCGAAGCAGATATGATATGAGTGAACAGTAGCGGTATTAAATCGTGGCTTCATTATTATGAACGACGATTGAACTGCAACATTTCTAGCTCCGTATGTAGCCTCGCTAAATATTACCGGCGAATCTCTGTGCAACTGCCTCTACAACTTTAGAGGAGAGTTACACAAGCTGTCACGAAATACAGCTCCTTGCTTGCGGGCATCAATTTTCAAGAACGAAGAGGGTTTATGGGTTGCATGAGTGGATGTCATGTCTACGTAACATGAAACATTTATATGCGCTGATAGGTCCTTATTGTTGAAATATGTCTCGCCGGTGAGGGACATGTCTTGGAAGATGTTTATTTACCATGCTTGAGAGGCAAGTACACGTCGGCGTGCTTATCAAGCGGAAGCTAGGAGCTTTATAGTCGGAATCTGGTAGAAAATGATCTACGTCTTGGTACGTTTTCGTCAGCAATCCACCGAGACTTATTTGTATTTATAACACTGAGTGAAATACTGTACGAGTACTGCAGTTGTTGAGGGAATAATAAAACAATCATACAGCATGTCGGGAGTATATATATGGAATCGCCGATATAGCAACTTTGTACTAGGCTAACAGACTGGACGTTGAGATGGCGCCACTTAAATGCCTAGCTTACCCTTTGGCCGGACCATCTGTTCCGGAGTCTCCATCTTTCCACTGCTGCCGACGGGGTATTACAGAAGAACCCTCACCAACAGATTCAGAGTTGAGGCCATTGCTTGTTTCTTTGGCACCTCGTAGGGAAAAGAAGAGGATGGAATAAGTGATGGGGCAGAAGAGAAGAAGAAGAAAAGAAGAAAAAAAAATTAACGCGACCGAGGAGGGAAAACTCTTACATGAGTCCTGGCTACTTCGCAAAGATGACCTTGTTAGTACCTAGTCCAGTATACATTACACTCAGGCGAGCTTGACTAGACGTTATATGCAAGCTACCCCTCCATGCAGGGTGAGGTTATAATTGAGGGGCCATGACGGAGGTTTCTCTATCCCTACCTTTTCTTTATCATTTCTGCAGGAATGACAAGATTTGAATGTTAGCAGCACGTTTGCTTGCAGTCAATTAAAATTGAATACAGATGCAGATCTGCTGTGAGACGTTACAGTAATACGGGCAACGCCATCGACCTGCTAACCCCTCGAGTTCAGCAATCACATGCGCTGCTACCCCTCACCGCACCACTACGGCAAGGTACTATAACTTAGCAGGTACCTGAAGCCGTGGGTTTTATGTCCGAATTGCCTTGGGATGCACTTAGAGCCGGATCTCGCCGCCATGTACTGATCTGTATGCGCCACTCGGAACTCCTGTGCGGGTTGTGCTTACACATGTCTCGGTTTCCATGGCTCTGATTCGTGATGCCTTGGCCAAATTTGACCCGGAGTGACCTGTGAAGACGTAACTGCTAGCAGGCGCTACCTCTAATAAGGTATACTCCTACTAAATCCTACTACAGTGCCTAAGGTAGTGGTAGTTGTAGGTATATAACTTGTTACAGGTGCCTGGCCCGGAGCTAATGACGGAGATCTACAGAGAATTAGCTGCATCAAGTTTCTCAACTAATGCAGCCGGTCCGTGTTGCCTCACCTGCTCCCTCCAGCATCATTCCCATTCCAGCTTTTCTTGCATCTCCCAAATCCCAAAACCCAAATCCTAAAAACCCGTTACGTTTCGTTGCCTTCATATCCCGCTTGAATCCTCTCGCTTGCTGGGAATCGCTCGCAAGATTGGCATCAACTTAGCACCTACCTTGATCTACTCGCTGCTCTGACTCTCGAAGATGCGCCGCGCTTGAAATATATCGACACGGCATGTGCTCTCGCAGCTTGACATCTCTGACGCTGCACCGCCTGTGCTTCAACAATCAGACTCTCGGATAATGGGCTCGTCGCGCCAAGATGAGTCGGAGAGAGTCTCAAGCGAATCCAACTCGGCAGATGGCCATGTAGAGGCGACAAGGGACGACGACGACGATCAGACGCCAACTACCGCAGGGTCTGATCAGCAGCTGAGCCATCGCTCACCTTCTTCACATCCTGATCTCGCTGGCGGCGATCGAGTCTTTCCAATTAGCTCTGTAGTCCGCGTTGACCCGATTTCAGATGACGACCAGTTCCCGCACTTGGCCGAGGCGGATAACCATGGCCCCGGCATTCCGGTACATCTCCTCAGCTCTACAAACCGAACAGACTCTTGGGGCGATGTGCGAAGGCTAGAAACTGAACTTGTGTCGCCGACATCACCAACTCCATCAACCGATCGAGCTGCCCAAATACGACAGAAGAGGGCCATGAGTGGGCCTTATAGTAGTCTTCAGGCGGATGCCGTTCGCCACAGTTCATCGACCCCTTTAAATCTGGATCTATCCATCTCAGATCTAGATGATGACGAATCAGAAGCTCTTGGCGATGATGGAGAATCCAAAGACGATTCATTAGCTCCGGCTGACGTATCTGTGAATTTGGACAGCCAGTCACACGAGGAGAATGTGCATATTTCAACGCCCTTTACGCATGTCATGACAGACGAAGGCCATGCTGTCATAACTGGGAGAGATGGAGTTTTGCAAAGATGCGAAGATGAGCCTATTCATATCCCCGGCGCGATTCAGAGCTTCGGAGTCCTTTTGGCCATGCGCGAAGAGGGTGAAGGCCAGTTCGTTGTGCGATATGTCAGCGAGAACAGCAAGAGACTCCTTGGTTATACGCCTCAGCAATTATTTCGACTCGAAAGCTTCCTCAACATACTGACTGAAGAGCAGCAAGACAACCTCCTAGATCATATTGACTTTATTCGAGACGAGGATGCTGATCCTGCTGCCAATGGACCTGAAGTTTTTGGCATCTCGATAAGGCCCAGAAGGGAGAGAAAGAGCGTCAAGCTTTGGTGTGCTATGCACATCAACCCAGTCCACCCTGATTTGATCATTTGCGAATTCGAAAAGGACGATGATGAAGAGTTTCCTCTTAGGCCTCTGGAAGAGAGAAGCGAGGTTACGCCTACTGACACCCTCAATGGTAATCCTACCTTGGAGCAGATCGAGGAAAGTACAGAAATCTTAAGCAAGCCTCTTAGGGTCTTGCGAAGCGCCAGAAAAAAGCGAGGCGACCAAGGAGCAATGCAGGTCTTTGATATCATGTCCCAAGTTCAGGAGCAGCTCTCGTCGGCCCCTGACCTCGATATTTTTCTTAAGGTCCTCATTGGTATAGTCAAGGAACTCACGGGATTCCACAGGGTCATGATATATCAGTTCGATGCTTCGTGGAACGGTAAGGTTGTGGCCGAGCTGGTGGATGCCTCAAAGACGACCGACCTGTACAAAGGACTCCATTTCCCAGCATCCGATATTCCCGCTCAAGCACGCGATTTATATAAGCTGAATAAAGTTCGGCTGCTTTACGACCGAGACTTAGAGTCTTCAAGAATCGTCTGTCGGACCAAGGAGGATCTTGACGTACCCCTGGATATGAGCCATGCGTATTTACGGGCCATGTCCCCCATTCACCTAAAATACCTGGCCAACATGGCCGTGAGATCATCCATGTCAATCTCTCTCAATGCATTTAATGAACTCTGGGGGCTGATGGCATGCCATTCATACGGGAATCACGGCATGAGAGTGTCGTTTCCGATTCGGAAAATGTGTCGCTTGGTCGGGGATACGGCCTCAAGAAACATTGAGAGGTTATCATATGCTTCTAGGCTGCAGGCTCGCAAGCTAATCAACACTGCACCAACCGACAAGAATCCCACTGGATATATAATTGCGTCCTCCGACGATCTTCTACGGCTGTTCGATGCAGACTTTGGTCTGCTTTCTATTAGAGGAGAGACCAAAATTTTAGGCGTCATTGAACAGAGCCAAGAAACCTTGGCAATGCTCGAATATCTTCGGATGCGCAATCTGACATCAGTGGTTGCGTCACAGGATATAAGAGAGGATTTCCCAGATTTGCAGTATCCCCTTGGATTTCAAGTCATTGCAGGTCTTCTCTACGTCCCGTTGAGCGTTGGTGGCCACGATTTCATTGCTTTTTTCCGCAAAGGGCAAATTAAGGAAGTCAGGTGGGCTGGAAATCCATACGAAAAGACACTTCGAGAAGGCACCGAAGCCTATCTGGAGCCTCGCGCAAGCTTCAAAATATGGAATGAACTGGTCATCGGTAAATGTCGCGAATGGGTTGAAGAGCAGATCGAAACTGCAGCGGTGCTCTGCTTAGTCTACGGTATTGTTCCGGATACTGCCATCGTTTAACAAAGTCTGCTGACTCACACTGATATAGGCAAATTTATTGAAGTTTGGAGAGAAAAGGAAGCCGCTTTACAAAATACTCGGTTGACTAGGCTTCTGCTAGCCAACTCAGCGCATGAGGTCCGCACGCCACTTAATGCCATCATCAATTACCTCGAGATTGCTCTTGAGGGGTCCCTCGACCAAGAAACTAGAGATAATCTTGCCAAGTCATACTCAGCCTCGAAGTCGTTGATATATGTCATCAATGACCTTTTAGACCTGACCAAGACTGAGGAAGGCCAGCATTTGGCAGTACAGGAAACATTTGAGCTCCTCAATTGTGTCAATGAAGCTCTAGATCCGTTCCGAATTGACGCCGAGAGGAAAGAGATTGAATATCAGGTCACGCACCATCCTGGGCTGCCTCGGTTTGTTCAAGGTGATAGCCGGCGTGTTCGTCAAGTTATCACAAATATTACAGCAAATGCGATAGCGCATACAACGTCCGGATATGTTAATGTGGATATTTTTGTTGCCGATGTTAGAGAGGATGGGAAAGTCGTTGTGGAGATTGTTGTTGAAGATTCTGGCAGCGGCATGACCCCCTTGCAAATGGATGGACTCTTTCGGGATCTCGAGCAAGTCGGCACGGAAGAGTTGGAGTTGCAGGCGCCATTTGAAGAAAGGGGGAAACCACAAGAACTGAAGACTCTAGGACTTGGACTGGCTGTTGTTGCTCGAACCATTAGAAACGCAGGTGGTCAACTGCGGCTGAAATCGAAGGAAGGGGAAGGTTCAAGATTTGTTATCCAACTGCCGTTCCAATTGCCCGGAGAGTCGCCGCATTCGGAGGGAGATGGATCTTCAAACGGGCCCATCTCTTCTAACAAAGACGTTCCAGCTTCGAAGTCACTACCCCTGGCGCAAGAAAGCGAGATACTTTTGATTGACCCTAGCAAAAACATGGGAGACGCTGCTCTTGCGGAACGGCTGAGCATTGACAGTCGCCGTAGTGCTGCAAGTCAGGATGGAAGTCAGAAGAGCGACGCAGAGCGCCTGATCGATGCCATCAAGACCCCGTTATCTCTGAAAGAAAAGGATTCGGAATACTTTACGCCCAAAGCCCAGGTGCCTAACACTTCTAACCCTACCAACACAAGCTTTTCTATTCCCATGAACGCGCCTACCAGCCATAAGCTTACCAACAACCTTGTCGATGAGGATGTTGGCACCGCTAAGATCCGCGATTCGAAAATGCCCGTCCGGGCGATCAAAGTACCCGACGAATTTATCGATATCCCCCGGGCACCTCAACATAAGAGGACAGGAAGTATTTCCGAGGCCGGTACAGATGCAACCGAAACGAAACGTCCGCCTTCCATCGCTAAAAGTTCTGCTGCTGGTGCTGGCAGCAACGCATTATGTGTGCTCGTCGCAGAAGACGATCCCATTAACATGAAAATTCTGATAAAGCGACTGGAAAGAACTGGTAATACAATTCATGCCGCCGTCAATGGAGAGATCTGTGCAGCAATATATAGCGAGAGTTCGTCTGCGTTTGATGTTGTCCTGATGGACATGCAGGTAGGCAGCGACCAATATACAATGTCATGGAGAATGTGAGGACTAACACCCGGCTCTAGATGCCTATTGTTGATGGTCTAACCAGCACTAAGTTGATCAGAGCAATGGAAATATCACCTGAACACAAGGGTCATTCACCATTGGCCTCGAGATGTGGTCGTATACCGATATTTGCCGTATCAGCCTCTCTTGTCGAAGAGTCAAAGGATACATATGTCGACGCAGGCTTTGATGGATGGATCCTGAAGCCTATTGATTTTAGGAGACTCGCAACGCTTCTTCGGGGCATCTATGATGACGAAACTCGAAACTCATGTATATATGTTCCTGGACAATGGGAAAGGGGTGGCTGGTTTACGGAATCTACAGAGACTGTGCTTGACGATGGAAAAGCTTGAAAGGGGTAATGGTACAAACGAAGCATTTTGGTATATGGGGCTGTTATGGCATAGGGGGAACACATACGGAAATACTGTGGGTGCCGGGGTGTTGGTAGGGAATTGTATTCTTTCATGTAACTTTTTATATGGTTTCGATTTGGCAATAGACGCGCCAAGATAGATATGGCACTGCGGGGATGACGGTAGGACATCCGGTGGATTAAGGCGGAGTTGGGATGGTTTATTTTGCAATTGTAACGTACACGATGTATTATGGTTTGTTAAATAGTATTGTACTCCAGTTGAGCTGGAGCGACACTTTTGCTGCAATGGAAAGAAGAGCATGCAAAACCAGTTGATGGGAAATGGCTTTCGATAATTTGTGAAGATGACTCAGAATAAGATTGGTCAGTTAAGGTCGTGTTCGAATGTCTTTGTTCGTTGCCATGACCTAGGGGGCGTATGATTTATCAGATGAGCGAATTCATCAACATCGTATTGGTATCTATTCAGCCTAAACATATAACATCTAAACAGCTTTTATCCAACATCAGACATGGGAATAAAAAATACTAAAGTAACGTAAATAAAAAGTCATATCCTAGAACGTTAACGCGGCAAGTAGTCTTGTCAGGGAGAGTCATTGGGAAATATATACAAATAGACAGGTAGATAGATGAACGGATAGATAAGAGTGAAGGAAACAAACTCATCATCTGCCGTGCCTCATCGAGATGACCCAAACTTCAGCATCCTCTTGAATAGACCTGGTTTCACCTCGTGATTCTCCTCTTGGATGTTATGTTGACCAACGATATCCAAAAAGACCTGGTCAAGGGTCGTAGTGCTGACGCTGTAGTGCTCAACACCCAAGCGAGCCTTATTCTCTTCCAACAGGACGACAAGCCGGCCAATGGCGCCTTGGCTGATATCATGTCCAACGGGCGTAACATCCTTGGCGCTTGGATCTTTGGTAAAAGCAAGAACTTGGCTCGCGAGAACTGAAAACCGTAGCTGCCCGTGGTACATTTTCGACTCAAGTTTGGCTGTGGGCAAAACATCGAGAATCCACGACGTGATGACCTCCATCTCTTCGTCTGTTGTCCTGGGAGCCGTGCTCGACACAAGATGCACATGTAAGGCGTCACCGAACCGATGCCGCAAGTCATCAGGCGTACCGAGAGCGAGCATTCGTCCGGCTAAGATGCCAGCACGACCAGCCAACGCATCGGCCTCTTCCATGCTATGCGTTGTAAGCAGGATGGATCTGCCAGAAACTGTTGCTTGGAGTGTCTTCCACATGACTCGCTTCGATGCGGCGTCTAAACCTGAGGAAGGCTCATCAAGCAAGACTACGCCAGGATTGCCCATGAGCGCAATTCCCAGACTCAGCTTGCGCTTGTTGCCGCCTGAAAGGGCTGCTGCCATGCGTGTGGAGAAAGAGCTGAGGCCCACGGCTTGTAGGACTGCGGTGACATTATGCTCAATATTGGGAATGCCCCGAACCTGAGCATAAAATTCCAGATGCTCTCGAACAGTCATCTGATCCAAGGCGTCGATTTGAGGACAGACACCAAGGTTTGCTCTCGCACCTGCCAGATTCTTCGTCACAGACACATCTTCAATAAAGATGTCGCCGCCGTTGAGGTTCGGCTTCAAGTCACCCCGAATGAGTGAAATAGTGGTAGATTTGCCTGCTCCATTGGGACCAAGGAGGGCGAAAACTTCACCACGCTTGACGCCGAAGCTCACGTTGTCCACCGCAAGGTTCTTGCCGAATGATTTTGTCAAATGCAAAACCTTGAGGCCGTCATCTTCTGCGGGGTTTGCAATTCTAAGCTGCTCTTGCATTACTTCCTCATCTGCCTGGGTGACGTTGTGTGGATGCTTGTGGTTATTGAACAGAGCTCTTATAGAAGATCCTACATTCCCGCTGTCAAACCAAAGCAATAGTCCGAATAGGATGATGCATTGGATAATGAGATAAAGTATGGGGCCTCCGTATTCTTTGAGTCCACGAGGGTTTGTAGAAAGCTCGTTGCCATCGCAGGCTGTAGAGAAGAGGTTTGTTGCGAGGAACAGTGCTCTAGTGACTGAGCCGACAGGCATGAATGCTGAGATGACAAAATGACAGACCAACAGCGTATTGTCAATCTTGGAGACTTCAACATATGTGATGACGCAGACATAGGCGATCAAGTAACCGAGGAAAAAGACTGCCTGCCCTGCCGCTGCCCACGCAAACGTGGCCAACTGCGACTTGGTAAAGAGAGACACCATATATGAAACCAATATGGATGTTAGGCCATACAAGAAGAGAACCACAAAGACATATTCAATGTGGAACCAAACGTTTGACAGCCCAGCCCATAGAGCGGTGACAATCGCGGAGCTAACAAGAACCATCGTAAAGTCAAATAGGAGATATGCCATCCACAGGGGGAGCGGCCTGACGCCGTTGGAGTACTGCAAGCTGCGCACAAATCGCCTGCGCTCGTTACTTGGATACAAAGAAAAGAATGCCGGGTAGCAAGCGAGCGCCAGACCCATATATATGACTAGATTGAGAGCTTTTCCAATGCTAGAGTTGAAAGGAACGTCAAAAGAAGACCACGTTGTGGCAATCGTAGTGTTGGTCAGCATCACGTTGAGGAACTGCTGAGCAGTAAGTGGGCTCGTGACAAACACATTGCCGACCCAGGCAACGGTGGGGTTTGTGGTAGCATCGCCGAGCCACAGACCTGTAGTGAGGTTCTTGCTGTTGTCTCGAACAAACTGGTTAAAGTCATCAAACGTGTCGACAAGGTGAAGGTTGCTAAGAGAAGTCGCGGCGATGCTGAGAATGGGACTGGGGTTGATACCAAAGATGGGGCGAAAAAGGCTCGAAATCAGCGTCTGGTTAAACTTGCTAGTTGGCCCGGCAAGGAACATAAGGCTGTCACCGTCACCTATTTGAGTAAATGCGTCTTCAGTATCAGAGGTTGAGGCCTGGTCAGTGGGCTTGCAACCTGTCGGCTCTTGGTCCTTGACGAAGAGAGAAGTCAGTCCTGCAGCCATGATGGGAAGCAAGAAGGCAATGGCATAAAGCATCCAGTTTCTCTTTAGTATTGTCCAACGCTTCTTGAACAAAATGACGGATTGTTCAAAGTAGCCCAATCGTTTGCCATCAAGAAGCTTCAGACCAAGCCCCTGTCCCATTTGCGGACTAGAGCCCCGCGAAGTGCTGCTATCATCCTTGATGGGCATTTTCTCAGTAATGATCTCGGTCTCTCGGAAGACTTCTTCATCTCTGATCTCCTCCGCAACCTGCAAGAATACATCTTCAATGGTCGGGCCAGAAAAGCGATAGTCCGTGATGTCCGCCTTCTGAAGTGCTCTGATAACCTCTGCCGCAAGAGAAGACGTAGGGGCGACATAGGTAATCAGATCAAAGGCATCCTTCTTTTGCACACCGGAGATAGTAGGGGTATCTCTAATATCCGGGTTTTTGTGTACATTGACTCTGTAGCCGCCTCCAAGAGTATCCTTTAGCTCAACAGAAGAACCTTCGGCCCGTAATGTTCCTTTGGATAAAATGGCAATATGATCAGCAAGAAGGTCTGCCTCGTCCAGGAAATGCGTAGTAAGAATCAAAGTCCTCTTGCCTCTTTCGGCCAGTAGAATATCCCAGAGTTTGCGTCGAGACAGGGGATCAATGCCGCTGCTCACTTCATCCACACAGCAAACAGCACTTCCGCCAACCAACATCATGCCGAGTTGTAATTTTCGTTTCTGCCCACCAGACAAAGTTTTGGCCAAAGCCTTTCGTTTATGGGCGAGGTCGATGGAGTCGATCAATTCCGTAATCTGTTCTTTCGTGGCTGGTGCATTTGGTGATTTGAGCTTGCCGAAAATGATGAGATGCTCCTCGACCGTTAAATCGTCCCAAATGACGTTCTTTTGCGGCGCAATGCCTAGGCCACCTTGGCCATCAATTGTAATCGATCCGTCGGTTAGTTTATTCAACCCTGCAATGGCATCCAAGGTTGTGCTTTTTCCGCTTCCGTTGGCACCCAAAAGGGCGACAATCTGACCCTTTCTGACGTCAAAACTGAGCTTGTTGACAGCTACAACAGGCTCTGATGGTTTGGAGCCCATTGCAAACACACGCGAAAAGAAGCTAGGTTTGTATATCTTGGTGAATTTGTCAAGCTTGACGGCAATCTCGCCAAGACTGCCATCCCCAGCTTTTAGTATGGTGCGGCCTTCTGTGGAGGTACCATAAAGGCGCTGTTCGATCAGTGCGGCAAGAAGAGGGTATACAAAAATCTGAACAATTAGGAACACCCAGAGAGCAATTCCTGGAAGTTTCCAAGGACTGTTGGGGGCTGTTTCGACAAGGTTAGTTGGTCTATTTACTTTCTCGAAGCGAGACATGAGCGTGATGAAGTAGACATAGGCACATGGCGAGAAGAGCAGCGACAGAACCACCACGGGTCCCGTTTTGGGCTGGGTGAGAGATTGCGCCAGAATAGCAAGCAAGAGGATGACAAGAATGGCGGTAATGCCACTGAGCTGGGCCTTCTTGAAGAAGGAGGCAAACAAGATAGACATGGACGCAAGTGCAAGACCTGCGGTGACGTGGAAGAGGAGAACGATACCAAGGCTAGTGTAGGCAAATACACCATACCGCACAATGGCTGATCCTATAATCCATGCAGGCAAATAGACGAGCGAGAAGGAGAGATGATGGGAAATGATACGAGCTGCCAGCGACATCCAAGGCTTGCTAACAGGCATCATGGCGTCCAGAAGCTGCGACATGCCAGTCTCACGCTCGGTGGCGATGTGACCAGTCAAGTGGTATGTAATCCAAATCACAGAGGCAATGAAGGCAACTCCCATGAAATTCACAATAGCCTTGTGGAAGATTTGTCTCACTTTAATTTGCCTCTCTTTCTGGGTCAGGTTGGTGAAGGGCATCTCTTGGGTGTTGGATAGGGCCTGTGTCGCCTTGGTATTGTTCAAACCGGCAATGATGCCGTCTATGGTGCGCTGAATAGGCAAAAGGTAGACCTCTTCGGGATTGTCAGACTTGTCAACGTTGATTTTGACGGGGCTGTTTGCCATTTCGGCATCCGTGCGAATGGTATAGTTCCATAGTCCACCGTGGCCCTCATTTGGCGACGACCGCATGACGACGGCCCCAAAGCAGGTGGTAACTCCTCGCAGGCTGCTCCGACACTCGGTGACCAGTGTATCCTCGCTGTTTGTCCTTACGACGTCGATCCAAGGCCCCTGTGCCGTTATCTGTGTTTGAAGCTGATCCAGCACATTCTCGATGTTCCCCCCTGTGAATCCGTTGTCGACTAACACGACTTTGTATCGTCCACTGTTGAAGGCAGCGTCGAACGCTTGCGAGAGTGTCTTGATGGGGTGAATCTCTCCGAAGCCGTAGACCGCAGGCGGGACGAAGAGGTTCTTTGCAAAGCTGAAGAAGGCTGCCAGGATGATTGGCACGAGGAAGGCCATGACGATGACCTTTGTGAGGTGGCGGAAGAGTAGATACCGGAAATTCTTGGACATTAAAGTCCGGACTTGCTTAAAGAAAGCCATGGCGATGAACTGGCTCGATGACCGTGGAGATTAGTCTGCTTCGATTTCTCTCGCCCTCCTCCCAGACTCCCTCGAAGGTTAAACAATAAGAAAAAAAGAAGAACAAATTCCAGCCCAAGAGGGCTATAAACATAGAGCTGCACACCGCAGCGTCGAAAAAAGAGCTAAAGAGTCGAAAAGAGACAGAAAATGTTCGCTAGGGAGGAGGGGTGGGAAGAAATAGATCGTCGATGCTGGAACACGCATCCATAGGGCTGTGCTTGCGTTGGCGTTACAGATATATTGCCCGTTTGCTGTTAAGTTTTCGAAGAGAAACGGACAGATTGGAAGCGCCACGGCGCAGGGCGGCAATGAACCTTGGCGAGAATAGCAACTGAGAACTTTGCAATGCAAAGCGAGTGGCTCGTCAACCGAATAGAATCGTCGATACGATCAGAAGAGTGAACCTTGAAGACCGGAAATCCACATAACGAGCGCCACTCCAGCGCCCGTTTGTTAGTGATGCTGGCTAAGGGGTCGGCTCTTGGCTTAGCTCATCGAGGTGCTGGCGCAACTCTTTTCCGTCCTAAAGATGAGCTTCTCTAAAGGCCAGACTCAGATGCAGGAGCAAAAGAGAGGGAGAGGGAGAGAGATTGGCCCTGATGCCGCTAATCGCGCATGCTAGAATATCTGGTTTCAAGCCAATTCGCGCCTCAATAAGAACAAAAGGAAGAGGCAAAAGCCAAGCAATGCGCCCTTCTTAGGCAGTTGGCCAAGAGAAACAATGGCCCCACTGTATACGCGGACGCTATAAAAACGCCCGTGCTAGAGAATCAGCGGCAGGAGATGGCGGACAAACTTGTCCGTATTCCGTGTCTATAGCTTTTCGGCTTAAGTGAGTGTTCTCATTAGCATCACGAGATGATACTGACATTCTTCTGAATGGTTCATAGTCAAATGCTTCTTTGACAGAAACACAAGATCGTCCCATCTCCAGCTGCAGAATAAAAAAAAACGCGGAACCTCCGCAAAAACACCCACTTAAATTACGGAGCAGCGCGCCCCTCAGAACTTATTTTTAACTATTCAGCTCGAAACACACAAAAAGGCCACGCGATAAGCTTTCACTCAGGCCACAGCTTCGACAGAGTAACTCCGAGTGAAAGCTGGCTTCAATAATTCTTTGCAAAATGTTTGCTCAACATGTCCTCTTACAGAATGGCCACCTTCATTTTAGAACATTGTCGCAAGCGCATTCAGCCCGTGTGTCTTGGCCGGGATTCGGGAAGATGTCGACCCGAAGCAGACAAAAACGCGCCTAATCCGCTGTTTTTCAACGTGATTGATGTCCCGGAACTGGAGATTGGAGCTTCGTACGGAATAGTAGTCGTGCGCAAAGCCAAATTCTCACACGGCCAATGGAACCTTTGGCCAAGACCACTATTGGGTTTTCTTTTTTTGCCTGTTCTAACAGCTCGTATTCTCTTTCGAGATCGCAAGGGACCTTTTTTCACGTAGCTGGGTATAAGGTTACCAAGCTCAATGGTAGCCAAGAAGCTAAAACATACACAATCCTAAATGATGACGACGACAACCCAAAAGTACATGTACGTCCAAGGTATGTGCTACATGCAGTATATAAGGGGCCACGCCGCTATGACCAGTAGACTATTCAATCAAAAATCCGCCTCCTTCTCCGTCATCGTCATCAACGACCATATCAAACTCTTCAGTCTCATCGCTTTCTGCGCCAGCTTCCGCCTGTAGTTCTGCTTCTCTATCCGCTTGCTTCCTCTCTTCCTCTCCAACACCGCTCCATATCCTTTCCCGAATCCTCAGGCCCATGAGGAAACGTCTCCAAAGCTTCAGTGCTACATATCGCCTCTTCTCATCTTCCAACTCTTGTTCTAGATCAAGCATGCCCTGGATGGTCGCGTGAATGGCCTCTTCAAATTCCTTTGCGATGACCACTCCATTCAATACAGCCGTTCCCTGTCGCCCCTTGAACTGAAATCCTGTAAGCGCTGGTGCGCAATCAATTCCCAACACGTATGCCGCTCGTCGAGCGTATTCGTTTACTATGTGAACACCACCTTTTGGAATCATGCTAGGCACGTATACTTCAATGTTGCCGAACTTGTTTTTCGGTACCCGTCCGTTTCGTACGGGAGGCGGCTCATATACCTCCGTCTGATCCACGGTGTAAATTGGCGTTCCCGCATCGCCTTCATCCTGCTCCTCTTCTTCATACTTAGACCTCTTATTTTGCACTTGCTTGGGTAGCCATTTCGCGGGAATTTCGCCTGGCTTGACTTCGTGGCCAAGTCGGAACCATTTCTCGGCACTTCTCGCGATTCGAACATCCTTTCGGCGGAACACCTTTTCCAGGGGGGCGCGGGCTCCAGCTGCAACAGTTCCAGACGGCACGGCCCCTGAAATGAGTACCTCATGTCGACGAAGGTGGCGCTCCAAAGCATATACAGGATGGCCTTTAAAATCCTGTACATTTCTCGGCATTGGTTCTCTCGCCTCGACTCCAGTCAACTCGATATCTTCAATCTGGTCCAGATCGCTAGGCGTTTTGGGCTGATACATCTTCATGACTTTACGCCACCACCGTTGACCATCGTCCACTGCAGTTTCTATACGCATTTTTCGCGTCTTTGCTGCATATCCCTTGGCATATCGCCGGGTAACATCTTTTGCAGTGCCATCGGCATTGAATGCAATAACGTAGCTTAAACAGTTTTCCTTATCTGTAATGGGGGGTTCAAAGACCTTTGGTTTCCAATAGGTGTCCGTCACCACGGGGTCTGTAGGCTGCCATTTCTGGTGCCCCACGTCAAGGATTTCCACCCAGTATACTGGATAAGCTGATTCTCGCATTTTCTTGGGCGATGCAAAGGTTGGGCGAGGCCTTGTGGGAGCAGCTGTGGGTTCGAATCTGTAATCTGATGCGTTTGGGTGACCTAGCCTGCGCCTGGCTGTAGAAGGGCCCGCAGAAGAGGCTGATGAGACGGCAGCGGCCATTTCTCTATACTTTGCCACCTGAGATAGCATGTGTTCGGCTTTAGAAACCGATTTTGGCTTGGCAGTATCTTTGGCCTTCGGAAGGGTAGGTCCTGAAGAGCCAAATGAGAGAGGCTGCAGGGAACAAACCAGTCTAGCACGAACACCAGCGCTTCGCAACAGGGCGCAATACAGCTGGGCCCCGACATCTCGAGATCCTTGTAGCGTTTTAGCTGCTTCTCTAAAGTCTGATTTATCCAGACATGATTCCATATCATCTGGAGGTTCATACTAAAAGGCGGGTCAGAAATAGGTCTCTCAGTATCAACGATGGGCCACGTACGCTATCAAGATGCTCCACCTCTTCTGCCCATAAAGATCTCCTCATGCCGCGCTCTGTAATCTCATATTTTGTCTTCCACATGTCTGCAACCAGTTTCAGCCCATTCTTAAGGCTTTCAGTCCTCCCAAACTGCGATAGGTTGGTCCCTGGAGTAAGATATTGAATCATCTTATCCGTCAGACGAGACCGGAGGGAGTCTTGAACCTTGGCGTCATTGCACCAATGATTTCTCTTGGCCACATGAGCCATTAAACAGAGCAAATGAATCTTGTGAATAACAATGCGGCGCTCTTTTTCTTCTTTGGTGATTGGCCTTCGTCTATCAGCCCCTTGCTTTGACGTCATGGCAGATTTTTGTGCTGAGAGATTGAGTTCCAGTTCCTTGGGTTCTGGTTGCTCCGAGTCTCCATCCGGCAAGGGTATAAGTAAGTCAACATCTTCAAAATGTAAATCTTCATCCTCGTCATCATCTTCTTCGTCTGACTCTAATTCGACGGTTTGGACAGTAGGTTCCGGAATAGCGACATCTTCAAATTCCGCATCCTCCTCCTCATCGTCGCTGTCGCTTTGATCAAGTCCCGGTTTTGGTGCTTCTATAACCGGTGGTGCTTGTGCCGGCTCCTTTGACTCCGCTGGTCTCTGATGAGATGGAACGGCCTCGCGTCTTCTCTTCAATGGCCTCTCCGGTGAACTTGCAGCTGGCGCAGAGACTCCGGCCTCAGCTAGCATCTGCTGATATACATCGGGCTCATCTCCGACGGCGCCATTCGCCTGTTGCCTGCCGCCCCTCTGAGGAACGCTGCGTTTCCTTCTAACCATCCTCACATATTTTGAAGTTGGCCGAAGTTGGTTCTCGAACAGGCGCCCGCGACCTCAGCAATTGCGTCACAAGCTATCACGCGAGAGGCGGCGCGAAATCACGTGCAGCTTTCAATATAGTGGATGACTAAGGTAGGGATACTTCTCAGACAAGATAGGTCGTGAAGAGGAAGCTTGTTGCTACACTGTGCAAGCGAATCTCAACTACGCTGAATATCTACAGAGGGTGATCAATTTATCCTCAATGGGGGATTGTATTCTGGTATATCGAAGCACAAACTTCACTTGAGAACTTTGCTATTCCCATTCTCATCTGGCGGTTTCTTGAAAAGTGGGAACACATGGCCTAATTATTAAGGACTGCATTTTTCTCTCATCTTGCACAATAAAAGCTATATGGCAACATCAAGTCTAAAATGTCAGTGGTAATCCGAATACGATTCTTTGGTCCAAAAACTGCTCCCAATAAGCCCAGGATCCCGCTGTGACTTCTTTGGAAACTCCATAGCCACCCAATCAACCTAACAAGGCAACGCAACGCAGCACAAACCCATTAAAGGACAGGAAACAACCACCACTATATCAACGCCAATCAATGTCAAAGCCCGAATCTCAAAGCATTTTCTTCTATTTCGTCAACCAACCCAGATAATCAGCAACGATGAGAGTAACCATTCTAAATGAAATGATGATTAGCTACTGGAGTCTCCATCTACGAATATTTCCGGTTGGAGGGAGAGAGAAAACTTACGCATGAGGGGCAATGCGGACGTAGTACGTTCCAAATCCTCGGTAGAATCTCATGATACCTTCCTGTCGGGCCACCTTGGTGAAGCAATCAGCCATTCCCTTGTAGGGAACCTTGCCGTCAGGTCCCTTTTGTTGCTTCTGCAGTCTTGTCTTGACAAAGTCGAATGGGAGACTAAAGAAACTGGCAAAGAAGCCTGCAATGGCACTGGCACTCAGGGTCTGGGCTTGCGCAGACAAATTGGTGTTCTGCTTCATCTGTGCCTTGGCTTCGCTGAAGAACGCCAGCTGACCGAAGTTGAGGGCCATGGCACGAACAACGGTTGGTGCGGCGCCCGCCCAGAGAGCTGCGATGCCTTCACCTTTGGCGATGGATCCTAGTGCATCAACAACCGACTTGTAGTTCTTGCGCTCGGCGAGAGGTTTCAGGCCGTCACTCTGCATTCGGATTAGTGCCAGATCAGCTGGGTTGCCAATCATGGCTGCCAGACCACCGGCCGCCAAACCAGCCGTTGCTCGCTCTGAGAAACCAATTTGTTTATTTTGGGCTTTTGCTCGCTCCGTTAGTTTTCCCATGAAGGTGTCAAAGAACCCCAACCGAGCGGTTGTGTATACAGCTTGTCGGAGGAGACCAGCAGACAGGCCAGTATACAAGTCAAGGACCTTTCCACTAGAGATGATCTGTCGAGTGACAGACAACGGAGTAGGCTTGGGTCCTCCAGATGTACCCTCGCCAGCAAGCTGGATTCGAACCTTGACCATGTCGACGGGTTGGATGACAGAGGTGGCCACCATTCCGCTGATGCCTCCATTGATGAAAGGAAGAGCAGCTTTCATGAATGGAGTGTGAATAATGTCGGAGGCCTTGGCGGCCGTCTCACTTCTCTTGGCGGTATTCATGACCTCTGAGGTCTTTGATCGAGCGGACTCGACTGCTTGCTTGATGGAATTCATTGTTACGATTGCGGAAGGGTCGCCTTATAAGTGCTATAATCGGAATCTTATGTCTCAGGCACACCGGGTCGGGACCTCGCTAATTGAGGGCCCTGTCTGCTTCTTCAATGACTTGGACATATTAGTCAAGCTCGAGCAATATTCACGCTGCAATGACATGAGTGGTATAATGAGAGCACGGGGGGTGTGTTCAGTGGAGCAAAGAGGCATTATGGCTTCGGGACTGTGATCCCGTCATCGGAAACCCCATCAACCTAAGAGCTCCAGGCCGACAGGAGCCGGTATGGTACCCGAGCAGTGAGGTCGGCCCAGCTCAAGGCAATGGGAGGTGGTTGCCGATCGGAAAGTCTAGGGGCGCAGCACGGCTCCGAACTTAGAAGCGGGCTCAGGCTGGGCTCCGCTCACCATCCAAGATTGGCGGGTGGAGAGCCACTAAGAAACAGGAAGGGGGATGGTCGGAAAGCGAAGACGGGAGCTGTGCTCACTCACCAGATAACTCCGCGCAAGCGCACGCTCAAAGTTGTTGAGCGATGCTAAGTTATATGTGTTGGGTCTCTTCGAATTCGAAGCTCCCCGGATGGTTTGTCGGATGGTTTGTGCACGCGAGGGCCGGGCCACTGGTGGGGAAGATGGTGTAAAACGGAGGCAATGGCCGATGGCAAAAGCAATGGCAAAAGCGCTTGTGGCGGGCGTACGACCTGAATATGAACAAAGACAAAGCTTGTGTTGAGAAGCCTAGCCTTTGGTGGTTTGGCGATTCAACAACGTCCGAAACTCGGATCTGGAATGCGCCGAGGCAAAGCGATTGATTGCGTATCGCAAGTTCAGGCGTGAGACGCGAGACGATTCAGATACAAGACAGGAGGATGAGACCTTGCGTGCCCGACGGTTTTGCGCGACGAGACGAGGTTGAATTGATACGGGAAACGGCAGACAAAGGATCACTCTGAGGTGTACGAAAAGCGTCAGAAGCAACAAGCAAAACAACCCGGCGAATCGAGCATTTTAATACTAGGCGTCTAGTGCACACGGTGGCTGATCATGGCATGGCAACAGCTCTCGTCCACTGGCGACCCTCCATCATGTGGCGAGGAGCTGTTTGTCGCATTCACGGTGCGGAGGCAACCTCGTCGGAGAGGCACCATAGCTTCTACTAGGTAGGCTTTCGGTATGCCGGATGTCCAATGCGGGGGAAGCAGATGATGTATCCCCTACATGGCCGCCGAGTATCGTCTACCAACCATCGAGCTGGCTGCTACTAGTCATGCCTGTGCCTTGCGTGGCGCTGCGCCAGCGGATGATGCTTGCTGATGCTGGCTGATGGAAGCAATGCAATGGTTGCTCGCAGCAGATCAAATTGTTGCAGCAAACCTGATGCGTCCGCGCCATTCGCCCTTGTGATGGAGCTATGATGGACGGCCGAGAAGCAGGTGAAACACGCGGCGACAAGGTGAGTACTCTGTACAAGCCGGGTACACGAATTGTAAAACCGGTTTAGCCCATCAATCAATGGTCCAGTGAGCTCCTTCCTGGAACGAACCCTTGCAGCCGGCTCTGCTGCTGTAGAGTAATATGTACTGGATGATATTGCCGGAGATTTTGTATGTTCATTTGCCGGGTATACAAGAGTGCCCATCGTCCCTCTTCTTACATGACTCGGTTTCATTTCAACAGGCATCTCGTCACGGCAGACTCAACTGAGCAATGCTTATAACAGCTTCACATACGGTACAGTTCAGTACATGGCCAAATCTCCCATCAGCCACAGCCACGGGACTATCAAATGGGCTCCGTAGCGCGTGCCGAGTTCCAACTAGAAAGACGGAGATGCTCGATGTGCGTGCAGCAGAGAATGCGGGGTTGCGCCAATGTCCTGCTTTCAGCCAGACCAATATCATGGCACAGTCCATCCAGCCGAAGCGACGTCACTCGCGTTTTCGTCAGCCACGCACATGCTCCCGGAGCATTTTCGTATTAGCCTGTGCGTCTAATTGAAAATGATTGACAGGAGTTGAGTTGCAGCCAGTGCGCGGATTCACATGCTCAAATCCATTGCAGTGCAGCGCATGGCCTTGCGTTGGCATTAACATGTGTCTATCGCCTGTCTCACATGTGCTTCATCAATGACGTCTCCATCGCCTTTGCTACTATCTTGTCTTGATTTGACTCTATCCGACTGCCGGGCGGGCCAGATTCATAAACCCACCCAGATTATGGAGCAGAATCCCTGCGAGATACTGGCCCGTGCTCCTTGCAGCAGCTTGACGGCGGCTGTGGAGTCTGAAATCCAGGCTGGCTACTGGCGGGTTTTAGAGCAGCCGAGCCAAAATATCAAGCAGTTAAGCCCATACAAACCATCCGTGGGGTATGCAGCATTACTTCATACTTATTTCATCATACAAAGTTTCTTGATCCAGCCAGCAGAATATGTTGACAAATTAAACCATAAAAAAGGGGGAAATGAAAAAGGGTATTCATCATCATACAGTAAGGCACTACAGTATCAAAAAGGAGGTTCAAACCAGCCTCAGGCACATGCACCCTGAACTTGGTGCCTGCGGGGAACTTTTAATGTTGAGCGCCATTTCCTTTTTCCCGTAAACAGCCCTCCGCTTCCTCGGGAAACGCTATCTAGGCCCATGCTGCTTCTTTCCGATCAGATTCTTCCATCAATCCCGTATTCACTCGAGCTGATAAGTCGTGCTTTGTGCCTTGGCGGTAACAATAGCCGTTGGGCGGGCCTGGCCAAAGACATCAAATGAGCCGAGAATTCCCGACATGTTGCTCCGTCTGAAATCATTGGCTGGGAGGGCGATTCGAAACTTAGATTTCACCATTGTTTCCGCGCTCGGCAGTGGGCCATTCCTATCGCATCTTACATGTCTAATTGCAGCTTGTTGATTGGCTCTCCGATCTCGCTACCCGTGTTAAACGTGCATCCCTGAGCTAACCACCACGGGGGGAGGCTCCATGATGCTCCATGATGCTCCTAACTATTCCCAATCGCCTCAGCCTTATATCGGACACCGAGCACTGGATCTCGTTTTCCGGGTCGGTGGTATTATAATTCCATTCAGGCCCACTTCGAATCTCAACGACTTAATTGCCTGATTACGTGGATGATGGATAAGATGCCAAATGCTCAGATGATGCTTAGTCACAGTTGTTGATAATTATTTCCGGCATCATATTGCCAGTCAAATGACGGCCAGAGATTTTACAATTGATTGGTCTTTCAGTCATACGCTCCCTGAATCTAGTACAATGATGGGAACCTCAACAGTCGGCCTCCATCAATGACGATGACAAGCCCGTTGCAGTAAGCCCCTGACTTGGAAATCAAGTACAGAATAGTTCCCGCCATATCCTGATCATTTCCCATTCTCTGCATGGGTATAAACTGCGCTGGCACTCTGCCTGGAGTATCCGAGCCCTCGTTGAAGCGGTTAACGATGGGTGCGGCCATTTCACTCGGGAACACTAAGCGGCAATGTCAGTATCCGAGGTTATCTTGGCCGATGGCGGAAATTGGCGTCACTTACATCCTGGAGCAATGCAGTTGGCCCTAGATGATAAATGACTCGTCAGCCATGCATGTAATATGTTTGCGTGATAAGAAGACGCTGCTCACCGGATATTCCACCTCGGCAGAGCAGCTGAAAGGTGCTTGGCTACGTGTGTTGCAGCAGCTTTAGATTGGCCATATGCCCAGCCTCCTGGAGCTGCTTTGTTGAAACTGGCAATGGAGCTGGTGACAATGATCTGAGAGCTCTGTTCCAGGTTGCCCTTCTTGTTTCCTGCATCGAGGAGCTTCAAGAAGGCTATGGCAGTAAACCAGGCGGCGGTAGTATTGACGGCAAAAGTATTCGTGTGCTCCTCGAAGCTAATGTCCCAGTTTGAGTCTGCCCACTCCTCAAGTGTCGTGTCGTCTTGTAGCTGGACAGACTGAGGTCCACCAATGCCTGAATTGCACACCAAAACGTTCAGATAGCCAGTGTCCTGCTTGATGAAATCGACTGCCTCCTGGAGACTGTCCTTGGATGTCACATCACACTTGACCGGCACAACATTTGCACCGAGAGACGCCGCGGCAGCTTCCAGCACCTCGAGTCGTCGTCCACCAATGTAGACCTTGTGAGCACCATTTTTCGCCAATGCCCTCGCCATCATGAGGCCAATACCTATTAATGAACACGGCGAGTCAGAATTACGCATTGTTATGGGGTATTGTTTTAAGCCCAACGACGAATCAATCACATTATACACTCACCAGTGCCACCACCTGTGATGAAAGCCACAAGTCCATCGACGTTGAAGAGGTTGCCCGCAACAACCGCCTCGTCAACATTCTGAGTCGCCATGGTGAACGGAGAGAATCCTTATTACTCGAATATCTTCAGCGTGTCGTACTTGGATAGATGAGTGTTTGTCTTTAAAATTCCCTATTTGACCCCTCACTCCACGGCTTGGTAATCGTGATTGGCTTCAATTCCCCACCACTGTTAAATTCCTGGAGTCCATATCGAGTCTGCAGGTCCCAAGAGATGCCACACTGTGCAAAGCTATGTACATGTACTAAAATAACACCACAAAGCCTCCATCATCTGGGTTTAGCACAGTGCAGCCTCTGTAAATCCACACACCCCCACTAGCAGCAGCTTTACAAGGATCCTAGAGATTTTTCGAACAATTTCTATCAAGGTCTTATCTTAGCTTCAAACTGCCCAGAACAAAGAAAAAATATTGCCAACATGCCGAAACGAAAGCGCACCGTCGCAGAAACAGTACAGAACAAATTAGAGAAGTACCGAATAGATATTTTCAGAGCATTGAGTTCAGCAAAAGTCCATGAGCGGAAGCGCTTCAGTAACAAGCTGCACGAGCCCGGAATCACAGTCGCGAAGAAGACGAGGCTAGAACGCGAATATGCCGTGTTGAAAGTGTGTCACTCTATGGAATCAATTGCTCCGTTTTACTATTTAGAAAGGGACTTTTCAGCTAACCTTACGGTCCAAAGGCTCTTGATCTGCGACAGACGGCGCGACACCACCTGCACTCGAACCTTCTCCGAATCAAGGCCATCGAGACATCGAATGATATCCCAGAGGAGCTCCGCGCCGAAGTACCGCGGCCTGCTCTTTCACCAGAAGAAATCTCTCTCCGGAATAATGTCATAAGCATACTCTGCAATGCAGGCCCTGCGCGACAAGCTTTAGATCGTGCTATTGCCGACATTTGCGAAACTCTGGGTGTTGCCGTTCCAACCAAGTCCAAGCGTGTCAGGAACAAGAGAAAGGATACGGAGGAACAGCCCGCAGACAGGGAGGATGGTGAGGATGACGAGGATGATGAAGAGGGTGTGAAACCTTCTGCCAAGTCCGCAAAGAAGCCAGAGGCCATGGATGAGGAAGCTGCCGACGAGTCTGAGTTCGAAGGGTTTAGTTCCGATGCTGATGAGCCTCGGCCAACGATTGAGGATCTTGAGGGGTCGGATCAGGAGAATGCATTGTCAAAGTATGCTGATCTACTGGGTGGATCATCTGACGAGAGCGAGGATGAATTTGATGAGGAGTTACTGGCGAAATACCGAGGCACAGAAAAGGTCAATCTGGACGACATATCGATATCTGGATCAGGCTCCGAGGAGGAAGGTGACGACGAGGAAGAAGAACTAGAATCCATCACTGGCTCACGGTCACCGTCGCCATTGCCAACAAAAAAGTCAAAGAAATCAGTCGATAACGACGACGATCAGAAGCCGGCGGCCACAAAGACAGCAAAGACTCTCAAGGAGAAGAAGGAAGAGAGGAAGAAGCAAGCTGCCAAGGCTGCAGCTAAAACAGCTCGATCGGGAGATTCCACCTTTCTTCTTACTCTCATGGGAGGCTACATTTCTGGATCCGAGTCGGCGTCCGATATCGAGGCCCCGCCTAAGAAGCGTCGCGGTCAGCGAGCCCGCCAGGCCATCTGGGAGAAGAAGTATGGTGCCAACGCAAAGCATCTTCAAAAGGCAGCTACCAAGGGTGGCAGAGACGCTGGATGGGACATGAAGCGTGGTGCTGTTGGTCCAGAGGACCAGGGTAGGGGGAAGCCGTGGAAGAGAGGCAGCCGACCAACAGGGGGTGACTCTAGAGGCTATTCACAGGGCCGAGGAGGACATGCTCCTGAACAAAATAGACCCCCTCCCAAGCCGACGAAGAAGGACAACGAAGGGCCGCTGCATCCCAGTTGGGAGGCGCGTAAGAAGGCAAAGGAGGCACAGAAGAGTGTTGCGTTTACCGGCCAAAAGGTTGTGTTTGATTAACGTCAAGACTGTGATGGTTGGTATTTATTGGCCCCATCTTCTACCGCATTGCATCCAAGAGCATACATATATCCAGTTGATGAGATAGATTCACCCTAATTATATCGCGATGAAGTGTTTGCGATCATGGATGCAAAAAGGCTCACGGGGCCAAGTATAGTGCTACTGCAGTGAGAGCCATGCATGAACTATCCATATTACTACTAGGTAGGTAGTGAGATATTTCGAGCTGCGGCGATTAGTATTCAGACAAATAAATTGATGCATTATTGCCGATAATCACTAGGCAGCAACAGCTAAGCCACAACAAGCTCTTACAATTGAAGATATACAAAACTCCATCCGCAGTGCCTTTTTTTTACCATCTTGACGACAACATTGGCTTCCATTTACATTGAACTGCTCTACAATCATGTCGGGAATTTTCACTTGGCGCGGTGTAGGGGAGCATGAAGAATTTGCGAGAACCCGACAATTCGCAAAGCCGCATACAAAGAAATCTCCCGAAGAAGAAGAATTCTTTTATGACTTTTCTCCTGTCACGGAGTCTCTTCTGAGCGATTCTCAGGTGCTATGCCAACACTGCAGCGTGCTGCAACTCAAGGATGTGAGGTTGGCCATGACCAAAGGCTCGTGGGGCGGTAAGCCCATGAAATTGAAGGCAGACGTCCCCAATTTTGAGGAAGATCTCGAATATCATCGAAAAGATGCAGTTCCATTGCTTCCTAATATGGGCGAGTCTGCAGATTCTGGCTGTGGTTTCTGTGCCTTGCTTCGAAATGCCATGATCTGGCACTTTCGGAAATACAAATTGGAGCGTCTTCCTGGCGATATAATCGAGATTACACGGATCCGCCATTATTGGAACAGTGGTTTATCTGCATTCACTGTTTTCAGCACTGCTTTTGTTAGACCCAAACATAGGTTTGGCTATCTTACCTTTAGGACCAGTGCTACTCGGACAGGTATGGAGCGCAATAACAGCTTTGCAGGTTGAAACAAATCCCTGACTTGACGGTGTTTTCTAGACCCGTGTGCTTCCATCTTTGGTATCAACTCAGAGTTTTTTCCAGATAGTATAATGTCACCTGCTGGCATATTCACCTTGAAGCAATGGGTTTGGGGCAATAGCAAGGAGAAAGCTGCCCTAAACGCACTTTATCGGCCTACAAGACTGCTTCATATTGGGAGTAAAAGAGAGTCCGGTCTGATTCGTCTTGTGGAGAGCCATAAGGATGTCGGCATTGCTGAGGAACCACAGCCATATTTAGCTCTAAGCTACTGCTGGGGAAAGAAACCTCCTTCTCTCACAACCACAAGAAGCAACTATTCTCATTTGAAAACATCCATCTCTTATGACGCCATGCCGAAAACTTATCAAGATACTGTCCGCATTGCACGAGCGTTGGGCGTCAAGTACGTCTGGATTGATGCTCTCTGCATCATACAAGACGATGTGGTAGACTGGGAGAAGGAATCTCAAGTAATGGCGGAGATTTTTCGAAACTCACTTGTCACGGTCATACCGCTCCGTACAACATCGAGTAACGACGGCTTCCTTGAGCGGAACCCGAGCATCAAGATCTGTTACCACAACGCAGAATGGAATATCAATGGATCCTTCTTTCTTCGTCATATTCCTTTCTCCTATCAGAACGCCGAGTCTGCGATACGTTCTGGACCTAGCTTCTCAGACAGACCAGTCTCTCTCGAGATTGAAAACTCAGTTTGGCATACTCGTGGCTGGACGTTTCAAGAAGACCTATTTGCGATGAGGAAGTTGTATATTGGGCAGCAGATGATGTATTGGGATTCTCTCAAGCCCGTTGACATTATGAGAACAGAAGACAAGATTATTGATGACAAACTGGACCGCATGAGTAATGCGGAGTCTTCCATCATTCATTCGTCTGAGCCGTGGAGGGGTGACTATGACTATGATGGCTGGTACTTCCCAATGCTTCAATACAGCCAAAAGAGGCTCACGTTTGAGACGGATCGACTGCCCGCAGTGTCCTCATACGCTAAGCTCATCGCCAGCAAGAGTGGGGATACATATCTGGCTGGTTTATGGAAGAAAAACCTTCACAGGGGTTTGCTTTGGAAGATGCACAGGAGATCACGTTGGACTTTTGGTGAGCTGCTGCGGAGCTTAAGACGCCCCCCTCATTACATCGCGCCGTCTTGGTCTTGGGCAAGTCGTAATGGCAGCTTAACCTTGGACAACTCTGACAGCATGAAGCTCGAGTGCGACATTCTCAAGGCCAAGACGAGGGCCCGTGGAGGAGATGCATATGGACGTGTGTGTGGCGGCCACCTTTTACTCCGGGGGAAGGTCTGTAGTATTCCTGGCGGAAAACTCCAAAAGCTGCCTCTCGCATCGCCTTTTCTTCACGTACAATGCGAGTGGCTAGCTTTGGACGACGAGCAGTACGTCGCGCAGTGTGCTCTCGACTGGAGAGAGACAAACGAAGACGGCAAGCAGCTCTCTGAAGCAAGCGGAGATCGCATCCAGTCAATTATGATGCTCCTCGTGTCCAGTGGCCATACGACAACAGCGAGTGCCTTCTCCAGAAGACCGCAGGAATGGGAAGACAAGGACGAGGACCCGCCGGTCGAGGTCATGCACGGCCTCTTACTCTATCCAACGGGGAAGAAAGACGAAGAGTATTGGCGAGTCGGCCTGTTTCACTCGCTGACTGATGAGAAGGGTGGCAGGCAGTATTTCGCTAAATGCGAGGAAAGGACGCTGCGAGTTGTTTAGCAGTCATTCGTACAATCTTATCTGATGGTCTCACATTAGCCCAAATGCTTCGCTGCTAAGCAACGTCCATCTTCAGTGACGATACAGCTCTTCAACGGAATTGTTGCAGATTAGAGCATGCTAGAACGTGCATGCATGAGCGCCATCCCGATTTGTAGGCTGTACTCTGGAGCTTCAGCGCTATTGGCACGAGCCATAGTAGCAATCAATGCATTGCGCCCTGCATAAGGTATGCGCGTATGTGCTGCAGGTAACGTCTGTCTCGGGAGCAAGGATTTGTTCTGACACCTGTCTCGGGTAGGCAGAAACATTCACAGATATTTTCCTGTTTCTCCCACTCGGTCTCTGTTTTCCCCTGAAAATGATATAATTTGTCCTCAGATTGATATCATCGCTGGGTGTTGCTGCTTGCCCACACATTCATGTCAAGTCATGAGTGCAGCATGAAGTCATCGCCAGTATCAGCCAGGCTAATGCAGCAGCTGTTATCTGATGACTTAAATGCAATGATCCAAACCATCATCGATGTTTCAGGACTAAAAGCTCCGGTAATGGATCGGCGGCAAGAGCCTCACTAGCAACTGCCTCTGGAGGTCAGCGGGCAACTGCTCATCAAGCTCTTTCCTCGATCTCCATGGCGCGACCACCACTCCATATCCATCATGTGGGCCTCCAGAGTAGAGACCATCATCATCGTCATCTTCAATTTCCTACACAACTACGGCATTTACCTAATTCCTCATCATGTCTTAATTCCTTTCGTTGTTATTGCGGATTAATTCCCTTTTTTCATCTCCTTGTTTGTACATACCATTGCGCGCCTCCTCCCCCTCTGCCCCTTACAGATTTGGTAGCGATCAAACAATTGCGCGATCTGCAAACATAGAGCCTCAATAATACACAGCCAAGACAGCACCCCACCACGCTTATTCGCTGGGCCGAATCATTCCTTGACACCCACAATTCGGCTCACCCGAACTTGTAGTTCTTGTAGTTCTGACAAGCATCGCCTACCGAAGACGGCGCCCGCGATGGAAGACGTCATACGCCAATCACTTGCTGATCCCGCCGTGACGGAGCGTCACGAGCTGAGCTCCTCTCCAATGGCAGCCTATCTCGACTACCCCGGCTCCGTGCAATCTCACGATCGCAATTAGGACGCATGCGAAAGCGAGGCTATGTTTGAGCCTCCCAGGCGGGATAAAACCCCTGTGAAAAATCAGCCCTGCGAGTTGAATATTTTGGCCGGCGTTGCGGGAGCCATGTTGCACTCCTCCTCGATCCCCTTACAGCCAGAGGTCGGCGGGTTAGGGGCCGGTCTATCGTCCGCCATGGAAGGACATAATTCTTATTCAGATGCTGGCTCTAAACCTGCCAGCTATCCCCGCATTACTGAAATCTCCCTGTTGGCTTGTAATGACTCTTGTGAAAAGCGAGCGATGGCTTTTGAAGAGACTGGTCACTCCTTACCTTCTAGTCCAACGTCCAAATTCTCCCGCCGCAGAGCTATGAGTCAAATTGCTTCTCCAATCGTCGACTTTGATGTGGCCATCGCAGAGAAGCCATATACAACCCTCCAAGGCCGTCGATCAGAAGAAGGGCCAACGTCGTACTACATCATCAACCCCAGAGTCCCCGGTTTGGCTTGGTATTTAACCAAGGAAAAGAGCAATTCCGATACACATGAATATGAGGTTGAGAGAGTTCCGACACATGTTGTTGATATCCGACTGAATCACACAGGATACCTGGTTGAAACGGCGATCCGGGACGACGTGACTGGGGTTGCTGGAGGTCAGTCTGTATCCTGGACCCCCAAATGCCAAAATGGTTGGTCTACCATATCAACGTCTTCCATGAAGAAATCGAACGATGGCACAGAAGCCGAACCCGGTAAAAGGGATAATCGATTCGAAAGATGTGACTCGGAGGCAGATACCAAAACGCGACTACACAATGAGTCGACCATCATCTTGGACCGCCAGGACATTCCTCTCATCACGGAGAGGATTATTCATCAGTTAAACGCAGCTGGACTAAAACAAAACTGCCCTTGCACGGCAGCGGGCTCTAGAGAAAATGACAAATCATCGTCTCAAGAGAACAGAGAATTCGAGAATATCATCGAAGCTACACTAATGGAATTTAAAAGATCCTTACAAGGCAGTGACTCGCCTAAGACAGATGAAGAAAACACTTCAACTCCAAGCAAACTGCCGGCTCAGTTTGCACTGGGGAACGACAATCAACATATCGAGCTGCGGCGGTCTGTAGTCGCGGATCCAGAAATTACTCTGAGCATACCCCAGACCCCATTCACCACCGCAGACTCCAACCGCAAAATCAATGACGCTAGAGAAAAGTTGCACAAAGAATCGCCAACATTGACAACATTAGTTTCGCCACAAAGCGCTACCTCAATCACTTGGGCGAAACTTGGTGGCTATTTGGGGAGGCCATCCTTGTCCCCAGAGTCCACCAATAGTCCCTCAGACGAGAACTCTGAGAGCATGTCTCAAACTCGTCGAACTTCATCCTGTCATGACGACAAACAAGACCAAGAACTGGAAACATCACAGGCCTCCATTGGTTCTTCAAGCGTTGCGTCAACCATCACCTCGTTTCCGAAACTTCTTTCGCGGCATTGTACCCGAGAATGGATCAAGCCTCTGACTAGCCTGGAAGATACATCGACCGATCTATCCTATCGAGGAGTAGATGATCACACTAACCGTGTTTATCACAACCACCAGGCGTCTTTTACTGAGACACCGGTCCCAATGTGCTGGCCTGGTGATAGCTTCCAATCACCTAATACCTCAGGCTACTTCACAGATGAAGCTCCAAACACTAGGCGCACAACAGTGTCACAGTCTTCTCTGACAAATGTCAAGAGCTTTGGGACTCAAATCGGTTCGGCGGCGCATCGACGTCGAAGTACATCAACGTACAACTCCAAGGCTTCACCTACACAAGACCACTTCCTTCCTAATATCCTCGGAAAAATTTTTGTTAGCAGAAATAGAGAAGCACCTGAAAGTCCCGGTTCAAAGCAGGCAATAGACTCAGGGGCTCTGGCGCATCATAACTCGCCGGCTCATGTTCACATGCATGTGAGAACTCCCTAGTTTGGAAACGGGTCATTCACGGAACGCAATTCTACTGCATTGAAAGATGGAACGGGGATACAAGATGTACTTGTTGGAGGCAGTACGGTAGTGGACAGAAGACGTCACCGTGATACGTGCTCGGAGGATAATAGGCCTCATGTGTGCGAGGATGACATGGACAATCGTGTGGTGAATGACTAAATTGTACACACCTGGCCAAGAAGCAGCCTGTCCCCTATGTAACATATTCTACGTTATAATAATAATCATTTATGAAACAAATTCCCTCTCAGAACTTGGGAGATATTGGTAGCATAGTCTGGATGCGTAGCGAAGTCTCCAGTTATCATAATAATGACCCACACACTTGGATACAGACTACCATATTATATTTCGCTCCGTAATGACAATATTACTATGTTCATGCAATGCCCTAGGATTGAAAAAAGAAAACTGCGCTTATAGTGCCTTTGATGCCCGTGCCTTATTCTCCCTGTGCCTCTTCTCCTTGGCCGCCGTCTTCCTGCGCGTCATCCACGACCGATTCAAATCTCGCCTATTCTCCCAGAACCACTTCTGGAAATCAGTCGTGGCAGACTGTTTCCCTTGCCCGGGGCCTCCGTCATCCTCATCCTCTCCCTCCTCCATCTCCTGCTCCTCCTCCCGCAACGCATTTGCTACATCGTCCTCCATCTCCACATCTTTCTCCGGCGAGGCACCCCAAAAGCGTGACATGCGCGATGGATGAGCCGTATCTGGCGTGGGAGCGGCACTGCGGACGTTGCGCCATTCGTAGTCCTGGCGCGTAAAGGGCGTCATGGGCACAACGTTGGCGGGTGTAGCTTCAGATTCATCTTCTTCGTCTTCGCCTCCACCGAAGAAGCTGAACGGCTCTTCCTTGGGAACAGACGTGGGGTTCTCGCTGTCAGATTTCGGCCGCTTGTATAGAGCCTCTAGAGGATGCACGTTTCCGTTTGAGGGTGTCTCGGGAGGCGGGATCTTGATTGCTAGGGATTTGGCGCTTGCGGGAGTGGATTTGGAAGCATTTGGCTTGGAGGTTATCGGCGTTGTTTGTTCTGCTGCCTTTGGGGACTCGTCTTCCTCTTCTTCGCTTGACGTGCCACTGTCGCTTGTATCGTCGCTTGAAGAATCACTGTCGTCTTCTTTCTCCTCTTCATCCTCAGGCTTGGTTGCGGCTTGAACGGGCACTTCCGCTGCCTCTTTTTCAACTTCCGCCTCAACTTTCTCTTCAGACTCTGCCTCAGATTCTTCTTCAGACTCCTCTTCAGACGATGTGCCGTCTGATGAAGTGCCACTGCTGCTGGTGCTATCTTCATCTTCCGGCTCCTCAGACACTTTCCTAGGCTGGGGTGCCTTCTTCGGGCGCTGTGGGAGTTTTGCCTTCTCCTTCTCCTTCTCCTTTACTTCTTCCACGATATTGCCCTCCTCATCGACCCATCCTTTTCCCTCGACATATTCAGTCGCTGTTTTCCGATCGGTCGCCGCAGCAGTTTTGAGAAAGCCTGGGAATTTCGTAGTCTTTTCAAATTCGTGAATGACAACCTGTCGTGAGCTGCCCTTCTTCTTGCTCCTCTTTTTCAGCTCCAGCTCTTCGGGAGCCAAGTTCTTCATCGTATTTAGCGGCAGCTTCGTCTTCAGAAGACACTCCTCTCCTTCTGTGTATTTAGACTTGGGTCGCTTCTTCTTCTCTTTTTCTTTTTCCTTATCCTTGTTCTCCTTATCCTTCCTAGTTCTCCTCTTGTTTGTCGTCGGCGTCTCGGTCCATCCTCGCTTTACTTGGCGGTCATGCAGTGCCACGCCCTCCAAGACGTCTGGCTCTCGCTTCCGCTTCTTGGAGCTCTCCTTGCCCTCTTTAGAGGACTTTCTCTTCTTTTCAGGAACCTCGTCTTCCTCTCCAGTCGGCTCCACCCGCGTCTCCGGACGGGCCTTTTCAATGCGCATCTTGCAGCCCTTGAGCGTTGTCCCGTTGAGCTTCTTTCTCAACTTCTCCGCATCCGCTTCAGGCAGTTCAACAAATCCGTATCGCCTTTCCGGAAATGTCTCAAGCGTATGGTAGGAAATATTGCGAGCACTCGGCCGCACTGAGGCAGGAATCACGACGTTGATCAGCTCGGCATCAAGCGGCGTGATGTGAAGGCGGACGAAGTCGCTGGCGTCGCCCATTGGAAACCGCAGGAAGATGAATCTAGTTTATGCACCGCTTTTGCAATTTTATCCAAGCGCGTACCGGTAAAAATTCACAATGTTTCAACGCAATTAAGCGCCCGTCAAAAAAATCTCCTGGAGGCGTGCAAAGTCGACAAGGAGCTTTTGGAAATTTTAGCGGGTCTTTCAGCCAAAGGCACGGAGTAGCGGCCGTGGTTGTTCCGTGCCGTTGACAGCTGAATAGCTTCTTTCAAAGAGCCTTGCGTGTAAGATCTACCCTGAAGCTGGCGTGATGCAATCAATGCCTTGAAAATTAATTGAAGAAACATGCAGCTGTTTCTGATACGATGGGTTAATTGAAGAATCAAACGGGGCTGGAAGTCTGCTCTTTGCGATGTTCATTAAATAGGCAGCAGCCTCCACGTTTGGCAATGGTGTAACCGTGTGACGAGCGAATGAAGTCAGTAAGATGCATGATTTTGAGCTGTTGATCATGCTATTGGAACATAAACACCCGGGTTAAGAAGAAGCTTCCAGTATCTGGAGAGGTTCAATATTTATTGCCATCAAAATTAAATGGCTGGAATCGCCTAAATTCTATAGAAGCTTCATGTTGCCAGAAACCCCATTCCACAACTTCATCTAAGATGCCTTTCAATAGTGTTATACAGAATTTACAATGAGCTGTCGCTGCCGCTCTGTGGATCGCTAAAGAAATCCTCTGCCCTCTACTCTATAGCGTGCACGTTTCGTTATTTATACATTGGGTGATAGAAGATCGTATTTGACACATCGTTCAACCTAAATAGACATTTGTTAGCACGAAGGAATACTCCCCATCGACAGGATGTAGAGAGACAGAGTGTAATAAAACTCACATCGTCAACGCTAGCCTGCAAAAACTTTCTCGTCTCCAGGCCCATCCACAGCATAATCATCGAGAAGTCGCCGTGCTTCGCCATCGCCGCACCACTTTGGGCACTGAGCTGTCTCAGAATCGGCAGCGAGCTGCTCAGAAGGTCGACATTGGGATTGAGGCTGCGTCCAATGCCCTCCAAGAGGAGAATACTGATGACGACGTTGACAAAGTCGCCCTCCAAGCGGACGTGATGGTTGCGCACCATGGAGAGGACTTCCTGCAGGATGTCGCCGATTTTGACGTTGCCGAGGGCTAGTGTGCGGCTTTTCACACTGAGGACGAGATGCTGCATTTTGAGAGCAAAGACTTCCTTGTCTATGACGGCCTCAGGCTGTCGACAGCGCTCGCACATAAGATGACCGGCCTTGTAGCCGTCAAACTCGGCGACAGCTCGGAATAAGGCCAGGAAATTATCGCGATTGACTGCGTTCAGTTCCGTCACTAGACCTGTGTCTATGAAGATGAGCTGCGGACGATACCCCTCCGCATCAATTTTGGCCAGCTCGGCCTCCCACGCTGATTTGTCCTTGCGGCGTCGGTACGGGCGTAACCGTTCTAGAACTTGTTCTGTGACATCGAGGTGGTCGTCATCATCCGAGGTAGGCGGTGTCTCACGAGACCGACGCAGCCGAAGATTTGGCTGTGCGGATTGATAAAAACGAACCATGATATTGCCTGGGTGCAAGTCGGCATGAACAAAGTTGTCTAGAAGCAGCATCCGGAGAAACGCGTCCAGTCCCTCGTCAGCAATGTCATGCTGGAAGACACCCCCTCCGTTTTCCATAAAGTCTGCTAGGGGTATTCCCTGAGCAAACTCTTCAATAAGGACGTTGCGGGTGGTGAATTCGGAATAGGGAAAAGGGAATGATGCCGTCGTTCGACCCCTAAAGTTCTTTCTGAACGTTTCCAAGTTGGCGGCCTCGATTCGCAGGTCCAGCTGGAGTTTCATCATCTCCCCGAACTGCGAAACCTCATCCGGCAGAGACAGCCACTCGATCGTCGGGATGGTATTGAGCAATGTGGCGAAAAAGCCCATGATCTTCAAATCCCTTCGCACGATGCGATCCACGTTGGGGTGCAATACCTTGACTGCGACGTACGTTGATGGGACCTGATTGGGTGAGCTCTTCAAGACCGTTCTCACGCGATCTTTCACATTTTGAGAAAGAGGCCGTGGTTCCTTAGGCACGGCCCCGAGATCTTGCGGTGCTGCAAGATCGGGTTTGAGCTTTGCCTTGTAGACTTGGGCGATTGCGCCAACTCCAAGAGGTGTTTCGTGGAACTCGTCAAAGATATCTTCGAAATTCCGACCATTGAACGCTTCCTCGACTGTTCTCCGAGTGACACGCATAGAATGGGCTGGCGCATTCGAGTGCAGCTTGGACATTGTATCGCACATGGCCGTGGGGAAGATGTCCGTTCTCGACGCTGCCCACTGACCGAGCTTGATAAATGCAGGCCCAGCCAACTCCATGGATTTCACAAGGAATCCATACCACCACAGGGTGCCGCTTCTCTCACCATCTTTGTCAGGATGCCGTCGCCCAAACCAGATGGCGGGGACCGAAAGGATGACGGGCACGAAGATAACCACGAGGTGTAAGAACCTTGTTCCGGTGCAGATTGGCTCCCAGATATACACGTCCCAGAATAGAAGGATCTCCTGTACAATCCTGGATACCCCTCGATCGTTGCCGTCGATGGTTTTCCGAATCTCATCTCGGGATGCTTCCAACATGCGAAGCTCGCCTGTCTGCTCGCTTCCCCCATTATCTGTCTGAGCCAGCTGAATGAAAGCTCCCGTGCCTAATGCAGCTGCACCAGCTGAAGCACGTAATGCTATTTTGCTTCTCGGTCTGCTTTCTTTCCATCCCGTCTGCCTTGCAGTGTGAATCCAGTTATGCAGCCCATCAATCCTCCTGAGTCCTGCCTGGCGCAGCAAATACGGTCGAAATAAAGTGCGCCCACACAGCCGGCCCAAGACAAGGCCGGTCTTCATATCGGCGGACAATCACGCGCGCTCAATTCCAGGCCGGTACGGGCCGTAGTCATAATCGAAGCCTCATGAAGAGATTCCGGGGCTTAAAGGGGGAAAAGAGAGAAAAATAGAGCATCACCCGAGTTAATACGACCCGCGTAAGAATCACAGGCTCTCTGCGGGAATCCTTGCCGTGCCGGAAGCAATCGGTGACGTAGTGGAGTTGTCACGGCGATTGCCCGGCTAAACATGTGCTAGAGAGGAAAAAAAAAAAAAAGTTCAGGCTTGGCCGTAAGAATGATGCGATAAGATGTTGGTTGGAAATTTCTCGCCTTAGATTGATGTCCCCCTCTATACCCTCCTCACATTCGATTGCCTCCGCATTCACCAGCTGTCTGCTACCTACGACTCGCATTTAGTCCTCTTTGCAAATAGTCCATTACTTGTATAATCTCTGCATCTCACAATGGGCTGGTTCTGGGCCGAGCCTGCCCCTCCGGCCGGGATTCCTCAGGGACACCCGGCCGTGCCATTGAATAAGGAGCCTCCGGTATGATCGACCCGAGAGAATCAGACCTGGGAGGCGGTAGAAACTCACAAGCAGCAGCCCGGATGCCCGATGCACCAAAAGGCCGCCGATGCCTTCAACCCGCACAAAGCCAAAGCCGCCGAGACACCGTCGTCGTCGTCCGGCTGCCCAGTCCCTCATGGCTCATCATCACCCTTGCCGCCATCTGCCTGTCCGGTGCCTCACGGCTCCCGCGACCAAGAAGAATCCAAGTCGATCCTCTCCCAACTCAACCCTTTGAACTACATGTTCCCAGACCTGTCACAAAAGCCTGCGCCTAAGCAATCGATGGCGTTGCCGACGGACCGCGAAGAATCTACCATTCCCAAGGGATCCGGCGACGGCACGTGGGAGTATCCGTCTCCCCAGCAAATGTACAATGCCTTGTTGCGCAAAGGCTACACCGATACCGACATCACGGCTGTGGAATCCATGGTTTCTGTCCACAACTTCCTGAACGAAGGCGCATGGCAAGAGATTATTGGCTGGGAGGAGCGCTTTGCGCGTGGCTTGTACAGAGGATACCAGGTCTGCAAGCGAGGAGAAGCGCATACGCCAGAGGAGCTGGATCGCAACTGGGATGGAGTAGATGTCAGCCCAACCCTCATCCGGTTCCAGGGACGACCCAAGGACCTCACACCCAAGGCCACGATGCTGCAGGTCCTGGGTTGGATTTACCCTTCCAAGTTTGGGTAAGATAACGACTCTTGCCATTCATATAATGAAAAAAGGAGAATGAAATGCTAACAGTGGCCAGAACTGACCTTCCCTTCGATCGCCATGACTGGTACGTCTCCCGGAATGTCAACGGCGAAAAGAAGGAGATCCGATACGTCATCGACTACTACTCTGGAGAGCCGGAGCCGACCGGTGAGCCCGTCTTCTACCTGGATGTCCGACCTGCGGCCACGCCTCTAGGAAGCGCCGAGCGAATCATCCGATGGAGCACAGACGTGTGGTGGAAGGCTATTGGCGGTGATCAGCGAGAGCAGAACCCGCAGCCCTTTTTTCGCCACAACGCCGTCAAGTCCTGAGGTTAATTAATGCTTCTTTCTGCATTGTTTTTATGCAAGTGGCTGGCAATTCCCATCTCATAACTTAATGACCTTGCTTGTATTTGTATATTATCACGGATGGAACAGGCGTTACTGTATGATAAATAGATCTCAATAGGTTGATGTGCATACGACTTTGTATCGAGCATCATGTACAATGCAATTACAATGGTGCAAACGCAAAAGATGCACCTAGCCGCCTAGGAGACCAAACGCTTGGAGAACACGGGCAGCATTGTCATGTTGAACATCATACAAGAATATAATCGCCAATTAAAATATGTGTATATTGATGTATCCCCAGACCCTCCTTCGCTAAGAGGAATCGTGTTTCCCCAAATTGCTTTAACCACGCTTTACAAAATGAATCCGTGGCACCTATAAACATGCCCACACGAAAACAAAGGATATTTCCCTGAACCAGCTGGTGTTTCTACATTATTTCCTACAAACGCCCAGCACGTAGCCGAAAGTGTTGTTTCCGAGTAAATCGGGTAAAGAGAAGAATGAAAGACAGAAATCCAAAAAAAAAAAAAAAAGTCATCATCGCCATCAAAGAGTCTCGTATCACGAGACCAGTTTGTTTGGCGTCCAAACTCTCATCACATCAAAATGCCGTGTTTGTCATATATACTTCTTGACACGCTCGGAGTGTCCTTGACTGGTGTCGCCTTTGGTTCAATCTGTGCTGGCGCTGAGATCCATTGGTTTCTCCCACAGGTTCCGAAGGAGCGCGGCCATACCGTCCTCCTCCTCACCCCCGACGAGACTGGAGCCGCTTAGTCTTTCACTCAGTCGGTTCATATCATCTCCTTCGTAGCTAGAACCCGCGCCGTTGACTTTTATTGACCCTGTTCGCTTGACAGGGAGTGCTTGACGCCCCTCTGGCATGCTTATATTTCGAGTGTGGCGAGCTGTGAGGTCTGCTGATCTTTTGCTGGCTGTGGTAGAGCCAGTGTTGGAGCGAGGGATTCTCTTGTTCTTGTCCAATCCTGGCAGTTGGCTCAGACGATTCAACGATCGCACAACGGGGTTCTGGTGACGCCGGACAACCAGGTATTCCATGCCTGTTCGCTCTAGGAGTTTGCCAACGCGGGGATCCCGGCTGTTGCCTCCGTCGTGTCCTGGATCTCCAATGCCAATTAAAGGCCCGGCTCCTACGACCCCGCCAACGCCAGGGACTGCCTGTCCAGGCTCAAGTGACGAGCTAGCTCGCTGAAGGTTAAGTTTCTGCTGCGTGCGCGAGGTATTTGCCGGGGGTGCAGCTGTTCTTCTAGCGGGTTTGGGTACTAGGGCGCTGTTTTCGCTCTCTTTTGTAAGAGCGCTATCATTAGGATACTCGTGTGATCTCGATAGGTTGGCCATTGAATGTGCTCGGAGCGGTAGGTCCTCGGATCGATGAGAGCCTCCTCCACGCATGGGATTGTAGAATGAGCCCTCGCTGGTGAGACCCGAGCTGGGGACTTCGACGAAGCGCGAAACAAGGCCATCGTCCTGGCTCCCAGTCGGCGGGGAGGGCTCGTGGCTGGTCGAATCGGGCGACAGGTGAATGGGAGTGGCCTTGGCCATGTCGGTGGACATTTGGGGCGGAGCGCCGTGGGATGAGCTTCTCTGCAGCAGTCGCGTCGTGGGAAAGTCCTTTCGTTCTGCCTCCTTGCGAGGAGGTGACGATGCTTCGGGCGGCGCGGCCAACGCGCTTGGCGTCTGCGGACGAGAATTTGCCGCACTACTGCCTGGAGGATAGGAAGAATGCGTGCTGCTGTTGAGCGAGCCCTTTCGCGACAGGTAGGGAGAATTAGAGCCGCTGGCGTCTACCCATTCGTCTTCCGGGTCCTCTGAGCCGAGATCGAAATGGACCTGCGACTTGGTGGGCTTGTGGATGCCCGTTCCGCTGGAGCTGCGTTTCAGCTTGTCAGCAGACTTGGTGCGCTTGCTGATCTCGACGTGCGACCGGTTGCGCTTCAGGTTGCCCTGCGAGAGGCTCTTGGGGATGGTGGCCGCTGAGTCCTGCTGAGGCAATTTGACCTCACTGGTGGCGCGGCGGTGCGGTACCGGGCGCTGGGCGAATTGGCTCTCGAGGTCGGTGGGCGAGCCCTGCTTCCTCAGATTGACTCTGGACGAGCTGTGATTGTGCTTGTGCAGGCCCTTGCCGGTAGACGGTACTCGTCCGTGCAGGCGGCCGACGTGGTGCTGCTTCTGGTGCTTGGGGCGAGGCGCATGTCCCGAAGAGGCGACTGTGTTGGCGTCGCTGTGGTCGCTGGCGTGATGGTTGAGGGGAGGGCGCTTTGATTGGCCGGCAGATGCAGCTGCAGATGCAGATGCGCTGTCTTGGTCACTCTCGGAAGCCATGCTTGCGGTTTTGCCTTTGCTTTGCCTGGGCCGTGCTGGGCCGGATTTGCTGGCTGTCGTGAGGCTGCCGCAGACGAGCCTCGTCTCGTATCGATTGCCCGCAATGCGCAGCGCTGCGGCGTATCGAAACGATGCTTTGGATGGCCTTTGCAAGAGCCCTGGGCCGGACGGGATCCTGGTGGAGGGTGAGACACGTGTGAATGGCTATAAAGGGTGGTTGATGTCGGCTCAAAGCGACGCGATGCGACAGGCGGCTTTCCGGACGGTCCAGGGGGGGTCAATTGACTGTGACAGCAACCAACTCGTACTGTGGCGGCGGATGGTCGGGCTGCAAGTAACACGAATTGGCACGAATTAAGGATGCAGAACAAAAGGGATGCGAGATGGAGGATGGAAGAGAGAGATGGAAAGACGGTGACTGGGCTGGGTATTAGAAGGAGAAGGAGAGAAGGAGAAGGAGATGGAGAAAAAAAAGTGCGATGCGTTTGCTGCTCGCGGCAGGTGGAGGAGGGTTGGACAAAGTGCAATTGTCATGCCCTAATAAAGGAATAGTCGCCGTTCCCGAGACAGACCGCTGGACCGGGTTTTTGAGCGAGGACAAAGACAAAGAGATGGAGGGTGGCCGAGGCTGCGCAGTGGTTGAGGCTCTTGAGTCGGTGGCCGCTTGCTTTGTGTTTGCTTGTGGCCCGTCAGAAGCATCGGCTTCAAATACGATGCCAATTGCCGTGACTCGGGCGAGTGTACTTGTACGGGCAACTAATGCAAGCAACGCTCTGCTAGGCTACCTACTACAGTAGGTACTGCTACGGGAACTTGTCATAAACCTTGGAGCTCTCCTTTCTCGCCGTTCCCAGCTACCTACCTATCTGTCTCTTTTTTTTTTCTGGGTCCGGAGGCTGGAATGTCCGCCAAAGAGACAATGTCTTAGCTCTAATTAACCACCTTATTCAATCGGCATAACTTGCGTCATACTGCCATCCTGGATTCCTCTGTGCTTCCTTGGCGTTCCACGCAGCGCTTGGGCCGCATCAGGTCGTGCAGCGTACGACTATCTAATCTCGCTCCCCTAGGAATGGCGAATCCGGCTCCGTTGAATGGTCGATTGCTTCGAGCGTGGCGCACCGGTGAAGGCCCTCTTGCACATCGCTCTGGACGTACTCGTACGAAATGAACGAGGCTGGCGAGGGTGGATTTCAGCAGCATTTGGACACCTGCAAACGAGCACATACGTGTTGACACAGACGTCCGATTATACTTTTCCTTGAAACGCCCACGGTCATTGGAAGCCCTGTCCAGGATGAGGGATTCTTGACCGAATACGAAGCTGCTGCTGCCTAGAATTGCCCAAGCTGTGTGCGTCGTTGCCCAATATCCTCGAGATGCTCCAACCTGGTTCCGAGGCCATAGACACATCAGTTATTCTCCCCGCATAACCCTTGTTCACCACGTAGCTATGACGTTGAGTTGTCCGAGACGTTCCATTGCCATGTTCCTCTTTCCTGTTTGCGTAAGAGACGCCGCTGCTTGTGTGTTTGGTGATGGTACTGTAGAACAAAGGGCCTATCGAGATGAAATCGTATCAATACGCGTATACTTCACTGCAGCACCGATCCCGGAGTGGTGGAAGTGTAAGCTACAAAGTTCATTGCTCCTGGATCACAGCAAGGCCAGTCTGCGCCGTAGTATTGAGTGCTGTGATACCGTGCCAAGACCATCGATCCGATGAATTGAGACTGTTTTGGCATCAATATGCCCGGAAAAGCATTGCAAAGTGCCGAGAATCGTAGATCTAGATCCTCCAAGCCCAATCGCCGCGATCATGAAGCATCACGTGATCCATTCAATCCGTCATCATCTCTGATAAGGTGCTGGCCCCACAAATCTGTTACAGGTAGAATGGTTATCACGCCGCAGTTTGAGCTTTAGTCAACTTTTTGAACCTCTACAAGGTGTCGCGACACTCTCCGCCAACTTCCTCTTATCCAGCTACAAACCCAGTGCATCGGCCAAGCAACGTACTCAACAATGTCTTCAATCGCAGAGATTCAAGCAGAGCGACAGACCTACCAGGAACAAGTATGAACCAAGACTCTTGTCGCCCTGTTGATAGTTTCCAAGGCCCGCTGCTAACCCGATTTTAGCTGGATCTTGTTCTTGGCCAGATCCGCGATGATCCCGAGAATGTTGAGCTCAAGGCTCTCCATGGCGAGCTGAAAGACTTTATTGATCTTCTCGACGAAAATATCGCCGAGTTGAAATCGAAGCAGGCTCCCAAACCCGACGTAAAACCAGCCGCGCCACCTCCTGAGCCGGCCAAGTGGTCAAAAGAGAACCATCCTGCCTTCAAGAAGGCCGCACCGCCGGTCGAGGAAAAGGAAGAAGCCCCTGCGAACTATCAAGTAAATGATACCGTCCTGGCAAAGTGGATCTCGGGCGACAAGGCTTTCTATCCGGCGCGTATCACGTCCATCACTGGATCGTCCACCGACCCCATCTATATCGTCAAGTTCAAGACCTACGATACTACAGACACTCTCAGGTCAAGAGATATCCGCCCGATTTCCAACAAGCGAAAGGCTGATGGCCCCCCATCGGCATCTGCTACCCCAGTGGCTACAACGCCGGCTCCCGGCGTTGTCAGCTCGGCCGGCGCCACAATGTACCCAGAGGCGCAGAAGGAACCAGAAGCAGAAAAGGATGCTGTCAAAGCGCCCAAGCCAAAGAAGATCAAGGCCAACAAAGAATTAGAAGCTGGCAAGTCAAAATGGCAAGACTTCAATGCCAAATCAAAGTTTGGCAAATCTAACAAGAAGGACTCCATGTTTCGCACACCCGAGGGAATCCATGGGAGAGGTAAGTTTTTGAACTTTGACATCTATAAATGCAATTTTACTAATTGTTCCCCACCAGTTGGATTCACTGGCTCTGGCAAAGCAATGAGAAAGGACCCTACCCGTAGTCGTCATGTCTACCAGGTTAACGAAGAGCTCGATTAAATATCTTGCCTAGATGAGCCAGTGCAGGGGGTTTTGGGCCAATGAGAAAGAGACCAAAGAGCTCTGAGAGGCGTTATGGAGTTGGGAAATTATTGTTGATACCGCGGTAATTTGCCTTGCAATATATTGTGGCAGAGGCTAACCGTTGAGCATTTGACTTTTTTTACACCAGAACATTGATATCGCGGGTTACGAGAAGCATTAGGTTATGGGAGTATTGGTTGCGATTTGGAAACTTTGGCAAATCACCAGATGTTTCATCCAAGAATAGACCCCCCTTGGGATCGGGAATGGATTGCTAAGTTACGATGGCAGGTTCAACGACCACATTTCATCAAACGATGTTGAAATCCCCGAATATGCCGTCTAGATTGATACCGTGTTGAGAAAAAAAAAGTTAGTGACTATGGCTCCCGACTTCCTTCAGGTCAATCTTTGGGCAAATAGCTCTAGCTATATCAAGGAAGGCTGATGCTCGTTCGCTGGATGGTTCAGAAACGACAGTCGGTTTCCCCCTTTCCCCATCATCGCCAATGTTGGGGTGAAGAGGGATATCTCTTAGAAAGTCAATTCCATGCTCTTGACACAGCTTCTCTACCCTCTTGTTTGACCCAAATACGTGGGTATCCTGATGGCAGTGTGGGCAATTAAACAGAGACATGTTTTGCACCATGCCTAGGATATTGACGCCAACTGTTTTAAACATGTTGATGCCCTTGACTGCATCTTTTGTTGCCAAAGTATGTGGTGTAGTGATGATGATGGACCCTATGCTGATCAGAATCTGAGACGACAAAGCAACAGCGCTCATTGTGATAAAAAAAAAAAAGCTGCCTACCATCCAAAATGATTTGCTGAGTAATAGTCAACTGCGTGTCTCCTGTTCCGGGAGGCAGATCCAAAACAAGGATATCTAAACCACCCCAGTCTACCTCGTGAAGAAGCTGCTGAATCGCCTTCATTACCATTGGCCCTCTCCACACAACGGGGGCGCTCTCGCCCACGAGATAACCCATCGACATTGTCTTGACACCGTAATTTGTCAAGGGTATTAGTTGGTTGTCTTGGAATGTGTTAGTCAAGAGGATATTTATGAAATGAGAGCTTCCCTACTGCTGGATAGCCTGGGCTCCCCAGATAGATCGAACAAGGTAGGAATAGATGGGCCGAAAATGTCTGTGTCTAGTATTCCAGCACGGAACCCTAGTCTGGCAAAGGCTAGTGATAAATTTGCTATCTCACTTATGAGCCTGTCGTATATCTAAAACGTTCTGTTGCAACTTGACTACGTACCGGCAATAGTGCTCTTGCCAACACCACCCTTAGCAGAAGACACCGCGATGACTTTGTCTACTCCGGCAATCTTCCGTCTCTGAGGCCGTTTCGGCCAGCTTGGCGGAGTGCCTGATCGAGGAAGGCCCTGGCATACGTCAATACGGCGTCTTTCTCTATTACAAATGAATGTAACTGACCAGGGGGTTTTCATGTTGAAGGGCTCTTACAGCTCGAAAGAGCAGCGAGGACGAAGAGCGCATTGCCAAAAGATATACAGTACTGCAACCTAAGAATGTCTTGAAGAAACACAAAGTGGAAGCTGTAGACAATACTAGTTGAGGAAAGCCATTGAATCGGTGCCAAGTTCTGTTAATGGCCAATGTTTATTCTCCTCAATCCTAGAGGGAAGACTTTAATCCGTCCAAGAGTGAAGCTCTACTCCGTCGAAACAAGCGACCCACTCATCACTAACGCTGGTGCTTTTTCGGGTCTGGCAAGTTCTGGCTACCAAGACAGATGCAGGCTAATATTCTGCCGCCACCCACCGCCTAAAAGTTTAGAACTTGCAAGACGCCCATTGATGGCAGAAAAATTCCCAGCGTGGGGTGCCAACCATTCATTTTCAAGCCAGCCAGATCACGTCCAAAATGGCCAAAGCAAAAGGACGCGCAAAGGATTTCCAAGACCCGGACGAGGAATTGGCCAAAGGTATAGTGAACTGCCATTTACTTTTTCACCCTTCCGCTCTATACTAATGAATGACCCTAGATTACGATCCTGAAGCCAATGGGAACAGCGACAATGACAATGGAAGTGGCTTGAGTGAGGATGAGCGCGCCGGCACTGAGCACTACGTGACAGTTGGCCGCAGTAAGCTTCGAGAGAAGGAGGGGATTTCTCTGGGACGCCAATACAGAGGATCTCGAGTTTCGCGCCAGGCTTTAGAAGAGGACGACCACGACGACGACGAGGAAGAGGAAGATGAAGATGAAGATGAGGATGATGACGAAGATGACGGATTTGATGATCCGGAAACGGCCGACTTAGCTGCTGATACTGCAGAGGCTAGCGACTCGGAAATTAGTAGCGACAATGCTCTAGCAGAGTCTGACGACGAGCGACTGAATGCATTCGTATTCCGGGGCAGCTCAAAGCCTAAGCAGCCCAAGAGCAAGCGAGCCTCTGCGGCGGACTTTATGTCTGCTTCTGAAGATGAAGAAGAAGAAGAGGACGAGGATGAAGACGAGGATATGGACGATGGTCTAGACGCCTTGTTGAACGGTAATGGAACTTCCGACGACGACGAAGACGAAGATGACGAAGAGGAGGACGACGATAAGGAAGAGGAAGATGATGAGGATGAAGATGAGGACGAAGATGATGAAGACGAAGAATCGGTTAAGAAAAGCGCCAAACCGTCCCCAGCAACTCCATCATCAAACCAGACCGAAGTCCAGAAAGGAATGGCTATTCAGCAGCAGAGGAAAATCTATGACGGGCTACTCAACATGCGTATCCGACTACAAAAGGCACTCGTTGCCGCGAATACCTTCCCAACTCTGGATTCTGACTCGAGCTCAGAGACGGAGGCCTACGAAGCTGCTGAGGAAGCTGCTATCAAATTGCTAAACACTATTAGCGATCTTCGAGAAAACCTGGCTCCTCCCACGGCCGCTGGCAGCAAACGAAAGCGAATCGCAATCGACTTTTCCAACGAACAAATCTGGCAGCAAATTCAGCAGGATGATCAAAGGGCCGTCAAGTTCCGAGAAGACAGGCTAGATAAATGGTCTCGCAAGGTGCAGAGCGCGACTGTGGCCGCGCCAGCAAGCAGACTTGGTGCTAAGCCCAAGACACTCATTAGTGCTCTGCAAGACCAGCTCGCCAATCCTGATGAGCGACTTGTCAAGCGCACACGAGTACCTCGATCATGCGCGCCAGTTCAGGCCTCCAAGAAGATCACTGAGAGTGAGGATATTTACGACGATGCCGACTTTTACCAACTCCTTCTGAAGGAGCTTGTGGATCAACGCACAGTTGAGTCAGCCGCAGAGCAATCCAGCGCGATAGCCTCCGTCATGCTTACTGCCAACAAAGAGGCCAAGTCCCGAAAGGTGGTGGACCGAAAGGCAAGCAAAGGACGAAAGATGAGGTTCACAGTGCACGAGAAGCTGCAGAATTTTATGGCGTCTGAGGACAGGAGAAGCTGGGAACAGGAGGCGATTGATCGCTTCTTCGGTACTCTGTTTGGCCAGAAGATGGAACTTAACGAGGAAGAGAGCGAGGATGAGGAGATGGAGGCTCTGTATAAGGAGGACAACAACGGACTACGGCTGTTCAGATAAGGAGAGGAGCTTGTTTTTATATACTGGCATTGATAGATGGCTGGGAGAGAAACCCGCCGACTTGGACATGATACATTGTGTTAATAAAACCTCTTTCACAATATCGTTTCCTTGTCAGTGATGTCTATTTTACTTTGTATATTCTATCTTTGCGAGCTTGATTTCATCATACATGTATTCTTTCAGCGATAACACCCCTCCTGGTCTCTGACAAGACGCCCAACTCTACCGAGCAGCACAGACAACAGTGGGAGCGCCGAAATCATCCACGTTCCCCCCGATGCACCGTATTTGTAAGTGCATGCTTGCAAATCCATCCTCCAACTCACTCAATCATTACCAACAACAAACAATAAGCAGACGAATCGATTTAACCTCCTTCAAAGGCTCTGGAATGCAATCATTTCCGAATCCGAATCCGCGTCGGAACGCTGCTGGGAGCGGGCGGGTTTTCTCGGCTTTTCCCCACAAACGCGGAAGTGCCCCGTTGCATCCCACCTTTCATATGCCGATTAAAGCAATCGCAGAGCTCAAAGCTTGAAGCTGATTTTCACTTTTTTTTTGTGTTGCTTGTTTTTCTTCATTTCCTTCTCCCTTAAGCAAAAGAAGAGTACGTAGCAGAGCTTCTCGAGATTAGAATCAAAGATGACTTCACAAACTTCTTGGGTCCCGGTGGACAAGAATGGCGATTTCTCGATTCACAACTTGCCCTTTGGCATCTTCTCTGAGGGCAGCTCACTGCCCCGCGCTGCGTCTCGAATTGGCGATTTCGTCATTGACCTCAAAGCACTCGCTGGCGACGAGCAGGCGAAGCAGCAGCTGACCTCGCTTCGTGACCTGGAGGGAGTTTTCGGACAGACGTCTCTCAATGCCTTTGCTGAGCGTGGACGCGCAGTCCACCGTGCTGTGAGAGCCGATCTCCAGCGCATTCTAAGTCAATCAACAGATCTGCCAGCGATTCTCAAGGACAATGAGTCGCTCAAGCAGAAGGTCCTGATTCCGGTCGAGAAAGTCAAGATGCACTTGCCGATGCAGATTGGAGACTACACTGACTTCTACGCCGGCTACCATCACGCCTACAAAGTTGGTGTCCTTTTCAGAGGCCCGGACAACGCTCTGCAGCCAAACTACACACACCTGCCTGTGGGATACCACGGCCGCTCATCCAGTATCGTCGTTTCTGGCACTCCCATTCGCAGACCCCGTGGTCAGATCCTGCCAAACCCAGCGGCGACCCCCAAAGAGCCGACGACTGTTCCCTGCCGTCGACTAGACTTTGAGCTGGAGCTTGGTTGCTTCATCTGCAAGCCCAATGAGATGGGCGAGTCAATCGACATCAACAACGCCGAGGAGTACATTTTTGGATTTGTCCTTCTCAACGACTGGAGTGCCCGCGATATCCAGGCGTGGGAATATGTACCCCTGGGACCATTCAACGGAAAGAACTTTGGCTCAACTATCAGCCCTTGGGTTGTTGTTGCGGATGCGCTAGAGCCCTTCCGAACCGAGCCACTGGCGAATGACACTCCTGTTCAGGATTATCTCAAGGAGACGCAGAAGAAGAGTGTGTTTGACATCCAGCTTGAAGTTGGCCTTACAAGTGAGTGACCTTTCCCCTCTCTCAGTCATCTACGGGCAAATACTAACGTGATGCGTATCACAGCCGCGGACGGTGACCATGTCGATTTGACCAAGACGAGCGGCCGAAATCTGCTCTGGTCCTTCCCGCAGATGATTACGCACCATACCGTTGGCGGATGCCCTCTCCGGGCCGGAGATTTGTTGGGTTCGGGAACCATTAGCGGTACAGAGCCTCGGGAGCGTGGCAGCTTGCTTGAAATGACCGAGGGTGGCAAGGTCGACGTTCAGCTCGAAAAGGGCGGGGTTCGTCGCTTCATCCAAGATGGCGACAGCCTGAACATGCGAGGATACTGCGAGAAGGACGGAGTACGGATCGGGTTTGGCGACTGTGAAGGCAAGATTCTGCCTGCTCACGGGGCGTAAGGTATTGGAAGGGGAAACAACGGCATAATGAGAAATGTAACCAAAATATCCATTAGATGAAATCAAAACAGAAGCCGAGAGCTCTCTGGTATCTGCCCAAGTCCCTTGTTCTCTGGTTGTCGCCTCACGGCCAGTTACCTGCGTAGACAGGCATGGTGCATGGTGCATGTTGCTGGCGAATTTCATGGACAGCCGACCTCAGAAAGGAATTACTACTGCAGCAATAAGGCTTTGTCATTTGGATAACGTTACCCGTACGGAGAACCCCGTCCTTCATCACCAAATTCCGTGCTCCGCGGGCCCCACGCTGCAACCCAATCAACAACCAATATTACGAAGCAATTGTGCCAGAAGCGCGCCGTGGGGAGCCGGGAATTCCACATGGCTTGAGAACGCCCGCGCTTTGCCTTGCTTTGCCTTGCGTCGCTATTTGGCGCCCAGCTCTGCCGCGAGTGTGCCTCGTTCTGCTTCGTACATGCCTGTCGAGGCTGATCAAGGAGTTCGAGGGCCTGTACCTGTACCTGTCAGTTGCATCGACCTCGGCTCCGGGTTCGTCTCCACCACCCGCCAAGATTGATTGATTGATTGATTGCTTGATTGATTGATTGCCCGTAGCGGCTCAGCTTCCTAGAGGCGGACATAACGACGCTGCAGCCCGTACTTTAGCTTTGTCGCCGTTATCTTGAGTGCGCAACAAGAAGTACAACGCATCGATCCCATCTTCCCCCAGCCCCGGGCGCGGTGAGGTCACGTGGGCGCGGCTTTATGCTTGGTGCAGGAGCGTGCCACAAAGTCCGGACGGCAAGCTCGCCGTGTCTTTTTTCCCCTTGCCCTTGCGGCCCTCTCATGAAGAGAAAAGGGCGACATGGAGCAGATTGAGACGCAGGCCTCGGACCTGCGCTACCTGACGGCGCCAGTCGCCGCTTTGAGCGACTCAGCCAGTGTCTCGTACGAGACGCCGCAGCCACGGCCGCACATGAGCCCAGGTTCCGCCATGTACGGAGACAATTCCGCGCTGCACGACGACGCTTCGCCTGGCGATGGCAATGCGAACAAGAGGAAGTCGGTGGAGGACGCGGGGGCCGCGAAGCAGACGCGGAGCAAGAGGAATCGGGTGAGTTTGTGCAACTGTCGATGTTTTTTAATGAAAGCGTGCGAGATGGTTGGATGTGAGGTGGTGCGGTTATGATGTGATGCACGGATTTCCATCCAACACACACACTGCGCCAAGGGGAAAAGAGAAGATGCCGAGGCGTTGCAAGTACAAGGCAGAAACTGGCTGTTGCTTTCATTGCACATGCCGGCAGATAGAAATATCATTGAACTGCTTATGCCCATATGGTTGAATCCCATCAGCTGACGTCGTGGTGTAGTACATTTCCATTGCCTGGTAAGCCCACACTCGGCACTCTCTGGCCTCTAGTCATCTATGGGGGCTAGACAGTCGTCTATAAAATCCGTCTCACCTTGCCTGCTGTCTATTAAAGGGCGCAATGGCAGTGAAATATACTGAACTCCGCTGACACTTGGGGAACGCCCAAACAGTAACGAGTGCAAGAGGCGCAAGATCAAGTGCAATGGCGAAACGCCGTGCCAACGCTGTGGCAACCTCAACCTTGCGTGTCTCTATGCGCCCAACTGCTGCTCCAACAACTTCAAAGACTCGGAAGAATACAAAAAGATTGCTGCGCAACTGAGTCGCCTCCAAGAGGAGGTCAATTGGCTCAACCAGAGCATGCGTAACATGCAGAGCGAATCGCGATTTGCACCGCCGTCTTCTGACCGCATCATACCTAACACCAACTCAGTCATTGCACCTTCTCCATCACAGAGCTCGGCATCTGGCCCCCGACCGGATTATCCCGGAAGACAGACGCCATTCCAAGGCCCGACGAGCATGGCATTCACCCTCGATGTGGCCAAAGAGACAATCAGCAACATGGGATGGAAGACTACCGAAGAAGGGGATGACATTGAGCCGCCACCAAACAGCCATATATCCTCTTCGGTATCAGTCCAATTGCCAGATCCGCTCTTGGAGTTTGACAAAGACGAGATGGTGCGCCTCTGCCGAGTGCATGAAGACGAGATTGGCATCATGTATCCTGTTCTCAATATCCAAACCGTGGTTACTCATGTCAAGAACATCTCGCTATATATTAAAAACCAGCGACCAACCGAGCCCTTGAATGACCTTCAAACTTTGCAGTTAAAAGCCATCATGTGCTGTGCTCTTGTTGTAGAAGCACACGGTCACTGTGAGAAAGCAGTGCGGTTGTATGAGAGCATGGAGAACACCATCAACCGAAAGCTCATGTCGGATGGTCTTGAAGTCGCCGACCTTCCCCTCTTGGCACTTGTTGCTGGCTATCGATTCTTGTCCAATGAAGAGGTGCTTGCCTGGCGTGTCATGGGACAGGTAGTGCGCTTATGTATAGAGCTCGGCATTCACCAAAAGAGAGGGCTGATGATGATACAAAACGAGACCGAGAGAAAGAATGCTCTCAACAGCTTTTGGTCTGCCTACGTTCTGGATCGTCGGTGGGCGTTTGGAACGGGTCTGCCGTATGCTATCCAAGACGATGAGATTGACCCAACCTTGCCCATGCCTGTGAGTTTGACAGCTGCTAAGAAAACAAAAGGAAGAGTAAAATGGAGCTGACCGGGCTGACCTCGACTCAGGACGAATACCCCTACCTCGTTGCCATGATAACATATTCCCGAATAGGCGCCAAAGTCTGGCGCCAAGTGTCCCATTTTGGGCCCGTCCTTGCACGAGAACTAGGCCAGGAAGAAATTGAACGGCTTGACCAGGAGATCCTACGGTGGTACGAGAGTGTGCCAGAGGAGATTAGAGTGCGCAGTTGGGACAAGGAGACCCAGATGACATCAACGCCATCATATAATCTGCAGCGGTTGAGGATATGGACATATTTACGCTTCAATCAAGTAAGTTGTGGTGCAAGTGCCAAGCCAGCCCAAGCCAAACTAATAGCCTCTTAGATACGCACATGGCTATACACCCCCGTCCTGCATAGTGCTACTAGCATCATGTCACATCCACTACATGCGCAGCGTGTTGTCGATTTAGCCAAGGACACGATCCAGTATCTCCACCATCTCAACAGCACTACCAACCTCTACAGAAGAACGCAGGTCTTTTACCACCAGTTTCTTGCAGCAGCGATATCCGTAGTCTTTCTTGCATCGGTACACGCACCCGTGCGGTTTAGTGCAGTGTGTCGAGAAGAGTTTTACATGGCCCTCGATTTAGTCAAAGACCTATCTGTCAAGAGCTGGGTGTCTCAGCGCCTATGGCGAACCATCAAGTCGCTCAAGGATGTGGCACCTCGATTTGGCCTGAATCCAGATGAAGACCCCCATTCGAGCGCAGCACTGGGCATGATTGGTCTTGCAAGAGGTCACATGGATACCATGCCCACTGGCCAGCCCATGTTTCAGCATCCTCCAATGCCTCCTAGACAGAATTCTGAATCCATGGCGAACAATAATAATGGTCAAAAGATACAGAGCGAGATGTCACGCATATTTGAGGGCTACGTCGGCCTAAACGGGGTACAGTTTGGGGGCAACGGAGAAGAGCACCACGTACCTCCTCACGGCGCTTTGTCTTCTCCAGATTCGCAGAGTGCCATTTTTGCGTCGGCAGATGGGACGGTTTTCCCCCATATGCGCGAGATGTTTTAAAGGGGGAGGGGGGGTTAGATTCTTTTGTACAGCGTCGATTGCTTTGGGGCCATGTCGCTGCTCCTTCTTTTTGTAATGATATATTCCCCCTTTATTATGACAGCTTTAGACGTGCCATAGTTTGTGTCATGAGCACACGTTGAACGACCCCATGTTAAATACTCCATGAGGGAAGAATATGTGATGTTGGTTTACTACATGAGATGCCTTTGCAACTTGCGAGATATTGGAGCTCTGTGCCTTGGTATTAATGATTGTGTTATCTAGGTACCCTTACTAGGCTCCATACCTTAGTATGTGGCATAACTTAGGCGGTCAGTCACGTCGAGGTGGCTCTTTCAAAATGTCCAAGAAGCCCGCGGCGAATTGCCCGCACACATCGTCGGGCAACGCCAGCGAATCTGGGGAGTCAGAAAATGCACCCCTGAGCATGGATTGCTTAAAGCGGAAATTCTCAGCAGATTCGACCACTAGGGTGCGTCGTTTTGGAGGGTCGGGCCCAGACTGTTCGATTCATGCGTTTCCCTGGGTTTCCCGCGGCGACAGGGTTCAAGGGGAGGCTTTTCCCCAATTTCTCAACAGCACCAAGACGATTTGACACGTTGACAGTTGGCATGGCTGTTGATTATGCGACAGCGGTTAAAAACCATCACCGATGCCGGAAGTGGCGGCCAGCGGATCAACATGGCATTCTGGGATCAACGGCTTTGCCCGGGATGGCAAGGTTATGTTTCTTGAGCCATTGCCAACAACTGATCATTGCCCGCTGCTTATCCTGCGAAAAGAAAGGGGGAAAGATAACATTTGAGAGCGAGAGAATAAGCCGCCACTGCTATCAGTCCCAGTTGGGCGATAAATGACTGTGCAGCATCTATTCGCGAAGGCCTTTGCGCTCGCTTATCTGCACTTGTAGTAATCATCTTGCCCGGAAAGGATTTTCTTCAACCTCGTCCAAGCTATCGAATTTACTTTCCCGCGGGAAAGTATTTGCTAAGATGGTTGATGGGCGGGATCCGCTCCCTCCGCTATCTGAAAATCAACCCGCTGCGGCGCCGCTGCTACTGGCCCCGGCGACAAAGTTTGGCTGAACGTTGCCCAGCTTTGCAGCCGTCATCGGACGCCTCTGCTTAGAAGAGGGACCTGGGGATTCTAATGGCCAGTGATTTGTTGCCAACAGATGCCACAGAGGCGGAGCGGGTGATGCAACGAGTCTGCAATGCAACACGCCATCATCTGATCTAGCATTGCCTATCCAGACCAACAACGGACCACCCGGAGAAGGATTGGTCTTATTATTGGTTCTCCAAGAATAGCTCCAATTGAAGCTCTGGCTTCGGGGGACCCTCCACTAACTGCTGTCACTTGCAGCACGTTACAAGGGGCCATAGATGGATGATGCCCAGAGACCCTGGATTTGTGTAGCACGGGCGGCTTCTCGTTTGTCTCAATGGCCAGATTTCACTTGGGAAAATATCTGCAAGTACTACGAACTCATAACAGCATCTTGTCAGCATTGTAGCGGTAGAGCTCTCTTACAAGCCCTTTGATTGACAGGGGTCGACCTTTGATGGCTGTACCCAGCATTGCTCTAAAGAGTAATTCCCTCTATTCACTGCAAATGGTTGATTTTAGAAGTGTTTGTTACGAGATAACTGACTAGTCTATCACGGGTTTTATCAGAATTGGGTTATCTGGACTAACATGGGGAGCTCAACTCGATCATCATGCTGGGTATTTATACCGCAACATTTGCTGTTAATGCTTGACCACTACACTGAATCGTTTCAAAACTGTATTGAACTGACGAATTGCATCGTTACAAGCTGACTGGGGGAGAGAGGCGACACTTTGCATTGAAAACACAGAGAGTACCCATGCTGGTAGATATCATTGCTCAGAAGTGGCACGGGGAAACTGGGTAAAGTTTGCCCATTTCTTCAATTTTTCTTCATACAGTTGGACTGATTCCTCGACGAGACGCCTACTGAGTCAATCTGCATCAACTTTTCCTGCAGGCGATTTTGTTGGTGGCATTCGAGGTTTTGATATCGCATTCGAGCTAAGGCTGCTAGGTTTCCAACTACCTGGTCGTTGAGCGGGCCTCATCGTATTCTAGACTTCCTAGCGTGACCGCTTGGTAAACTCTACATTTTGCCGCGGACAACTCCTGCCTGCTGCCTCTTACATGCATGCTGCGTTATAAGTCTCTGCAGATTATCCACCGCCGCTGAAGACCAATCCAAAGTGTGTTGCCTCTGCTTTGTCAGATCTCGAAAGTCGAGTGCTTTGCTCTCTCTAGTCGACTATGCATGAGATCCAGCAGCAAGATAACGGCGGAAGGCCGTATAGGTCTCACCTCCGGCCGGCATGTGTCCCCTGTCGCCGGAGAAAGTCACGGTGCCAGACCGCAGGTGATGCTGCGGTGTGCCTGACGTGTCGTGCTCACCAGACTGAGTGTTTTTTCCCTGGAGACTCGCAGACTTCTGAATCTGCGGAACCTGCCCGCCGCCGCCGCCGTCGAGTGGACGCTCGGCCGTCGCCTGATGCCTCCAGAGCAAGCCCCTCGAGGGTTGCACGAGGCGCGGCACCATTCCACGGGAATACAAAGGCTAATACCTCGGCGTCCATGATCGGAACGAGAGGCACATCCATGGGACGACAGAGCTCAATGGCAATGCCAAACGTGCCGCCAAGTTCCATCGCCAGCATGTCGAGGACAGACCATGGAGAAGAATCAACTCTGGCCCTGGGCTCCGATGATGACCAACATCTAAATCTACATATTGTAGGGCCAGCCTCCACCAATGATAGCCAAGTTTTGTCTACGTATCTCTCGGGTATACCCGGAGCTACCCGGAGCACCAGAATGATCATCCCGGAGCCCGCCAGCTGTTCGCGTCCAGTTCTATTCACCGAAGTTCAGAAGAGGCCAGTGGGCCTCAAGTTGAATCGTAGTTTCTCGGCAGAGAAGTTGGAGATAATCGAAAAGCTCTTGGAGCCTCATAATGAGGCTGTTATTGACGAGTTCGTCAACCTTCCTTTTCATATGCCAATCTCCACGTAGCTGACTCTCTTCTCCTTGTAGATACTTTAGAAAAGTGAATGTGTGCCTTCCACTGCTGGATGAAGTCTCATTCCGGCGTCAATATCAGGAAGACAAGACACGAATTTCGCCAGCGCTGCTGGCATGCCTATATGCCCACACGATTGTGTACTGGCAAAGCTCTCCAGTCCTGAATCGTTATAGGTGTCCGGAGAGTCGCTTCATTTGGAACCTCGCCAACGAAGCGGTATATTCCGAGCTTCACCTATCACCTGGCATGTCTATCATCAAGGCGATTCTACTGAATGTTGGCGGACGGCCCACCACTTCTCTGATAGGCAACGGTGTGCTTCTTGGATCTGCAGTCTCTATGGCGCATTCGTTAGGGCTGAACCACAACCCTCTGCCATGGCAAATTCCGCAGCCAGAGAAGTATTTGCGCATGAAAATTTGGTGGGCGCTGTTGGTTCATGACAGATGGTACGTGTAACGTCCCGCCGATTATTGAGACTGTAGAAACAAAGAGAAAGTTAAATGGCTGACTTACAAATGTCGAACTGCAGGACAAGTTTGGCACATGGAACGCCACCTCATATCCAAAGGTCTCAATACGATGTGCCTCCGCCCACTCTAGAATATCTTAGCGAAGGCTTAACAGATGAAAGTAACCCGCGCGCTGAGCTTAGAACCAGAATCTTCATTTCACTGGTGACTTTGAGCGAAGTGCTTGACCGATTTCTGCAGTATGTATACTGCGTCGGACAAGATAAGCAGACCACAACCGATCTCGAGCACGCATTGCATCGATGGGTTGAAACATTGGAGGGACCCTGTCGCCGGATTGTTCTGCGCGGGTCTCATCTAGATATTATTGGAGCTGCAAATCTTCGCCTAGCATATTTGACCGCCAAACTGCTACTGCAGAGGATACAGCTCGAGGCTGAGAAGCAAGGGGACAGCGTTAACGAGGAGGGAGTGATGAATCGGTATTCCGCGGCACGCATGACATCTGAAGAGATTTTGATGCTCATTCAGGACTTTCAGCCAGAGCACCTTGGCGACTTCTGGATGCCCGTCAGCTCCTTTTCTTTTCCGGCTGCCGTCAATTTCTTGCTGCGGTGCGCGCTGGAGACGGAGAACTCTCCCGAGGGGCTGGCCCAGAGCCCCTCGTTCAAGATTGCCCGCGACATAATCACCACGCTTCGATCACACCAGGAACAGTACAGGTGGGATTTGGGCGACATCTGCCTTGCCCAACACGCTGAGATTGTGGAGAAGATTCTGGCGGGCGTGGCGCCGGATGAGCAAGGCGGGAGTAATAGCAGCCTGGAACTCCAGGACTTTGACGCCTCGATCCTGGACCACATCTTCCCAAGCGTATGGGACCCGTTGCAAAACGCCTGGTAAATAAAGTCAATGCCTAGCTTTGGTGGGTAAACTGGAGGAATAGGGGACCCGTAGAATAATACGGAGCAGTCAGTAAGCTACGGGAAAGATGTCTCCCGCGGGAAACTTGTTGGCCGCGGCGAAGCTAGAAAAGCAAGCAACCACCACCGCGAAGATATCCACAAAGATACGATATCGGAAGTAGGCTAGAAAACCGCTGAGATGAGGATTTCGTTTTTGTATATAAAGAGTATAATGCCCTTGGAGGCCGGGTGCTGTTGGAGTTCGCATCATAGAACAGTCAGAGCGGAAAACAAGAGTTGTCTGCCAGTACATTCTTCTTCAACAAATAAAGAGCAATTCTTGACATCTCCATTGATCCTTTTGAGATTCAATTGATTTTCGCATTTATTATTTGTATCCATTTATACAAGAATTCACAATGGCTCCAGGAGCTCTCGTCGAATCTGATAGCACTCTGCTGGCTCCCACGTCGGGGAAGCTCGACATTGCCCCTACGCTCTACGCGGGAGTTGACGAGGAGCAACTCCGTGAAAAGTCCAAGGCACATCTGATCAACTATGGCACCAAATTTCACGACGACGTAATTATCGGGTCTCGCGGAATGTACATTTACACAGCCTCTGGCCACAGAATCCTTGACTGGACTTCAGGCCAGATGTCTTGTCTCCTGGGTCATGGGCATCCCGAAATTGTCAAGACTATTCACGACCACGCCATGTATCTCGACCATCTTTTCTCGGGCATGGTTTGCCCTCCTGTTATCAGCCTTGGAGAACGTCTTTGCAAGGCTCTGCCCGATGGTCTGGACAAGGCCTTCTTCCTCTCCACCGGCGGCGAGAGCAATGAGGCCGCTATCAAGATGGCAAAGGTGTACACTGGCAAGTGGGAAATTGTTGGACTCGGCGCTTCCTGGCACGGCATGACTGCCCAGGCCCTGGGAGCTCAATACCACTTCGGCCGCAAAGGCCAGGGCCCAACTATCCCCGGCCAATTCATGCTGCCCTCCCCCAACGCATACCGCTCCGAGTTCCGGAAGCCCGATGGATCCTATGACTGGGAGGCCGAGCTTGACTACGGCTGGCGCATGATTGACTTGCAGTCTACCGGCAACCTTGCCGCCTGTATTGTGGAATGCATTCAAAGCTCGGGAGGCATGCTTGTCCTTCCTCCCGGATACCTCAAGGCCATGAAGAAGCACTGCGAGGCAAGAGGTATGCTCCTCATCGTCGACGAGGCACAGACCGGAGTTGGACGATGTGGCGACTTCATGGCCATCAACCACGAGGATGTCGTGCCAGATATCCTCACTCTGTCCAAGACTCTGGGCAACGGCCTTCCCCTCAGCGCCGTCATCACCAGCGACGAGATTGACCGCGTCTGCACTGAAAACGGCTTCCTCTTCTACACTACCCACGTCAACGACCCTCTCCCCGCCGCCGTCGGCGACAAGGTCCTCGAGATTGTCTTCCGCGACAACCTCGTCCAGCACGCGCGCGAAGTCGGAAAAGTCCTCCACGAAGGCCTCCAGAAGCTAAAGTCCCGGTACGGCTGCATCGGCGACGTGCGCGGCCGCGGCCTCATGGCCGGCGTCGAAATCGTCGCCAGCAGAGAAACCAAGGAGCCCGCCCTGGAGCTGGCCAAGAGCATCGGCGACACGGCGTACAAGTTGGGCGTGTGGGCGAATCTGAGCAGCCATCCTAGCTTTGGGGGCACGTTCCGGATTGCGCCGCCGATTACGGTGACGGCGGAACAGATTCAGGAGGGCTTGGATATGCTGGAGAAGGCTTTTGCGGAGACGGAGGGGACGATGCCTCTTTATTAGATGTGGGGGACTTGATGAGTTGCGTGATATCTAGGATTGGACTTGATTGAATTGGTTACGAGCGGGTTTTTGGTATGGGGGATGTGAATTTCGGCGCAGGATAACGAGAATTTTTGGGTGGCTTTGTGTAAATAAATGCTCCATTTGTGAAGAATGGAACAAGAAACGATAATACTCTTGAAGAGATAGTGTGGGAGCAAGACTTATCGCTAGGTATTTGAAAACATTTGTTTAACTCAGTCAGAAAAGCAAACGTGGAGGATAGTTCCATCAAGATATGAATCATTTTACCCAGGACACCATCGAAATGAGTTAATTCAATCACAGTGAGAGACTTTAGATATGGCGGTGAGAAGAAAGGGAGAAAGGTATCATTCATAAGCTCATCATCTATCCAGCAAATTTTGCAATTCGTCCGTCTTGCCCCCAGTCATTGAATCCATGTTCTGCCATGTTTTTCGCTCGCTTTTTCATGCATGGCGCTGAACAATGCAAAAGTAAAATAGAAAAAAAGTTGCCCAAAATACTCTGAAAAAAAAGACAAAAATGTATCCCACTGAAAACGCCTTGCCGTTGCAGAAAAATGTTTTGTTGTAAAAAGAAGCCGCCGTGCTCGCTCGCTCGCTATGCTGCAACGTCGAGGATTTTTTTTTTTTTTTTAAAAAAAAAAAAAAAAAAACAAAAGAAGTGTTTGCTTAAAGATTGTAACTGTGAGTTTGGTTCAGCATTGTGCTGGTTGGTCGGAGGTAGGTGGTTGTAGTCCGTGTTGTAATGCCATGTGTACGAAGTTTGTATGTGTGCCGCAATGATAATGTTGTAGTTCAAGACTATGAACTCATCGTGATCGCAACTTGAGGTGTGGGCTGAGCCGTCTAGAGATGCCGCGCACAGCAACGCCAAGAACCATCAAAACTTCCAATCCGACAATGCCCATCCAGACAGTGTTGAGAAGCTTCTCTTCGTAGTCGGAGGAATAGCCGTTGAAGTAGCCAGAAGACATGGAGTAGCTAGAAATGCCCCGCGCCATGATGGGTATTTTTGTGTGGATCGATTCAAATTTGAACAAAATAATGTAAACAGGCTCAGAGAGGCGCTTTTAATTGCTTATGCTGAGGAGCAGACCTGGGGCAACCATGTCAGAATGGGTCATGAAGAGAGGAATATAAAGACAGCAGAAACCAGGCTGATCTGAGAGATATTCGAATCACTGAATGCCCAACTCGAGCCCAACTTCAACATCCCCGCCGCAAAGGTCGGTCACGAGTGGCACACGAGAGTGGCGGCAAACGGCAAATATCGCAAAGGATCGGACAAGGCCTTACCGAATCTCAGAAACATACCAAGTACAAGCAAATGGGGCACGGCACCGCTGGCTATAACAGCTATACTCGCGGCTCCAGGATGTCGATTTCCAGTCCTGCTACAATCAGGACCCACGATCAAAGACACAGGTGCTGATCATAAAACTGGTTCAAAGGCTGATATATGATGCAAAAATCTCCAGACTCTCTGAGAGCGGCGGTCGGGGCGCAGAGGTCGAGTCAGTGCTAGTTTGCATGCACTCAAGTGGATTCCGCTCTACAAGATGTGCGTCGCGTGAGCGTAAGAGCTGGCTGCCCGTACCCTGTCCTAGCCTGATCAAGCAGCAACTATTGGTTGGCTACAACGAAACAGGACATTTGACAGTTGAACCAGATCTATTCGGAGGGGGTTTGAAAAGAGACAAGAGCTGGCCGAGAGGCCGAAGAGAGAGAAGGACGCTGAAGCAACCGTGGCTTTTTTTGCCGTCTTATGGTGTTGCTAGTCCTCCTGCTTTGTTGGGGGATAATTTTTCCTCTTGGCTATTTTGCCTTTGCCTTTTCCATATTGACGGGATGCCCTTGTCATCTTTAAGCATTCAGCCCCACGTGCAACCACCCTCATCCTGTTTGGGGCAAAGAGATTTGATGTGAGACGGACGAAATGAAGCCGTTTTGCGGTTGCCGAAGGGTGGGGCCGCATCCCGGGCGAGAGAAACATGTTTCGGCGTCGAGCTTGCACTGGCAGCGCTCTTGGATGCTCTATGCCCTTGCCAGCTTCATCATTTCCACATCCAGAGCGGGTGTTTTTCCTTGTCTTTGGTACGTGCGTAAAGAGGCTGGAAAATCTCGCTGCTACTGTAGCTAGGACTTGCAGCCCGCCAAGGGTCCAACTCACGGCCCCCGCCTCTTATCCCTGTTGCGCCCTATGGGGTGTGTAGCCGCTCAGCAAGGGTCGAGGCAACTGATGAAAATGCGGTGACGCCGATTCATACAAGTACAGCACATCCCTCATTTTGCAGTGGCGATGGGAGATTGGCCTGCGAAGAAGCGCGTTCTTCCTTGTCTTTCCTCCCTTGAGGCGCCATGAATCGAGATGGCATCAAGAGGTAGTTGAGGCGGCGAAATGAGCCGCAGTGGTGCGTAGCAATGAACTTCTTTGAGGCAGGTCAAACTACTGTCTGTAGCTGAGGCGGCAGCGGCACTAGCCGCAAGCAGGGAGGTGTAACGGCGTTATTGGCAGTGCTGAGAGCAATTTCCTTGTCAATGGCTGGCTGTAAGACATGTTCCAAATTACCCAGATTATGAACACACCACCTTGCCCCTCGACATCTAATAGAAACGACCAGAATTATGCAGTCGAGATCGTGGCTCCGATCACGCCGAAACCATAAATTGACCAATTCCGTATTGTCCTGCACACGTATTATTGGTGTCTTGTTTATTGCCTGACGCTCAAAGCGGTTCACGCCATTACTTAGGCCTCGCTTAGATATCGCCGTAGCCCGCTCCGTATCCAAGTCGCTTTACTCCAGACTTGGACTCCGTACGGAGCTTGATGGCCATGGGGCGATGAACGATGTGGGACTTGTCTGTAACTTGTACGGTTTGGATTGATTGATGCCAGTAGATGCACCTGTATGTCGTCTGAATGATTCATTGATGTGCCGCGTAGGATGTAAAGGTGGCCTCGCCTGTGCCATCAGTTTTGATATCTCCCTGTCGATCTACTCGAACACTTAAAAGAATCAAGGTCTGCGTGTTGTGTTGCTGCTTGGTCACTGCTGTTCTCTAGCGATGAAGTCACTCAAAACAGCTATCAACTGTTAGCAACCAGGATACCTTGGGCACAGATTTGCCCTAGGGAGCTTCAGAATCGTCTACCGTCTTAAAAAGACAGCAGCACTACACTTGGAAAGACTTCATGCGCATGAATAGGAGAATGTTGGTCCGTAGTCAGCGCCATGTTTCAACTGTGGAGTTGAGATGACGGATATGTAGCTTATATGAAGCCCGTCGAACCATACAGATGACATTGTCCAGTAGCTGCTGGACTGCAGAATTCGAGGCTCTGTTGAAGTTTGCATTTCATTGATACCAAAACGCAATGAGATGCAGTACCCAAGGGCTGCAAGAATGATTATTCATGATGTACATCCATCCAGATGTGGGCCAAGGGTCAAAGGAGAAATCTGGAGATTTAGTAGTAAGGAGTGTGGAGGGACGAACACCCAAGGTGGTGTTTCAAGTACAGTAGAGAGTCATTCACGTGATATTGACGATTCGTAGCTGCCCATTAATACGGCGGGTTGCATGAAGATTGGGTCTTTTCACGCTCAAGGGACGTGATCTAAAACGCATTCTAAACTCGGAACCAATCTTCTATAATTACCAATCTGAGCAATCAAAAGCATACAAGATTGTGGCGCAACTAAACAACAGCTAGCGCAAGCTCGCCGCCAGACGAGCTCATCTTCCCGTCTGACTAGCCTCTCAGCGGCGTGTTTTTTTGGTGAATGGGACTTGGTCAGATCGATCAGCAGATCCTCTGATCTATTCCGTAATGTGATGTGAATGTTCCTGTGGATGGATGGTCAGCGTATTCGCAATCTCCAATCGACATGGTTTTGTGGCTCTAGAGACGGCCAAGCAATATGATTTGAGTCTACTGTAGATACGTGTGCTTGAGATCTACATTGTGATAGATAGATACATGGCAGTCTCTACTGCATTTCAAGCAGCAAATTAGCTGCCTCGCATCATTTCTTGGCTCTCCACTTGCAGCCGCGACAAGGAACTTGCATGTGCTGAGATTTGCCTTGTGGACCCGTGCCTTGAATCAGGTCCCGTCAAATGGCATCACGGGTGCCAATAAGTTGCTGTCGTGAAACTCAACCTGTTTGTTATGGGACATCACTGCTATGGCTTAGCATCCGTACTACACTATACAAACTATAGTACTCCGTATCTTGTAGTAAATTCCAGAACTCTTCATTTTCACATGCTCAGCGAAACTCGAAGACGTCATCCATCGCACCATGCTGAGCCACGGCGGATATTGATTGGGGCCCCAAAGCACAAAGCACTGCGAACTGCACCGCCACATATGGCTCTAGCCTCACCCCCTTCTTCATGATGACGTCGCACAATTGCCCCGCCGACACCCCTCAATCAAGCTCTCTTGAGGTGTTGCGATACTAAATTGCGCGGCTGGTTCCCTCCAGCTAACCTGAAAGCCACGATACGTAGCCCAAACAGGAATCCCATAAATCGCCACGTTTCTGCCCTTGCATCACCTTGAAAGCATTCTATTCTATTCCTACTCCTCGAAACCTCGAAGCACCGCGACATAGCTATCACCATCAAACCCCTATTCTCACCAACTAGCAAAGATGACTACCACCGTCCACGTCGAGAACATTGCCGCCGCAACTGGCGATGCTGAAGTTAAGGACTTCTTTAGCTTCTGGTTCGTCCACCTGCAGCTTTGAACTCTGATTCTGGGAGCTTAGGCTAATGATTTCATAGCGGCAAAATTACCGACATTAAGGTTACCACCGAGGGCGAGACGAAGAGCGCAGAGGTCACCTTTGAGAAGGAGACGGCCATGAAGACGGCGCTTCTCCTCAACAACACACAGCTCGGTCCCAACCACATCAAGGTGACCAGCGCCTCTGGCGACTCTGAGGACGATGGCTCGCACTTTGCTCGACAGGGCAACAACAACGATGAGATTACTCAGGAGATGAAGCCCCGCACCCGCATCCTGGCCGAGTACCTCGCACACGGCTACGTTGTCGGTGACGCAACCATCCAGCGCGCCATTGAGCTGGACCACAAGCACGGCGTTTCGTCGCGATTCCTCAGCACTCTCCAGGACCTGGACAAGAAGTACCAGGCCACCGACCGCGCCAGGACGGCCGACCAGAGCTACGGCATCTCCCAGCGCGCCAACAACTTCTTCACCGGCCTGGGCAGCTACTTTGAGAAGGCCAGCAACACACCTACTGGCAAGAAGATTGCGCAGTTCTACATCGACGGCTCAAGACAGGTGCAGGATATCCACACCGAGGCCCGGCGACTGGCTGATCTTAAGACGGAGGAGCACGGCGGCAGCGCGTACAAGGCGGCTGGTTTTGAGAAGGTCTTTGGCAAGGAGAAGAAGGAGGAGAAGCCTGCATCTGCTCCTGCGCCTGCCGATGCTACCACTGTCCCTGGAACAGCCGCTCCCGCTTCAGGAGTCCCTCCTACCGATGCCAAGAGCGGTTAAAGGAACAAGAGTCAATAAATTAATCGCGGGGTTATGTTACAAGTTGTGAATATTAGTCTTCTTCTCATGATTAGTTCAGATGATTTCTTACGCGAGTGTTATGGTTTCAAATCACGGGCAAAGGATAGTATAGCGACGCAATGATTGATGCTACGAATGACTATTGTACAAAATACCAATCTTTCCCCTAAGCATTCAACGGAGTGTCTGTGACAATGATTAGTTGTGAGATGCTGGTTACGCGTCCACCCTGGAGAAGCTCTCACAGTTTCCAGGTTCCCTAGAGAACTTGTGTTTAAGCACATCGTCCATTGGCCCCTTGGGGTTCGATGTGAGACACTGTCGCGAGTTTTGTGTTAGAGATACTTTATGCGCGACGGAAATAAATTGAATTTTTCTTGCTTACATCAAGCTGGGACTTGGGGTCTTTCTGGCTGGCCTGGCTGAGTTCTGTCCCCTTGCCAGATCCAGGCGGATCCTGTAGCTGGGCGCCGCTTTGGCGCTCGGGAGGAGGAGATTGATGTCCCTCAGGCATGATGATTTGGCGATGCGATTGATGAAACTGGTGAGGAAGAAGCTTTTGGGCTATTTTTGAAGAATGTTGTACTTGATAAAAATGTAGAAGTTGGATTGTTTTCTTTCCCGCTGTTTAAATGTTATTACGCAAAGATGCGGTAGATGGCGTTGACGTCAGAGCCGTCATTGGTGGGTGATTGCATCATGTTGATGCCACAAAGCGATGAGATGGATAAGAGAATACTCGCAAACTCGATATGTGTAAATCAAATATGGAGCTTTATTAACTTTTCATTTGATTGGAGCCTTTTTGTTGCTTAGGTATTCTAGACCGAATGTTGTAGTCATTTCGATGATCCAAGTTTGGTTGGATTGCGTGCACAACTTATACGGAGGATAAACTCCGTATCATGACCATGACAATCTTTTTGGCGGATGCTTCTTCGGCACGCATCTATTGCCTGTTTGATAAAATGGAGTTTGCCTCGTACCAGCCACTGCCTGTGGATCTTTGCCCTTTAATTATTATTAATCGAGAGAACAAGACGTCGTGGAACAATACAGGTGCAAGGCGATGCATGTCTCAGTACTTGAGGCAAGGAGTTGATATTATTAGATAATTTCTCGAACGAGCGCGAGCCCCTGGTTTACAAACCCCACAGGTGCGACTCTTGTGGTTTAATGCTGCATAAGATGTGAGGTTGCGATAAGCCTGAGAAGGAATATCGCATAGATGGAGGACATGTTGAGAGCTGCGATCTGGCGTGGTGAACGCATGAAAGAGCTAATACGGCAAGGACAGGTTACACAAACGGTCCAAGTCATTCTATGGATGTCATTGATACTACCCAAGGTGCATACTAGGTACCTACAAAGGTACTTGGCAGTAGCAGATGAGCCACGTATCAGCATTAGAACTGAGACTTTCTACCCGTCTAGGTACGACCGTCCTTGGTTGCGCAGCTTCATTCACACATGCATCAAAGTATGTAAGTATTAGTAGACCGCATCAAGCCGCATCAAGCTTAATGCATGCACACAATGAATGGATGCAAGCTCCAGTACCTGCCTGTACTCGTACGAACTTATGGCGGCGCATGTCCGGTGCAATGCAAACAAACTTACTTGTAACCCCCTAAAGCACTGCCTCCAGTGGGCTGCTCGGGTAACGTTTTAGTGCCCGCGGCCACCACATTTCCACTCACCCCGCACCTAGTCGTGCCGCTCCTCCCACCGAAGGGGGTGCCTTGGCCGTATCGACAAATCTGGTGACCTCGGAGAGCACGTCTCTCTTGTCTCAACCCGGTCTCGACGCTTCAACGACACACCGCATCTTCAATTTCGTTTGCCGGCTTGTCTCTGCGCGACAGAAGCCCTGCCGATCCGGACAGCCACCGCCATCCGCAAGGACGTTGAACGAGATTAAATCGCATCCAACAGCGCTCCAGCCAAGAGCAACGGCACAGGAAGGGATCAGGGAACAAGAGAGAGAAAAAGGGTGCGCTCCGTACAAAAGCAAAGATGCCAGATTTGAACTCGGTGCCTCCCTCTCCTCACGTCCTGGCCAGCGGCACACCTTCTCGTCGTCAGTCGGCCAACCTGCAGTCCGCATCGTCGCCGCCATCTGCGTCCGTCAACATCCTGCCTTCCAACCAGGCCGCCGTCAACCAGCACGTTCCCTCGCAGGCTCTCCCGTCTCCCGGGTTTCCCTCACCTCAGTCGCCCATGGGCTCATCCGATGCTGCAGTCGGGCCAGGCCCGGGCCCTCTGCGCCACCCGAGGCCGCTGACGGCTTCTGAGCTTCATATGCAGCTGGAAAAGGAGCAGGAGGCAGTGGTATGAAGCCCGTGATAGTGATATCGCCATGGTGCGACCATCGACTGACCATCGACAGGTAAATCGTCTGACCCGCGAGCTCTCGATGCTTCGGGCCGCCCACAATGCGTCGGTCGTTTCAAACGCCTCGTCGACGTCGAATGCTACTTCTTCCCACGACCCCATAGTCGAGTCGTCGCTCTTGTCTGGCTCCGGATTCTCGATTCCTACTTCTCGCCGCCACCACAGAACCTCGTCTTCTACGTCCCAGACTTTCCCCAACTTTGCCTCGTCGTACGAAGCTCGAGCTCGAACATCCCATCCCGCATCGCTGTCACGGCAGAATAGCAGTGCATCTCGCAGAAGTCAGACGGGATCGCCCGCGCCAACTAGCTCTATAGACCCCTCGACCTATTTCCATCAGCAGAGGAACCCTGCCGCTGCTAACTCCGTCATGATGAGCTCTGTGGTAGCTACTCCTGGTAGCTCCGTTCTGGGTGACCAGATGAGCCCTGGACTGATGCCCGCAACGCTGCGGTACGAGGAAACGGCCTTTTATCGGCAAGAATTGGACAATGCAAAGAAGGAAAACGAGGCCCTCAAGAGGCGTATCCGAGAGCTGGAGAGGCTCGTCCGAGAGAGACGGTCGAGTGATGCCAGCAGGAACAGGAGCGACAGCGCGAGCACCACAGCAAGTGCAAGTGTTGCGCCGGGTGGTGGCGTTAGTATCGCAGGCCCTCGAGAGAGCATCTATGGTCATGGCCGAGATCGCGAGCGGGCCAGGCAAAGCACCACAAGCTTAGCCGGCGGAGTAAGCATTGGTGTTCCTGATGAGGAGGTAAAAGTAGGCGAGAGCGCCGCAAGTGGACGGCCAGGGAACGACAACCAGGGGTAATCATCGATTATAAACGACTAGATTATATTTGCGAGACGGGTGGGCATACTATGGAAGACTTGGGCTCTATTGGTACTGAGTGGAAGATACTATTGGCGTTTCGGAGCTTATTGGCGAGCCTCTTGCGTTGAGTCTCAAAATTGGTTGGCTTTTCTTTTCTTTCTTTTTCCTTTTTCTGTTTCTCTACTCAATATTCTTTTCCTCTAACACTGGATGCGGCAAAAAGACCGATGGCCTTGGCAAATTAGCTTACTCTCCTTGTGCCCTTTCTTTTACAGCACAGACAAACTAAAGTAGTTCGATGCAGAGTTATATCTCAGCTTCAGCATCAAGAAATAATGATTTATGAACCAATAGTTATAGTATTACACAGTTCTCGCTCTATATCATTTAAACAAGAAACAAGAAACTCAGCCATTCTCCACTACCATCCAAGATACAGCCATCTGGGACAAAATGTAACCAAGGTTTGGTAACTATATGGTAGGATGAATAGGGCGTCTTAGCCAGAGGATGCCGATTCCTTACGAGACGGCATGATCTTGAGCTTCTTAGCCTTCTTCTTTAGAACATGAAAAAGAGCTTGGTCCTCGTCCGAGTCATCGTCTGAAGGTCGGTCACCCTTTCCCTTCGTCATTCGCGGTCTTTTCTGGCTCTTCTGCAGTGATTTTCTGTCTCTGAGGGGCATATCTTCCGAATCCGAATCTACTTTTCCAGCGCCAGCGGTAAGTAGACTTTCTTCTTGCTGAGGAAGCGATTCGGCAGCTTGCTCAGAAACCTGATTGCCGTTGTTCTTGTTGTTCTGATCCTGAGCGCCAGCGTCCTCCTGGGCCTCACGACCTCGTTGGTAATTTTCATGGAGGCGAGCAAAAACGTCGCGGATGAGCTGTCGCATTGAGACGCGCTCTCTAGCAGATGGCGTGGCCTTGTAGACGACGGCGACGGCGCAGCGGAATATCCATGATTCGTACGTCTTTTCCTCGAGCATCTTGGCGAGCATGGCTTTCTCCCCGGACAGGCTTTCGTTCTTGGCCTGCAGCTCTTTGAATTTGTTTTTTTCTTGCTCGAGTTGTTTGGTCAGGGCATCGTTGGCGGCCTCGAGGCTTTTCCGATTTGCTTCGTGATCAGATCTCTCTATTTTTACCAGTTTCGTCAAGCCCTCCAAGCTCAAGGTAAGCTCAAGGCTCTTTTTCTTCCAGAACTCGCAGTTATCTTGTAATTCTTGTGCTCTCTTTTCCAGCTCAAACACTTGTTGAGATAGAGGGTATTTGTTGGAGAATGGATTGCTGGTTTCATCCTCTGCTGAGGAAACGTCCTTGGACATTGCGGCACTGTCCCTTCTCTCAACACTATTGCCAAGAGCTGTTCTCTCCAGATTCTCCTGATAATTTACAGACGTTTGGTCGTCGTTTTCCCCATCTGATTCTATTGAAGATAGCATCTTTATGTCTAGAGATTGAGTCTTCACCAGCATATTCTTCGTGCAAGGGGGCTGAATATTAGAGCCTTCATCGCTGGACTCGGAGTATCGTAAAGAAGGGCGTTCTTTTTTCTTAGCAATACTTCGTGTAGTAATAGCCGGAGGCATTATTCATGCTGGCAAGTTGAGCAACTGCGTAGAATGTTGTCACGAAGGAGGTCTGTTCTTGAGGGACGATTTGGAAGATGTTGAGCGAGCAAAGCAAAGTTGAGACAGATGTAGAAATCCGAAAGTTCCCAAGAAGATGAGAAGAGAAAAATAGATTAAGATTTTAGGTTTTGTCTCTGGATTTTTATCTCTCCGTTTGTAATCGTGCCCACTTCCTGTTGACTGTGGGGGAATCAAAAGTGAGCAGAGGGTGAACACAAGTTTTGAGCAGGTGAATGGAGTCGCGCGTTTGCTTTATGGATATATACATAAATCACGTAGAATTGAAGCATGTAGAATTTAAATCCTCTATCAGTATTGCTTTGTGCTTTATGGATTCTGTAGAGCTTATCTTTGGGCATTGCTTAACTTGGCCTTGTGCGTAGAATCCTCATTTCCTCAAGCACTTGTTTCCGGTTAAGTTATGTATAAAATAAAGTAAATGTATTTGACCACATATTTATTGTGAACATCAGCAGCTTACCTACCTTTCGAGAAGTGCCTTATTGCTATAGATGCATATACCCTCCCCAAACGTCACACAACAGACAGGCAATCTACATTCACTTAAACAAGAGCAGCTGATATTTTTGATTATACTTTATTTTCTCCTGTGTTTATTTCTACAACGGCAGACGATTATCTACTCATTCAGGTCGAAACTTTGGAATATTTGTTTTACAGAAGACTGTCGGATACCAAATCCAGCCCCCAAGTTGCAAACCCAGCCTCAGGCAAACACTCTCAATCTGCCTGACGATCCAAAATGACACCCACAGGATCCTTAGTCTCTCCGTCTCCCCACGTCGCCTCCCATCCATGGTCTGCCAAATACACCTTCCAAGCCGCGTCATCGTCGTCCAGCCGGCGCGACACGTCAGGGATGACGAAAAAGGCCACGAGGGCGCCTAGCACGGCAAACGCGGATCCAATGAGGAAAGCCACTTGGTTCCCCTTGTCTGGATTGCTGGCGTACTTGTTGAGGATAGCCGTGAATACTTGTGTCCCAATCGCAGCACCGGCTTTTGACCAGGCGCTGATGAAGCCCATCATCTGGCCCCGGATGGACGTGGGGAAGCATTCCGAGGCAGTCAGGACGACGGTGCTGCAAGGTTCGGGACTGTTAGCCATCTTTGAGAAGAGGGGGAGATCAGGTCTAACACATACCTTCCAGGTCCCACCTCGCCGAGCGTCAAGAAAATGCCATAGAGCACGACAAACAGTGGGAAGACTGTCTGGATAGGGCCAATTGCACCGCCCAGGATAAACCCAAGTATCGCCTGCAGGGCAAACCCGAGGGCCATTGTCTGCCGTCTCCCGATCCTGTCGGACAGATAGCCCCCCAAAAAGGGGCCCGGGATGTAGAAACAGTTGATAAGGACACCCCATCCCAGAGACTTTACAAGACTCTGCCCAACGTTGGCACGACTGATGATGGTTGAGCTAAAGATTCCGAAGGGAATAGAAATCCAATTGTACAAGAACCAACTGGCTGCGGCCCCTATCAGAGGCCGGTAGTATCGCTTCAGGGCCAGCCAGTACGGCACCCTCTGCTTTCTCATGGCAGACTTCCGGTAAGCTGTAGCAACAGCCATGCGCATACGGAACCAAAAGATGCCAAGTGGAGGGATCGCACCCAGGGCAAACGACGTTCGCCAGACAATGTAGTACTTGTCCTCTCTCTGGCCAACGCAGAGCAGCAAAAGGAGAGGCACCAGCCCGCCCCAAACATACCCAAGGTCAGAAGAAAGATCAGCCAGCATGGCAAACATGAAGCCGCGGTGCTTGCGGTACTGGCCGCTCTCGTCGGTAGCTTCGACGGCGCCGGCGCCGGACACGGGATACTCGCCTCCGGCCCCAACGCCGGCAACGCCTCGAGCAACGATGAGCATCCAGAACAGACCTTTGGGAGAGGAGCCGTTGGCAGCAGCGGACATGGCGATTCCAAGGACAAGGAGGATGGTTGTGGCCACGGCGCCCGTCTTGCGGCCCAGTTGGTCGACGATGACGCCAAAGAAGAGCATGCCGATGATCATACCGATGAGGAAGGCATTGCTGAGGCGCGAGTAGATGGAGTTGGTGAGATCATCTGGGTAGATGACGCCGAGAAGAAGTTCGACATTGCCTATTACGGCGGCATTGCTATGATGAGATGAGACGGAGTGCTTCATGAGACACCAAGAGAACAAGAAGAAGAATGCCTTACTAGCCGTCTGATCCAATGGCGAGACCAGAGAACAGAACCATCAACCAAACTGAGAGCTTGCTGTAGTATCCCTTGACAGACTCGGCTATACTCCCCGCTTCAACATCGATGTTTTCTTTGCTTTTCTCAGACAATACTTCATCTTTGGTTATCTCGGCGGCCACTGGCCCGCCAACAGTCTTAATCTTGGTGTCAGAGGATATGATTTCTGGTTTGGGAGCCTCACTCTCCCCTGGTCCAACAGACATGATGGCAATTGCTACTATTGGCACACTAGACTCTCTCCTTCACGTAGGTTCGTGATGGTGTATGTGCACGCGAGCACAACTTACAAGAAGAGGGGTTGTTGGAGGAGGAGGCTGCATGTAGGGTTACATGCGCACCTCTCTCCTCCTTTTGCATTCTTCTTAGCAGACATTGACTTGCGGCACATACAGGCCACTTGCTTCAGACACTATCCGGTTAATCAAAGAAGAGATCGGCATAAGGCATGATTGTTTGCCTGTCAGATAACGATCTCCAACTGACTTCTCCGTGCCTAGTGATGATAGCTAGAAGTACTAGCGTGGCCAAGACGACCCGTCCGTTTCTGACGGTTCTGCTCTTACATGAAGATTTCATATCATGTCGTCTCTTCAAGAGCCATGTCCTCTTCTCCACTCTACCAAGCCATCCCGAAGCCTCTCGTTCTTCATGCCGCCTAGCAATGAGCGCCAACTTCTGTTTGTGGTTTGTGGAGTGTATTGAAGCGCCAATCCAATGTTATGAATGCTTTCCCAATCCAGTTGGCCGATCCGTGGCTTGCAACTAACTAAAGCTTTACTGACAGCCAAAGTGGGGGAGAAGATAAACACAAAACGATGCTACATCAAGCATACTCCGTAGAAATTGCAGCTATTCCCGCGTATGATACGAACAAGCACTAAAGTTCCCCACGCAAGAGTCCACATTAAGCAGCGTTAAACTCAGCGCAGCCTATCAATTCACTGCAAGGAATATTACAGAATACCATACAGGGGATACGTCACACCTTTGATCTGATTCTTCTTGTAAGACGCACCTTTCAGCCTATTAGCCGACAAACAAACCGATACAAGTTCCCCGAGACGATCATGCCTTCATTTGGAGTTCATCGTCTTTAGTTCGTTCGGAAACGATACCTTTGGTTGGAAATCTCCGGTGTCGCAGCCGAGACATGATTTACAACTGTGCTGCATGCATGCTTGGGTAATCGTGAACTACAAACCAAGAGCTGGCTGCACGAACCCCATGTTATGGTTGGAACTTTGACTCTTTATCAACAGAATTGAGGCTTGCGATTGGCTCTCTATGCCTGCTGGGAGGACTTTGATGAGACATGATGGATTACCGTATCATCAAAGATGAAAAGGGTGTGTCCCTTCCAACGACATCTTCACCAGTACCAGAGTTGTCACAAACAGCAGCATCACAACGCCGACCTACAGCCTCCAAAAGGTTCCGCATCTCCATCTTCACAATCCTTTCCCTCACAGCCCTCCTCATCTTCAAAAACGCCCACAACAGCCCCTTCTCTCTGTGCACTTCCCACCACCGCCCAAACGTCGCCAAAGTCCAGCAATGCTCAATCAACAACTTCAAATCAGACCTCTCATTCCTGGATCCCGCACAGCCCATCCAGGCCGCCGAGTTCCTCCTCCGCAGAGACCGTCTCGCTCAGGCCCTCGCCGCCAACAAGGTCGATGCTTTCGTCCTTGAGCCGGGCTACACGTTCCAGTACTACGGTAACATCTCGCAGCAGGATTGGGAACCGTGGGAGCCTGAGGAGCGGCCGTTCCTCATGCTCATCATGCCGCAGACTTCGTCCGACGGCAGCGTATCTGCAAAGACGGTGTTCTTGTCGCCGCATTTTGAAGAGGGGCGTGTTCGCATGCTAGGCATCCCGTCTCGTGACCCGGAGCTGGACATTGTCATCTGGGAAGAGCACTGGAACCCGTACACAACACTGCTCCAGTCGAAGCTCTTCAGCGGTAACCAGGCCCCCACGCTCATGGCCGACGAGGAAATGCGCGACTACATTGTCCGCGGCCTCGACGCCGCGGGCTTCCGCACCGTCGGTCTGAGCCCCGAAGCAGAGCTCGTCAGGCAGCTCAAGACGCCCGCCGAAGTCGAGCTCCTGCGGGCCGTAAACACCGGCACCGTGGCCGCCGTGCGGGCCATGCGGCCGTGCCTCGTCCCCGGCCTGACGGAGAACCAGGTCACTTCTATTCTAGACCAGACCATGCTATCCATCGGCTTCAGCCTCTTCTTCAACATCGTCCTCTTCGAGGAGCATGGCGCGCTGCCCCACGGCGGCTTCGTCACGGGCGACAAGAAGCTGACGTACGACACGATGGTCGTCATCGACGTCGGCGCTCACTACCTCGGCTACTCGTCCGACATTTGCCGCAGCTTCATGATTGACGCACCACCAGGGAGAACACACTCCGACCCCCTGCGGACCGAAAAGGAGAGCGTCTGGAGCATCGTCCTGGACGCGCAGACGGCTGCCGCCAAGGCCATGAAGCCCAACAACACCGCCGCCAGCGTCGACATTGCCGCTCGTTCTGTGATTGAAGCTGCCGGGTATGGATACGGATTTACGCATCGTCTGGGCCACGGCATTGGCATCAAGGCACACGAGTCTCCGTATCTGAACAAGTGGAATACTGGCGCGCTGCTCCAGCCGGGAATGGCATTCACGAACGAGCCGGGCGTCTATCTGGAGGGCAAGTTTGGGGTCAGGCATGAGGATATTTACCTGGTTAAAGAAGACGGCGAGGCAGAGCTCCTCACAGGTCAGCGGGCACGAGGGATGTATGAGCCTTAAGATTATATATAATAAAAAAAATGCAGGGGGGTATCATTGTAAACTAATATCTAAAGATGTTTACACCACTTTTTTTCTCCCGTTATATACAATGCTTCCCAACATGATGCGCACCATAACGCTATGCAATTCCCAACTACGCCTCTACCGATTCTCGATGCAATGGGAAGCCGCTCGCAATCGCAGTACGCGGCAGGTGCTGCAACCACGGTAAGGCATCGCCCCCGGGAATGGGACTATGATTCAGACTACAGTCGACGTAGACATTTCCATCCAAGTAGACCCAATTCGACACCTCCGTCATGCTCTCCGCCACCAATCCAGGAAAGGGTGAAGAACTCAAAGCGGCACAAAACCAAGACATTTGTTGAAAAACTTCGGTGAGGGTATGAATCTTGGCACTCAGGCTCATCCTGATCCATGAGCCCTCCGTCTCTATGTGAACAAATCTCAGGCCAGGGCAGAGCACGCCCTTGCCATCGCTGCCGTCCCAGAGAGACATGCCTGAGAATGCATCTCCTTGGAGGAGCGAAGACGCTGCGCTCGTGAGTGCTTCCTCCACACAGCTCAACACGACGGATCCGCATTTCGGCCACTGCTTGTCAATGTACTCGGACACGGTTGTGCAGGCATGCTCAGTGGCCGTACCTGTCACCACAGGTAGAGATGCGAGACGGATATTTGAAAGATCGCCAAAGCCACCTAACGGATTGAACAACTGACACTCGAACTTGAACTGGACAATGTGAAAGCCGTCAGGCGGAGGAGGGCCGGGCCTTCTCAACACAATATCCCAGATGGCCGACTCGGCAAAGTGGATCTGGACATAATGTGGAGACAGCAGCAGCCTTTTCATCTCATCGATGAGCCCTCTGGCTGCATCCCCGGTTGTTATAAGCGTATGGAGGGCGCGGGCGATTTGATCCGGGGATCCTCCCGGCGACTGATCGGGGAACTCGCGGTGCCAGAAGCCGCACAACAGCTGCAGAGCCAGAGGGAAGTCGATGCCCTTGGTGTTGGTCGACCATGTCAGGGACCTTCTCGATAATCCCGGGCCAAGCTTATCGAGGATGCATTTGGCCGTCTCGGGACTGTTTAGGATAAGCACGAGTTGACGGACTGGGCCTTCGAACAGCAGAGTAACTTGACGAGAAATCTGAGTGCCGGAGCCGTGGTCGGAGTTGCTGTAGAATCGGAAAAGCTCGTCCCACAACTGCCTGACGAATACCGATATGAGCCGGTCCAGCACTCGATCAAGGTTGACCCGAACTCTCCGATCTGGGAAATAGTAGTGGGCTAGCAGCTCATTATTCAAGCCGTCGGCCAGAGCCTTGGCAAAAGCGGCAACTAGAGCCCCTGCAACCAGGGGTGGGAGCTGGACCTCGATGTTCTTGGCCTGCTGCGAGAAGCAGGTGGGAAACGGGGGGGTTGGCGGCTTGACGGGTGCATACGAGGAAGGGGGAGCAAGGCCTGTCTCTGGTATCCTAAGGGTTTCAGGACAGCCAGGCGGAGGTGGCATGTCTGATCATGGCTGTGCAACAAGAGGAGAATGGCGACGGGTGCGGTGGTGATGTGAGGAAGTGTATATGTAGGTGTGTATAAGACGCATCACCAGAGGTCCAGAGGTCCACCAGGGATCGATAGAGTGCAGGTTTAAGCTTGACCAATCCTTGCCATGCGAGCAGAAGAAGCCGATCCAGTATCGTCTCGCATGCAAGCCACGCCCAATGAGTTTCCAGTCGCCATTTTATCCAGTGCTGCACCTGAGCAGGCAAAGTCGAGCTTTGCGTTGCTGACGTTGCAAGCCGTCGAAAGCATTGCGCGTCCCGCTTCCGAGCTAAGGAAAATGCGTCTCCAGCTCGCCACACGTTGCCTTTTTTTATCGACGTCTCCTTTTTTCTTGCCCCAGGAACAACAATGCGCCGAGACACGCTGAATCAGTTGCCTTTCTTACTCTTTGCGCTTTTCGTAAGCATTTTCGTCTTGTCTGAGCGTTGACGTTGGGGCTGCAAATTTCGCCGAAGCTGCGCGTCCCGGACAGGCGACCCGCTCAGCCGCTGGAATAGGCAATTTATTCGAATGCGAGCAATACTGATACGAGAGCATCGCGAGTGAAAGCGGCAGTAATTGCGCGCAGCTGGAGCAATACGCCAATCTTGGAAGCACAAGATGAGCACAACTATTAAGATTATTAAGATTCAGTGATAAGAATGTGGGTTCTGGGTGAGTGACCCGGCGCTTGGCGGGTGGGTGACGTACCACGTGAAAGATTTGGTCGGGTACGAGTACCTTGAGACACCAACTCGACAAATTACCGTCAGCCAGCATGCTTGGGGCCCTGCAGTTATAAGTAAGGGAGCTTACTCTCATCGAATGAGGATCTCTTTGTTGTTTCTTTGTTGTTCTCTTTTTTTTTTTTTTTTGCCCCTTTTTCTTTATGGATAGTCGTCATAACCAATACTTTCGACAGAGAGGATAATACGAGTATGCAGAGTAAACCCACAGAGGGGCATCCCAATGGAGCGACACGCAACGACGCGGCCTGGATGATCAACGTCAGATAAAAGACATATAAACCACATGGGATCTCACAACTTCTGCTCTCTCTTATTTTAGTGCCAGGTACGAACTAGTACTCACTGTTACTCACTGTTACTCATAATACCTGGGAACGCATATGAGCCAAGGGGTGGTTGCAAGCTTGATGCAGCCCAGATATACCGAGTCCGAACCAACACTCCGCAAATCCCCTCACTCTCTTCGGGATTTCAAATCGCCGACAAGAGATGCTCCCAGAACCGGGGACGTGGTAGCTCGTGGTAGCAAAACACACGCATTCCAGATAAAAAGGGGCTCAGGATGCTTGCCGCCAGATTCATCATAACAGACGCCATTCTTCGACTCAATTGGACCGTCCCTGGAGATGTACCAGCAAGGCGTCAATGTGGCTGCTGCCGTGCAACCACTGTATACATGTAGAAACCCCGTAGATCACCTTTAACCCCGCATCAATCGGCGTGAGAAAGAGGGGAAGCTGACAAGAGCTCATATTTATCCGCCTCGGCAGATCATAATCACTCAGGAACAAGACATACGAGGCACAAGTTTTCGGTTGGAGAAAGTAGATCGTGTGAAAAGTAGAATTTCAAGTTATACATTAAGAGTGCAAAACACTCCTTTCCGTGAAAGTAAATTGAGTACATAAGCGATGCATCCAGCAATCGCGTCATCATATCCCGACCAACAACATCTAGTTGCAATATCCCGGGCGCCGACTCGCACAGAACCGGGCGAAGCCAAACAAAAAACAATTGAAGGAACTATTGAACAGACATTAAGGATGGGTGGATGGGAATTTACTCGTCAGTCTCCTTGCTCTTCTTCTTCTTCTTGCCACCGCCGCCGCCGCTTGACGAGCCTGTCGCCGGCTGGCTCTGGAGATGTACTTCAAAGTAGCTCTCACCCGCATCCCATGCGAAGCCCTTGAGGTATGGGTTGTCAAGTTCATCATCAGCCTGCGAGTAATATTAGTCAAAAAGTCCTTTGTGAAGGAGGGTTAGCTGCATAATCAACACTTACTCGGTTCTTGTTTGCCTTGTGGATGGCCGACAGTGCGTCACCTATTGTCAGGCCCTTCATGTTACGAGCCACGACCTCTTTGCCATGGGGGAACTTTAATGTTATGCTCTTGATGGGAGGCTTTGTGAGGGGAAGCTGGAGCAGCTGGTCATTGTCGAGATCCTTGGGCCGCTGATTTATTTTCCTGTGTTAGGGAGAAGTGTTAGTCATGTGGAATGGTAGGTCGCAGTAGCAACATATTGACTGTCCAGGCAAATGAAAGACGTACCACGCTGTTTGCTGTGTCTCGATTGCCAGTTCTAGAGGAGCATGGCTTTCATCTGGTGTGCAGTGTCAGTACATACACCATCAGCCATGAAGGTTACGAAGCAGCAACTTACTGATTTCCGCAATGGTCATGACACCAGCCGCGCTAGAGCTTGTTCTCCTATGGCCCTTCTCTTTGGGCGGTGATGATGACAGGCCTTGAACGGCGGAATCAACCTTGGTGAGAGGTTCAGACATGGTGACGGTTGGTTGGTTGGATCAGAACGGATCCGAGAGCTGGATTGGCAGTGTGAGATGGAGATGCAGACAACTTCAAGCAAGCAACTATCAGGGGCATTTACCTGTTGGTGAAGCAAAGACAGTAGATGGAGAAGACTGTGATGGAATGTGATGAGAAGAGAAGAGAAGAGGAGAAGGTTGGAGAGAGGGGAAACAGTGGCTTGATAAACGCAGTGCAGACAGGCACGGTGGTACTCGCTTCGGCGACTGAGAAGGAGCATCCCGTTGCCTTTGCCTGCCCCCTTACGCAGCCCGGGCGGGGTAACGACTTCCCTCTCCCGGACTGGGAATGAGCATTGGATCGCGTGACAATGATACCACTGGCGATGGCTAGACCTGACGCCTGGTGGTACCCGATTAGGTTTAGCAGGCGCTGATGCACTAATATCCACCGAAATCCGGGGAAAGAATCTGGGGAAGCAGCCCCACTGCGCAAACGAGTACCGGTTGAAGAAAAAAAAGAGCCTGCGCCAGGGGAAGTGATTGAAAAGTGCCGTGGGCTGCTTTTCATCTGGTTGCACGGCGATTTTCCCCTGGTTTTCTCTCGGGGTTTGCTCAAGAGAAAGTGCCGTGGCATCGCGAATTGAACTCAATCAGCCATCCAATGTGACTAAATCGCCCCCCCTGCCCCTCACCGGCCGATCTCTCCGAGTGGAGCGGGTACTTGGCTCCACGGCGCCCACAGCACTCTACGCAAGGTATCCGGTACTTGACCCGACCATTGTGCCATTGTCTCGAAAAAGTGACGTACTCCCTCCATCCCGTATCACCCGTCCAATAACGTCTGGCGACTCGCCCGACTGAATCGCATCCGGACTGTGTTGCAGCGCCATTTTACTGCCTGTCTAGGTTTAGATGGCGGATGAGGTGATGATTGGCCGTGTCGAGGTCAGGGGACACTTTCGCACAGTACAGCATGTAGGGAACTTGGACGCAAGCATTTACTCCGCAGCGGCTGAAGGAGACACGCAGGACATTCATCCAAAATGGCCTGCCTCCCCCCGGAAACAGCGCCGTGCACCTCCCACTCTTTTCCACCTTGCATGGCCTGTGAACCGCGTCCAAATCATCCGCTCAGCATTCATCCCTCTTTCCACTCTTTCCAAGGAGAGACAGTGGTTCTATTGCGGGACCTTCGGCCTGCACACCGAGCCCCGCTGTGGGCCTTATAGCACGATGCATCGCGTGTTTGCCGTCGAACGTCCGCACCAACAGCCCACACTATGCGATCCCGCCCGAGAATCAATTGATCACAGGATGCCATCCCGAGGACAATTCACCCCCTCATTGACCAGAAACGAGAGATGATATAACTCGCCCATCACGGCATCCCTTGCGTCTGACATTGGTGATTTTGACTTGAACGGAAAATGAGAACCCACCTCAAACGACCCCATTGCCCGAATCAATCCGATGCTCGCAAATCCCATGCAAAGCGCCCAGCTTCATAAACCGAACGCATAAATCATCCACATAGCATCATTCCATTAGATAGACGAAACCGTCGAAACGGAAACCCTGAATGCTTTTTGCTTTTTTGCTTTTTGCTTTTACTGTTTCCCCGGCGCGCATGCTTCCCTGATATATGTACTCATACTAATATTCCAAGTTGACCAAACTCCCGAGCCGTTCAACGTTGCCGCCATGACCACCCCTTCCCTAATTTCGAAACCAACTCGTGACAATCAATGAAGATGCCGTCCCTAAACTCTCCGACGAAGCTCGTCCCGATTCCTATATGCCGCCCGACTGAGGGTCATTGAGTGCCAGTTACCCTGTAACCCAGTGATTCGTTGCCACCGGTGGAGGTCGCCGATGTCCTAGACGGTCCACAGCAGTCCTACGACATGGGCCAAAACTTGCTCATATGACTGTTTCGAGGATGCAGGAAATGCGATTATGGCCCCTTGCACGATTTACCTCACCTGCCATCAGCAATTCTGAGTGAAAGTTTGACCAACGAGACATGACTACCATTTGCCCCAATGACACGAGTTGAATGCAGCTGGATAAACCGCCAATGTGACTTCCGATGAATGCCTGGACGAATTTGACGGAAAATACATTCTGGTAAATGTCGAATTTAACAATCCGAGAAACAGGAGCGACACTTTTCGTTACGGCCTCAAGCATTACCGATGCGTCACCTACCGGACTTTTGTCGAATTAATACGGATAGGCCTTTGAAGGAAGAATGACACAGTAGACGAAGTGATGGATCGATTGACACTTCCCTTTCTCTTCTTTTCTTCTTTTTCCCTTACTCTATCGAATTTGTATGATGCCCTCAAGAGCTGGTGCTTATAGTCTTACGCATTACAATGCCGCTGACCATATTTATCATGGCCTGTAGATGACACCCACGAATCGCGAGACTCGTTCCGGATTCCCCATCGAATTTACGGAAATTTGGGAAAGTTCCAAACTCGCAATGAACAAGGTCGAAATGCACTCCTCATCGCGATCAATGCCATCACCATTGCCCTCGAAGCATGAATTGCCGCCTCCTCCTCATGAAACCCCGCTTCCGCACACATGCACATCTACACATGTGACCTTCTCCAACTACCCTGATCCTCGAAACAGTTCGTGTTCCACGCATCGAAACGATTTTAATATTTACATTTTCAAAGATTTCTTCTTTTTTCTTTCTTTTTCTTTCTTTTTTTTTCTCTCCTTCTTTTTTTCCCCCTTCTTTTTCTCCTTCTTTTGGCTGTTTCAATGATTACCCCCTTTTCCTTTCTCCCCTGTAGGAAATTGACCACAGTTGAGACATGTTCTCTCTGTGTTGGGTATTGACTAGGTACACCAGTCGCTTTAGTGAAACGAAGCAACCATAGTACATATACATCCGTGTAGCTGCTTGAAGCACCAATCGCCACAAGATTTCGACATGATGAACCTGGCCACGGATTAAAATCTCGAAAAGGTACTTCGAAGTTCTACTGTGCGAATAGAGGGTTTGTCTAAGCTTGGTGACACTCAGTCACTCGTCGTGACGAACGAAAGAGAGATGGAATGGAAAGAGGAAGGCACGCATCCATTATTGTTACGAGTATATGATGCGGTAAGCCACCTTTTGCCTGTTTTATGTGATGTCTTGTATAATTTCCATCATCTAATATCGGTTGTAGAACAAGGAGAGTGAATATTCCGAGCAGTGTAGGTTAGGCGGCCTCAGAACCAGAGATGCCTGCACAACATCTAATGGTTCTTACAGACTGGGTGGATGGAAAGTCGACAATGGTCAAATGGAAACTGGGAGGAACGGCAGGCTGTACGAATAATGGTTGAATGTTGGATCAGGGCGGGGATTATGCAAATGGACATATGAAATGCAGGGAACAGCAGGGTGAATTCAACACCAATTGCGGGGTGAAACGACCATTGAGCACATTTCTCAAGCGCCAGACACCATCTCTTCGTTATATGGAAAGGAAAATGGCTCTGAAAAAGAAAACATGTTGCAACGTCTGCAATGTCTGCAATGAATTGTATAAAATTGCTTCATTCGCGCTGCCTCTAGACAATGAGTCGCACAGATGTGCTTCCTTTGTGTCGCACCTAAACAATTGATCACACGAATATGCTTCACTTATGCTCCTAGACACTGAAATGCATCTATTCGCTTCACTTAGATCGCTTACCTTATGATGAATTGTACAAGGTTCGATGTTTCACTCATTTCTCCGAGATGGATGCCGCCGCCAAGGTTGCATTGCCAAGTGAAAAGAGCACGCAACAGTACGCAACTCTATCTGATACGCGGCGGCAACGCCTCGAAACATTGCCGATTCGGTTGGCTAAAATGCAAGACTACAAATTGCAAAAGTTCCATTTTTAATTAAATAAGTTTTATGCATCGTGCTGCGATCATGTTTCGTCGGATAAGGAGCGAGTTCTGGTGTACCAATCGAAGGGACAGTTAGAGATGGGGATTAGCATTGGAGATACAGTCAATCCGTGTTATTGGCTGCTAATCTCATGCAATGCGCACCTCGATGCATGCGGCGTAGCAAATACGACGCAACGAAACATCTAGATTTCTGGCGACCTCTTGGGAAGCGCCATGTCACTTCACAGTATGTACGTATTGCCTGACGCAATTCCTCAATACCACATCGCCTATGCCTTGATGCATGCACTCACAACAGTTGCGACTTCAAGGGCGTCAACCTCCCCGACCTAGTCATTTATATAAGTGCGCGCTGAATTACCTCTACTTTCACCCGTCTTCTTCAGCAAAATATGCTCATCTGCCAGTTCAGCAGCCAGTTTTACTCATCAGCATCATAAAGTGAGAGGCAGAAATGTGTCGTGGGAGGGGTCATCGGAATATATGGCTTCCAACAAGGCTTCGGCAGACGCTTCTATCCTTGACTTTATACTATGCTGATGAGTAAATTGGCTGCTGAACAGAATTCATAAGTAATTCTACGATGTAATTCTTAAATGGCTGGTACCATTGGTATGTTTTGTTATCATATGCAATTTGCAGTGAAGCATGAAGCTAGTGCATTTTTACAGGAAATTTGCTTCTCGAAACATGAAAGAAAAGAATGGCTAAAAAAGCACCAAGGCATCACGACTGTCTCAAACACCAACCATTTAGCAAATCGCATGTCCTCCTAAACGTGAATGATGGCATAATAAACGCCGTTATGAATGTAGACATGTTCAATCCTCGCTCCACTAAGCAAAGTGACAGGGCCCGTCACAACCAAGGATATGCAATGAAGGGAGCAGAAATGCAACTGGATTGAAATGGGTGCAGCTTAACAAATACATTGGCTTGGTCTCTTAAAAACACGGAATTGATGGATCAATTGAAGATTCCGGGCAAGGCTCACATGTACCGTGGTTATTCTTTGAAACTCAGGATGTAATCTTCAATTCAAACAACCTCGAATCAATATTACAAAGCTCCAACACCTGTCAACGGGTATTATCCACTGTAAGCATCAAGCTCCCAGGCGCAACCGAATCCAGCCTAAAACCGGGGCTGCTCTCGGCTTTCAGCAAGTAAATACGGGGTCCTCAAGCGGCGGAACCGTTCCGGACAAGGAGCTCATAGTGGGGTCTGAGAGAAGAGGGGGGCGGGGTAAGGCCGCCATTGAACGGAACATAAGGATCAATAAAAGTCCGTGCTAGATACAGCCGATTTCCTCTAGCAACTGTCCGCATTATTTTGTCACTATCTTCTCCAAGATCCGACAGAAACCGTCGGATTCGGGGGCGGAATCGGAAACAGCCCCAAACTTACAGCTTGCGGACGCAAAGACAATTCGGTTCGCGTCATCAGATGCAAATTAAGTTGCTTCTATGGCGGAAAGGCGGTGCCCTGCGTTGCTCAAGTGGTGTTTCTTTTTTTTTTTTCTGGCCGTGTGTCGCGTTATATATATGAAGCTTCACTTCTTCACACCACCAGTCCTGCTCCTTGTACTTACTTTTAGAGCTACTCAAATTGACGAATTGATTGAATCCAACAGCTTCGCTTTACATCGCTTCACAAACTGTAGATAGTGAAAGGTCGTCAACATGCCCGTCACAGAGTTTGCTACGAAGGAGCTCTACAAATACCAAAATGGCTTCAACAACCACCTAGAGTGAGTGATCTCTACCGTGTTTGAGCACCCTGAGCTACTGCAACTCACATCAACATCGCACAATCAACTTACACCTCCATATATCTATCCATTGCATCTCTAATACTAACCTCACCACACTACAGATCCGAAGCCATCCAAGGCGCCCTCCCCATCGGCCACAACTCCCCTCAAAAGCCACCCTACGGCCTCTACGCCGAGAAGCTCTCAGGAACCGCCTTCACAGCCCCTCGCCACGAGAACAAGCAGACCTGGCTGTACCGCATCCTCCCTTCGTGCGCTCACCCGCCCTACCAGCCGTCTCCCGAGTCCCGCGCCGCCCAGGAAGGCGCCGACACCTCCAAGCTGCGCTTCATCCCCAACCAGCTGCGCTGGGATCCCTTCGACCACAATGAGGCGCGCGACCTTGACTTTGTCTCCGGCATGAGGCTCGTCGCTGGCGCCGGCGACCCGACGATGAAGCAGGGCATCGGCATGCTGGTCTACGCCGCCGGCAAGAGCATGGACGAGAAGTCGGCCTTTTACTCGGCAGACGGCGACCTCCTGATCGTGCCGCAGGAGGGCGATCTCAACATCCGCACTGAGTTCGGCTGGCTGCTGGTGCGGCCCATGGAGATCTGCGTCATCCCACGCGGCGTCAAGTACCAGGTCCAGCTGTCTGGCCCGGCCAGGGGCTACGCGCTCGAGCTGTATCAGGGCCACTTCAACCTGCCCGAGCTGGGCCCCATTGGATCCAACGGTCTCGCCAACGCCCGCGACTTCCAGGCGCCTGTGGCCCATTTCAGCGAGGACTACGGCGCCACGGCCTCCGAGGGCAGCAACTCGTTTGACATCACAGTCAAGCTCAACAACACGCTCTTCCACACGCGACAGGCTCACACTCCCTTCGACGTCGTTGGCTGGCAGGGCAACTACTACCCCTACAAGTACGACCTGGGCCGCTTCAACACCATCGGTACCATCTCATACGACCACCCGGACCCCTCCATCTTCACCGTGCTGTCAGCCCCGTCCGGCGTGCCCGGCACCGCCGTCGCCGACTTCGTCATCTTCCCGCCGCGCTGGCTGGTCGGCGAGGACACCTTCCGCCCGCCCTGGTACCACCGCAACACCATGAGTGAGTTCATGGGCCTCATCTGCGGCGGCTACGACGCCAAGAAGGGCGGTGCCGGCGGCTTCGTGCCTGGCGGCGCCAGTCTGCACAACGTCATGAGCGGCCACGGCCCAGACGCCGACAGCCACGAGGGCGCCCGGAACGCCTCGCTCGCCCCCGTCAAGGTCGGTGCTGGCAGCTGCGCCTTCATGTTCGAGAGCTGCCTCATGGTTGGCGTCACTGAGTGGGGGCTGCGCACCTGCAAGAAGGTCCAGGAGGGTTACAGCGAGGAGAGCTGGGGAGGAGTCAAGACGCACTGGGCGAAGCCGGCCGGCAAGGAGGTGAGAAGCCACCTTGCTGAGTAAAGAAAAATGAAAAATGAAAAAAAAAAAAAAAAATGAGGGAGAGAAGATGTCTAGAGAGACTTGTAAACCACTTTATCATGTATTTTCCTTAGTGTTTTCACATGTGGGATTGATGGACAGCCCACTCGCGATTTTGTATTGTAGGATATTAGCGATCATCAGAATGAAATACCAACTTCACGTTGCATATACATACACTCGACACGCCAGATAAAACTTATACATTGATAAACGCCCCGTCTACATGCATCTACATGAGACCTCTGGTATACAATACCGCCGAACCTCCCTAATTATCACATATCGATTCAAACCCATCCTCCAACGCCAAACACATTGCCACCGCCCGCCCTCAAATCGTACACATCGACACCTCTTCAGAAAAAAACAATCCCTACTCTTCTTTATCCTTGTCTTCATCCTCCTCCTCCCCATCCTCCTCCAAAGCCCAGTCCTTCCACCCTTCGCCTCGCAGCCAGCTCACGCCCTTACGCCACTGGCCCTCCCGAATGGCCTTTGCATCTCGCTCGTACACCACGCCCGTCACCATCAGCGCAAGAACAAACACCCACAAGTCTCCACCCTTCATGGCCTTCCACCAGCGTCGCTTCACGCCCACCTTCCACAGGCTGTCAACGCTGGCACGGGCAGAGTACAGGAACACGCTGCGTCCATGGCGACGCTCCACCCACGCCCACATGCCCGCGAAGAAGCCTCCAAGGAAGATACGCTGCGTCGCAAGAACATGGCGAGGGAGATACTGCTGGAAGAAGCAAAGAGACGCCCACGCCGTCGAGATGGATCCCGTAGCAAAGGTGGAGAGGCGTAGAGCCTGCGATATGATGCGCTGGATGGTGGCGAATGGAAAGTTGTACAGGTTGCGGAACTTGGGGATAATGGTCATGGCGGAGTAAAAGATGAGGAAGAAACGCGTCATGGAAGGGAAGGAGTTGAGCCAGAAGGTAAGATAGGTCCGCAGACAAGAAGGGTCTGTCGGGTGAAGAGTCGCGCAGGAGAGAGACGTAATGAGTGGGTGAGCCTGTGAGCTCAGTGGTGAGACGCCAGCAAGCGTGGGTGGGAGAACTTCCTTGTTAGGGAACAAAATAGGAGAGATATTGGGTCTATAGAAGGATAAAATGTCAAGTTAGCCATGTCACGCATCTTCGCATAGAGGATTCAACTTACGGCCAATTGAGTCGGGCCATCTCTGCAATATTCGCCAGGACCTCAGACGCACCGGGCCATTTGAGAGTCTTGGGGTAGTTCTCTGGCCGCGGTGGCAGGTATGTAGACGAGTTTTTGAAGATAAAATCTCCAAATGACTATCCGAAACGTCAGTAAGTGATCATTAGTTGAGATGCAGGAAAAGGGGTTAGAACATACAGAAGGGAAGCAATCAGGGTCAAAGACTGCTGCATGAAGCAGTTGGCCGAAAGCCAGAGGCTGCAGCATCCAACTGCCGAACCACCAGGGCCGCTCACGGTTCTTCCCATTCTTAATGCCCCATATCAGGCCGTCCTTCTCGCAGACGTTCCAGCCAAACTCCAGGGCCCGGAAGAGGGCGAAGATGGCGATGCTGACACGCATCTGTGCTGCCGGATAGACACCAAGGGCGAGACCCGCGAGCGAAGCACCAATGGCCGGCGCAAACGGCGATGTCAGAGTTGCCGTCGTTCGTGGATTGCGCAGCCGGAAAGGCTCTGCCTGAGGGTCCAGGAGATGGACCCGGAGCCGGGTGAGGAAGCGGAAGAGCACCCGGTAAAGAAACAAGATACTGGACAACGAGAGGGAGAGCCTCAGGGCGGGAGACTTGTAAAAGGGCTTCTTCTGCCCACCTGAACTTGGCCTGATTTGTTTCAAAAATCCGTCAGCATCGCAGCAACCACGGTCTAGTCCATTCACCAAAACGAGTTGACTTACTCTTTGCTCCCAAGCCTCTTCATGACCGCGTCCCACACCTTCATGCCGATCCACGTCGCCGTGAAGACGCGCAGCGAGTGCCGCACCGCCTTTGCGTTGTAGTCATCGCCCCCCTTCCTCGGCTGCAGTGCCTTGTCCACACTGCTGGGACTGGGCGTCGCGCGACGCAACGCCCGCGATTTGGAGAGAATGTACTTGTGCAGAGCCGCGTATTCGCGCGGCGAGATGGTATATCGCAAGGCATTGCGCAGGATCGGATCTGGTCCGGAAGAGCCGGCCCCGGTGCCTTGCACGACGGCCTTGCCGCTCGGAGACGGGGGTAACGGTGCTGGCGATGCCATGGTGACGGTGTCGTCGGAGTCGCAGCTGTTGTGATCTCGTACGCCGCCGCTGAGGAGCCGTGAGGAGTCGCCAGCTTCGCGAGGACCAGCTACAGTGGTATTAAGTAGTTAATGTCAACTCCTGGCCCTCCAAACACGACTGCACGACACGGGCCAGCCTGAGCCGCAAAATATGCCCGTTATCACCCAACCCCCAGACGACGAAGGAGAGGCAACGAGTCGAGTGGTGTGACGGTGACTCGAGAAACGCGATGCGGCAATGACACGTAGCTTGATGCTCCCTGCGTCTTCGCTCTTGCGACGTGTCCCCAGGAAAGGCTCGAGTCGAACAGCCCAGGATGAGGCTATCGCCACGCCAGGCTCGGGTCGATCTGTGAAGCCCGCAGCGAAGTTGCAAGAGCCAAAGCTGCTCCCTGTCTGCAGTGGCCAGTGCGGGAACCAACGATTGGAAAGGCTCAAGTGAGCCTCGGCAGCGCGGCACATGTGAGCGGGCAGCAATTATGGAGCGTGAATACCGCTATAATACAGGGGGTAGGAGTGGAGCCAACCCCAGGGCTTCCCCATTGTCCACCGATGACTTCATCTTCCACTGCACTGACTCGGTTTGGCTTCAATTGCATGCGGTTGCAGTTACAGTACATACACGTACGCATAATAATCACCTACCATGGAGCAGATGTCTGAGGGCTGTGAGTTTTCCACACGCAGGCATTACCGAAGAGACGAAGAGATATTATGTACCATCTACCGAGGTACCTGATACGAATGTGCAATTTCCTGCTAGGTACTTTCCTTTTAGCCTCCACTTAGGTAGACATCACTAGACATCTACGAGTACTACATTCCATCAAAATGCCAGCTACCTAGAGAGAGCATAGGTAACAACAGCTCCTCAACAACGTGGGATTGGTGCTGGATAGCCACCTCATGTTCCTCATACCTACTTATATACAAAAAGATAAGCTAGTAGCTACGTGTTTGCTCCTTGGATGCGATACGTGGCAGAGTAAGTTCTAACCTTGCAACTCGGCGTTACGCAAGTCAGCACTTTGCATAATGTCTGCGTCAGGGGCATCATGCACGCAAGACGAGGGCGGTGTTTCTATAGCTTCACTCCATTCTGAACTGCAAAAGAGTATCAAGACAACCATGGAACATACCAGACATCTTGGCCGACACATTATAAGATACTACCTACTACTGCCTACCTAGTGTAAAGCATCATCCCATTCACAAACAAGAGGCCGCAAGTCGAAAATTCCTCCACCAGCCTAGGATATTATAAACTACCTGCAAACGCAATGACGAAGTGTGCCTAACCACCACCACCTCGTCTTTTCGATTCCATCCCGCCGGCTAATTTGTTCACAAAATAACATAGCCAGCTTACCGACCCTTTCCTGAATCCCCAACCGCCGCAATATGCAGTTCCACATTATCTGGCCGCTACCTTAGTAGCTGCTTTCGAAATCATCAAAGCGTTCATCATATATGCCTCCAATCAGGGGGCAATTTTCTTTTTAATACCAATGTTCCGTTCCGCCAGTTCCTTTCCGTTTTCTACACCCCGCTTAATATTCCTCCTTCATGCCCAAGGGTACTTACGCGAGACGCTTCAAAGGAGGCAGCTGGAGTGAGCCATCTCCTTCAGGGGGCAGTCTTGCAATCGACATCCATCTCCAAACTCCGTCAAAGTGAGACCGTCTGTTAGGAGTGCTCCGCGCATGCCTGTACGTCCGGTGTTTCCAGTGGGAATAGCACGACCACAAAAGATATGCTCGCGCGATTGCATTTTATGTATGATTTGGCGTCGTCATCCCATAATCCTCCCTTCCAATCCAACCCAAAAGCAGCCTCTCCGCAGAAACAAAATCAATCCGCCGGCAATTTTCGTGTTGCAAAAAGACACCAATGCACGCCAATTTTCAAAAAGAAGAAGAAAAGGAGCCCGAGGCTCTTTTGCAAGGCAATATGCCCAACCGAATAACTTTTTGAGAGAACTGTAATGCAAATGCTCAGTGTAGGGCTCGTCAACTCATTGCGAGAGGAGTCGTTAATCATCAAACTTCACAGAATAGCCATCATGGATACTCGGCGACGTTGGACATGGAACCGTTCTGGGCTTCCATCAATGGAACCCATTTGCGTGCCAAGGTAGGGCCATCCGGGTTGCCATAGGGTAGCATCTCTTCCTGCCATCCCAGGGCGGTCCACCAGCCCAAATCCCTCGGCTCGGGGCTGCAGAGGCCCGCTCGGATCGCCTCTGCATCGGGAACTCGGCCGGACAAAACGGCGTCCAAGACCCTACGGCGGCGTGCTTCACGTTCCTCAACGGCAATCTTAATGATGCGATAGCGAGATTCCGCATTCGCCCAGCCGTTGACGTTGCCTGATCCGGAAGACTCCAGTATCATCTTGAGCTGGGTAAACGGGATCTCAACAAGGATGCGGGACAGAATCGAAAACGATGCCGGCTGAGCAGCGCGGGTGGCTTTGGGTGTGTGTGCGTCGGCCAAGCTCTTAGCTTCCGAGAAGGATAAATCGCCGAACTGGATGCCATTAAGCTTCTGAGGGCGGCGTCCCTTACCCAATTGCACAATCGATCCCTCAGCAGATGCTGGGAGCATCTCGTTGTCAAGAGCGTCTTTGGACAAAGGTGGGGGGTTGATAGGCAGCCTGCCATATGGAACAAATTCCATGGCTTCGGTATCGAAGTTGAAGTGCGAGGGGAAATTGTGAACCAGGAAGGTGACAACGGCATTGAGGAGGATTTGTGATCCGTCGCCATACTGGTAGATTTCGTGAGAGCCCTTGTCCCGATATCCATCCAGCGCAAATTCCAACACTCGCTCCAAAGTCTCCCAGGTCAAGAGATGGGTAGCCACCTCACAACCGCGTCGGACAATCGGGGTCCAATCAAAGAGGTGGCCAGCAGCAGCATACGAGATTGCAAAGTCAATCTGTTCATTCACCGATCCGGCGGCCGTCACATCACCTGATTCCATGCCAACGCGACGAGGAGGAGCATGAAGCAATGGCAATCCATAGAGGCGCTGAACTGCCATGTAGAATGAATCCGAGCGGATCCACTTGCTGCCCGTCTCAAGAAGAAGGATTTGCAGGGATCTATCGCTAGGGGACGCCTGGAAAGTCTGCTTCTGTAGGAGATTGAAAAGCTGGGCGCTGCGAGCGAAGATCAGTCGGTGGCCAGGGATCCGCACAGGTGCTGCCCTGTCATCAGTGTACCGAAGTTCCAGAGTGCAATCCGCCATCTCAGGAGACGCGAATTGCTGCTGCAAGTATCCAATGAATCCATCAGCATTGTCACCCTGGGCCATGGGGGGAGGCAGGCCTGGGTTGGGCATCATGCGGGGGTAGTCTGGCAACCCATACATTCCCCCTCGGTGGCTTTGGCCTTGAGCCTCGTCGCCAGGCCCAACACCATTATGCATAGCTCCAGGACGATACTGGTTATACATGGCCGTCTCTTCTGGGTGAGCCGAAGATTGGGAGTCGTGAAAACTATGTGGTGTCGATGGTCCCAGGGTATTACCATACGGATGGTATGAGTCCATTGGTGCATAAGCCATTGGTCGGCCATAGCCGTCGAAGTTAGCAACAGCCATCATGTCTGCCCCGTATGGCACCATGGGTGGGAACCCATTTCCATTGTGAGGCATCATGGGGTGTGGCCGTCCATCCGGCATTGGCATCCCCGGCGGTGGTGCAATGCCTCCGGAGTGCGGAGGCGCCGGCGAGGAGCTTTGGGAATCATGGAAGGCTCCAAAGTGAATGCTGCCGTTGCTTGCATGGGCTTGATGCATGGGAGGTGGGCCATTCGGCAGAGGAGGCCTGGGCCCATGAGATAGGTCCCCGTTCGCCACGATGCCCATCGGACGATGAGCTGGTTGGAAGGGCGGCGGCATCTGGTATCGAGTTGGGGATACGGGCGGAGGAGGCTGAGAGGAGACAAGCTTGACTGGGGGGTATTGAGCTGTGGATGAACACCGTCATTAGCTTCAAAGCTCGGTATACTGACACGCAAGAGGGGAGCTTACCTGGTCGCTGCCTAGGCTCATCCTGGACAGCACCTATCCCAAGATTGTGGAACTTGGCCTGCATCTCAGAAGAGGCTTCATGTGCGATCGGGGCAGAAGCTTCTACATTTGTCGGCTGCACAGCGTAATTTGTCGAGGTCTTATCCTTGCCAGTAGCTCGGCCGACAGGTGCAACGGGCTTGCTGCTGGCAATCACGACTTCTTTGGCTGTATCAGAAGCTATCACGGTAAGAATCGAGGTCAGCAATCTTGATTTATCCAGCAGGCACAAAGGACAAGACAGAGTACAAAGGTGCTGGCTCTTTGTCCTCCTTTGTCCTCCAACAATGAAGAATCATGCATATGACTTACTACCGATGCTCTTAACGGCAGACTTCAATTCTGGGCTGCCAGCCGAAAGGGACTCGCTGGCATGGGGCGTGTCTGCAATCAGAGTGGGTGAAGACTGGTTCATTTCGTGGGGCCGCACTTCGAGAGAGCCGTTTCGAGGACTGTCGTCCGACTTGACGTTGCTGATCACGGGAGCTGCTGCTGCTGCGGCCGCAGCCTGGCGTTTGACGTACGGCAGAGGAATCGCGGGGATGACGGGCTTGGGCATCTGCTTGCTGCTGACAACAACAGGCCTGCGAGACCTGACGGATCCGTTGGGCGGCGCCATGGTGGCCGATCGATGTGCCCAAATCTGATGATGGATCGAACTCGTAGGGCGAGTGGGTGGGCTGAGAGCCTTGCTCAAAATCCGTAGGTCGGCGAGGGGCAGGGGAGGCCGTGGATTTCCGATCGCCCACGCGCCAGACCTGGACGACAAATCTGGAGATCTCGGCAAAGAGGCATCAGTCCCGTCCTGGTCAATGCCAGAATCGTCGCCTTGGGCGAGAGGCTGAGGCAGGGCTGGCGTCAGTGGAGAGTGAGATGCCAGGAGGAAACAAGTCAAGCAGCTGAAAGAGGAGTTCGTTTGCTTTGGCAGTGATGACACTAAATCGGGCCTGCGTCTAAGCAATTTTTTCCCCCCGCAGAGGCTGCACCTCATACTATGTACCTGTGCGCCAGCTCTCCAGCTCCAGCGACTACTAATACTGAGACACTCACTACTAAGAATTTGCTCCCTGCCTATGGCTTTGCGCTGGCGGCTGAATTTCGGGACTGGCCTGCAGCGGGTAGCTCAAGCATCTTGCCACTTTGTATGAGGTCAGGTCACATATTGATGTGTTGGCTGGATGCAAGGGGTGAAGGAGCTGATTTCTCTTCCCAGCTATGAGGGATGGAAGCATATATCCATGGATGCCCATTGATTTAAGACATTTGCCCTGCAGTGAACTATTGATTCAATACCCAGTGCTAAAGTAGGTCCTGCAGTAGGGACTACTACTAGTCGAGTACAGACTAAGGTAAGCAAGTCCTGTTCGCGCCGTCTACTAGTTTCCCGTACGGAGTCGATGATATGCATCATTGATCCATGATTGGCATCGTCCCCCAGCTGCTGATAGGCGATGTCGTGCCTTGGTAGGAAAAGGGGTAGATGGTCATTGCATACATAGTATGTTTAGCTTGGTAGTAGGATGTAGAACTTGCATGGGCCTGTAGCCACCGGATAAACCCCCGTCAAGCATTGGTCAAGGCACAAGGTAAGGTACTAGGTAGGTAGACGCATAGAGATAGCAGTAGCATAAAGCAAGAGGAGAAGCTTCATTATTCGCAATCTGAAGTACCAAAACACAATTATAAATTGTACCCATTTACAACCCAAAACGCCGCTCTTGAAATGTCCGCCTCCAGGCTGCTGTTGGCTGTTTCGTGTATACCCTGTATTGTCTGCATATAACCACGCTCAAATATATCACGCCAGAGTCTCGTTGCCGCTTACCAGCCTTGCAATCAGTACGTAAATGAATATCGCCGCACCCGCAACGAGCAGCTTGTTGCGGTAAAGCCAGCCTCGTCCAGCATCCCGCTGCTGTACAACCGCATCCACCACAGCTTGGGCCTGGTTACTACTTGAAGCAGCAATGCCGAGCTGAGGTCCGCAGGAAGAGCCATTGTCACCGTCTGCTCGGTTGCCTGTGGCCGCATCTACCTTGTATTTCCGCATCCACTCCCAATTCTCAAGATCCACCTCTGGCCACTCTGATCGAAATTTGGCGCCTCCGTCGCCAGCCTTGACGTTGCCCTTGGTAGCAATGTTTCCTCTGGCTTGCGATCCACCGCCAGTCGAGTTCCACCACCGCGATCGTGAAGCAAGAAACTTACGCTCGGCGCTAGAAGCAGAAACGGAACCGGTGGTCATCTCATCGCTCGTCATAAACGACAAAAGGCCGATCAGGATGGTAGACACTTCCCATGCTGGATTAAAGGATTTTGGATGAAAGTCGGATATAGAAAGACAAAGTCTAGTCGATGGTTGGAATCGCCCCGATGGGGTGTGCATGCGGATCGCAGGCGGTGCAAACGGATAGTTCGGAGGGAAGATGAGCGTTCCCCAGTATTGACCTCCGTGATAAGGTGTATCTTCGGGGCCAGTAATAATGTAGTGCCATCTACGCTTTGATGTCAGAATCGGACTTGGATCAGCTAGGGTCGGGGGCGACATACTCGAGGATGTTGGATTCCGAAGGATGGGCGGTGATGTACGGAGGAGGATTCTCGGAAATGGACTTGAACTCTCGCGTTAACTAGCCACGGCTGTTAGCATACGCAGTTCTAAAGATGACCCTTGATGCAAACAGGAATACACACCCGCTTGTGCGCCGCTTTACTAGCCATGATCTCGATGCTGGGGGGAGGGATAAAGATTGACTAGTTGATCTAAGGAGAGTGGTTGATCGATCGCGTGCGCGAGTCTCTATTAAAGTAATCCGTCCGCAATTATTAAAGAAAGTCTGAAAATAAAAGTGGTTTAAGAAATTCAGTATGGAAGATAGCGACGCCGGAGACGGAGGCCTGATAGTGGTAGGGATTAGATTAAATGTTGAACGAAGACACGGGCAATTAAGGAAGACGATGATGAAACACAGATTAGGCCGGATGACTGCAGCCCAGTTGGCAATAACTCGGGGGGTTTTCTTGTCTTAGTACAGAGTACGAGTAGAGGCAAAGAGTGATGCGTGCGGCTCAGCCACGTGGCTGGTGCTTTCGATTGGAGGTTGCGCCACAAGTTCGAGGTTTATTTCGGACAAGGTTAGCCGGCTAGCTACTGCTACCAGGAGGGTCAAATCTTCCGACTACAATTGCATGTGTGCTGACTGACCTCGAGCGAGTCAGCAGATCTGAGGCGCTCAACAATGGCGCCGACCTCAGAATCCTCTGGGCGGCCGGTAAGCATTGGCTGGGACACGCTGCTGTTTCTTGAGCTGGTCGATAGCAGCTGCTGACCTCTAAAGCCCGCGAATCACTTTAATAAGCTACACGAGGATACCCAGGATGTGCTCCGCGATGCTAGAACGAGGCCTGAGTTTCAGAGTGCCGAGGACGAAGCCAAGGAGCAGAGGATAGCTCAATTGGTACTGCCGAATCTTTGTTTCAGAGGGATTTTCATTCTCGGCTGACCATGCATACTTCAAGATGGTGGATCAAATGTCAATGCCCATGACGGTCAACGAGGTTTCTGTCTCGGGCGCCAAGAACATTCGACGGGGCTTTCTTGATCCCATACTGAACCCTTTGCTGAGCGACAGCAATGACCCCCCCTATACCGTCGGCGATGTTATGTCACGACTGCAGGTGGCAACCGGGAAGCTCAGTAGACTGCGTAAGAAGGACGATTGGGATGTTGTCTTGAACAATTGCTAACGGGGAGGGCCAGAAATCTTGAGAGAGCCTCCGCAGGTCTACCTGTCCCAGTCGAGCCAGGTGGATGCATCGACGAGTCCTACTGACGTAGACATTTCAATTGGACTTCGCGAACTCTCTCGCTTCAAGCTTCAAACAGGCACTGATGTTGGAAATGGCGAGGGGTCGGCATATGGCTCTTTGCTGTGGCGCAACATGTTTGGCGGCGCTGAGATGCTCACTTTGAATGCAAAGGCAGGAACTCGCACACGTTCCGCATATAGCGCAAATCTAAGCGCACCCGTGCTAAGCAACCCGGACATGCACATTTCTTTAGAGGCCTTGTCTTCCGCCGTTGAGAAGCCGTGGGCATCCCACGAAGAGGTCGTAAAAGGGGGAACGGTCCGCTTCTCATGGCTCAACAGTCAACGCGACACACATTCTGTCGAATACTCGGGAGCATGGCGACAGATTACGGGCCTTGCGACTGATGCCAGCCCCACCGTTAGGCAAGACGCAGGCGATACCATCAAGAGTGCCATCAAGCACATATTCTACAGAGAGAGGCGAGATAACCCTCAGCTACCTCAACAGGGGTACATGGTTCGGACTGGACTAGAGCTGGCAGGTGTTGGTCCGTTGGGTGGTGACGTTGCCTTCTCCAAGAGCGACTTGGAGGTTAGCGGCGCCGTCCCAATTTCTCTGCCTGGAGTCAAGGGACGGACGGGAATATCCCTTGGTGCAGGATTCAGGACGGGCATACTCTACCCCCTGCCGCTCGGGTACAACTTTGGCGGTAAGGCGTTGCCTAGTCGTCTTAACGACCGTTTCCTGCTAGGAGGACCAACGGACATTCGCAGCTACAAGCTTGGTGGGCTGGGACCGCACGATGGCCGGGATGCTGCCGGTGGAGATGTGTTTGCTGCTGGCAGCGTCAACATGCTCTTTCCCTTACCCTACAAAGGACCGGATTCTGGCCTCCGGCTGCAGCTGTTTGCCAACGGAGGCCGCCTGATTGCGCTGAGGAACAAGCTCAGGTCCCGGGATACATCTCAGGGTCTAGATGGCGAAATGGTCCGGAGTGGCGTCTTTAGTGCTGTTGGAGATTTATTCGACGGCCCTCCGAGCTTCGCTGCTGGTGTCGGTCTGGTATACGCTCATCCAGTGGCGAGGTTTGAACTCAACTTTGGCTTGCCTGTGATTGTTAGAAAGGGGGAGCTGGTCACAAAAGGAGTGCAGCTAGGGGTGGGCATCAATTTTCTCTGAGATGCAGCATCTCGCGACAAAACCAATAGAACTGGACGCATGTAGTAGGGGGGACCAGCCGCTGATGGAGCGGCACATACATACATACATATATCCACTTATCCGTTTTCAGTACCCATTTAGTCACATATTGAACAGGTGTCGTGATGTCCATTGTCAAAGTTTGTTACCCTGATGTGATGAATCGAATAGCAATCCCTATGGCCTCCTGGGTAGCAGTACTACGGATTCACGCGTTCACAAGAGGATGCACAGACCGTTGTTTGCTCAGATATGAGTAGATCCCCGTCAGTGGTGAGAACAATAACGAAGTGACCAGTCAGATGTAGGGTAAAGGGATCGCCTGAATTCCCTGTTTACTAATAGGGTTTGTTTGTTGATAACGATTAGCACACCGTATGTTTATGGTCAGGCAGTATCAAATCATTATCAACACAAACACTACGTACTACTAGGTAGGTAGGGAGTCCTCCAGCTCAGAAAGGGGTTGCCAGCAATGGGTACCTATGTGTATAGACAAGGAGAGTAAGTCATTTGATAATGATATCAATTATTTTTTCGCTATTCGATTCGGATTTACGTCGCAGTGATCCTGCGTGGCCCTGAATTCAATGCCACTACCTACTACCTGGGTACTCGAATGATTGAAGCAACGCTGTTCAGGTACATCGACGCCATCGGGTACACGAGTAGAAACGCCAAGAAATGAATCACTCAATGCCATCTTAAATTCAGCCCGCGCGGCAACTCGATCAGTACCTGCACCTATCATAGCGTCATGTCCATCCCTTGTGGCGGAAACGTGGCTTGGACGAAACGTGTTTGGCGGAGTATCAAGCACAGTAGCATTTGAACAATGGAATTAAGATTGACAATGCGGAGCGGAATTGGCGCCTGCGGACATGGCCTGCCTCTTTTGTGAGCTGAGGACGTGGCTGTTTGTCTCAGTATGGGGGACGCGAAAAGGGGGCCTAGCGAGGCGAATTGATGGATGCGGTCTATTGAGTGCAGGTACTGTACATACGAGACATGCATTTAGTTGATACTGGTGCTACGGAGTTGACCTACAGCATCTTGCGGTCTGACGGTGGGCATTACGGTGAAGTACCTGTACTGCTGCTGCTGCCAGGTAGTTTGCATGTATTGACTCCTATTATGGGATGGGGCATTGAGTTGAGTAGTGTGTTCTTGGGGGCTAGGGTCGAAACAAAGCCTGTCATGCGAATGAACTACTACTATCTGCCTGCAAACATATCAGACTCTGCTGTCTTGAAACGGAGAATTAGTCGGAAGCCGGCGACTGGTGGCGCAAGGAGCTTGGAGTCTTGACTTCTTGCTCTAAGCGGAAGATAGGGGGGGAAGAAGGCGATCAGATCTTCGAGCCAGGGTAAGACAGATGCCGAATACCTTGAATACTCCAAGTCGACGTAATACCCAGGTCAGAGTCACATTATTCACCATACGATTACGTCTACGAGCAGAGGCCATCTATCTCCATCCGTTGCATTAATAATGATGCAAATGTCAACATCACCATCACCACTGTCGGGGTCCGACCCGGGTCCGTCGATTCGATCCGCCACCCGGCCACCAACTCGTAAACAATAGCTAGTGCTTCTTGGAGCACCAAATAGGCAGACAGAAACGGCAAAGAAAAAGAAGGACCTGAGGCGGAGTAGCGTCAACATATGCAAAAGATGCTTTGGATCATCCCAAGCTAAGCGGGAGCGGAGAAGCAATTTGAGTCTAAAAGCATGAGTCTTCAACCCCATACGGTACCTACAGGTATTATTATGAGCAAGTATATGAGTACATCCAATGTTTGCTAGCTCACCGGGCGCCAATCTCCCCTCGAGTGACAAATAGACGCCCTCAGCAGCAGGCATCGGCAATAGCTCCGCGCCCTTTTTATTAGGCTGGGGGGGCTTGGCGACGATTATGCTTGAAACTAGGTGGTACCAGCCCTACTGTCGCATGGTCCTGCAAAGATTCATTGCATCAAATCAACCAGAAATAAATCCCTAAATCTTCCTTTTGCGCCCCGCCCGCAGAAGTGAGTGGCCTGTGTCCCTTTTCGGCGGGGTGTCGGGCTGTTGCAAGACCCCGACAGCGATCCATGCCAGCGAGGCTTTGCGTCTTGAGAGAGTTTTGCCAACTTCGGGGGGGTCGTGGGGCTGGTGTGGTGTCGGCCGAATCAATCCGTCCGGCGCAATAAATGGAATCTCGAGAGAATACGCGTATAGAGGCTCAACTGGTGACCTTTGATGACCCCGATGCGATACGAAAGCGGCAGCCCGTATTCACGCAATCGCACAGCTGATGCGTGCTTCTTCTGCCTGTGCTCCGTACCGCAACATCGATGTTTGCCAGCGTGCAGTGGCGCATAGACGCCCGTCTGCAGGGCATCAGACGAAAAGCCAGCCAGCGTCGCATGGTTGCCGCTGCGTCTGATTCAAGTGCACCAGATCGTTGATCGTGGCCGCCGGAATGCAACCGCACGAGTCGAGTCCAGCCACAGTACCTTGCACGTGTGCATGTATCGATGACTGGCGAGTGCTCGTACATACATATGCGTGCTCAGGAGAAAAAAGAGGCGGCAAACTCCACACGAAATTTTCCTCTTGCGATACGCGTATAGAGCCGCGTCTAACCATGTCCGGAGTACTCCGTGAGCCGGCCTCGTAATGGCTGTCGCTTATTTCGTCCACTGAGCATCTCAGATACGCCGTGGCAAGGCCTCTGTGGAGGGACGGACCGCCTAGCCCTTGGCGGGCTTCCAGTGGACTTTGTGGAAGAGAGTGCGGCGTAATTAAGGCCTGGCTCCCCTCCAGCGGGTGGAGTTTCTGCGGACGCGCTACGGAGTGGCCTGTACCCGTGCCTGGGTGTACCTGTACCTGTACCTATACCTGTGCCTGTGCCTGTTCGCGGGCTGGCGCAAGAATGGGGC